TTCGAAACGCCAGATATTTCCCAGATTGCCAGTGACTCAGAAACGCCAGAGGCCCAGCGATCGCAGCCCGGCTGCCGAAGTCGAGCGCACTATTGGCATACAGGATATCTTCAAGAACGGACAGTCAAAGTACAAGATCACCAGAAATCCTGGGGACAGCGAGAATTGGTGGATGCTATCGTGTGAGGAGCATGATAGGAGGTTCAATAGTCAGCGAGCACTCACTGGTGCGGGGATACACTTGGCTTCTCACCACGGCAAAAGGAGACGGACAAACGAAAATGCCATCAAGATTCTTGGTTACAAGGGCCTGAATTGCACTCCGGAACTGGTGGAGGCAAATAATCGGGCATTGGTCGGCTTTCTTAGTAGAGCAGTGTAAAGCGGGCCTGCGACCTTTGCCGCACCGGATTGGAGTTTCGACGTGATCTAGGAAGTGGAAAATTGTGTTGTGTGATAAATAGGCGTCGTTCGCAGATAGTATTCTGAGCTATATTCACGCTTTGATCACGTACATGAGCGAGAAATGGCGTCCAAAAGACTCTTTGTCTTATCCGGGGTTTCTAAGCCTGTATCTTTTGTCGTTGTTCATTGCCCACCCGTCCTCCTGCAGTATTCTTCATAATACAATTTATCCCCAAGAACTTTCACTGCCATCTTGGGGCTTTTGACTCCGTGGCATCGTGCTCGTCGTCGGTATTTCTTGCTTCGGTGAATCTTGTGTTGCGCCGTGTAGACGACCGTGTTGTGTTGGCGTCCAAGCTCCATGACTTCTTCCTCTGTATGAGGGTGTGTAAGGTTCAGGTGAAAGAAGCCGACTGTCTTGTGGGGGTTCGTGAAGGGACAGGTTGTAGGGACCTCGTCCTTTGTTATACTCAGACGTCGTGGGGTCGCCACGCGGGCGATTTTGTTTTCACGCAGCCCCACCCACGGGTGTAAGGGCCTAGCAGTGATCATGAGCTTTGTTGCTTGGAATGTCTCGATGTGGCAGAGCCGGATGTCCGCCCACCCATCATTCCTTGTGATGCCGACAGGGGTCGAAGCAGTATAGTTCTCACACTCATTGCAAGTGGAGTACGTGCCTGTTCCTGAGTATCTAGAAGTGGTCGGATGACCTGAGGGCTAGCTGGCGCTCCTAGCCATCTGAAACTATTGGTATAGAGCCATGGGGTTGAATACCTTGATGATGACCAGGATAGTAGCAAAGGACCTCAAGCCAATTCTGCTGGTTCTTTCCACATGGCGCAAAGTCGAACTGCGTCGGTTTGTGGCTGATCGCATGCCGCGGCAGAGGAACCATCGCATCATTGGCAAACGATTCAATATAGCCACAAATAGGCTACCCATGGATTCAAAGGGTACTCGTGATTTAGCGGCTGGCCAATTTCGTTGCCAACCAAGGTGCCTACAGGCCATACCTCTCAACCTGTTATCCTGGCATTGTCCAGGTGTGGTCCTGGTGGTACCTTACAGGGACGTCACTGTAGCTCTAAAAATTTGCCTCGTGAGCTCCGGATGTTGACATGTCCTGTAGAGCCTTAACTGCGGCCACCATCCGCATTCTTTATAGATTGTTGCGCTTGTATACGAGCGGACCACAACGTTGTCAACGTCCCTCTGTACCTTCTCCTCATCTCATACGATCAACATGGCCTCTAACAACACAGACTGGCAGGGCCCTCCCCCTCCTTATATCATCACGTTTGGTAGAGACTCTACCTGCACGCTGGACCTTTGTCCCCTTGAATGGAGCGTTTACCGTTACCGCCCTAACCTAGCCGCCAACGTCATCTTCGTGGTTGCATTCGCCATCATCGGCATTGTCCATTGCTTCTTGGGATTCCATTGGAAGAGCCCGGGCTTCATGACGGGGATGCTGCTCGGCTGCATCAGCTCCGTTATTGGCTATGTCGGGCGCATCGTCTTGCGGACCGACCCGTTCGCCTTCGAAGTTTTCATGATCCAGATCAGTGAGTGCGTCTGCGTTCGTCAAACGAGACCAGCAGCTAATTGAGGATAGTTTGTCTGACTATAGCCCCCGTCTTTTTCACGGCCTCCATCTACGTGACGCTGTCCAAGACCATCGTCCTGCTCGCTCCGGAGCTATCCCGCTTCAGGCCCCAGCTGCTGTACTGGATCTTTATACCTGCCGATATCATGTGCCTCGCTCTGCAAGCTGCGGGTGGCGCCATGTCCGTCTTGGCGGACAACAGCCAGGCCGGCGTTGACATATCCCTGGCTGGGCTGATCCTTCAAGTCGTTGTCATCATCGCCTTTGTGGCGGCCTTCGCCGATTACATGCTCCGCTACTGGCGCTCCGGGAAGATGCGCGCCTTCGGGTGGAGGCTAGGGGTATTCTTCATCGGACTCTCAGCTTCCAGCATCTTCATATTGACTCGCTGCATTTACCGCGTCTTTGAGCTGAAGGATGGCTACGACGGTGATCTCATCACCCACGAGATTCCCTTCATCGTTCTGGAAGGTATCATCATCGTGCTAGCCTCAATCGCGCTTATGTGGGGACATCCTGGTTTGGCAAGCAAGGCTCTTCTTGGTCGTAGGTGGATGGACATGGTGCGTGGATGACGAGGGGCGGGCGGGGTTCTGCGCCAGGAGCGTGCCTGTGGCCGCATTCCGGATTAAAGAGCTCGACCCGTATTCAAGTTCTGCTCAGTTGCGCCAACATAGAGCCTCTGCACCGTCTTGCCACTCTACCTTGGAATACTGATTTCCTTGTTTTCAACTCGTCGGACTGTGCGCACAATGGCATCCGATCGGCTTTCGGGCATCAGAATGGCAGCAGGCAGGCTCCAATGTGACGCGATGATGCACTACAGACCCGGTGGCCGAAAGAGCGAAACTAGTACAAATATAACCTTGCCTCGTGTCCGGATGGTAGGTAGGGCATCTGTAGTCAAGCGCTGGGAGGGTTCAAATAGATGGAAGCCTAGGCCTGGATAGATGCCCGTGGTGGGGTAAGGATGGAGAGGAGATCATGGACCCCATTCACCTATCAATGCCAGCGCCGAAATATCTGAACGTAAATCACCGTGGGGTGTGAAATTTGCGCACTTAACGGTTGTATACAACCGAACAAGAGTAAACAGTGAGAAGAGTACAGTACGTTGGAAAAGTGAAGTGGACACAGTCGCCTCTATACTTGGTTCGGGCGGCGAAGGCAGTCGTCCGCCAACGCTGAGAATGAATACAGGCTGCTGCCTGACTGTGGAGTGACCGTGTCTCGGCGTCCGGAGGAACATAATAAATTATCTTAGACGTACCGTATAAAGCACCTCCTCTCCACCAAAATTGTCGTTGAATACCTACTAGGAGCATGGCTTTCTACGGCTAGTTATATGGAGCGGTCCTCTGGGGATATTTGAGGGGTGGCAAATTCTCCTCGTGAGCGGATATGTTACAAGATGGCTCCTAAGCATAGGGTAGTTAATTCTGCCTTTCCGGTGACTAAGGTCAAGAGCTGCGAAGGCCATAAAACACGGCAATAATCAAGCTGCGATCCATCGCTCCACGTAAGTCCGCGCGTAGGCACTCTGCTACAGGCCCGGTTATTCCACACCTATGATCTATGGGCATATATACCTGGGGGTGCATGCTCCCCTATAGCCTTAGTGATGTTGAGCGTAACGGGCTCCTGCTTGACTGGGATGTTGTCAAGTGTCATGAACTCACACCCCTCGGCAAGTTTTCTTTGTGTCCACCCGACGCACCGTCCGTCTAGGATAGGCAGATAACGCAACCCACCACAGCTCAGGTTTGGTCCCGAGCGAGAGTTACACAGACGCCAAATGCGCATAGCCATGGACACGTGATCTGGAGGGTACGCACGCACGATCGAGACGGGCTGCTAAGAGGGCTGCATGCTACAGTGAGCCTAACTACCAGACGACACGGAAGTCCGCCACTGCGGATCACGCTGTGGCGGTATAGAAAATCCTCCACATCCCTCTCACGGCTGCTTTAAGCCTACGCATTGAAAGTCGAGGGAGTTGTCACTTTTGGCCGGTCCAAACTGCTTGTATGGGTGGACACGGCGCCTACGTCGATGAAAGACCAGGAAAACCACGGCACCACATGTAATTGCCAGAATGGCCGCCCCGCCAACGATCCCTGCTGTGAATGCCTGCTGCCTGGGGGTTGGATTATTGCCACCGCTCTCCAGTGTATTCTCGTTTGGCTCGCGACTGGTGGTTGGAAGCCCATTACTTCCGAACTTGCTCACTCCGTGGCCTATGGTAACATTCGGCGCGTCAGAGCTCTTCTGCGTAGCGGTATTCGACGCTACTTCATCGGTGGCCACGAGCGATGATGTACTGACTGTTGCGACAAACACACTGCTCGTATCTGGGACTATGACAGCCGTGACATCGGACACCTCAGGCGCCGGCACTGTCAAGGGAAACGTTGGGGTTTTTTCTTCCATTGGCTGGTGGACCGTAAACCCTTCTGGCACACTATGTGCAGAGTCCATGACGCTCTCCACGCTCTGCTTGGTGCTGGCGGCCGCCTCGACTAGAGGGCGCTGCAGTGGCGATAACGTGGGTTGTGCTGACAACGTCAGGGACACTCCCGTGACCTTATCTTCAGCAGGAGTCACGGTAGTCCCTCCCATCACGCTCGCCATCGTCGCTTTGTCTGCTGGCGCCGTGGGGGACATATTTGATTCTACGTGCGGCACAGTAACCAGATCAGACTCGGGCGGCAGGATAGAGGAGGGCATAATGACTCCAGTATCGTGGGATAGACCTATGTCCTGAGCCTCTAAAGGACGGTCGGTTTTACCAATGTGGCTTGTTGCATATGCTTCGGATGGAGGGAGATGCTGGTTTGTCATTGTCATGCGAGATATGCTGGTTTTTTCCCGGCTAGGAGACGCGACGGACTTATCAGCTTGCGAGGTAGTGGACTGTCTCACTACACTGGTCTCCGTGGATTCCCAAGCCGTCGTCCAAGTGGTCTGGGTAGAGCGGTGCGATTCTGGGAAAACAGTAGCTTGGGCTCGGTCAGTGGACACTGAAGAGCGTGACGGGGCGACATCATCCGTTACGCCAGTCGACGGATCGGCTGACAATGTGAGTGCGGCATTGGTAGTGGTGCTGTTCACGTAACGCGCGTCATGGAGTCGAGGATACGAGGCATGTGTCGAATGGAACGGCACGGCCGAACCATTGCCACGTTGTGGTATGGTTGGAAGCAGAGCTGCAAGAGCCTGTGCGACGCATGTTACGGAGAACAGATATCTCATCGCTTGGTACTGTCGATTGGCTGAGTCCTTGCGCACTGAAGAGAGACAGGCTCAAGAACAAATCGGCCGTGAGACGATGATAGCCACGTCAATACGAGTAACAAGAGAGTGAGGAGTAGAAAAATGAGAACGTCTGCTACCACTAATGTAAATCAGGCGGCTGCTCATGGATGGTTGATCTTGACCACCAAGAGCAACCTGGGTAACGCAACACTCGAGAGAGCCAGAACAGACAAAAGAGTTTCAACAAACTATATAGCCAATGGTTTGCCGCTAGAACGTAGTGCCTTTCGCGGCAGAACCGGCCGGCCTGCTGCGCTGCACAATACGCGTAGGGCTCGAGACGATCAAGGGATGCATTTAAACTCAGCCTCTTGCTCACTCATCTTGACGCCGCGCTGTGACGTACATCCATCGGGGGTAGAATACCAGCCGCTAGAGCACTCGCAAACGCAGAGAAATCAGCGTCGTCCTCCCTTTGAGTAGGATAGATTGCGGCCACCGACTGACCCAGGCAGCGCCCCACGTAGCCAATATTTGCCTTCATGGCAGGCGGGTTCAGGTTCTAAGAAAAGTAATGGCCATAGGATCTAGCAAGGTGTACGACAAATGTCGAATGGACTGCCAGACGTGTGGCAAGAAGTGTCCAGCATCATTTGTAGAAGTTGTTGCAGCCGTTCAGACCATGTTCTCCTTCCAGTTGTGATGCTGTTGAGTTCCTGTATTGGCCGATTCTGGAGCTCCGCGCACAGATCACCGCACTGAAGGCGCACGAGTCGTCCGAATTCGCTTCATACAAATTTGAATCTCGACACCCTATTTAACCCTGTTGTTGGACAATCGCACTTCGGGGAAGATCCTACGTACGAAAACGTACGAAATGCTGCGCTTAACCCACGTAACCCACGTAACTTCCGTCCTCATCGCCAGCGCTCAACTGATTGCCGGCCTTGACAGCCGCGGCACCGACGATGCTGTTCTTGGCGTCTCGAAAAGCTCTGAGGCGTTTTCTAACTCGGTTTACTTCACTAACTGGTGAGTGTGAGCCCCGTGCTCACGGCTCACGACTCATAATACAAAAGGGGGATCTACGAGCGTAACTTCCAGCCTGCCAGCCTCCCGGCTTCATACGTGACTCATGTCCTATACGCCTTCATGAATGTTCTGCCCGACGGTACCGTGTATGTCAGGCGGGACCAAGGAAACGCGTGAAACGCGTGCTGACGTTGCCCAGTTTCTCTGGGGACACCTACGCCGATGTCGAAAAACATTTCGCTGACGACTGTGAGTGCAGCGATCGTCGGCCGGGGCTCACTAACGATGGATAGCGTGGAATGACGTGGGCAGTAACGCGTACGGCTGCGTTAAGCAGCTCTACAAGCTGAAAAAGGTTAATCGAGGTATGAAGACAATGCTTTCCATCGGCGGATGGACTTGGTCCACCAATTTTGCAGCGGCGGCGTCGACGGAGCAGGGGAGGAGTGTCTTTGCGCAAACATCAGTAGCCTTGCTCAAGGACTGGGGCTTTGACGGTATAGACATTGATTGGGAGTATCCGGCCAATGACGCCGAGGCAGACAGTATGGCTTTACTCCTGCGACGTGTTCGTCAGGAGCTGGATGATTACGCAGCGCAGCACGCAGAGGGCCATCGTTTCGAGCTGTCTATTGCAGCCCCTGCTGGACTTCAGAATATTCAGCACCTTCGCCTCGCCGAAATCGGGCAGATCGTCGACCGCGTCAATCTGATGGCGTACGACTATGCTGGTTCCTTCAGCGACGCCGCCGGCCACCAGGCCAACATCTACCCCAGTGCGGAAAACCCTGAGTCGACGCCTTTCAGCACCCAACGCGCTGTTGACGCATACATTGCAGAAGGCGTCCCTGTCGGAAAAATCATCCTCGGCATGCCAATTTATGGCCGAGCGTTCACCAGCACAGTCGGTCCGGGCCATACATTCGGCGGTGTCGGCGTGGGCAGCTGGGAGGAAGGCATCTGGGATTACAAAGAGCTTCCTCATGCGGCAGCCAAAATCGAAAGGGACAGTGAGGTTGGTGCCTCTTGGACATACGATGCCGCTTCGCGCACCATGGTCTCATATGACACACCGGCCATGGTTCAGGAGAAGATCTCCTACGTCAAGGAACATGGTTTGGGAGGCGCCATGTTCTGGGAGGCTTCCTCCGACAAGGGCGGGGCTGACTCGCTCATTCTCACTGCTCGGGATAGCCTAGGCTCTCTGGAAGACAAGCGTAACTGGTTGAACTATCCCGGCTCCGTGTACGACAACATCCGGACTGGTTCAGTATAGGCAACGGCTTGAACCTTACGGTATGGGGAACTAAAAGTCGGCAAAATAATTCGAGTATGAGCAATTGATATAAGCAAGCGCTCGGCAAGGTGGCAAGATTGGAGGAAAGCATGGTGAAGAGCCGAAAAGGTTACTAGTAGGATACAAAGGTAAAGTGCGGAGCGCTACCCGAGGCAACCGCAAGGCGAAAGATGGAAATTCGTATATCGACAGAAATCGAAAATTTGCGCTCCAACAACACAATTCCAATGTAGAAATTGCACGCATTTACACCGATGGGAGTGGCACCAACAGTCACGTTGGGGCGGCCGCGGCCGTGCCCACGCTTGAGACAGACGGCGTCAGCACAAAACGGGTTCAGTTACGCGGCGGAGCTGAGAGGAATTGTTCTAGCACTGCACATGGTACTTTATATACACAGAACAAGCGTTCCTCCCGGCACGTGCGCCATCTTTACCGACAACCAGGCTGCCATCCAAGCGATCCAGAAACCCGAGACCCGTCAGGCCAGTACATTCTGGCTGACGCAATCCAGCTACTGGACGAGCTCTGTGCTCTAGGATGGGAAATCCAATTCCGGTGGGTCCCAGCACACGTCGAAGTACCCGGCAACGAAGCGGCTGACAAAGCAGCAAAAGCGGCGGAACCCACCCCCGAGATGCTAGAGGATAGCAGCCTACAAACGCTCATGGCGACCACAAAGTACACCATCCGCAGTGGATCAAGGCGTGGGAAAAGGCCAAGCACGGAAGACTGCTGTTCAAGCTCGGAGTCCGACCGGGAAAAGACGTGCTCACTGTACATATTGGCACACACAGAGCGATTAGCTCTGTCATCACACAGATGCGCACAGGCAAGATCAGCCTGCGGGCATACCTTTATGCCACCAACAAGGCCAACGACGACAAGTGCCCATGTGGGTACGGACTGCAGACGGTGCGACATATCCTGCTCGAATGCAGAGACTGGACGGACGAACGACAACAGATGTGGGCAGGCAAATCTCCATGCGTTGACATCAAACGGGTTCTCTGCAGCTCGTCAATGGCAGTCCAAGCAGCAAAAATGATGTTAAGGACGGGCCTGCTCGGTCAATTCCGGGCGGTCCCATCCACCGTACTCAATATAGAGCGTAGACGAGTGAATTAGGTCATACAGAAGGTTAGGAGGCCAGGAAAGGTCTGACAAGTCAGAGATATAGAACAGCTAGAAGGACTATTAGTATGGGTGCCCTTACTCGGAGCAGATGGGTTAGCAACAGTGTGCGTATGGTCATGTGTCGAGCAGGACAATTCTTTACAGGAAAGGCTTTCTAAAAGCGAAGGGATGGGGCTACCAGTATTTATAGCGGTACGCTGCATAGCTGCCGATAGGGCGGCTGGGTCAGTCTATGAATTAATAATAATAATAATAATAATAATAATAATGGGTTTCAGTCCTGGGCCATATCTCAGTCCTGGGCCACGTCTCAGTCCTGGGCCACGTCATAGTCCTGGGCCACATCATAGTCCTGGGTCTCAGGACGGAAACAAACCCCAGGCGACGCACAACCAGAAGGACCAGGGCAAGCACACTTACAGACATCATCACCGTCGCACCACCCTCATGACGGGACGCCAGGAGCTACACATTCTACAGTACAACGTCTAGAAGTCGCGAGATATCGTCCTAGCCAGCCTGTTTCGAAATAACAGGGTTCTCGAGTACGATATCTTGGCAATCCAGGAACCCTGGCGTAATTCGTTCATCGACACAACGTACCACCCGCTCAAATCACACTTCCACCTGATGTACCTCGCCGACGGCGGGACGAGGGTCTGTTTCTATATCAACAAGCGTATAGACGCTGCTACCTGGAGTGTCTCATACATCTCCAAAGACATCATCTCGCTACAAATCCGCGAGCCCCAGTCTGGCAGATCGATTCAGGTTATCAACGTCTACAATGAAGTAGGAACCGACACCCTCTCTACCTTGGACGAGGCGATCGGCAAAATAGACCCGCAGGACGAGGTGATTATCCTCGGAGACTTCAACCTACACCATCCAACCTGGTCGGCAACACTTCGACGCACTGGCGACCGACCAAGTGCCAATCAACTCCTGTCGATCATCGAGAGCTCTCATCTACAGCTTCTCACAGCACCCGGAACACCGACCCACCGATGGAAAGACGGAGAATCCACAATCGACTTGGCTTTTGCCTCGGAGGATCTCGCATCCCGTGTAGTCCATTGTATTATCCTACCACACATCCAGAGGCTTTTTCATGCATGCCTTCGACTCGGGTACTGCCCAGCACATTTTCGAGATACCATCACGGTCGTTCTTCGAAAACCAGGCAAAGACGACTATACTCAACCAAAGGCATACAGGCCAATTGCCCTCCTCAACACGCTCGGGAAGGCGCTGGAAGCCGTCATGGCGAACCGCTTGGCCTACCTGGCGGACACCCATGGGCTTCTTCCCAGCCGTCATACTGGAGGTCGGAAGCTCGCGTCCACAGAACACGCCATGCACTTTCTTCTCCAACGCATACATCGAGCATGGTCTGAAGGCAAGGTAGCCTCGTTACTGCTACTCGACGTGTCCGGAGCATACGACAGCGTATCTAAGGAAAGGTTGTTGCACAACTTGAGGAAACGCCGCGTCAGTATGGGGATTGTGAACTGGGTCGCCTCATTTCTCACCAGTCGATCGACCAGCCTCAAGCTCCAGGAATACACAGACCCTTCGACAGCGATCCAAACCGGCATCCCGCAAGGCTCACCTATCTCGCCAATCCTATATCTCTTCTACAACGCCGACCTCATTGAGGCCTGCAAGACAAGCGAGACGGAAGCAGTCGGGTATATTGATGATGTGTCAATTCTAGCGATCGGCCCGACGGCACCACGCAACTGCAAGACCCTCAAGGCCATCCACCGGAAGGCTGAAGAATGGGCATTGAAGCATGGATCGCAGTTTGCCCCCGCAAAGTATGAACTTGTGCATTTCTCCAGAGATCCTAGTTACAATACCACACACGCCCTCCGCCTCCCACATGCCACGATTACAGCGTCACAGTCCTGCCGCTACCTTGGACTCCAGCTTGACACCAAACTCCGGTGGGGTCACCACCGCGAGAAGATGGAAGCAGCAGCTACGAAGAGGCTGTCCGCTCTGTCAGCCTTAGCGTCGTCTACCTGGGATACAGGAACGGTCAACCTGCGGCAAGTGTATCGGGCTATGATTGTGCCGCAGATGTTGTACGGCTGCTCTGCATGGTACGCACCAGGCATCGGCCAAGCAGGCAGAGGGGGCCCCATTATTAGTGCCATCCAGAGGATCCAGCGGCGAGCAGCTCAAACAATAACCGACGCGTTCCGAACAACGGGCAGGTGCCGCGGTTGACGTTGAAGCGCATCTGCTCCCGGTAATCCAGCAGTTGGAACAGACAGCGCTAGAGGCCACGATGCGTCTCAGGACCAGCCCCTTATACGCCGATATGGCTATATCCATGGACGTGGCCCGTGGTAATTCAAAAAGCCCTCTTGATCGCCTCTCAAGCATGCTAGAGCGCAAGTACGACCTAGAGCTAGACCGTCTCGAGAAACGCCTCCCACATGTCGTACCACCATGGTGGACGCCACCAGCGGTCCATATCGCCGAATCAGCAGACGCGGCAATCCAGGAACACGACGCAATAGTACCGGAGACAGTCTGTATCTACACAGACGGGAGTGGCATCAATGGTCATGTTGGAGCGGCTGCAGTTGCCCCGGCGGTACACAGAAACGGCATCCCAACGAAACGGCTGCAATACATGGGCACATCCGCTACATCAACTGTATACGCCGCAGAGCTGAGGGGTCTGGTCCTTGCATTGGAAATACTTCGGGATATACAAACAGCCAATGCCACTCCCCGCAACAGTGCCATCTTCACCGACAACCAAGCTGCCATCCGAGCGATTCGAGATCCCAAGACTCCGTCCGGACAATACATACTCGTTGAGGCAACCCGCGCGCTCGACCAGCTCCGCAATTTTGGGATACAGGTCAAATTCCGTTGGATCCCGGCGCATGTCGGAGTGCCAGGCAACGAAGCCGCGGATCGAGCCGCTAAGGAAGCGGCAGAGAACCACCTAGGAGAACCAGAACCGGAGACGCTCAAGACCCTCATGGCAACAACAAAATCGATTATCCGCAAGACCATGAAGGTCGAGTGGGAAGCCTCCTGGGAGAAGGCCAAGCACGGCAGAGAGCTGTTCAAGCTTGGGGTCAAACCAGGAAAAGCAACACTTGACCTCCACGCCGGAACACACAGGGCCATCAGCTCGGCCATCACCCAGATGCGCACCGGCAAGATCGGCCTGCGCGCATACCTCGCCAAAATCGACAAAGTTGAAACTGACAAATGCGAATGTGGCTATGGCCCCCAGACCGTGCGGCACGTCCTCCTGGAGTGCCGACACTGGACAGAAGAACGACATAAAATGTGGGCAGGCAAACAACCATGCGTTGACCTCAAACGCATTCTCTGCAGCTCATCAATGGCAGTTCAAGCAGCAAAGATGATGATCAGGACGGGCCTGCTAGGACAATTTCGAGCTGTCCCGTCCACCGTACTCACATACTCCGCGTAGACGAGTGGATACTGTCAAACAGAAGCAAAGGACGGCTGGGAAGGGCCTGACAAGTCAGAGACACAGAACGGTTATGATAGCTATAGATACAAACCAGGGAGAGGTCGCCCACGCAGAGGCAGGCAGGAGGACGAGACTCGATAGGTGAACGGCCTGTTGGCGCAGGACATTTCATGGTGGGGTGGAAGTCAGACCTGAGAGCCGAAAGTGGGCGGCCTTGACCTTGTATTTATAGTTGTACGCTGCATAGCTGCCGCAAGCATGCAGGGTTTCTCGAGGCGTGTCCCACGGATACTATCCTGTGAGATTCGACTATTGTCGATGACAACGCGAGACATGCATGTCTAACTATGAGTGCTGACTGGCGGTGATCAACGATCATTAACCTGGAGCATCTTATACTTGAGGAAGTAGAAGAAGGGCGTAAGCCAATAATATGTAAGCAAGCGTGCAAGGCGTCAGAGCAGTACGGGCATCGAAACTGAAGAGTTCATAGACTTGAACGCTCTCGTATATAGTTTGGGCTGGTTGGAAACCCAAAATTAGCTTTTGGGTTGGCATGAACATTGTTATGTACCCTGCATGTTCATAAATCGACTATTGACTTCGGATGAATCATGTTGGACTGATGTGGGTGCTTGTGAAGAGGAAGTCGGTCTGGACCCTCTGTATGTTCGGCAAACGTAAGCTCTGGTCTATATCATAGTAAGTGTGGTGGAAGTTCGTGTTCGCACAAATGTTGAAGCCCCGTATACAGGTCGTAGTACAGACTCACAGCTCCGCAAGACATACGGGTCAGGACTAATGGCACCAGCAGGTTCATACGAACGCTGTCTACCCAAAAACAACTTGTGAGCTCGCACGAGCGCTGTCTATTGCCCAAAATAGCTTGCGAGTTCGCACGAACCCTGCCGCAGCCGCGAGCATGTTAAGTCCTGTTCTGCTGAGAAAGAAGGGCATTGTGTGGATGGCAGCCGAGATACCTTCATCAACAAGGCCAACGGGGCAGTTGCTGTAGAATACCACTGACAGCAGTATATTGCTGTGCTTGAGCCAGATTCGTGCGAACCAGGAATGGCGAGGGATGGCGGGGGTGACCAATCAATCATACGAGATTCGCACGAACCAGATTCGTGCGAACCAGGAGGGAATGGCGAGGGATGGCGGGGGTGACCAATCATACGAGATTCGCACGAACCAGATTCGTGCGAACTGGGATAGCGGAGGTGATTAATCAAGAACGAGCGGCACAAGCCGTACCTGCTATTGGTTTGCCTCTCAGTGACACCACCAATCACACTGTACGCAGGATATGCTCACTGTGAACGGTTCGTCCTACATCAAAAGCTATTGCTCAAAGTGCAAAATCCTGGTTGATGAACAAGCTGGTATTGAGCAGTCAGAATTCGACGGTCTCCAATGACCTCACGCGTGCACGTTTTTTCGCGACCAGCCAGAAATGGTAGGTTGCCCGTGAGCTTTTTGATTTTCATTGACTGTGTTGTTGGTTCCGATCTGCAACCCAGCAAATCAGATATCGATCCAACGTGTCGGGTCGAAGGCCTAATGCTACAAATGGCCGCAGCCCCCGTAGGTTCGGGCGCCCCAACTCAATTCTTTCATTGCAGCGACGGTGTTACCTATGAAACTGCTCCAGATGTCTGATCGAAAAATGGAAACCCGAGTTTTGCAGCAAATGCTCCAGACGACGGCCCAGGCCGTCGCCCGAATCCAACGTGAGCTTGAGATTGGTGGATCACCACAACCGGTACGCGAGAACCGTGTCTTATCTTTTCACTCTATCATCAGAATCCCGTTTTTGCAACCCTATTAAGGTCACTGATCAGCAAAACCAGCCTCGACGTCAAAATAGGGCGAATGTTGCGGCAACCGACGTCAGCGCCCATGAAGAACTTGGCGAGGTACTGCATAACTTCTGTCTGGAAGTGGTGACAGCCATTGGTGTCCAACCAATACAAAGAGCGGTGCACGGCCTTTTGATCAGAGGGCCGCCATATAGCACGCCGAGCCTTCCTTCGACCGGGAATGTGGGTTGCGCCCCCTAGGCTTCGTCGCTTGGAAACATTTGTTGACGTAAAATGAAGAAGCGAAAGCAGGGCGATGAAGACCGACCGCCTAGACCAGGAAAGCAGACACGGATTGATTGCATCCGTAGCAGCGGAAGGTGTGTCCATTTTGATCATGTGTTCGATGACGGCCATGCACAGAGAAAGAAAACATTAGTGCAGCACCCAAAAGTGCCTGGTAGATGGTACATTCTCCGATGCGATGAACATGACATCGACTTTGGACACAAGGCATTCCTTCGCGCAGGGGCGCATCTCAGTAGTGCACAACACGGGCGCCTGTCTCGCGACTCGGAAGTCGTCATTGAGCACTTCGGTACCGAGGTCTTGAACTGTGACGAGGACCTGGCGGCTATGAACAATGCGTCTGGTCACACAGTGTTGTGCAAGAAGCGCAAGCACAAGCGACTGTCTGCGAGGATGGCCCAGAAGCGACGCAAGTGTGTTGAGTATGCTCCGCTAGCCTACCCAAGCGCTGGTCAGCTATATCGTGGACTTTGGGGCAAAGGAAAGAAAAGCTGGGCTGTCTTGGTTCTACCCACTGAGGGCATTGGAGAGGTCGGCATGTCCGGCTCAATGGAGTCTCTCGGCCTAACCAAGGCGATACCGCCGTGTTACATCTATGATGAGCGAACAAGGGCGTTTAGTTGGGCTGAAGGGTACGAAGATGGGGGTCCAAAAACTGCGGAGCGCAAATTTCCGGTTGCCTACTTCAGCGGCTCAGGCTTTCCAGAAAAAAGTACCGTGGGATGGTTGGGTGCTAAGGACCTCGCGCCACTCGATGTAGGGAACTTGGACAGCGTTGGTATCCCGCATGCAGAGATGGTACGTGAGTACCTTCGACAGCGAAATGCTGCTCCGGCAGCCGTGACGGACCTCGAAGTCTGCACTGCTTTCATTAGTAAGTTTCCAATATCCTCAAGCTGCTCTTTACTCATGCCCTCCCTGCGCCGGACACTTGGAAAACTACAAACTGCTCCTCATCCCCTGTCTTCCCAACGACGCGACAGCCGACGCCCGCATCCAAGACTGCGGATGCATCTACACCGATTATCCCTGAACCGACCAGTTATGCCCACCATCAAGCCATTGCGTCACCGAGCCATGATATTCAAAGCATGCACAAGTCCCCGGGTCAATCTTTGCTGGGTCCTGGAGGGGGGCAAGTTGAGGTCATTGACTTGACAATGGAAGCCTCTGAATCATCAACAGGGGGGAGCAGGTGCGTTGAATACACCACGGAGCCAAGATCTAGAGACAAGCTTACCCTGAACAGCCCCGTTCTTTCCCCTGCGTCCCCGACTCCGTTAGACTCGGTCAGCATGGGGCGACCAAGGCTGGCTGAACGACCATATTCATCAGAGTTTGTGCATCGACGCAATCACCATGCCTCAGTGGGTCAGGCACAAGGCCCGTATGGCACGAAATGTGCAGAACAAGGCATGAATCGACCCCATCCAATTGAGCCCCCGTTTGTCCTCACGGATGGGTGCCGAGTTCATGCTCGGACCTTCCCTCCTTTGAAAACACAGCGTTACCTGCAGCGGAGCCGATATCATCAATTCCGTGACACAGCGCTTTCTATGCAAGCCAGGCCGGATGACGCTCCCAGTACTGCTTCGTACACGCTGCCGCACTTGAATCATTTGCATCTCCCCCCTATCAGCGACAGCCGCAGCCGTTCGCAGCGCTTCTTGCCGCCTATGCGAAGCGAGTTTTAGCAGCCACCCTCGCCAACGAGAGTATACCAATGGCGGGCGCGTCATTATCACTTACGATGCAAAATAACATCGGCATTCCGATATTTTCTCAAACGTCTTCTCATCTCGTTCAAAGGCCAAAGTGGGGCTATGAGAATACCAGCCGACATCAGCGGTCAACTTATCGACTACCTGACAAGGAGGAATCTACCTTTGCACGAGAATAGCCTGAGGAATTCTCTCAACAAGTCCTTGATGGATGATATCAAAGACTTCCTTGTCCCTGGAACGAAACGTTGCTATGGTCCAACGAGCACTTCCATATTGGCGAGGATATCTCCTCTGCGGTCCACCTGGTACTGGGAAGTAGCGTGGCAACACAAGCCCTAAGGCGAACACTTGATGATTGACTGAACTGCCAGTGGATGGCTCGACTAGAGTGTGATGGCAGCTCCCGGTAAAGTATTACAGGAAGGTCTGCGGCTTATACTTATAGTATCTGTGCACTGAAATCAGAGTTGTCACAATGAGGTCGCAGAGGGTCTCTTTCGGCCACCGAGACTCCTTTTTCCATAATTGTGTAAAGAAGGCGTTCTTTATCGGTCAGCTTCACGAACGGGCGATGTGTGGGCACAGCAACGGACCTTGCGCAGTTGACTAGCCCCATCGCAAGATGCGACAGAAGATAATACAGCCAGGATCGAATCGGACCAGCCGGTGTTGTCTTCCACGCCAACCTCCCCATCCTCCGACGAGTACCCCTGCATGAGCTTCATGGCCATCGTGCCCACCTCCATGACATTTTGTTTCTTTCCCTGAGGGGTAGCCGCGCGGCATTGCTCCTGCATCCCTGCTCATTATTTCAGTCCACTTGGCAAGGTCAAGCTGCAGCATCTACTGACCAATTTTGACGTCTCCGTCTGCATGAACAAGGACAGTCTCGCAGCTTAGATAACTGTGGTAAAGTTGATGGAGTTCGAGATATGCGAGGCCGTCCAGAACCTATCACAGTTAGAAGTCTAGTTGCGGCACACACAAAGTTTAGAGTTCGTCGCACCTGGCCCAATATCACGCCTACCTCGTTGCTTGTCGGCCTGCGTGGACACCGTACGATGTTTTCAAGAGGCATATGCATCTCCTCAAAGGCGACGTAGAGTATCTCTTGGCCGATGAAAGCCTCGACAGCGGCTACAATGTTGACATGCCGCAAAGCCCGAAACCGAGATAGGGTTTCAATGTCCCGCTCGCCGCGATGGAATTTCCTGACTCCAACACGTTTCGTTGGCGCCTCATGTTCGCTTGCAATGATGATTTCGTCGCCCATGCCCAGCAGAGTCAGGACATCCCTGTAACGTCTCCAAGGACTACCTAGATGTGAAAGCTGCATGGGCGCATGTTCGTAATGAGGTGCTTCAGTTTTCCCATCACATATTTTCAACGAGGCTTTACTCGTACTGAATATAACCTTTCGCTTGGTCTTAGCTGGGGGCGCCTTCATTGCTGTTGGGCTAAGCGTGGTCTATCGGCATGTGATCACGAAATCTCGATCCAGGAGATCCAGGAGATTCAAATACTTTATATACAGGAGCTTGTCAGAAATGGACTTTGGCGATTCTGGCTCAACGCTCGCAGTTCCATAATGGCGCTTTTGGAGCCTGAGTTCTTGACATTGGCGGCGCCAGGAAGTGGCAATGGCGGAAGACATCGAGGTGTTGGAGTGTCCAAAAGGTGGCAACCCAGCTTCCAAGAATTGTGGCACCAGCCACGGCCTCTGTAAATTTGCAAAGGTGGGGCCTGCGGGGAGGTATTGAGCTTACTTAATGACTCGTGAATCATCCAGTTCAGGTTGTTGTATCTCGCTGCTGCCGCGGCCATTCTCTCCTTAGATCCTTCACCATCCAGTTCAGTATGGCTCCGGTACTTTCTTGATCCCAACATGAGAAGCTACAAGCAACGGTCAAATCCGGGCGCTCTGATGCGCATGGAGACCGTGGAGTGCGGAGAACGAGTTGCTACGCGAGCTGTCAGAACCTACCACTTTATGGCTCAACGACGGCTCCTCCGACTCGACTGGGCGACGCAGTGACGTACACCCCACGGCACAAGATGCACTTGTCGACATAAGGACCCAGCCAGACATCCTCCGATCAGAGACGGTGGAGTTTTTCATGACGAGATTCGATATCCATGTGCCGATTTTCAGTCTCTCGGTTCCTCAAGCGAGCTGGCTGGTCCAGGAAGAACAGCAGTCAAGTCGGAGACCAACAGAATCCCATGCTACGTAACATGTATCAGTACAAACTGTCCAATTGTAAGTCTTGCCATTTATCTTCATCGATGAGTCAAAGCAGAATAGGCGAACGATACGTCGACGGCACGGAAGGGCAGCAGCAAATGGTAGGCGACTAAGTCGAAAGGGTTAATGTGGTGCCAGGCCTACTAGTACATTGGCACAGGACACAGATTGACTCTGATCCCCCGCCAAATCCCACTCAGCCACATCTCTTACACAATAAGCCGTGATTGAAGAACGTATAGTCGTACAGGGTAGTCGCCCATTTCGGTCGCGACTGAAGCGTAAATACACAAATCCAAGCCTGCGCACGCAGCTTCGCATGGGCGTTAGCATGAGTACACCCAGTCGTGTAGGCTCCACCGAGCTTCAGCGAATCCGCTGGTGCACAATGGTAAGTAAGCCAGCCCGCTCGCGCGGTAGTCCGCATGCTTGCAATTGCCTCCGCCCACTGGCGTATGCCACTCTCTGCTCCGGATTGGGCGATTGGGACGATGTGCGGGTTCAAGTCTGCCTGCGCAGATCTGCCTGGGCGAGGTCTGCCACGCAAATTCATGCTCCTGCCACTTGGAACAGGTTGGTGCCTGCGCACTCAGGGCATCGTGAATACTTATTTGCATACGCCGTCTTGACTACGCTGCGTCTCTCTTGTGCAGATGCTCATGTTATACTCTATGCTGAAGCAAGTGGGCTTGCTATTTTATTCTGCTATGCCATGCCGCTTCGTCGGCTTCGTACCACCTTGTCCACAGAAAACTGTTTTCTCCGCCTCTATCACATTCACTCTTGATGAAGGTTTTAGCACGATGACATGAGTCCCATTACTTACCACGTGCTTGAAACATGATTTGGCTTGCAAATTCTTGTTGTGCACATCAAATAACATAAACCCCTTCCTCGCGTACTTTCCCGCGATACGCTCCACCTGTGATGGGTCGGAAAGAGCAACGTCAAGTCTGTCGGTGGTGTGAAGCTCGCCATCGGTATGTAACTCCTTGAATTCTATGTGTATCCTGTCCGCGTTACCCTTCGCCACGGCTCTGTCACCATGGCCGTGCCCCTTCATAAGCCTTTCAAAGGCAAAGGCCGTCGTCCTCTTGTTACCTTTGGCATCCGCCAGTACTGAACGTTGCTCTGACTGCTCGTTGGAACGATCATCGGCTCTCATCACCTCAGCCACTGGGTCATCCAGGTGCTGTCCAGAAGGCGATTCGCTCGGTAGATTACGCTCCTGCTGGTACAAGTTTTGGAGCAACACGTCAAGTCTCGCTTGGGCTGCCTCTTCGTCCTTCGCAAGCTGTTCGAGCCGGGCAACGCGTTCCTTTTCCTCTTGGGCAAGCAAACGCAGCGTATCCTGTTCGGCGGCAACAAGGTTTCTGAGCTGGTCAAGCCTCACTTGGTCATCCAGCTCTTGAGTTGTATGTCTCGGCCGTGGCTCGATTTCAGTCACGGGACTTCGATCTCCAGTGGAACTAAAATCGGAGCGCAACCCACGTCGGACCATGGACATAGTCAGCTCCACTCGGCCAGGAAGTGCATCATAAGTCGGCATCGAGGGTCGATCTCTCATGGCCACATCGTACCCGGATACCCCAGCTTCGTTATCACGAACGCATTTGATTGTCGACGGGGGCTGACCAAAATAGGCCGTATACATGGACTTTCTGATAAACAGCGATGAAATACGTGGCTGCCCACCGCCAGCGACTTTTTCCAATGTCGGGAAAAACAGCGCTGTCTTGTCACGTTCGTGGTCGCGATCATGTGGCACGCCTTGTCGCCTGGGTAATGGCGCGTAATCGCCAATGTCCGAACCGTCGTCATCTTGCAGGTTCTGTACGACAACAGCAGTTGCGAATATGTCGGTTATTCGCTGAACACACCGTTCCTTGGTGTCATACCGATATTTTCCAGGTTTTCGAGCGGCCAAAAGCGCCCTCTCGGCGATCTGTCGATCGGGGGTGTTGCTCAAGATCTCGGCTATCCTGTCCGATTCGAAGCCAATCCGGTGCGCTAGCGATGCAAGCTCGTGCAAGGTGGTATCATCGGCCGTAGCTCGTGCTTTGGCAAGGAGATCTTTCTTTCGCGGGTCAGCAGGCAGCTCTTGGTAGACACGAAGTGCAGCCAGCCAGAGGTGGCGGATGCCGAGATCAACGCGAACCCCTACATCTCCTGGTATAGATGCAAAGGACGCACTTGAGGTCTGAACAATGCACCGATCAATTTGCTGGTTTCTGTCGGTAAAAGAGTCCTCAAGGCGTCCAACTACAGTGTCCCGCGGACCGACATCAACAAGCCGTTTTAGGCAGTCTGCTGCGCGGGCGAGGTACTTGCGATCTTCGAAAAAAGTGTAGAGTGACGGTATCTGGAATGTCTGAGAGTTTTTGCAGACGTTGGACCAAAGCACTTCGCGTTGCGATTGCGAAAAGGCGCTGAATATCCGGCCGCTGCTGAGCTTCTCGAACAGTTCGTCATAGTCAGCACTGTATGCTCCTGGTGCCTTACCCTGTAGCGCGTCGACGGTTGGTCTATCAATTTGACGCATAGTCTGAAGGTCTCCGCCGCAAATGTCGTGCCACCACATATACATGCGCTCCCGCAGGTAGTAAATGTTTGACTGCATATGTAAGCGTTCGTCACGGACCCAGAGACTTGCTTGTGCTCACTTCGTCGCACCTCATTGATATTAATTGGTGTACAACGGATAACCGGAACCCTCCAAACAATGCGGGGATGTCCAACAATGCATCAAACGCTGCGGCGAATTCCCTGTGCCGACACAGCTGATCAAAGTTTTTCCGACGATTCTCCGATACGGCCAGCCGCCCAAGCCACAGCCGCTCGAAGAACGGATTTCGGTCGCCGCGAACGCCTTGATACTCGCGAATCTTGACGAAAATCTCACCGTCGTCTGGTCGCTTCTGGTAGTCGTAATCCTCGACTAGCATTCGCCTCAGCTCTTCACTCAGATCTGAAACATGTGAGCAGATTGTAGTGATCTTTGAAGTCAAAGCTAACCATCCAGGAACAAGTCCACCACCCAGCGTTTGTTCTCGCCTCGGAGGACCTCATCAGCTGCGGCAAGACGATCACACCCTTGAATACACTCGAGTTTGATGCTCTCTGGCAGCAATAGCTGGGGATACGGCAAAGTTTCAGCCAACAAATCCGCGGCCGATAATTCCGAATTCACCATTGCCGCCTCAAGCGCCCCCTGTGAGATGATGGCTTTTGCATGGTGCCGGCTATCCTCTCGACGACAACCACGCTCTTCGCGATAAATGCGTTTGAGTGAGTCGCATGACTGCTTGCCTAACTTCGTTTTCTGCAACGAGCCGTCCTGGAACAGTAAGGATGCTACTTCAATACTTGCCGTACCGCAGTATTTGGTGCGACGTTCGTCCTCGATCCGACGACTGACGGCTTGGAAAGTGTCTCTTGTCATCTTTGATAAGCCATCTGGGAACCAAGAGAGAAGACAACTTATATGGTCCGGTAGGGTGTAGGTCTTGTTGACTTTGCGGACACGGTGTTTGTCTCCATTGCAGGTAGTGGCAGGAACCAGCCGAATGTCAGCTTTCGGATGCAGGCATTATTGAAGCTATATATCTTCCAACGAATGGAAGAGACCTTCGTTTCCGCTTCTTGGGAGTGAAATACTATGGCTCATGAGAAAATCGAAGCAAAGGCTGCCAACCGTTTGAAGAAGAGATATCACAGCCAAACACCGGATGCCCGACAACCGCTACAGCTGACACCCTTGCGAACTGTCAAAGCAATGCAGACAGGCAATCAAGTGATGAACGAAGTACTCGTTCATGATATTTCGCCGTGGAGCACTTATAACCGGCTCTTCAGCTTTCATCTAGGGGACAACGATCCGGTCATTGTTGCGGAGGGAAAGGGGATTTCTTTCGACCTTTTCAGCATTCAGCATTTCAAAATAATTGGGGACCATCAAATCAACATGCTCAAGAACATACAGCACCCGAACTTTGTGACAGTCAACGAAATTTATCAAACGCAAGATGGGTGCTATGTTGTCTGTGACCACATGGCTCGATCCCTGCAAGAGGCGATAGGCAATCCGCATCTCGATGGACCAAGACTGGCAGCAATTATTGGACAGGTTCAGTGCTCTACTATATTTCGACGTATACTAAGAACTTTTAGGTAGTTCAGGCTCTAGTCTACCTTGAGCAGAAGGGACTCCGCCTTGAGCGCTTGACCTGCTCTCACATCCTCCTGCACCCAAGTGGCAAGGTCAAGTTGTGTTCGTGCACATGCATTCCCCACTGGTACCGGGTTAACGAGATCATACCAGGTGGCCAAGAGGGCTCCATCGTTTCCAACGACCAACGGAATATCAGGGATCTTGGCTATGTGATGGTAGAACTGATGGAGGGTTACATGGAGGAAGGCGCGAACATTGGACTCAATGATCCAGATCGCTGGGGTGCCGATGTGGTGGACTTCCTCAGCATAACGACGTCAGCATCATCTGCGGATGAATTGTTACAGGTGTGCCCCTAATACCTCTTCTTACTACAGCCCCTAAGTCTGGAACAGCATCCGTTTCTACGTTCGTATCGCAAAGAGAGATTGAAGGGGCTGATAGCACTGGTTTCGGCGTGGACGATGCCGGATTATAAGTATTTGGGTCAACGCTAGGCTCCAGAAACATGCCTGAAATGACTACATAACTTCAAAGCAAAACTTTCAATCGTATTATAGCCGTGGAGCTATGTGAAGAACGACTATGGCGAAGCGCGGCTGCCTATAAAGGGTGATGATCATTGTGATCACCATGTTGCGTGGCAGTGATCAATCAACCTCAGGTTTATTATCGCGGAATGAGTGTGCAGACGAGAGCAGATGTTCGGCGCCTCCGACACGATTGTCACTCCCAATATGCGGATGATGGATTCTCATATACTCCTCCTTATGGGTAGTCGCCTTTTGGGGAGATGTGGGCTGCCGACGTCGAACTTGAGATACGCCACCTTGAATGTTCGCATACGACCGTTGGACCTGGGCGGTAAGCGGAACACCGGAGTTGTATTTTGTACTGATCGCTTGCACATCGAGCTATCGTCCAGAGTCAGTGGGGGATCGCCAGGAGAATGGGCTCGGAAATAGCAAGATCATACGTTATGCTTCAAAAAGGGCTACAGAAGCCAGCTTTTGATGGAGTTGCGATCATGTTGAGGAGGGATTTGGCGGTACTCGCCCCTCAACTTCACGGGCCTCAGGCAGCGACAGAGTGTATTGAGAGTATCCATGGCATGGATGCTGATTTCATTCAAAATTGGCTTGACACTACCTGTGTTCATTCTGAGCTTGTAAACAATCATGGACCAGTGCACGCCCTTGGTAGCCTAACCTAGACGAAGACGCATTAAGATTTGTCCACTTCCCCTTCCTTTCTGGTTTGTCTTGTCCAGTACCGTCACAAGGACCACAGTCGAAGCCACCTCTCGTTCCGGTGCCGTTGCACATTAACAAGGCATTGTCTCCAGAGATAAATTATCTGATTTAGCACATGTCCTTTGAACCTGTGGAGGATAAGTACTGGTGCAGGTACTGCAGGCACTGAGATGTAGGTTACGTCAAACCAGCAGGTCAGGGTTGGCTTGTCGGCCCTGTTAACAGGGGGGTAACCACTTCCCCGTACCTTGCATAATTGGTAGGTCTTTGCAAAATGCAAGTCAATCTTGCCAGCGCCTCAACCGCTCACGCCATGCTTTAATCGTTTATGACCCACGCATGTGCCCTCTCCTCGACTTGGCTTCATGGTAGAGGGAAGGTACTTTAGTGAGCGCAATGCCTCGAGGCGTGACCGCACATTGCTGCAAAATGGAATGGACACTGGCAACCGCGCTTCTACAACCAATTGCCCGACTAGGGACAGCCTCCTGATGGCCATGGCTGCCTATGAGGCCCGCTGAAAGTATACTGAAGGGTGCGTTTGGGTTGATTGCTCGCGTCACATGAGGGGGTTGGCCAAGTACTGACAACATGGTATCCTCAAAGCATGTGGGTTGTTGCTTCGTATTCCCTGCGCCTACCTCGTTCTGAGTCACGTTCGTTAGATCTCATGAGCCTTCCTCCTTTTAAGGATCGAACTTGTTGCCGCACTTTCCTAGAATCAAGCTCCTGAATAAATGGCTGCACATGAGTGACCGAGCAGGAGGGGCGTTTGCTTCGATCGCCATCCAATCGGCTGCCTTGAATAGGTGGGCCAAAATGCGGATTGCTTGCCGTTTTGGATCTAGTGGTGATGTGAAGTGTGCTACCATCACCACTAACCCTTTCGCTCTGGAAGGCTCTAGAAACGCCACCGAAGCAGGCAGGCAGGCGAGTTAAAATCGGGCAGCCACCAAGGCAAGAGACTGAAATTACAGACCACATCATGGAAGACGAAATTCAGTCTTCGATAACACAAGATATCTTCGAGTTGCTGGCACTCTACGGGATCAATGATTGCAGCCATGAGCCAGTCAGGCAACACATTCTTGGCATTGCTAACTTCGGTATGGACGGAAAGACCTGCGAAGAGAAGAGGGACGCAGGGTGCTAACGCATTCTCTATGCAGTCCGTGAATCTCGGCTTAAGGCTGGAATAAATGGCGCGCCGGCTCGTCTAGCAAAGCAAACTTGCTGGCATCCTCAGGCACCTACAGACCAAATACGTGGATCTTATCGCATCCACTCAAATGCCGAGAAACGAGGCCGAACAGATTACACTGGGTTGGATGGGCCATCCAAAAAGACAAGAACGAAGGGTAGGCAATGCGGAAAAGGTTCTAAAGCCACCAAAACCTCGAACAAATACTCCGCCGCAAAAGAGGAGTTTGCGGCACCAGTAGAAAACAGTCACACCAACCATCGTACGACAATACCCGATCAATCCTCCAGTGCCGAAGAGCGAATGGTCAGCGATGCCGCTGCCCTTACTCATGTTGAAGAGACGCATCAGATCACCGGTAGCTTAGCGCAGCGTGAGGCAGAGTTGGCAACGACAAGCTCGTTGGAAACGTCACCTTCAACAAGGGCACCCACGGATCATCTGACCAACTACACGAGCTGTAGGCAGACAGCTGCAGACCCAGGCACCGGTCAGGCCTCTCGCGTTGCGTGCAGCACTCTGCTCTATCCTCCATTGCTGCCAAAATCATTTGGATCCAACTTGGCGGCTGAGGCGATGAAGGCGATCGAAACAACATTGCTGGACTGTGCAAGGCTGAATTATACGCTCGGCAGATACGGGCATACAAGCAAGGAGGTTACAGTGACGACAAGAATCGAGAAAATCCGAATTTTTGCAGAACAGCTCGCTGGGCTCAAATACGATGACGCTGTGAATGCCGTCAAGAGGGAGCAGGGGATTGTCGCCGGCAAGGATATCCAGGCTCGATGGAACGAAACAATATACTGGGACATCATCACGAACGGTGCAAAGTTTCTTGATCCGACCAAGTTACGTACCGCGAAAGGACGTCTGGATAATTTCAGTATGGCCGAGAAGGTCGCGACTGAAAGATTCATGGCCGAAGCCGGCTATGGAACAAGCTGGGCAAATCAGCGTCGGTGTCGTAGACTATGGAAGAGTCTGTCCGACATGCGAAAAGCTGGCATCGATAGGATACTATTTTATCGCACGAAAGAGTTCGACAGCTTTTGCAAGAAATACCCTGAAGACGCGGAGACGTCTTTAGTGAAGACGGTACTATCGTGGGAAAACGCATACGGTACGCAGATCGCCCAACTTGAGGCTCGAGCGGCGAAAGAGAGCGAGGGCGATTTATCCGGAAGGTTATGGCTGAATCAGCCATACGTTGCAGAGAGACTGAAGGTTCCAGAGCCAGAGGCGTCATGGAATAGCGCCAGGAATCCGTGGCATTCCGACGCGGAAGCGGCCGATTTCGAATCGAGCTTTGGATCAATTGAGGCGTCAGGTGAACAGCTGGGAGGTCTATTCGACATCCATATTGCATCGGGCGAGAAGCGAAACGGCGGGAATCGAAACAAGTCCATCTTTGTCAGCCTGCTTCCCCGAGACGAGAATTCCCTTCTTGTCTGCCCTATCATCACAGTTCAGGAAGGAGACTTTTTGGGAGTTTTCGCGGGGCGTATCCGGTACTCAGAGCATTTCGACACCACGTACGGCATTCCTGGTCCTAAAGAGAAAGGGAATCTCTGGTTAGATTACTCGCACGTTACTGGGGCGCTCAATTTGATGGGTGTGACGCAGCAAGATAGTGACGCGAATGTACATCTCCAATGGGAGCTTTGCAACGAGCAGGTTGGAAATGAGTTGTGTCGCGCGTGGAGGGTTTCAGTTCGGGCTCTTCGGACGATTAAGCCGTTTGAAGGGATTGTCCGTGTCGCTCCCCACAAAAAGCAATACCTTTTGCATCAGGGGTCCGCTTGCGCAAGGAGGGGGTATATGAGAGCTGGTGGTCCTTGAAGTCTTGACGGAGAATACGTCGTCTACTGACCGCCATGTTTTGCTATGAGTATCCTAAAACTTTCTCTAGGCGTGAAGTGCGAAGTAGAAAGGTTCACTCACGGGATCTCAAGCATTCAGCGAGGTGAATAAGCTTGTGCGGGTTGAAACGATTGCACTACCAGGCCGTCGCGATCTAGCGGGCTCGATCTCGGTTGAACGCTACCACCTGCTGCACACGCAGCGTATTCTGCATTGTTTGCAACATTGCTAAAAGCTACGAAGGCATAGGCTTTTGGGTGCTTAACCCCTTGGGCGAGAAACGCTTGTGGTTTATGCCGCCAATGGCCCCTGTTTTCCGGCTGTTTGTGTGTCCAAGCTAGGAGGCTGCTGTCCAACCATGGGGCGCTATCTCCTCACAGAGATGTCCCTGTTTCAGGACAGTTGGTCTCTCAGTCTAGGGGTTTGTCCACAGAGTGGACCACTGTACCCACAAGCGCCAGCCGTCGCCGGAGAGTACTCAAGGTGGCCTCGATCAACGTCGTCCTTTCGTTCAACACCACTCCACAAATAAACCCACACGCTAAGATACTCATCGTCAAGACTTATGCAAGAAACGTGAAATCGCATGTAAGAATGCCCTTGAGCCAGCTAAAAAGTTTTCTTTCTAGCCGAACATGCAATTCACTATCTTCTTGTCGCCGCCAAACATCTCCTTCGATCGATACTGCGGGGGCATACTTTCAATATGGCAGACCCACTCATTATCACGACCGGTGTTCTGGCGGTTGGGGGATTCGCATTCAAAGCTAGTACGACGCTGCATGAGCTCATCCATGGCTTCCAAAGAAATGATGTTAGTGATCTGGCTGGTAATCGAGCTCTACCAACTCCACCCGTTCGCGTACATGCTTCTGTACGATGGCTTGCAGATGGCGCCGTACGCCAGGTGATGTCGAGACTGTATTTGTCACCAGGTATTCCTTTAGACCCGCGTCCATTATCTTACTTGTGACAATCATATCCCCTCGTTTGGATGTCTCATCCTGAACCCGTTTGATGTATTTTCCCGCGGCTTCCTCTTGAATGATAGCCGACCAGTCAGGCAGCCCTCTGATAACTTCAGCTCGAGGACTGATTCGCTCCTCCCTGCCCACGTTCTCAACGTACACAGAGATCTGGAGGATCTATTCCAAGGTGAGACTTGACCCGCTGGCAAGAAGAGTTCACTTACATAGCCATCATCAAGCGTATCGTCAATCAATGCGTTATTCAGCAGGCTCTCGATTGCCAATGGCAACTCTGCAGCCGTCAAACATTATACACGACTAGCAGGCTGAAACTTACCGAGTGTCTTTAACTCCCAAACAAGGTGTATACGACGAGCCTTGGCTTTTCGACTATTGTAGTCATGCAGCAGCTGCTTGAGGTAGGGAAGCTGCGCAGCAATGCCATATCCGGTAGCGGCCATCAACACGATTTCATAGGTTCCGACTGGTACACTACTACCATGCGGTCCGCTGAACAATGCTCGACAGTGATCTTGCCGCGTCTGACTGCGTTGCAGGAGGTTTAGGGTCAAACCGGAACGAGGCTCGATCAACAGATCCAGTGTATCGAGCGCGTTCTCAGACCAATTCGCCACCACAAAGGGATGGTACTCCCAAAGCGAGCAGAAATTTGTCGAGGGAATAGCTATCCAAAGGCTGATGAATTGACCAGCTTTTACTCGCACCGGTCTTGCCAGAATCACTCTGACAAGCACAGCGCCTTTAGCATGCAGGATGTCGGCTCGGGTAAGTCTACACCGAAAGATGCCGTTGCGATAAGCCATAATGGCGCCGGAAAAAAATGTCGAGAGACCAGCAACCCCAATCACCACGTACAACAGCAATCGGGGCAATAAGTCCCGTGGGGCAATATGGACCCAAATGCCATACAATGATAGGATTGCCAGACTTTGATGGGCACGAAGAAATATCTCGTACCAGCCATTTCGGAAAGCGGGAAAGCAGATTGCAACAGAAGCAATTGTGGAAGCTGCTGCCTGTATATACATTCGTCAGCCGCACCGGGTGTACACAGTTACAGTGGACTAACCACTATTGCCCACAAATTTTCGGCCCTTGCGACGGGAAAGGCATTTCGCGACAACGCAAACGCTATGGTGTGGAAGACCAGCAAGAGAGCTGTCAGAACCCCAACTGCACCGTGGAACCTACAGATCGTTCGCCACTGCATTCCAAGTGTGTTCGTCAAGACATCAAGGTGAGGAGTTGCATATAAGAAGAGGAGGTTCACGATACCGAGCTTTGCTGCGCGGTGGCCAGCTTCGTCAACGGACGAGGACCTGAATGAGATACAAAATCCATTAAGCGCAAAATAGATAACCAGTCCCAATATGTCGGCGCGGGACCATTGATTCATTAAACGCGCGCTGCGGAAGATGGGTTGGTAGGATACATGCTGTAAGAAGAGCTGACGCAAAGCTGCAGCAAGGAGACCAAGGTATGATCTGAAATTCCAGACCAGAGCGACAAAGATGGCGGTGGAGAATACTGTCGCGTAAATGATAATGGCGCTATCTTCGAACGACAACATTACAGTAACGATGAGTGAGAAACGATGGCGAGCGAGCGAAGAAACCCTAGCTTGCGGCTGTTAAATCAATCCACCAGCCAAAAGAGGCTAACTAGGGTAAGGACGTCATTTAGTGGCCGCGGATGACAGCTGTACAAGAAAGAAATGACCCATCTGAACCTTGCTTGGACTTAACGCTTAACATGTGCTGAGTCTCCACAATCGACTGGTGCAAATGGCAGGCTGCACCTGCCCGAACGAAGTCAACTCGAAAGTGTATTCCCATAGCATACGAGTACCGCGAATTCATTGGGCTTTACACTGCCACCCGAGTTTAATATGTCATGACTTTATGTGCCATCGAATATTTCGCGGATGCAGTTCTCCATGTATGCCTCAATGCGATGGATTGAGCATCCTTGGACCCTTGTTCCTCTAGCCGTTTTGTCCAATGTCCCTCCAAGGCAAGGTCCTCAATGGCCTCGAGGCTTTTCTTCAAAAAGGCCGAATTCTATCCTCGAGGCTGCACGAACATGATCCATACCTTCTGAATCCAGAATAGAGATCAGGACTGCTGAAACCAGACACCGACTTGCTGAGGACGTCAACAATATAGCCGTAGTAAGTGGGTTTAACTTTCTTTTTGAGATTCCAATTTCTTGCATTTTCTTTGTGAATGATCCAAGGAGCATATATGTGCAGTTCGAGGCGCATAGGGATTCTAGATCTCTTGTCTCAATAGGCCAATAGCTGCCCATTACAGCTATTCTGCTCAGTTTTTCGAAGGATTTCCACCCGGAGGAATACCCAGGAAATAGACATCCAGAGCACCCATTCCTTTCCGTAAGAAGGCATCTTCCGGAATGTGGATGCAGAAAGCCTTAAATGTCACGAGGAAACCAGTATTCGCATCGGCTCAGGATCTCCTTTTACCCCGAGAGAGAGTGGCGCATCAACGTCTTCTAGGCGATCGGGTAGTCCTGCAGTAAGTTCTTGCTCCAACACAAACTCATGCTCCGCCCTACTAGGCTCGGATGCGATTTCAGGTTCAAGATTGACCTCAAGGACAACTTCGGGGTCGGAAATGGGCACAGAATCGGGCTCGGAGTGTGAGGGGAACTCGAGATTGGTGGTTTCGGCAGGTTCGGCGGCGGCACATGGCTCCGTTTTCTCCTCTCCTTACGTCTCTCTTTTGCAGTCGTAGATTTCCGGTCAGACCATTGCGGCTCTTGGACATTAGGACGCAACAAGACAAGCTCTATGTCACCATCTGGATCCAACTTCAGTTGGTGGGGAAGGCATTGTCGGCAATTACACGCAAGGCTTATTGGGTTGAGAACTAATTACTAGGCCTCTCCAAGGAGATGAGGAGCAACCTCATATAACGGGTGGGCGTACCTCACAGCGGGGCTAGGCCTGAAAAGGATTCTGCCGTGGGCGGTCAAGTCTCTGGGCCAAGATGTCCACGGGAGATCAAGAAAAAGCTTCACAGAAAGCACCAGGGTCAGTCGCACAGTCAGCCGCACGCAAAGAAGCAAAGTGAACAGTTCCATTGCTACAAGCATAGAGGTACGCGTATTGAAGCGCGTAAAGTGTGCATCGAGACGCCACCTCTCTTGTTTAATCAAGGCACTGAAGCAATCTCTCCACAGTGCGTCATGACTGCCGAGACAGTGGGTGAGCAATACGTCCTGCAAGTTGCAAGACCGGATCGTTCGCTAGAAACGGCCGCGGAACGCCGGGCTGCCACGCACAGTGTCCAGCCCAGTGTTGAAAATAAAGTAATTAGTAGCTTCCGGCACTGTATAGTGCTGTATGGGAACAGGTCAGGAACTGGTTCGGACGTCCACTATTGGGTGCTCACTTGAGAAGAGCCACAGTTGGAGGTGTCGCAGCATGCAGGACACAAGCGTCCGTGATTGCCTATTGTGCTATTATAACCAGACCACTTTGGTTCGCGCTCACATGTTTAACGATAGATCTTACACAGGGTTCGAAATAAAAGTTCTAATTCGTTGGCGAGCCATAATCGCACATTGCCATCTTCCTACTAAATAACGGCTTCAAATTTGAGAGAGAATTACGACTTCACGATCTATTCTGTACTAAACTAGGCTATGGAATGTGATTGGATCTGATCGGCTGCTCGTTGGAGTGGCTTTACCTGGCGTCGTAATAATTCTTGAGCGCGGAATTGTCCACCCCGCAGCATGAAGAACGGCTAAAGCAGGTCACCAGTTGCCGCAGCCATTTATGCGAGTTGAATGCTGGCAAATAGCAGTGTCTTGTACTAAACATAACAGATGTCCGTCTTTGAACCAGATTTGCTTCTTGCTGAGACAAGTGTAGCCTTTTGCGGGCAAAGGAAACAGCATTTGTGGATGCGACTCGATGAGTCATCATAGCCATGCTGTTGGTGCCTTATAATTCTGCGGTGTCCTTCGGTCAATGGCAGGCTCCACTTGATAAGACAAGTCTCCACAGGCCATTTTTCGACGGAGCGATCATGTGTTGTCGTGAAAATGCGCTGGCACCAGTGCATCATTTCAGCAATCCGCTTTACCAACGACGCTGAGGACGACGTGGTGACGGCCGGCAAGCGATAGGACAAAGTTGATAGCCTCGCTGGAGCTTCGTCCCACTGTTTTCTCCCAGGCTACCACCTACCGCACATAGACTGTGACCCGACCGCTTAAGTCAACGACATCCTAGTGTATTCAGTTCATGAACCGACTTCTATTCTATATACCCGGTAGCTAGTCTAGACCCGAACGTCACACCAACCTGTTCTACAAACCCTTTGCACCCACCCAACCACCTACACCTTGGCACAGCTTCTTCCCTACGTCTTCGACCAGCAGGCAGGCAGTGACAAGCCAGATGATCTCACTCGTGCTGACCTGGGAAGGTAGCTGCTGACACACCCGGCCCGACCACATTATCCGAGGCATGACGCCTGTGGCCCTCAACCGAGAGCTGCTGCCTTAGGCACAGTTTATAAAGGCTCGGGTGGCTGGCGACAATCAGGCTCAACATTCCCTAGGGTAGGCGAGTTCTTCAGTCAACCCCACACATTTTAGCTACCCTGAGGATCACATGTTACCATTGTGAGTAAGCCATGACGCAGAAGCCTGTTATCTACATTTTGAACCCCGCAGCATCGTGAAGTGCCTCATTGCCATCCACACACCCGTCGTGACGACATCGTGTAACAATATGTCGCAGCACTTGAAGGCACATGCTATGCTTGTTGACAAAGCAGTTTTGGAAGAACTTGGAAGATATTTGGCGAACGCGCGATTTCAAATGGTTTCCGGTTCGAACGTTTGCATAGACTGGCAGCTTGGCCTCAAGTGCCATCCCGTGACCGCTGCAATGGGAATACCAGGTGACAGGGTAAGTCCCTCATTCCGTGTTTGAATAAATGCTGATGATAATTTTGTAGAATGTCGGTGCGATGCGGTTGCAAGGCAGCATTGAGCGGCCCCTGACGATAGCAAAACCGACTGATTTGATGCTTATTCAGAGCTCAGGGGCCGAGAATCCAAAAGTCCGCGATGCATCAAATATGGAGGAAGTGCCACTGTCACCAGGGACTTGTGTCCACGTCACCAAAGATGTTGTGCTTGTGGTCCCAGAGGGTGCAATAATTGATTTCGTTTTTATCTCCGAGTCGCTATGAGACGACCATGTCTGCTGCTTGATCCGATCACTAGCGTCAGTCTCAATTGGCTGGAGCACTGCCGGATTGATGTTGGGCTCAATGGTTCTGGATGTGAACAACGTCTCCAGGTTTGAAGCAAGGATGTTGCTGGGTAGCGATTGTGAGGTGCTACCGATGCCACAACCTGTACCAGAGCCTGATAAATCCGCTTGTGTGCCTGAATCGATGGTGAAAAGGGGTTTGTTAATGTCCCCATATTCATGCGAACCTAGGCTGTCCATGAACCCACTAGACGTGACGGAGTCATCGTGGCTTTTTTGAACCGGGGTTGGCGTTTCTGGGTTCTCGATATCACTTGGGATGTCCATCTTGCTCAATGTTCTCTTCTCCGGGCGGCATTGGTCTCTGTGGGTGTTATGCGAAGATCGAGTCGTGGGGGAGGGCTGGGTCGCGGCTGGATGAGGCTTGCACAAGGCTCTCTTCACCCAAGTGACATGTTCGTCGCATGCCTTGATGACTTCCAAGGGCGGTAGTTCTAGTGCGTTGAGCGCCGACTTCAATGCAGAGTGAGCTGCTTCTACTCTTGTTAGGATAATGGTGTAATCACATTTGAGTTGGGTCGGCAAACCAATCAAAACCAGGGCAGCCAAGACAGGATCTGTGTCCCAGCCATCTCGATACAGACGCAGCCAGCCATCCTCGAAAATAACCCTGGGGCTGCTGCGTGGTTGAATGACTTCGGGGATCTTGGCTACTGTCGAGAGCTGCGGACCCGGAAGCGCAACAAAAAGATCGATGAAAGTTGGGAAATCCAGATCGGAGAATTGCTGCCCCTTGTAGCGGTAGTGTAGCGCGTCCTTTGACGCGAAAACTGCCCTCTTCGAGCGATCGGTTGAGCGAGACCGTAAAGCACGTTGTACGTCGATCTGAAGCTTGGTGCGGTTCATACTTGTGGGAAGGGGAAACAGATGGGTAGTTGGAAGTGGGAGCGGAGAGATGTCTGAAAGGCTGAGGGAATACAGGACAAAGTACCGAGCTGTCAATTTGAGCAGTTATATACAAGGTACTTAAGAGCGACCCTGGTATGACCCGCAGTCAGCTTGCGTGTCTCAGGAGGTATGGCCAACGGAGCACACCAAAGACGGCAAACTGGCTGTTGATTCGTCCGGGGAACATGCCGTTGGTTGCTTCTTCCACCCGACTACTGTGGTGTGGGAGCTGGAGATGTCTTCTTATAAGAACGAGGCCAACCAGAATTTGCACTTTGATCAGCATCGACGGCTTTGATTATCTGCATCATGTATCAAGAAGCGCTTGGCGACTGTAATGCTGCCTTCAACGACAGAACCGTTGAAACACCTGGAATATGGACAAGTTTGCTGTCGCTAGTACTCGGCCCATGCTTGGGTTTTGAGTATGATTGCGATCAGACAGTGTATTACGCTATGGCCCCCGTATCAAGATCGGAAGTTGCTAACAGCTACTTGCCGACCTAGTGCGAGCATCTCCTCGAAAAACGGGAAGAACTGTCACCCACTTACATCGTTTCACACCGAACATACCGACGAACGATCGCAGGAGGTCATCCTTTCTCTGCCGCCAGTTGCAACGCTCCGGTCCCATAGAAGCTATGGAGGAAGCACACTCTGTCAGTCGATAAGAGGAGGCCGTTGCGACTCTCTTTCAACCATTTCTACAGCAAACTCAGTATTGTCTTGTGTTGATTCGGACACAACGTCGATGGCCGACGATCTTGATGTTGAGCAACTACGACGTCGAGAGCTTGCTGACGAGAATCAGTAAGTATTCTCACATGTTCTCTGCCACGCAAGATACTAATGAGAAGAAACTACGCTTTCTTCAGACTCGCGGGGAATAAACTCAGAGATAGCTGCATTTCAGGCAAAGTGAGAATCCTTTGCGCTGGCAGCGGCGCTGTAGGCTGGGGACGGTATGTATTCACTACTTCAAGGTCGAGCTATCATTGACACACACCATGAAGACAAATAGCTGTGGAAAACCCCCTCTCGATGGTGGTGATCCTAGGAAAGGAGCCATTTTCTTCATACTTACCGCGAAACTGCACGGTGGAGGAGGGAGACATCATCGATTACCCTCGCAAAGGCTGGGACTACGTCTTCATTCGAAATTACCGAATCGTCGCCAATTGGACCCAGTACTTCAGCCATCTTCACAGTATTACGAAACCTGGTGGACAAATTGAGCTTGTTGACGTGGACAACGCATCAAAAGCTATTTGCACGTGTGCGCAGCAACCGACGGATTGGACCACAGCCAAATCAATGAAATGTAGCACATGCTTGAGATATCCTTCAGTCCAGACTCGTCGCAATATGCTTGGAGCTTCTGGTTTCTCTGATTTGGCTGTTGTGTATCACAACCGCCCGCGGATGGCGCAGAGAAAGGCGGTGGTTTCTAGGTGCGTCCTCAAAATCTTTCAATTGCTTCTGACACTGACTTGTGTATGGTTATAGTGTAGCTATTATGGGCAAGGCTTATCATGGGGCGGGCATTGATTCTTAGAAGAAATGTGGTACTAAGGCAGAAATCCCGGATACTTTGTTGAGGAAGCAATTTGGTTCATAGTCATCAGTCGAGAGTCAACCCGTTGCCGATCCAAGGTCGTCTGTTCATGAGTGCGAGGCACGGTCCGAGGTTAGGCAGGCATTTCGCATAGCCAATCATGAGCCGCTGCAAAAACTCGTTCAACGGCTCAAAAGCCACTCCCAGTGGAGCAATTGGATGGATGCCCCACTTTCCCCAGCCTTTCGCCTTGCCACGCTATCTCACTCTTATAGTGTAGGAGAAGTGCTGCTGGGCCTGTGAATTCGGGGTTTAAACGAGGAGGGAGCACCCATATGGTCTAAAATGCCACATCCCGTCGCAGAGAGGCGAATGAGCAGCGCAAGCAAGTGATATGATATCGTAAAAGGGGACAGATTAGATGAATGCTATCTAAAGATTCTCGAATTCAATCGGAAATGACTGTCTGCAGATCCGAACTTGCTCGCAACCAAGGTCCTCTGCGTCTCTCAGCCATTAACATGTTCGCTGCTATCAATAGACAGGTGGTCACAGTAATTCGCGCCAAACAGCTACCCATGAACGCGGCGCAGGAAATCGCCCTGGGACACGACACAGGAACAAACTCAGCTCACTTGCCGCTATCCGGCCCAAGAGTCTTGGAGCAAAACAATTTCTCAATATCCAGTGGAGTTGACATGTTCGCCTGAGTGCCGTCATCTGCAGTAGGAGGGGGTGGGGGAGGAGACTGTCGAGGCTCCTCCCCTATGTTATTCCAAGCTAAGGCTGGGCCACCTGAGAGATCGTTGATTGATGTAAGCTTTTCATACCCAGGCTGCGACCAGGAACTGCTGCCACCAGCAGCATGAGAAGGGAGAGCGCGGACGGTCGAACGTTGAGAAGGAATTGCAACGTTGGTACCGGTGACTTCCGCTTGTTGAACGGCCGACTCAGTGGCCGCCCCTGGGCCAGAGGACAGAAACCCCAAGCTTCTCAACTGGTCAGGGTCCAGTGGGCTCAAAAAGTCCATATTTCCCGTGCCTGAATCATTTGAACTTTGGCGTTCCGTACTGTTCTGCCCATTCCGCTGTAGCTGGCCTTCAATGTCCAGATGTAGTTTCTACAATGATTAGCTTGGGCCACCTAGATTATGAGTGCTCATACCTGGACTAATTCAGGATCATTCCAGTCGTATTTGTAGCCTCCGTGGAGTTCGCTTGTATAGCGCCCACTGTTCTCGGCATGTTGCATTTCCGGAGCAATTCGCGAAGAAGTCAATGACTCTTCTACTCGATCGGGTGACCTGGGAGAAACTGAATCCTCTTCCGGCTTGCTAGGCATGTTGTGATGGTGTGGAGGCAAAGATATGCAGTCAGAGTAGCGAGTGTAGACGCTGAAGTAAGATGAACAATCGGGAACTGCCAGCTTCGATAAAGCTGTGAGAGATGTCTGATCAATTTTCATTCCAATTTTCGAGGACAAAGGGACTGGACTTTATATAGACATTCGGCAACCCAGACGGCAGGTTTATTGTCCTTATGGGAGAACAACCCGCCTGGTCTCCTTACACGAAGCTGACCGAGCCGTCAGAGGTCCCCATCCGAACAACTAACCCGATCCATCCGGCATATACAGATATTCCTGTAAGCCGCGTTCGTGAGATTGTGATCGATCAACCGAGTTGCATGCATATGCGGCAGGATCAGTTGGAGATACATCAGTCTGTGTCCCGTTAATGACTATGCTATTGGCCGCTCGTATGATCACGTCCGTAGACCGCCTGTGCAGTTTCCTCCCCTTCATTAAACGTTGATGGGAGTCAAGGTCGAAAGGTAGTAGGCAGCATATACAGGTAAGTGTATTTCGAGAGCTTATTGAAGCGAAGGGATACGCCGACTTTATGCCCTGGAGAGATGTTTACCTAGTCTTGATGCATCATCCTATCCCGTACCGCCTGTATTGACCGAGAAGAATACCCCCTGAGCCGGCTGCATGTGAGTTGGCCGCGGCTTCGACTTTTCGGCGTCGGTACGCAAGCCGTAATGGTGAACCCTGGCCTTCCATCCAGTTAGATAAACGGGTTATGAGACACGTTGGTTCATCACACCAGAATTAGCCATTCGGACGACGCCTCCGCCGATGGTGCTCACCAGGGACTTCTCGAGGCCTGATCCATGCGATATACGCGGCTGCTCCTGCAAGTCTCGTTCGTAGGGTTGCGAGTGATCGATTAGTTGACTCGCATGCACATACTGCAGGATGAGCTACATTCAATCAGCTTTTGCGGAACAAGCCTACGTATCTGAAGCGTCCTATTCGTCGATGGCACGCCGACCGCTCCCCGTGGTGGGATCATTGACCGAAATTCACACCCGTACTAGACAGCAAGTCCTAAGCCACTAGCTTTAGGCAGGGTCCTCGCCATGCTCCCGCTTTGGGTGTGTAATCATTCCGGGTTGTGATCACTTTATCCCAATTTGAGATAGCTTTCATCGCATGCAGCGATAGCTGCTTCCGAGCTCAGAGACGTGTCTTCATCGCACTTGGAGATCGCTTTTATTGCAATTTGAGATTGAGCCATGGTAATGTACACTGGCCGGGTTGACGAGTTTATGACTAACATCATATTTCAAAACAGGCCGTGTGCCCTCAGGCAGTTGAGATTGTCACTAAATCTGGAATTTGAAGGTGAGGCTGACAAGTGGGACGCAGTACTTCCTTCTACATGGATCAGGAAATATTGGAGAGTGCCACTTCAGTTGAATGGCAATCACATGGTCGCCCTGATTTGTACGGAAAATCTTCGGACCGCGTGACGCGACAATCCCCCACCTCGTTGCGTGAGTATTGGACAAGCATTCAAACCCAAGCACAATGTCGTCAAACTTTTCCACAACACACGATGGCCACTACGTTCTCTGCTGACGAGGCGCGCGCGGCCATAAAGGAACATGGGTTCTTCTCGATTCAGGATGGAGAGCTCGGTAAACGTTTCCTGGAGATGGAGAGCAAGAAGTGGTCGTTCTCATTCAAGACGGTTGAAGGCTTCAATTTTTGCAAAGCCAACGTCCTGAAGGATACGGTTAGTTCGAGTGGCCTTCATATTGGAACTAATGATAACGCTTGCAGCGCGTTCAAGATACCCTAAGTGCCTTCAAGAGACCGCATATTCTAGCCGACTATACAAGACTTGCTCCATCCCGAGGCACTATTTTTCAGCTCAGACGTGGTGGCAACGACGATGTGCTCCTCGTGCATCTCTGGGGAATTGGCTCAAGTCCAATATACTATCGAAAATCGCAAGATGCAGACCTTTGGAGGATACTAGCCACCAACAATCTGTGGCAGGTTCTAGGTGCTGAGCTTAAAGCCGCGGGTTGTCTGGGGACGCCGATCAACTTTAAGGATGGTGGACTGTGAGTTATTACTCTCCTCTTCACACCATCTAACTGGCAATAGTGTCATACTCGATGCCCGCCTCGCTGTTGATTTCGGAGATACGAGTCCCGTTGTCGCCGCATTTGCCACGCCGGAGGTGCTGAAGAAGCGACCTATGGATTGGCCACTCCTAAGCATCCCAAACTCATTGAAACCGAGCGAACTAGCTGGCATGAACATACATGCTGCACTTGAGGAAAAGGAAAGTGCACGCGAAGGCAGGGCCGAGGAAGCTTCAGATGGAGAATGCTCGGTATGATTGCGGTGCTATCTACCGATGTGTCAGAGATACCATTTATCGACAGTTTTGTGATCCCCTTGATGATGCTAACCTGGCCGAGTCACCTGGTTCATGCGTTCAAGTGAGCTCACCATCGTTTCTAGCCTTGATGCTGTCCATACAGCCATGACCCACGTTCTCGCTCCCTATGACACTGTTGCCTAGGTATCGTCTCGCAGAGTCCCAACGATGGCACCTCGCCTGCCATGTCCCCGTTGCCAGGCATAGCAGCACCACTGCCCAGGTACTGCCCGGAATCCGCCCAGCGACCGAAAGGTGGTTCGGAGATTCTAGCAGCGTTTTCATGAGACGGTACAGTGCCAGTCGGAAGCCGGGTAGGATGTTCCCAATCATGGGACGTGTTCTCAGACATCGTCTCTCCGTTTCCAGGAATCGCCAAGGTGCTACTCACATACTGAATGTAAGGCTCCTGCTGCTGATGACTTAACGCCTCCGAAATTGCCCCGGCGCTGCCGCTGACCCAGGCTGCGGAGGACTCGATATGAGGCCTGCGAAACATATTTCCTCTGAACCACATCCCGTCGTCGTCAGGATTATTGCTGACAGACGGCATGGCGTTGACGCTTTGACGATAATCAACCCCTCTCTCATACTCCAATATGCCGTCGGGCCACTGATCGCTGACCCCGAATTTCCGATTGTTCCCGCTTTCGCTTTCCTTTTCACCGATGGTCGGCCTGACGCGTTTTCGCTTCCGATGTGTTGAGTCATTCTCAATTGTGGATGCCCCCGATCTCCTTAGCTGCGATCTTTCCCACCTTCGTCTGACCTTGCGTACAATCCTGCTGGCTTGGAAATCATCCGTCGGGTCTTTCATTGCCCGGATACACTTGTGCGAAAGGTATCGGTTTGCCCAACCAAAGGGCTCCATACAATGGGGGCATATGACGTTGACTTTTACGTCTGCCAGGCTTAGCTGCGTGGTATGACGGATCAGGACACATACGTTGTTGGAAATGCCGTTGCGCATTCTGTCGTGTCGTTGGTTTGGCCGTGCATTCATGACATTGCAGTTTCTTCATGTTGCTTGCTTTCTTACTGGCCCCGTCGTCACCATCGCGGTTGCTGTTATCGACATCGTTCGCGCTATTACCGCTGCCATCGCGGTCGTCATCGCGGTCGTCATCGCAATTGGCACTGATCTCGTCATCGCCATCGACATTGGCGTCGTAATGTAAGCGTTCTCCGGCTTCGTTGTCATTCCTGCGACGCGAAAGAATGTGCAACCGCGCACGGTCCGCAGCCGCTTGATGATAAGCTGCGAGATCCTAGGCGAATTAGCAGTTGATCGAGGTGGTTTGCGGGCACTAACTTGGAAATAATCAATGTGATCAAGCAACTCTTCATTTGAAAGAAATTTCTCGCCGCAACACTGACACTCCTCGCCGAACTGGAAACCTGAGTTGTGCGACATCGTTGGGAGGGGGAAGTGAAGGAGGAGCGCGCTGGAGCTTGCCTACATTCTGGCGCAAGTGTTCCGCCTCGCCCAGCCGCTTATGATAGCTTGTGATTAGCTGAACTTTACTCCACCTTTAGTTCCTCGTGATACAACGATTTATGCGTACCATATATAGATGACCCATGCGCTCCGTGATGGCACAATCCAACTTAATACCGACAAATCCACGTATTTTTTGCTCAGCAGCCTTTCTTGCTGTCGCCCTTCAATTATGCCTGATAAATGCGACGCATGTGATGGAACAGGACGTCAAGGTACCGGCGTCTGCCCAACTTGTAATGGGTATGGATGACCTAATGTACGCTGCACTGTAGTTTACTGGGCTTGGTGGCTGCTGACGACGAAACCTATTCGCAGATCGCTGGATGGATGGACAAGTGGTTAAGGTCTCGTAGCAACTTGGGTGTGAGATCTGTGGAACAAGCGCGAGATGGGGCGTTAATTAGGGATACTCGAACTTGAGAGGCATCGCATAATGGATCGAGTCCAGAGGAACTTCACATATTAACTGTTGCCTGCGAAATGTAGGACACTTTTCCCATCGGATGCCCGAGTTTTCAATGGGATGTAGTGTCTCGCTGACGTGGCAACGAGGGTGACTAGCGCCTCTTCCATTACCGCCATAATCCCCTCATTGCTTACCTAATGCCATTATGGGGTTGCCTCCCTTTGGTCCGTCACTGACCGCGGCCCATCATTCTTCCATGTTGCTATTTCCCCAACAGAGTTGCCATCACCTGCTCCAATTTGGTCAGTTCTATCCCCGGTGAAAAGAAGTAGTGGCCCAGCCTTGAGCTTCATCCAGTTAGAGGAGTGGACCTCGTTGCACTGCCTTCGTAGAAGTGTTCTCCAAGACTTGGCCTTAGCCTGCGAGAGCTGCCAGCAGACGGAAGCCAGCTGATTGTTCGGATGCTCGGGAACTCAGAGCTCGGAAGTCGCTCCGCTGCATGCGATGAAAGTTATCTCAAACGCGGATAAAATTATCGCAATCTGTGATGGCCCCACACTGGCTCTGGCCTTGCTGTGATCGACCATTTGCATTCCATTGGCTACGTTCACAACGATATCACCCCCTCAAACTGTTTGACAATCGAGGACGACCAGTCATTCTTCATTGTTTTCCATCCTCCTCAGACGAAGGTATCGACTTTCTCAACGTGCTACAGGCTGCAAAGTAATGTTTTCATCTACCCTGCTTAGAGTTAACTAATAGCAACAGGTTGGATTTTCCCCACAGCGGCACGGTTAGCCTGCCATGTCAACCATCATATCTATCCTCCAGGATAGGATCACTCAGAAGATATCCGAATTTGAGCAGATGGAAGACAATCTTCAAGAGAAACTAGCCATTGTTGCGGACTTGACTGAAAACGTGAAGAAGATGGTCGGCAGTAGTGGCTCAAGCGCACAGGAGCGTAGAAAGGTGAAGTCTCTAGACTTGGAAGAATCGATTGCGCAACATCAGCAACAGATTGCCGATATCAGGTCCGCGATCACAGAGTGTGAGGAAGAGATCAAGCAGCTTGAGGAACAGAAGAAGGACATGGAGAAGATAGACATCGAGTAGGAGTTCGACTAAGCAGAGAAATGCGCGCGTTCACAATCTACATACATTTAATGGAGCTATGCACATTGAGATTCCCCCTTAACTCAACAATGATCACGAAAGTTCTGCTGATAAGTCTGAGATGCCTCTAGTTTTCGGCGAACCGCTTCGCTGAAAATGCCACTTGGGCCATCCTCCTCATAAAATTCCCTTAGCTTCTCTCGCCGTTTGACCCCCTTAAAATATTTAGGAAACAAAAACTTATAGTATACCTCCGTGAAGTTGTCGTGGCGAAGGAGAGCGGCAGGGAGGTAGAGGTCGAGACTAGAACTTAGATCCGGAGACCATTCGTCCGCAAGTACTCTGCATGCAGGTTCATCCTCGGCAGCATCTGTGAGTGCCCGGTGGAATTTGGAATATTCCAGCTTGTAGGTATCATCGATGGAAAGTGGTACGTCGTTTCCAGCGAACCACATGGGTGGTATAAAGAATTGGCGAGGCACAGTGCAGCTCCATTCCCAATCAATGATTGCATTGATGGTGAGATCCTCACCGACAATAATGTTTGACGGGCGAAGGTCTCCATGGGTGAGTACAAAATGTTTTGAAGATGAATCAACATAGTTGAGCAATCTCTTTTCATAGTCAGCAAGCGCAAAGACCTCGTGTCGAGCGTCGTCTTCTTCCATCTCAACTGGTTGGTTTAATCGGTTGAACAGGACTTGGTAGCTGAAACAAGCGAAGTCGGTTGCCGACGTGTGCCTCTCACATGGCTTGATTTGTTGTCCGCTGTATAGCTGGATGCTATTCAAATCGATGGAGTGCGGAGAAGTCACCGTAAGCTCGCCTTCGTCATCCGCTGTAAGTGATCCCGCGTAGTCAAACCTTTGCATGCGAAGTTGTGATAGAATGCTAGCCAGTTGGGAGTAAAATAGTCGAGAGGCATCGTCAGAACAAGTCAGAAGATCACCCGAGTCGAGTGGTCTCCCAGGGATATATTCGAGAATAAGGTACGGACGGCCCGTGGGGTTATTGGTATTATGCGAGCCTCCGCTACCGTATCCGTAGACTTCAGGTACAGGGATTGTCGTATTGCGTTTAACATATCTAAGAGAGTAGCATTAGCAACGAGACCAATCTTGGAGAACTGAACTCACCTGAGGGTGGCGATTTCGCTCTGGATTTTTTGCCACGGATCATGGAGCACTGGGCCGATCGGGAACCTCACGACCCATTTTCTGCCGTCTGACGGAAAAGTGACGAAGAAGCAGACATTGAAGCTTCCGCTTTCAGGATCGCGGAACTTACGGCAATCCTTGTCCATATTGTGGCTAGAAGCGACTTTGTAGACATCTTTTATGTCAATCGACTCAGCGTAGGTCTGTCGCTGCTTGTCTCGGTCCAGTTTTAATATCACATACGACTCGACGACGCCTGGCGATGACGGGCAACCGTGCACATGTTGCCGCCTCGTCTTAGCCAAATCCCCCGCCCAACAACTCGAAGGGCTTTCTCGATCTTTCACATAAGCCTGAGAGCGTAGAGAGTGCCAGAGCCGTATCATCCAACCCTCCTTCCCGTTGCAGCACCCCGGGACAGAATTGTTGAGCGCGACGTCATCGGGGGGGTTGATCAAGTCATCGTCTCTTGTCTGTTGTTGCCCATGAGTGGGAGGACTGGGAGTGAGCCAAGTCAGCCTCCGGATCCGAAAAGGCAGCGCAGCGCTGATCAGTCCAGCTACGTTGTCAAAAAATTTCCGAATTGTTGCAAAATGGACAAGATGACCGATGATGTCGTACATGTTGGGCGGATGGCGTCCACATGCAAAGCTCTTCGAAATGCGGACCCAAGGCGTTTGTTGGAGGGAAGATGATATAGGTCGGGAAGGAGTCGGTAACGGCTTGGTAGACTTGATTCGGGATGAGCGGACTGTCTATGTCGTCGGCGAGGGTTGCTTTTAGCAGTGGCTTTATACGCTCGAGGTCGAAGTCGAAATCGTCAGAGGCAACCGCACGACTAAATCGCAGAAGATTGCTTCGAAAGGGTGCCACGACCTGCTTTCCCGGAAAGCAGGCATGCAGTTGGGATGCTTTGAAGGGGGGGAAGTAGAGGGAGTGCGAGATTCCGAATTTCTAGATGCCATTAGAGGTAGTACATTGCAAGGGATGCTGTCCGTACTCTGTCGTGCCTTCTTGGTCAAGCTAATCAAGCGCGTCTCGTGAGCGAGAGATCCTTTTGTTACCACAGGTCGGGTTCGGTTTGGACGAAGCGCGAGCGACGTCGAGGCCCTTTTCAATGGGCTTCTTTTCGATGAGTCGATCGCAGCTCGTCCGTTGAAGGGTCTGTAAACAGCAAGTTACGTGCCGTCGCATGGATTCGATTTAACATTTTCTGGACCGCCACTGACCACCAGCCACCAAGTAAGTGGCTGAGACTACTTCGGAAGCATTAGTCAGCCAGAACATGTTGGCTGAATCAACCAGTCTGACCTAAATTACACATAGCTGAAGGCGAGACGAAGACGCAACACTTGGGGCCCAGAATTTCTATCGGGGTGTGGTAGGCCGTTGTGACCTTCCCCTGGCGACAAAGACGAAGTCGGCAGGGTTGGGCTCCTTTGGCCTGACCTCCTTATACATCAAGTGACAACCAACTTTTGTCACTCTGTCACACCATGCCTGTGGACAAGGTTACGGTATGCGAACAAGTATACCACAAGCTAAAACCCTTCTTTACTATACGAAAGAGAAAGTACAGCACCTTACAAAGCGACAACACACCCTTTGGAGTCATTGAAGGGCAGGGTCGTGCGGTGGAGTGGCATTGTTTCAATGAGAACTCCGCGCGTGGGGATGGTTCAGAGTTAGATTAGTCATAAGACAAGTTTGTCGTCTTATTAGTCATCAAACCCCTGTATCGCAGCCGGCCATTGACGGTTCCTGTCTCAACAGCTGCTGAGGCAGGCAAACCGCCGGGTGAGTCCGCATTTGGGATGTTGCCTGAGGAATCAAGGTAGCAAGATACGTATATTGCGTTTGCGGCCCAAAGCCATCCCTCCTTCTCCTTCCAAGCTCCTTCGGTTTGTTGAACTTGCCCCTCCTATAACATAACCCCTTGAACTCACTCGCAGAATGAGCTCACCCTGTACACAATGCCTGCCAAGCCGAGATTTCTTTGCATAGACAAAGACGACCTTCTTTGGCAAATACTCGACGAGACAACTGACGAGTGGGACATGTTAGTCCGCACAAAGGAGATCACCTATGATCACACCCTCCCGGAACCAAGTAACGAGTCATGATCCTCCCTATCTACACACAATGGTCTCTTCAATGCGACCACTTGTACGTTCCTTGTTACGCGTGCAGGAGCGGGACTCGGGAGGCGCACAACGTTCTTGGCAGAGAGGGCGACGCTGCGGGCGCAGCATTGATCTTCTGCCTCATGGCCGGATTGCTCGGTATCTTTCCGGATTCCCTCGAGCTCAGAGTGCTAACGCCAGGCTGCTTCTCGTTTGGCCGAACAAAGGGGCTTCGCTAGAGGGGAGTCTTGTGGCAGGTGAGCCGATCGGTCTGATGAAGTGATTCTGGTGTGCAATACAGGTATCGACTTGTCGATCTTTCGTGTATGATAGCGCGAGAATAGTGCTAGGCGGTGGAAAGTACATCCAGGACCCGTCCAGAGCCTCCACAATGTTAGCAAGTGTAGGCCGTGCCGCGCCTGCATGGGGAAATTGTCTGCAGTAACATCACGATCATGGGAGATCTCAACTCGTGCCGCGCCTGCATCGGGACGGTATCTTGCCGGTGTCAAGCATCTGCCGACCTTTGATCGGCCCTATCGCCTCAGCACAAGCTGGTGGAATGACGATCCGATCATCTCCAGACTCCTCTCCCCCGGCTCGAGGATCATCTACCGCGACGGCGACGGCTCCCAAACCCCGTCTGGCCCCTAGCCAAGATGGACCTCGTGATTCATTGCATACTCCATGGCTCGTCACTTTCGTAGTGGTGGTGTGAGTGTTCGACCGCTGAAATAGAAGGAGCATGGGACGAGGGGCTAAACGCTCCGCGCAACCAGGAGTTCGGGCATCATGTAATAACGTGAGCCTGTTGGTCGTCGATTCAGGTCGTGTTGGCTATCCCCCCATCGTGCACTCCGTAGGCGACGCACGCGGTCGTTAGAATGCTTTGACCGACGACGATGCCTTCTTGCTGCGGTTTTTGGTCGTGCTCAAGAAAGCAAGCAGCTAAGGGGAGCTCGGAGTAGTGCCATCCTGCACCGACAACAGAAACGAAAGACGTAGACGCGTCGGTAGGCGTGCAGCGCAGCGGGTTCTGGGCCTCTGGTCGACTTCGTCCAGCGCGTGACGCGTTTTGCCGATAAGGTATTTTTGTTATTGATCAAGGGCGACCAGGCCGCGATGCAGGAGTCAGGACAATGCAGCACACAGAGGACTGGCGAAGTTGTTCCGAGGACTGAGGTACTCATAGACGAGGCGAACAGTACTTGGTCGTCGGATGTGAGGGTGGGTTACGTGTGGCAGACCCCGCAGCACGTGACCTATTTTGGAGGAATCGGGACACCGGACAGCAACACGGGCATTTCAGGCTGTGTTAGGTGGAGGAGAGCGCCAGCGAAATGCCGCCCCTTCGAATGGGGATGCCGAATGTTTTGTTTTGATAAATTGCTGCACGTCACGCGTTTGTTCGTGCTGCCCACGTAATTCGACTTCAAGTGTTTGCAGCTTTCGATGCGTGGATGCCTAGCTCGGAGTGAGTCAGCATGTAGGTTGCGGCGGGTGGAGGCTCACCCAGCTCACCCGCGTCGCGCGATTGGCCGGAGCGAGAGAGCTGTTCGCGCATTTTCCTCCAGGTCCCTGAAAAGGATCGACACTTCGCTTTGCGCGCCATAGGTGGCTGGTACCGTCCGTCTACTGTGCTCCATGTGCTTGTATCTAACAGCCAGAAGTGACTTCTTTGTCCCTGCAGTAGCAGGTGTTTGCGTCCGGGTACACCCCAAGGCCTGCCATCCAGCAGTTAGTGGGCAAATGGCTTGTATGAACGGGAGGGGTGATGGACTCAGATCTGAGATACCTGATGCCCGCACTGTACCAGCCACAACAGATCTCAAAATAGCCGTTCCTGATAAGAACCATTTGCGACCAAGTGGACACTCGTTTCGGTCGAGCCAGATGCCCAAATGTGAGTTCCTCCTTCGCATCGTGTCGGAGCGCTGATCCCCACGGATGACCCACACCTTGGATCTTGCCGTGGGATTTGCGAAATGCTAGCAACCAGGAACCAAGAACTTCGACTTTTGGCCCGGGTGGGCAGGCCAGAAGAAGCCGACAATCCGAAGTATTGGTGACCTTGCGCTCTGAAAAGGTACAGCCGTTTAAGGGATGTTCCTCCCAATCAATATGCACAACGAGTGTCCAAACTGGCCGAGATAAGTATTTTCACTTGCTGGTACGTATCGAACACCGTTTCAGAGAGAAGGTCGTGACTGTTGGTAGATGGACAAGCCAGGCCAACACTGGCTCGTTCGCGTCGGCGCTTGAAAACACCGTGTGGCACTTCTCAAGGCAAGCCCGGATGTGCCTTGCATGATAGGTAAGTCCCACCCAGGCAACGTATCCCGACATGGAGTTGGTAACCTGTCACTTTCCTGATGGTTGTCTTGGTCCGCCATCTGTCATGCTCAATGTCTTGACCTCACAACATGAGTTTGAAATCACTAGCCTAAGCTGAGATTGGTTCTCGGTTCACTAGGTCAGCATCATCACGGTGAGAAGGTAGTTCAGGCACCGAGCTGCATAGCGTACAGCACATTGCCTTGTCTTCATCTCCGGACAAGGGCCTTCGTTGTAGTTTGCCGCGGTTCGCTGTCGTGCCGTGGAAATGCAGTACGCTTGTCGCTATTTCGCCGCTGAGCTACACCGAGAACCCCCTTCATCTCCGTCTCAGGCGCGACGATAAAAATGGGTTTGCACCTGATGCACCATACTCCGCATAGTGCGTGATCGGTCTCTGCGTCCACTGGCATTGTTGTTCACGAGGAGAGCGCAGGAACAGCTGAGTCGTGAGTTATCCCGGTGCATGACGAATGGTTGGTTGTGGGTGGCTGGGCCTGAGACAGCGGTTGTGAGTGGCCAATGGTAGGCCCGGGGTCACGACCTCGTCCCCCGCTTTCCAGTCGCCGCGTGCTGCGCGCATCGCCCTTCACGACCTGCACGCTTCCGGCCCATAAAGCGACAGTCCCTGCGCCTTCCCGTCGCGCATCTTAATTGCAAGTATGGTCATGATCCATAACTATGCTCGCGCGCCGCCACCTGATCCTGCCTCCCGAAAGCGTCGAAACCACCCTTGTTCCAGCCCGCCGACGGACGACGCTGCCCAACGATCGCCGAAGAAGCGGAAGCTTTGCCATCCTACCTCTCCTCCGCCACAGTTTTGGGACGGCTTATCGACGATACCCCTCACTCCGAACGCTCTGCAAGAACTGAACCGAAGGAACACGCAGCTCGGACAAAGAAACGTCGCTCATCTTTCGCCAACCAGACGGAGTCGCCGACTGCGCGCTCGACGGGCTGTCGCGGAAGAACACGATTGCCTCCAGCCGCCCGAACAATTCTTGAAACGGTGCTCGCCACGGTGCTTGAAACGTGTGAAGAAGGTTTCCACTCACGGCGGCCCAGATCTGAGTGGTTTGAGAGGGGTATGGATGGCATGACAGTGTAATAGTTGTAGCTGACCGCTGGCAGTACCGGACCTCACACATTGCCAACCACGAAATGAGATCGTCTACCCTGTCAAGTCTTGGGCGTCGTAAGCGGGGCTCGCAGTCACCAGAGAAGAGCAGTGCAACTCCAAATACGACGACTACGCGAAGCACGGTGGCATATGATCGGGCTTTCCAGCAACATCTGATCGATCATGGCACATACCCTGATAGATACAAGTACCCTGACGGCAGGGTCCCCACACGGCTCGATAATCTAGACGAAATCAGACTTGTTTTGCGCCAGCCTCGACCCTCACTTTCTCCGTCCCAGTTTCCAGACGATAGATTTGAGGAATTTCAGCTGGCAGATGCGGAGGCATCTAAGGAAAGCCAAGTTATCGCAGATGTCATACCATTTATTGAGGGAGACACTGGAGACAGGAAGTGCATCGCCCGTCAAGTCCGATGCACCAACTTTGACCATTTGACGGATGGCACACTCGTTGCAGCAAGTCCAGATATATACTACGGCGCACGCCCTGAACAACTACAGCGGAGGATACGAGAGACCCTATCCGGTCACGTGGTTCCATCCACGCAAGGAGATCTACCAGTAGCCCCGAACTTCTTCGTTGAAGTGAAAGGGCCAGACGGATCAGCAGCCGTGGCGAAGCGGCAGATCACCTACGATATGGCTCTAGGCGAGAGAGGCCAAGCTGCTCTTGATGCTTACCTGCGGTCTGAGCCCAGCTACAACAACGAAGCACACACCCTTGGTTGCACCTATCTGGATGGACAGCTCAAGCTATATGCTACCCATGCGATACAGCCATGCAAGCCAGGAGCGCAACCAGAATACGTCTTGACGCAGATTAAAGCTGCGGCTTTGACTGATGACGCAGATGGGTTTCGAAAAGGCGCTACTGCATATCGAAATGCCAGAGACTGGGCCAAGCGACAGAGGGATCAAGCCATATCACGAGCCAACGAGAGGACAAATGGTCAGAGCCATGCCAACATACATCGGGAAGATGGCTTAGGACTCGACTTTTTGAGCGAAGCATCTGCTGCTGAGACAGTGGGACTGACCAGCCACGCAACGATCACGACCCACGGATCCAACGCGTCATCCTTCTGTGATACTGAATCCTCTGCAGACGAGCTGTCTTTTGATCACGAACCGTTAGATAAACGGAGCAAGGGCCCTGGGGGTGGGCTGCCCACGAGAGCCCTCCGCTTGCGGCAAGAATCACAAGATGGGCGTAAACGGACACGTTCTGCTTCTAACAAGCGAGTTGACAGTAGATCCTTCACAGATGGGATCGAATAGCCTGCTATGAATAACATCACCTGACACTCATCATTCAAGCTGTGGAATGTATCGCACGTGCAGCAAGACTACTCGCCCGAAACACTTGGCGGAATAGCAGGGAGGCTTTTGATGATCCCACCGCAGCTACCTGGTCCATTCTCCAGAGACGGGCGCAAGTCGCCAGTAAGGGCGGGCCAATTATCACCTCCGCCATGTGCCGGTAAGCGACAGTCCGTCGATGTGGGCATCATCTCCTGGCCATGTTGCGTGACCTTGGCCGGATTACCCCCGTCTCTCATCACTGGACCAGCACGCCAATCGCCATCCTGCTGACTCATAAGACAGACAGCGGGGGTCCAATAGGTGCGCAAGTAAGATTTATTATGTAAGCTTTGCCCCACGAACGAATATGCGCACCAATAAGATGCTGCGACTGCAACGACGCAAGCACGCATCCGCATTAGTTCGCGAAGATATGAGACAATCAGGCCAGCGTCGTCCTTTGCAACCCATTCATTGGCTTTGTGTAGGAGCCTCCGCTGCAATGAGCATAAACTTGGTCGTCAGTCAACTTCCTGACGACAATCTACCCCCCGAAGGTGAATATTATTCTCGAGAATCCCTTGTCCAGGCCGTCAACACATAGGCAGCAGCCAGGGGCTATGCATTCATTACCACGAAGTCGAAGAAAACCTTCATTCCTTCTCTCAGCAGGGCAAGTGACGTTTATCAGCTTAATGTTGTCGTGGGACCTGGTAGTGGTGCTGGAGCCTGGCTCATTCTCAGTAGAGTCGTGTTGGCGTCGAGAAGGCTTGTTTCTGAAGACGATATCGTGTTTAAGGGGATTTGTACTCTTCATATCTCCAACCTTGGCTTCAGTGCCACGTTTTTGATCAGCGTTGCTCTCATCGATGATGCTGTCGTGGACGATGCTGTCCTTCTTATCAGGAGCGTCATGAGGCTGTAAGGGCGAATCGCCGCGAATCGCCATACTTGGAAGAAATGCTGGGAACGAAGAGCAGGAAAAGGAATGCTGGTGAGAGATGACAGTGAATGGACTTATATGGACTCGGCTGTAGTGCATGCTGTTCATGGTCTCTTCCATCTGCGACGAGCTTGGGGATAGGACAAGGCACTTTTGCCCCTGACTAGGCTCTCTAAAGACTGCAAGCAGGTGTGGCTAAGGTGGTAGATATCAAATTGAGCCTTGAGTGTGGTGTTGCCCCTTGAGCATTAAAAATTCGATCACACCCCATTTTTGAGGCTCGAGATGTCGAACTCTAGCCCCAGCTCCTGGGTAATCCGTCCAGTTCCGTATACCTCTGCAACGGGATGGAGAAAGAAGCTATGTAGCTCGGCAGCCAATGTTCGTTGGAGTTTCGTAATGAAGTCTGAGTGCTCCCTTCCCGGCTGCATGGCCGAGATGTTGTCCTAGATTGCATCACCAGATCTAGATCCGAACCTAAAGGGACTCGTGAGTCTGACCCTCGTTGCAGTCGCCATGGACCGCAATTGTCGGACATGGTCACGATAGCATGTTAAAATGCAGAAAGAGCTTTGAGAGTAGCTTGCGCAATAACCACCAAACACATACTCGCTCAATGCGAAGACCCCCAAAGTACATATAGGCAGGGGTTGCAAGTGTGCAATAAGTGCATGGACCAGAACGAGCAACATCAACAGTACCCTGATATTTGTGCCTCACTGGGGTTCAGCTCTGATGTGAAAAGATAATTGAGGGCTGAAAATCAGGGATTGGAACCTCGTTATGTTTGCTTGAGGAACAATCCTCGCCCAATGTATGTAGGGTAGCGTATGAAACAAGTCGCTCAGGCCGTTAACGTGCATTGCGTTCTTCCGGACAGAACTAGCACGGTCCCCTGAGCGTATTGCGAGGAATTGGAAAAGAAATGAGAGAAGTGATACAAGCACATGCACCATAGAAGTCACAAAAAGTTCGAACCAAAGCGGATCATCGTTAACGAGCCCTTTTGGTAACACGTCGTTACGGAAACCCGCCCAACATTCGTGCAAAACTCGAATGCAGCCTAGTCATGCTTTAGCTTAGATTCTTAACCTCAAAAAATTTGCTGCTGACCTTGGGCGGCCTCGGCGAGAGGATATTTGATTGAGATCGTAGTGTGGGATGCTCTTCAGGATAGTGAGTAGTGAGCTGGAGTAACAGAATGGAGTCGAGAGCGAGCGTCTATACGCGGTGGGAGATGGTCGTGGCTTCATACTCAACGAAGCCCCTCCTCCATCTCATTCGTCTCAGCTTTCCGTTCGACATCATGGCTCAGACCTCATCATAGATTCCACAGCCGTAGCTTCAACCCAAGTCAGCCACCTAGGATGGTGCTGATATCAGCGAGAATCCCCGATTCGTGGTTCCGTACTCAGTCTGCCTTGCCAACACCAACTTGGCTAAAAGCAGCTGAATCACATTATTTGTCTCTCTGAACAAAGTCGCTGTGTTCGGGAGGCCCTCTTCGTTGACCGCTCCTGGTCGTGATCTCCAGTGATAATGGCGCACAGCCGCAGAATAGACATTCAAGAGCCGGCATTGCGAAGATTGTATAGGCCACTCATGACCTCTGTTGTACCATGCCTATGTACAGACGAGTGGAATGCATCACGCGCACAATAGATGGCCCTGCATTCTCTCTTCTCAGCATGGAGCCTAAGGATGACAGTATGCTGGCATGTGATGACGAATCCATGGTGACCCGGTCCAAGACTTCTCGCATGGCGTGCACTCTTCCAGTAACGCCGTGACGACCAATCGAATATTCCCGATGAAGCCGTTCCCGTCCTTACGTGTGGCACCTTTATTTCTTGCTATGGGTATAAAGTTCCCTTGTCGCCTCTGGCTCTTGCCTCATTGTCTTCACCTCACTCTCACGCCATTCTAGCCTCACTTTTGCCACTATCGATCTAACAATCACTCTCAAAATGAATCCTCCAACAGCAACTCGGCCTTTGAAGAGGCGAGAGGAACACAATCATCTGTCTCAGGCAGTACCACATCTAGCTGTGATAGTCAACAGTACTAACACTCGAACAGAAACTAGAAGACTTCAAAAGACCCAGAATAACGATTTCCGGTGAAGATGACACGGCGAGTGTCTGCAATTACACTTCTCTTCCCACGCCTCATGCCCAGGAATCTCAACAAGGACCAGACATCTCTATTGTCGAGCACCACGATGACATTGAGTACTTGGAGAGTCCCATCGACACTGCTTCAGCGGATGATACTGAAGAACACGCCTATTCAGAGTGTGGCGAGGCAACGGACCTGCTCAACTGCAGCAATGTTGCTACGCAAATCTTCCTTATCTACCCTGGGAAAGACTACATTCGAATATGGTCGCCTCAGAACTTCCTCAGCTGGACGTTTGAGGATCTAGGGGATGCGCTGCCGTCGGACTGGTGGGAAGCAATTGAGGCCTCACCGTCTGCACACTTTCAGATTCGGGTTGCATCAAAAATAGAAAGGGGGCCTGTCACAGAACTGCCACTGAATCCCAATCTAAAGGATCTCCGCGCTATCTCAAGGGCGTTCGCCCAATTTCGATCAAGTATCACGAACTGGGTGACCGCAGTGCGAGAAGTAGCAAGACCCGGCGAGGAGGTTGGCATTACTGTCAAATTGGAGCCGTGTCCAACAGACTGCTCCTGATCTTGTCGAAAAAGACAGCACCCTCACGGCAGTCATGGATAGATAGTGTGCGTATACTCAAGCCGAGCAGCATATATGGATAGTACTTGGCTCATTGTGGATGAGCTAGAAGTGTGTTAAACGATGGTTAAGTACATAGAATCGAACAGACCCCCTTATTTGAGATTGACTCTCAAGTGGTGCCATGGAGTAAATCCTACCGATTGCTGTCGGCGCAACAGTGCCTTTTGGAAGTAATGAGAACCCCAACATCTCCAAGACTGGTCTCGCTTTCCCGATACCTGGGTCTTCTCATTCGAGTTTGTAAGCACGCAACGACAGAAGATACATCATGCTGGCATATCCGTGCCCGTGAGCATACTAGACTGTTACGGTCCGGTCCCCCGTAACCCCCTATAAGCAGCTATTACGCCTGTATTGATCGCTCGTCACTCGATCAATGCCTGATCTTTTGCCCTTGGCGCAACGGCTTAGGCGTAGCCGTTACATAGACCCAGATCGAAACTTGCATTGAAAGTGCCTACCGAATCCGGCAAGTATATTTTGTAGGAGGCAGGTTGGAAAACAAGAAAGGATGGGCAATGGGAACGGTGGAAGGGAAAGGATGCATCTCAACGACGTATAGTTTACTCTGATAGTGGCAGAAACCACGAAGATATAAAATGCACTCTACGGAGTTGAGAAAACTGTGGTCAGGCCGCAGTGGCCACTGTGATATTTGCCTGAGTGGGGTAGCAGATTGAATGACGAAAAGAGGAGCTCAAATGAGGGGCAAGGCAAACATCCCAAGAGCATGAAATTTCCAAGGAGCGGAAGACAGGGGAGGGGACAGAAGGCGGGACAGGGGGAGAATAATATAAAGATACATACAGACTAGAACGGGTAAAGGTCGCGCGTCCTGCCTGCCCTAGCGTCGGTCGAGACCGTCATACCAATTAGCGGGCCGCTGCCCCGTTCTTGCAATTGGCAGTTGCGTGAAGGCTCCCCATCGGGCCAGGCCACCACTCATGACCGGCGACCTCGCTGTGGGGCAGCGACGGCAGATCATGAGCGAAGAAGGCTAGGAGAGGGTGATGGCTCAGCCAGCCCGTGGCTTGGCGTCCGACTTTGCCAAGCTCACTGCGACCTCGGCAGGACAGCCGTGGGACTGTCCCCTGGGCAGCTGCAGCCACTGTGGATTATCAGAGACGAGTAGGATCGAGAGGGTATGACAGCTCCGCTATTGCCGTGTGTCTTAGGGGTGTGATGGGCCATGGCTGTGGGCACTTGCCTGGGTATTCCTTGTCGTGTGGCAGCCACCACAAAAGACTAGAGTCGAGAGAGTGTGACGGCTCCGCCACCGCTATGGGCCTCTGCCTGGGTAGTCCTTGCCGTGTGGCAGCCACAATAGGAGACGAGAGTCAAGATGGTGTGTTGGTCCCGCCAATTGTGTGGAAACTTGGCTCAGAGATCCTTGGAGTGTGGCAGCCATAATAAGAATCTAGAGCTGGGAGGGTGTGACTGCTCCGCCATCGCTGGGCCTCTGCCTGGGTAGTCCCTGCCGTGTGGCAGCCACAGTGGAAGACGACAATCAAGAGGGTGTGGTGGCTCTGCCAATATTGTGGACACCAGGCTGGGGGTCCTTGCTGTGTGGCAGCCACAGTGGAGGACTAGAGTTGGGAGGGTGTGATGGCCCTGCCAACGCTATGGACACCTGCCTGAGGGCTCCCACTTCGGGCCAGGTCACTCTTGGCCGACGACTTGCCATGTGGCAGCCACAGTGGGTCACCAGAGCTGCTTAACATCAGAAGCTGGAAGTGGCTGCATTCTGCCCTGCCGATCAAACTACCCTAAGCTGGTGAGAGTTTCCCAACCGCAGGGGTCACGTAGAATGCGCCCGCTTGGCCCATCATATACGGATGCACCCATCTGAGCAAGAGCCGCGAGGCCCAGAGCAGGCCCGGAATATCGGACATGGCAGACAGATAGCGATGGCACACGACAACGGTTATCAGGGCCGCCGTGAGTCCCACGGCGTTCTTGAACAGGATATCAGCGTTTCCAAGGGGATGGCATCTATCAGGCAAGACGGTTACGATAAGACACGGGTGAAGCAGGCGGGACCTAGTCTACTGAACTGTTGCCTAGAGTCAAAGGAACGACAAACTCACCACAAAGCGGTCCTGTAGTGTACTCTAGAAAATTCTCAGGTGCTCGCGGTCTGCCGACTCCGGAGCCCCATTCCGACCATTTGCCGCCGGTCAAGGTTACCCACGCTCGCCGCTCGCAGTGGCCGCCGCTGGCTACAAGGTAGACGCACAGGATGGGTAAGGTGGGCGTGCCAGCTCTGGCGAATCGCTCCGCCTCATTTTAGGGTGTCCAAGAATGGCCAGCATCCCTACTCAATCTGCTCACGCACAATTCTTCGGCCTTTGTGGCCAGACGTTGGGTTTGCAACTAAGCGAAAGTAATGTATTGGGCAGCCGGCGTCTCCCCCCGCACGGGCTCCGCCTTCCTGGTGATACTGGCTGTCGGTCTGGCACAGTGGAGGCTTTAAAAAAGTAACCGCGGCGCTGCCAGCGTCAACCTTCGTACGGATAGACGCAATGAATTACAGAGTGAGCGCTCCAGTACCGCGCACGTGACGCTCGCCCAAGCCAATCGAAGTTGAGTTTTCTGCCAGCGCGCTAAGCCGTATTGGCTACCACTGTGGCCATGCCATCAATCAGCCACAAGCTGTAAAGAGTAAGGTCCAGGTTTCTACTGACAGAACCTGATGTCTCCAGGCTTCACAAAACACCGCAAAGTATGAGCAAAATCTCAAATATGATGTCCATAATACTCGAGCTTTGCATCTTGAAACCTTGATAGGCATGAATGTAAATTGCCTTTTGTAACTACTTTGAGTGCCGATGCGAGACGTTAATTCTACTGGCAGAAAGTCCGCGCTTGCCCATATCGAGCAGGCAGAAAGGATACTGCCGGCAGAAAACTGAATAGGATTAGCATTGACAGGCAGAATCACAACGCTTAGTCACTCTCAGCTGTGCCAAGCCATGCGCTAGAACCGATTAAAATTCTACCGGCAGAAAACCAGATAGGTTTAGCTTTCACTGGCAGAACCTCAACACTTAGCCATTCTCAGCTGCTGCCAGCCATGCGCTAGAACTAATTGGAATTCTGCCGACAGAAAACTAGATAGGCTTAGCTTCGACTGGCAGAATCTCAGCGCTCAGCCATCCTCAGCTAGTGTCTAGCCATGCGCTAGAGCTAATTGAATTTCTGCCGGCAGAACCTTCTTCGTCCTCAGCTACCCACTCAATACGGGCTAGCGTGTATGTTCTGCCAGCAGAAATTATTACCCACCAAGCATTTGCTGGCAACACATCTTGCTTGGCCTGACAACTCCGAGAGAAGCGCGCATCCATATGCTAGGTATACTGTTCGAATCAATCACTTGCACGTAGCGGCCCTTAGACTAAGCCGTAGTCGCTATCAGGTACGAGACATTCGAGACGGGCTCGCGGGCTCGTCGCCCCTGCGGCCACTGCCAATGCGAAATCTGCCACAGTAACCTCATCGCAAAATCGTCACTATCGCAGCACGGAAGGCCTAGAGTTTTTAGCACCAAACGACTGTCGATAGAGCCCAATCACCGCGAAGATACAGGTTTAGCTGCATTACCTATGAGCATATTGAGCCGCAACTATAAGCCATCCTCCAATCCTAGGTATGTGGGTTCCGAATCGAAGAGACAACGGTCGAACAGTCAAGATGGTGAAGGTAGATAGCGTCGGAGTTGGACAGTCAATCGTCATCCGACAAAGCCAAACCAAGCCTCTGCACCAAAGGAGAGGGGCTATGGAAACATAGAATCTAGTCTTGACTCGTTATATCATCCACCAGTCGCGTGATCAGGGACTCCAAAAGCATCAGGGAACTGCTCGGGGCGATGCAACATTCAATCAAGGGACACCGGTCTCATTACACGGCAAGGTAACATTCTTCACCGGACATATCATCTAACAACGCATCGAATATGTAAAGGCTTGATGATGGGTTCCAGGTATCGGGCATGGGGATGCATCGAAACTAGCAGTGTACGCTCTTGCAAAGACTAGGTAGATACCACTGTTTGTTTGTTTCGCCGTCGTTGGGTAATTGCCGACACCGTCCGGTTCAGCTTTTTTGCGATCCACGCGTCCGACTTGTTCTCGATCTTGTAAGCCATCAACATCTTGTCATCTAGCTCCCCCCATCTGCGACGGGTCAAACCGCCCTCTCCGTACGCAGCTACCTCATCCAGTACAACTGCTCTACTACCAGCTTCTGAATTAGTATCCGCATCACTCGGTGCTATGCTTCCTCGACCTATGCCAGATTGTTCATCCCCTGACTCCATGCCAGCATTGTGAATGTTGACAGTTGATCGCGCCCGTAAGTTGTATCGACGCTTGTTTTCGCTAGCCCTCGGGCGGCGATGTCGTCGGCTTCGAAGCGCTCTTCCATTCGATGCCTCGCAAGAGGGGGAAATACTTTGTGAAAATGTCTGAGGAGCTCGGTTGAGGACCTGGTGAGACTGCAGTAAGGCCCGATAGGATTGGTAGAGGACCTCGTATGATTGGGAGACGGCCTCGGTAGACCCACGGAGGATCTCATTGGTTCGGAGGAGGGCGTGGAGGGCCTCATCGGATTGATGGAAGGCATGATTAGAATCAAAGCATGAGCCGTACCATCCGGATCGGCCTCCACCCTTGTCTACCCCGGCAAGAGCAGACTTGTTGGATAGGTCGGTAGTTGCACAAATCTCGTCCGCATTTGGCCCACAGTTGGGGCAGCCTGCGCCTACTCTTTCACTCATGCGGGTCCGAGGCTCTGCACCGCTTAGACGGTGATTTTGACGTTGATGCTCGAGCGAACTTGATTCTCTCACACCTTTCGTTGATGGCTGGCGTAGATGATGAATACCATTTGTATCGTTAACCATTGCCGGTGCAGTGCTGGTTGTGCAGGGCTCATCGCCGTCGGTTGTCCAGTTCGTCTTCGCTCGGTTAGGCTGTTGACCAATACCAGATCCAAAGGCACAGTGGTCTGGTGTTGCACCTCGTTTAGATCCAACGGATGGTGCTGCACTCGAGCGTGTACTGCCCTCCAACCAGAGCTCGAAGTCCCCAGCAGCTGAACAGTTCTCCGGCACATTCTCAGCGCCGGAGAGATCAGCAACTGAATTTGTCAAGGCTGGTGACAGATGCAGAGTTTCAGGGCTATTCGCGAGCTGACCGGGTGTATTTCCCACCGTACCAAAATGTGCATGGTCAAGGGAGGATTGCGATGCAGCCAGCTTAGGCAATTGCGCTCCCGCAACCAAATCGAGCGCTGAGTTATGAATAGGCTGATCGCTTGGCGTTGGACCCATGACGCCAGTGCCTTGACTCTTTTCATCCCCTCGGCATGTCGAAAGAAGGTTGTCTGAGGCTAGTCAGGTTTGACTGAAGCAAGTCCTTAGGGATTTTTACCTGTGACCGTAGGATTTGCGTTCAATCCTGCAGAGTTTAAGAGAGGAGCTTCGTCTTTGACCTCAGTGAGTACCGCAGTATCAATAGGCTGAACCCCGTTGCTTAAAACACATGGGTCGAGACACCCAAGGTCAGCTTGAGCCGGGGCACTTGTCTGGTCGCCACAGGAGGGTGCAGGGCAAATGGAGTTACCTCCTACTCCATTTTCCTCTTCTATGCTTGGTCAGTCCAACTTCAAAAATGTGGTAATCCATTGACCTACCATTAACTGCGGGCGCAAGACGTTGATTGTGTATCTCAGGGACCGCCCGGCACTTCTTTTGTTTGCCGACAGGAGGGACTGAATGTCTGGTCTCTTGCTGTACAGAAGGCTTCGGCTTGTATTCTTTGAAAATTAACGGAGCCATGAGTTCGGTTGCCAGTGTGATTGTATTGTTTGCTGGGTAAGAGACACTACCCACAAGTGAGCAGGACTCGGCCTATTTATCGGTAGCTAGACAGGGTGGCGCAGCTAAGGCTTGTCGATTCTCTGCAGACAGAGAAGCCATCTTGATTTTTTTGGGAGTGCTCGTGGCGCTCCTCGGAGGTCTAGCGGGAACCTTTTCGAGCTTCGTTTCACAATCAAGGAGTAGTATGGTGCTACTGAATTTGCCCCTTGCCTCTTTCCCAGAAAAGCTGAAAGTAGGAGGGTCCAAGGGTGTCAAGATGTCAGCCGCGCGGCCGAATCGGCCAAACAGTACCTCAACACCGGCGAGGCCTTCTCGAAGCTGGAATGGGGATGTCCCCTATTGATTATGTGATAGACCTACCCCTCGCCATGGTGCTCAGTATCGGAAAGGGGCAAGCGAGGTCCTAACGTACGTAAAGTCGACTGGATGGAGCGCCGGCTTTAGTCAAGGCGGAAATCGTGGCACCAAACACTATGCCCCTCATTCGTCGTAGGTTCTCCGCTGTTTTGTCTTGCGGCTGATGGGTTAGGTCACGGGGGCAAACACGGGCTATTAGCGACCTGTGTTCAACCAAAGGCCGTGTGGCGAGGAGGCGACTTACAAGCGCCCCTGTTTGTTTACGCCAGGACAGATACTGCGCTTGGTGAACTATTGCGAAGGCAGGCTGCAGTTGCTCGGCCCATCTGTCTAGAAACCTTTCAATGTGTATTCCATCATAACGCAGAACCGCCGTCAAGGACGAATTTTCGCGGTCTTGCCGAAATTGTCGACCACTAGAGCGAACAATGTAATCCCTCGCCGTATCGGGTGCCTGCTTGCGCAGCAAAAGTGCTTCCATGAGGCCTACCGTAGCTGACGATGACTTCGCCGCAGCTGGGCGTCAAAGGAGGCGTGTCCTGTCTTGGGGGTATGCTCATGTCCACGACAAGCCGTAGCTTCTCACATACCCTTCTACTTTAGGGAATTGTTCCCTTCCTTTTCAGGGAATTCTTCCTTTCCATAGGGAATTCTTCCCTTCCCCTTTAGGAGTCGTTCCCTTCCCCCTCAGGGTTTCCTCTTCAGGAAATTCTTCCCTTCTTCTTCAGGGAATTCGTTCTGGCAGATAATAGCCACACCGGGCCTGCGTGCTTGTCACTTTGGCATGTTCGGCGCCAAGGATATTGTTTCAAGGCATCCATCCACCGGGCGTCAGAACACCATTGCAAGTGGATTGAGAGTGTCCTCACCCGTCTCAATCTTGAGTGTCGGTTGAATCAACCAGTGGAAAGTACATCTTTCTTGGTAGCGCGGGTAGAGATTGCTGTATGGTCGAACCCCTCTAGATACAAGTCGAACTGCGCATTTGTCCCATATACTGGCATAATAGGGCTTGGCCGTTGTTGCTTTGGGGTTTAACAAAAGGTCCCCTCGTCGGTTACCCACGCAGCCTGCGCAGTAGCTCAGCGTTGACGCTGGCAGCGCGTCGCGGGCAGTCCGCAGTACACGCCCCTTAGTGCCTTCGTAGAGATGAAGGAAGAGGTTATTGCCCTTTCTGGGATACGGAACCCCTTGCTGCTTGGCTCTCGGTATCGGTACGCCTATGATGCAAACCCTCTTGCTGTCTGATTCTCAGTATCGGCACGCCCGCAATGCGAGCCTGTCTGTGATCCGAGATTGATACCTGCCCCGATGTACGAATGAGTTTGACGTGAAGCGACACGAAGAATGGTGATTATATGGTAATCCCAGCGATGAGAGACTTTGCCGATGGGAACCTGTTGCCCTCTGGACAGATATCCGAGCGGCGCAGGCATCAGTCTAATTGTGACAGTCTGTCCTTTGTCGTGGTTGACGAACGCGAGACCTGCGGTGTTGTTGGGCGCTCAGGCGGTGGAGTATGTGGTGGAGAATGTTGTGGACAAGTCGCTACGAGAGATGACTTGGGAGGTACACCCGTCTGGTCGCTGTTTTCTAGGCCACGTAAAAGCGGCAGCATTTTGCTGGACCGAAGATTTCCCGATCAGGCAACCGCCGAAATTGGTGGGCATGGGCGTCCATTGCCGGAGGCGGAAATGCCGTCTTATTTAATACTTAACTTTCTTATATTTAGAGTTAAAGTAAATACTATATATTATAATAAAATATTAAAATAAATATCTAAATATAAGGAAGAAATACCTAGCGATTATACGATAAAAATAAAAAAAAAACTTATTAAGAATAAATTACTCTAGATACTACCGCCGCTACGCGATAAAATCTTAACTAATATTTATATATACCTTATAGTAAGATATTAAGGAGTTAGGAAGACTCTTAAGAAAATATAACGAACGTATAATTATTAAGGAATTAAAGTAAATATCGTATATATCGTTAGATAATACGAAGATTATATATATAATAAGGCTACCTAGTATAAGCTATATAGAGAATTAAAGCTATTATTAGTGCCTTTAAGACTATAAGAATTAATAACCTTTAATTATATTACAAAGTTACCTAAATCTAAGTAATTAGGATTTAATATTAAATATAATAGTATATTTATTATTATAGACTAAATAAGTAAATTCGGATATTTTTTATTATATTAAGAAATAATAAATATAGAAATACTCGTATATATAGTACTTAAATATATCGTAGCTAACTACGGCCTCTTAAAAGAAATTATTTTAAATTAAGGAATAATATTTACCTCGAAATTCTAATAAGCTCTAATAGCTTAGCTTAGAACTAAGTATAAGCTTAATATAGCTTATTACCCTTAGACGGATAAATAAATAAAGAGATTAAACTAAACGCTAGAATAATACCTATAGTATTATATTAATTATAAGTAAGATAATTAGGTCTCGAAGTTATTACTCGCCTAACTCGCTTATAATAATATACTTACGGAATTAACTAAGATCTTACTATTTTACGCGAATTATAGATATAAACCCGAGTTTAGTAATAAAATACCGAGGGAAGGACCTCTCGCTAAAAAAATAATACTTAAAGTAAACTAATTATACTTATTATATAAATATATAAAAAGATAGCTCGAATTCGTGCGTATATAAATATCGAAATACTATAATAAAAAAAAATTAAAAGGATTAATCTTTCGGAGAGGAGATATAGTTTACTTATTATATAAAAATTTTATAATAACTTAACCTTTATCGAAGCTCGACTATAAGAAACTCGGACTATTTAAGGTCGACGAGGTTATCTTAGATACTAACTATAAGCTTTTATTACCCTTTAGTATAAGGATATACTTAGTTTTTTATATCTTATTACTTAAAAAGGTATTACGAAATATAAAAATAAGCTACGAATTAGAAGTTTTTAAAGAACTCTATAAACTAGAACGAATAATCGATAAATAAATAATTAACGGAGAAATTAGATACCTTATTAAATAGAAAGGATATATTAATAGCGAAAATATATAGGAATTTATTAAATATCTTAAGAATTACTAAGGCTTACTCCGCTATTTCTATCGTGCTAACCCGACGCTTAGGTATATTATAAGGTAGATATAGTAAAATCCTCTATAAATAAGGGCTCCGGAGGATTATTATTAAAGTACTCCTCTTAATTCTCTAGGAAATCTAGAGTTATAAGACTATCTATCGAAGAACGAGCCGTAGGATTATTAGATACGGAGGCCTCCGATTAATAAGCACTCTCGCGCTTAGCCTCCTTACGCTCGATACGCTCTAGCTCCTCTATATTATCGATACCGCGAGATACGGCTCGTATTATCTTTTTAAACTATAATTTCTTTTATTTTCGAAAGCGCTCTACCTTAGTATCTATTATATAACGAGCCTCCTCCGCTTTTTCTAACTTAGATTTAAAATAGGTATATTACGCGGTAATTTAGCGTAATTACTATAGCGAAAGCGCTTTAACGTTATAATAAGAAAGGTTAAAATAAACGTACTTAAAATAACGCGAGGAGTCCTCCTCGGAAGCAATATATTTATAATCGTTCTTTTCGTAAGAAGAATAAGTACTCTTTATCTTTACGGAATTTAAGAATATAACCTCGAGAAAAGCGTTATATTATTTAGTTTTCTAAGAACGAGAGTTATAAGTTTTCGTAACGCGGTCTAGTATTTTAGTTAGCGTATTATAAGAAGAAAAAAAGAGAAGCTAGGAATATATATTATAGCGATTAATATAGTTTTAATTAATTCTAGGATAGAATCCCGGAAGGAGGGATATTATATTATAACCTAATATACGGTTACTAATATATATTACGTAAAACTTATAATTTCGTCGTACGAACTTATTTATATTCTTTATATAATAAAGTATAAAGTAATATACCGGCCGCCTAAATAAATAATATTCGTACGAATATCGTTTATACGAATACCGGTCGCACGAATCCTATTTATATAACTAAGGACTTATTATTTTATATTAATTACTTTAGATTATCTATAAAATACTATAATCTAGATTATTACGCTTATTTTATAAGCCTTATAATCTACGGGTATTATTTACTTTATATAATAATCCCCTTAGTATATAGGAAGCCTAGCTTTACTATAGTTAGTCTTTACCTAGCTCCTTATTTATTAATATAATTATCTACGTAAGATTTACTATCTCGTATATAGATTATAACCCGACCGCTTAAGTTAACGATATCCTAGTATACTTAGTTTATAAACCGACCTTAGATCTACCTACCCTATAGCTAGTCTAACCCGAACGTTATATTTAGAGACTTTATATTGTTTTTTATTAAACCCTAGAGTGTTAATACTTAATATTACTACATTATTATTACTTAGATTAATAGCTACTAATAGCTTTAATCGCTAATAATATAGTTATTATTAGTAGCCGAGGTTATATAAGGCGGCCTAGCCCGATAGTAGTAGCCTAGACCCTATCGGTCCGATAATAGCCTAGCGGCTATTATTATTTTCCTACTTCGTTACTATTCCCTCTAATATAATAATTACTCTTAATCTTCTTATAAAAGCTCCTCTTAGTCATTAGATTTAAGTAAAGTTTAATGAGAGAAAAAGGTACTCTTTCCTATCTTAGTTATAACGGTCTCGAATATTAAGACGGTCGTATAACGGTTCGACAGTCTTATTAACGGTTTAGCAAGCCCGAATTAATCTGTGTTAAAAGAACGCGATCCCCTCGTACGTAGAGATCAATGAGAGCAGACGGTACTTCTTGATTTACTTTGGTAGTGCAACCTCGACTTTATTACCTGCTGTTAAATATCAGCGGGATTATCCAGCCCCACCGTGACCTCGAACTGAACCTACAACGTACGATCACATCAACATCCGCGTCACGAATCCAAGCGACCAGCCAATCTACTAGTCGACGTTTCTTAATCGGCCAGAGACCCTTCGAACACCTGTCAAGGTCGACGACAGCCCACGAGCCTCAGGGGCCACCCTGCCCAGCTTTCAGCCCAATTGATCCCCAGCATCGGGTCAGTCTTGGCGACCTCGACCGCCTCCACCAGGACAATCGGCCGATATTTACACGTCAAAGACGACAATCAATCTTGAAGCACAGCAAAAGTCCTCCTGGCAACCGAATCTGCATGCGCCACCTCCCGTGTCGACTGAACACCTAGTCACAAGCTGACCTAACGAATGCCCACGATCCTCGCCAGGGCACCGTCCCAGCCGGTGGGCCAGCCGTCGCTGTCGACGCCATGGCGGGACCACCGACCTCCCAGAACGCCAAGGGCCCGTCAGCTCTGAACATGGCCCAGAAGCCGGCCGGTCGAACGAGCTACGAGCGTGAGGGCGGCGGTCTCCAGCCACCAGCTGCCGTCAGCGCGGCGGGGGGACGGACGCTCTCAGCATCGGCGGCGCGGTCGGCCGCTGGGAGCTTCAACCCGTCCTTTGCCCCGGGCAGCTTCAGCTCCGAGCTGCGCAGCCAAATGTCCTCCAGCCGGGCCGGCAGCCGCATGGACGTCGGATCCGTGTACCCCGGCAGCATCATGAACAAGGTCGACGAGGACGAGGACGACACGGCGGCGGCGGCCCAGCAGGCCCTCGTCGCCCTCAAGGACCGCCTGAACCGCGAGCTCAAGATCAAGGAGGGCAGCGAGAACATGCTCGAGGCCCTCAACGCGAAAAAGGCCAAGCAGACCAAGGAGCAGCGCCAGAGGGTCGAGGCCGAGCTCAGCGCGAGCAACGCCCGGATCCGGGCCCTGAAGCAGAAAATAGCAGACACCCACCGCACAAGGACCGCGCCGCAGCAGCAGCAGCCGACGACCCCGACCAAGCAACGCGAGAGGCTCCTGTCCAACGGCATGAGGTCACCCCCCAGTCTCTCGAGGTCGGATCTGGGATCGGACGTGGACGAGTCCACGGAGAGCCCGACCTACGCGCTTACGGAGCTGCTGCAGGCGCTCGAGGTCGAGGGCATGACGCCAGAGTACTATGTGAGCCGCGGGAACCAGCTCGTCGACCTCTTCAAGAGGCACCCGACCCTCAAGTACGACCTCATGTGGTCCGTGTTTGGGCTAAGGATGCAGGTCATGCTGATGAGCGAGAGTCGGGAGGTCGTGGCCGCGGGCTACCGCATGACACGATACGCCATATCAGACCGGGCATCTCTCCGGAAGATTCGCAGTCTGAACACAGACTACGTCGTGGTACGGTCTCTCAACAACTATCGCAAGGCAGACGTGGAGCGCGAGCAGGCGCTCAAATTCGTGCGCGCCTTTCTTGACGTCAAGGATGGCGTCAAGGAGATCTCCCGCGCCATTGTGCGCACCATTGTGGCCATCGCTGAAGCTGGTGATGACCGCAGGCCCAATATGCCCGTCGCCGAGCAGGACGCCGACCGATTACGACCGATATGTATAGAGACGTTGGCGGAGATCCTGGTGCGCGACCCCCGGCTACTACTCGCTTCAGGCGGCATGGGCCCATTGTCAGAGGCACTGGCAGAAGGAACCTACAAAGCGCCCGAGAGTCTCGCGGCATCTATTCTGTACCTTTTGGATACCCCGAAGCGACGGAAATTTGTGCAGCCTGGCTACGGACTCGACGTGTTGTTCACGGCCTTTACAGACCACATGATCAGTGACGACACTGTGCTCAAGCAGAACTCCAAGGCCATCGCAGCAAGTCTCAAGTCATGGTCTGGGCTCATGTCGCTCAGCATGTACGACTTTCGAGCAGTTCGCTCTCTCATCAGCTGCATGATCCTCCCCAACGCGTCAATAAGAGAGACGATCTTGGACTTGTTCTTCTCGCTGCTGAGGATCAAGCCGCCGGCGTGGGCTACATCATTCTTGGCCGGACGACGCCTCACAACGTACGGACGCGTGGCAAACCTCAAGGGCGCTAGCAGAGAAAGGGGCCCGTCCATCTACGTCGAGGAGGATGGCGGGGAGCAGAACTTTGTCGAGCACTACACGGCTCTGCTGCTGGCCGTCTTTATCAAAGCAGACTTGCTCAAGAGCTTGCTCCACATTGCCCAGACGGAGGAGGACCCCATGCTGAAGCGGAAGACCACGCTCCTCCTGAGCGAGGTCTTGAAGCTGGCCAGCCGTTTACTGCCACCCTCGTGGAGCAGCGAGCTGCAGTTGCTTCCCGATCTGTTCAACGCAGCGGCGAGTTTCAAGAACCAGGACTACCATATTGCGACGGGCGTCGTCTACCAGATGAGCAGTGTCAGCCGCACGCTGTACCGGAGCACGCCATCGGGGGCCATGCCGGGGATGCTGCCCAGCAGCAACAGCATGAGCGATCTGACATTGCTGGATGACCAACCCAAGTCCCATGCCGCCGTCGTGTTTGACGATGCCACGTTTCGACAGCTTCTCATCGACTCTCGTGTTCTCAACCACTCGAACTGGTCCAAGTGGGACTGGGATATCATATTCAAAATCATTGACGGGCCGCTCCAGGTCGGCAAGCGCTTGGAGGAGGCGATCAAAGCGTCCAAGTTCATGAAGCGCATCATGAGCTTCTACCGACCGTTCAAGTACAAGTTCGCCGAGGTCAAGAACACACGAGGGACGCAGAAATACGTCAAGGTGGGCTGTGCTTTGATGCACGCGCTGCTGCAGTCACCAGAGGGCGTGAGGTTCCTGGCGGACAGCAAGCTGCTCAGGCAGATTGCTGAGTGTCTCGCGCAATGCGATCCGGTAAGGCTAAACGCTGATGCGCAGACTATTCAAGTTCCCGTGACTTACTTGAAACTAGACCAGTGGCCTCACAGCACAGTATCCTATGTTCTCCCCCGACCGCCTGCTCGACACGCTCTGCGGCGGGTACTTCCCGATGCTGGGCGTGCTGAGTGGCGATCTCCGGGGCCTGCAGCTCCTCGAGCGTTGGCGCATGTTCAACATGATGTACCACATTGTCGACTTGAAGCAGCGGCCGGACCTGATCAAGCTGCTGCTGTCCAGCTTTGACTACACCATGCAGGGCCACCCACGGGTGCTGCTGTCCAAGGCCCTCACCGCCGGCTCAAAGGACATTCGCATCCACGCGACCAATGCCCTGCGTAAACATGCTATTCGGCCGACGCCCTCGATCAACAGCCAGGGGGGCATGGGCGATTCGAAGTGGGCGATCCAGCTCCTGGTCACGCAACTCTACGACCCCGAGGTGGACGTCTGCTCGACAGCCATCAAGATCCTGGAAAAGGCGTGCAACCGGAAACCGTCGCTCGAGTACATTGTCGAGTGCCGGCCGTCCCTCGACCACCTGGGTGAGATTGGCGCGCCCCTCTTGCTGCGCTTCCTGTCGACGTCCATTGGGTATCACTACCTCGATGGGCTGGACTATATCAGCAACGAGATGGACGACTGGTTCCTCGGCCGCAACGACACCTACGTGCACATGATCGAGGCCAGCCTGGCCAGGGCGTTTTTGGTGGATCCGGATGACCAGAGCCACCGGATGAGTCTGTTTGACGATGCCGACGCAGAAGCGGACTTTCACGATAACCACGTGCCGCCTCACTTCTACCGAGAGCTGACTCGTACGCAAGAGGGCTGTCGCCTGCTGAACAACAAGGGCCACTTTGAAGAGTTCGCGTCGACGATTCGCCACCACGGCATGCAGGCCACGGACCCCGAGACGCTGCTCAAGGTCAAGGGCGCCCTATGGGCCGTCGGCAACGTCGGCTCCATGGAGCTGGGCGCCCCCTTTCTGGAGGGCAGCGACGTGGTCGAGCGGATCATTGCCATGGCCGAGTCGCACGACGTGATCAGCCTGCGTGGCACTGCCTTCTTCGTGCTGGGCCTCATCTCACGGTCCACCCACGGCCTCGAGATCCTGGCGGAGCACGGGTGGGACGCCAACACCACGCCCATGGGCACGTCGCTCGGCTTCTGCATCCCAAACGACCTGAGCAAGCTGCTGTCCCTGGTGCCGTGGAAGGCCGAGAACATGGCCAACATGAGCGTCCTCGACACGCAGTGCACCATAGCGACGCCGCCCGCCGTCAGTCCCGCGCGTCCCAACATGGATCCGGCGGAGCGGCCGCCGCTCGTCACCGAGGAGGACATGAACAAGCGCATCCTGGAGTTGATCGTCGACCTCGGGAACATGGTGCTCTACAAGAAGGCGCTCGTGGAGCTGCAGAAGTTGCGGGCGCGGAAGCCGGCGGCCTTTAACCGCACCGACTTTTTCAAGGAGGTCATGGGGTTGATGGAGTGGAACCACTATCGGCTCGGGGTGCGGCGGATGGTGATTGACCTGTTTGACAAGAATGTGATGCGGCGGATTGTGTTTGACGAGGAGAGCAGCTCGAGCAGTGAGGACGACGACGACGAAGAGGATGAAGAAGATGACGATGAAGATGAAGACGATGACGAAGAAGAGGAAGAAGACACGGAAGAAGAGAGTGGCGGTGGTCGACTCATGGTGTCGCATGCTCGTCGTGGCCACGGCCCAGGCGGTGACGAAAGCAGCTCGGGCGACGACAGGACGGAACGCCAGAGGAGTATCAGTGAGCCGATGGAGCCCAAAGGCCAGATGATGCCTGCGCCGTTGAACATACGACGGTGAGATAGGAGAGGACCTCTGGGTGGTGTGTGTGTATGGAATTTTATCAGCGAAGGAGTTTGCTATCTTCTCATATGAGTTTACATGTGCCACGAGACGTAGGGAAAATATCTACAGCCTGTTCCAGCAGGCACGTATCACTTCCGAATGCTCTTTGGGCAGAATGCTTGTGAGATTCATGTTCATAGTCCATGTACTTGGCGGTTGTGACTTGGTGTGTGCCTCAACGGGGCCGCCCCACCTCCACCCATAAGTACGTATGTCGTCAACTCGCTCATCTCCATCTGCTCCTTGACCCCTTCACAGTGCTCTGCAGACATTGCAAACATGGTCAAAGGTCGAGTGCTGGTGATTGCCGGGTCCGATCCGTCCGGCGGGGCGTAGGGAACATTCTTTCCACTGAGGCGCGCACGTACAATCTGCTAACAGCCGAGACAGAGGGCTCGAAGCCGATCAAAAGGTCATCGCGGCGCATGGCTGCTATGCCATGACGGCTACCACGGCCCTGACCGTGCAGAACACGCAAGGTGTGACGGATATTCACCATGTGCCCGTCGACTTTGTGCGAAAGCAGATCAATGCCGTCGTGGGCGATATCGGCGTCGACGTCGTCAAGACGGGTGAGTAGGGCTAAACTGGCTGTCAGAGGCGGCTGCTGCTGCACGCGCACTACTGCAACGACTGACCGTTCGGCAGGTATGCTGGCGAGTAAAGAGGTCATCGAGATGCTGGACGGGGTTGTGAAGAAGAACAAGTTTCCCCAGCTCGTCATTGACCCGGTCATGGTGTCGACGTCTGGCTCAACGCTTCTGCCCGAGACGGCTATCGAGATGCTCACGCGTCTATTTTCCCATGCCTCTGTCGTCACACCCAACATTCCCGAGGCAAATCTCATCCTGGCGCAGTACAGCAAGGACTCTGTGAAGATCAAGTGTGCGGATGACATGGTCACGCTGGCTACGCGACTCCAGAGGGCCATGGGATCCCGTTGGGTTCTTGTCAAAGGCGGGCATTCACCCTTTGATGCACACTTCAAAGTGACCGGCGAGAATCTCAAGGTCGTCGACGTACTTGTCGGTGCGGACGGGACTGTCGAGAAGATCGTGAGTGATTGGCAGGAGAGCCAGAGCACGCACGGCACAGGGTGTTCCTTGGCTTGTGAGTTGCCGTCGTTTTTTGCATGGCAGGCCGATGCTGACAATGACAGCTTCCATTGCCTCGAATCTTGCTTCGGGAAAGGACATGATCACCTCTGTGCGAGCAGCCTGTCGCTACATCGAGGCGGGTATTCGAACAGCCCCTGGCTTAGGCCACGGCCACGGTCCACTGAACCACTTCCACTCGACAAAGGTCTTGCCTTTTTCTCCGTAGGTGCTTTATTTGGTATGTACGACTTTGAATCTGACTAGCGCAGAAACTATTTTATCGAGTACCTCATCTCGAGACCAGATGTCAAGCCCATCTGGGATCGATTCGTGCACCATCCCTTTGTCATGGCCATGGGCGACGGCTCTTTGCCTCTTGATTCTTTCAAGAATTACATGGTTCAAGACTACCTATACCTTGTATGCTGCCACCCGGGCCTCCGCCTGCTGATCAATCACTGACTCCAGTCCAGATTCACTTTGCGAGAGCGACCGCACTTGGGGCGTACAAGTCCAAGAACATGACGGACATAAGTCGCGCGAGCGAGATTGTCGCCCACATTATGACGGAGACGAAGCTGCACATCAAGTACTGCGAGTCTTTTGGGATATCTCTTGAGCAGATGGAGTCAACAGAAGAGCAGCAGGGTATGTTTCCATGTGTACGCATCCTCGACTATAGTGTGCTGACCGGCAAGCTTGCACCGCATACACGCGCTACGTCGTGGACGTGGGTCAGTCCGAGGACTGGCTTGCGCTACAAGTCGCCCAGGCACCATGCCTGCTGGGCTACGCAGCCGTGGCCCGTATGCTTCACGACCACCCCGATACGAAGCGAAAAGACAACACGTACTGGGAGTGGATCGAGAATTACATTGCCGAGGACTACTCAGAGGCTGTGAGGCTGGGTTCAGGTACTGTTCCCCCTGAGTCCATTACGAACGAAACAGAACTGACAGCAGCAGACCTTTTGGAAGAGCACGCAGCACTACAGTCGCCAACGAGGGTGGAGGAGCTGGTCAAGATCTTTGTCCACGCTACCAAAGTACGTACACTCACAGCTCTTGCTTCCCTGCAGACCAGGCTAACAGGTCTCGATAGATGGAGATTGGGTTCTGGGAAATGTTTCCTCACAAATAGACGGGGGACAAATCAATGAAATCCAAAAGGGCTTGCCATTATCTGTCTACTGCGAATAACCAACCCCCTGTGGCGCCACCACGACCCTCCGGGGGGCCTCCTCATCTGGCATCATCAGCCCGTAGCCTTGCTCTGGTACAGGATCCCGCGCCAGCCGCTTGATCTGGTGGCGAACCCACATACTGACAGTCCGGAACTGTGGCACGGACGACGCCTGGGAGTACTGTGTGTAGACTGTGTCGCGGGACCGGTGCATGACCGGCAGTGGCGGTGGGAACATTTCATCCCCGTCGTCGGGCTCGGGAACGCGCCGTGGCGGTGGGTGCAGAGGCGTCGGAGGGATGAATGTTCCGTTCCCATAGGCAGAGGACAGTGAAGACTCGGTCGGTGAGTAGGGGGGTTGCGGGTTGGACGCCGCGTACCCAAAAGCCGCATGAGACGGCGCCGTTGGTGGGGCCGCATAGGTCTCCAAGGTGGCACTGGTCACCCGGATGTCAGGCTGTACGGCCGGGGGCTTGTCGGGGAGGTACGCCAGCAAATCCTTCTCGCCGATGGGGGCAGTCTTCTCGGGCGCGTCAATATTGAGCCAGGTGCGGTCAGCATAACGCCTTTCGAGAAAGGGAACGCGCCGCAGCAAAGACGGGGGTCGATATCGTCCGGAAGCGGACCCGCGGCTTTTATCAGGATCTTGACGGCGCCGAATACAGCGTGCGAGGAACCACAGGCCAATACCCAAGCACACGACGCCGGCTACGGATGGTCAGTATGCTGCCATGTTCACAGCGCCATGTTAGGGACTCACCGATAGATCCCACAATGATCAGAGCCATTCTGGTGTCCTGGTGATGTTGCATCTCAGCCTCTCTGGAGGCCTCGGCCGAGGCATTTGGATTGGGGCTAGATGTCGAGCCGGTCTCCTGCCCACTAGGCACCGACTTGGAGGGTGGCGGCTCAAGCCTGATACTTCCAGAAGAATCGGGAGGTGGTGGTCTGGGTGAAATGGAGGGACGCTGGTCATCCTCGGAATCAGAGTCAGACGGTTCGCCGTCGTCCTCAGAGTTGCTCGAGTCGATACCAGAGTCAGACAATGAGTCCCCGCTCGAATCTGTGTCGTCGGTTGGCCTAGCCGTAGGGATGGACGTCCTCGAAGTGATGGATGCAGTGGTCGACGTCTATTCCTGTTAGCCCAGCTCCTCTCCACGGGTTCGTCGACTGACCACTGAGATCGTCACAAAGGGGGGCGCGTTGACAAAGTCCATAAGTGAAGAGGTTGTCGTGGGCATAACCGTATCGTCGACAGGCAGCGCAGCGTCGTTGCTGGGTAGTGCGGATGGCCATGTGCTCCCAGGCACGCTCGCGGTCGCTTCCATGGTCGTCGATCTCGATGCGTCCTCACCAACGAAGATAGATTGTGGGATCTGCGACCTTCGCTTTCGCCGTCTCCGGGGCGGCGCGCTATTCTCGTGGCCATCATCATCGCCGCCAATCGTCCACTCCAGGACCTCGACATTGGCTGCACCCTTTCCAGACGCCAAGCGTCGTCGCCTGTGCGCGTGTTGGGCTGGGGCCATTCTCAGCGGCGATCGAATGCTCGGGGGTGAAGTCTCTTGGGGTGAACAACATCGGCAGAGCTGTGACAAAAGATGGTACCAGGTTGACGTGGGATGAGGAAGGTAGAGGTCCAGCCTAAGAGAATGGGACGAGACACGGTCAACGTGAATGGGGAGGAAGCGGGAAGGGAACCATCACAGCCTGGCGGATCGAAAAGAATATGGACAGCGCTCGGGGAACTCCCTCACACGACACGAGAGTCTCGAACGAGGCTCGGCACCAGAAGGTCCCTGTTTCCGTTATCGACTACGCCTTCTTGGACCCTTGGAGCGCGTTTGAGCACAGAGAGAATCCAATGAATTACATCGGGCCTGCTCAAGGGGGCGAAGCGCCGGCTGGCCCAGACTTCCGCGCCACTTTTCGCTTGCGGATTGATGTAACGGCCGACATGGCACAGTCTCGCGATGTTTCGATATGCTGCAGTGTTGGGAGACGGGCGTCTGGTGTTGAGGATCTTACGGGACGAGTGTGTCAAGAACCCCCGTGTCTTGGGTTTCAGACCTCTGCACCTTGCGTGTCAGACATGTATCATGGTTTCGAACGGGAATCGTCTGCCGGTGGCGATTGACAGTGTTTACGGTAAGCAGGTGAGGCGCATGATGATGGGCTGTGCCTGGTCACTTTTTGCATATGTGATATGTGTCGTGCAGCTCTTTTTATGTTCAGTCCATGTTGACGAGACGCAGTGGTTGTCGCTGATCACGTGACTAGCTGGCCTTTCTTGGCTGGTAAAATATCGCCAGTATCTCTTGGCTGCAAGTCCATCTGCTGGGAGTAAATACATAACGCTCAGCTGCTGCATTAAATATGGATTCTTATCAGGCAATGTCAATACGTACACGAATAAAGGGAAGATTGGTGGTAGGCCAAGAATTCCTCCCATGGCAGCATCACTGAGCGAAGCCCATTCGCGCGCTTCCAGTACGCGACATCGCGCCAAAAGACCTCGGCGATTTCCCCGTGCTAGCTGAGGGCTGATGAAAGCTTGGTCGGTGTGAGACACTCGGATTGGCTTCCACTGATGATTCTGGCATGTGCCTGAGTACTTGCCAGTCTCTGTGAAGAGATGGTGCGGTTAACGAACATGATGTATGGCCGGTCCGCGGTCTTTGGCTGTGATGCCTCGGTCTTCATATGGGTGAACGAACTACCCGGTGCGTCCCGACATTGTTCCAAAGAAAGATTGTGTGTGCGACATCTCAAGCTTCCAATCGCTCGCAGAGATAGCCGCGATCCAATCGCAAGTATGCACCAGCGTGGGTGGTCTTGCAACCTCCACAAGTCGACAATTGTTCTGATCATGTTGAGCCTCAGTCATTGCCAGCCATCTGGCAACTAACGTCAGTACCTGCTATCAGTGACCTGATAGCTGGGCAGGCCGCAGGGTGGCTGTTTTCGCCAGGAGGCATTCCATTTGATTGGCCGTCGGGGAAACCGGTAATGAAGAGATTCAGTGTCCGGGTAATCACCCGGCTATATTCACAGGGCATGTTCAATTGCTGGCGCGCTGTGACTGGAGTCCATGTCGCGACTGGACGTCTACAACTCTACCACTCTACCACTAAATTATTGACTGTGACAATTAGCGACCGAGGTGCCAGCACATCAGCCGGGCCGGCCACGGACTAGCTAGAGCCTGATGCAGCCTCAGGCAGGCTGGCAGCTGGCTGGAGCCCACCTAATTACCTCAATGCTGTGTAATGGCGCTGTGACTGCGTGGAATTATCACTGGGCAGCGGGATCCATCCATCCATCCATGACTTGTGGGCCGGACCGGTCGCGCTGAAAAAAAAAAGGAAGCGCCCATGAAGGGAGATAGATGACTACCTTACTCTTATCGCTCGCTCTGGTGGGATAATCCTCCAATTCTCGTGCTTCTAATCATCCTCATACCTTAATGTTCTAATTCCTCTCGTTCTCGACTCCGTTTGACGGTGCGTCAACTTCGCCTTCTCTACAGCTGCCGCTCCAATCGAGCTCTGGCGCAAAATGACCTCCTCAGCCCGCGCTGTGGCCAAGATGCCCTTGATGGCAGGACGCTTTACTCCTGCCATGCCCATCGCTACTCCCACATCCAGGATGCTCTCGACAATCTCGAGGGCGACGCGCTCACCAGCTGCGCGCCCCGTGGCCAAGTCCGCTGCCACGCTCAAGCTGGCGCAGACCGGCCGCATCGCCTTTCGAAGGGCCTACGCTGACGAAGCACCCAAGCCAAAGCCTGGCAAGCTGAGGAGGACGTTCAGGTGGGCTTGGCGCTTCACCTACCTCTCTGTCCTCGGTGTCCTAGGCTACACAGGCTACATCATCTACCTCGATCGCAACCCTGCCGAGCAGCTCGAACGCGACCCGAACAAGAAGACATTGGTCGTCCTGGGTAAGTCATCAATGACCATGAGCTACCTGCACAGGTTCACTGACGAGCAAAGGTACTGGATGGGGCTCCGTCGCTCTGCTGAAGAAGCTCGATACCGAGAACTACAATGTCGTCGTCGTCTCCCCCCGAAACTACTTCCTGTTCACACCACTCCTGCCCTCGTGCACGACGGGAACCATTGAGCACCGCTCCATCATGGAGCCTGTTCGCGCCATCCTCCGTCACAAGCGCGGTGCTGTCCAGTTCTACGAAGCCGAGGCCTCGAGCATCGACCACGAGCGCAAGGTCGTCAAGATCACCGACAACTCCGAAATCAAGGGCGCCGTGGTTGAGAATGAGATTCCCTACGACATGCTCGTCGTCGGTGTCGGCGCTGAGAACGCCACCTTTGGCATCCCTGGCGTGAGGGAGAACTCGTGCTTCCTCAAGGAGATTGGCGATGCGCAGCGCATCCGCAAGAAGATCATGGACTGCGTGGAGACGGCGGCTTTTAAGGATCAGAAGGATGACGAGATTAACCGTCTCATGCACATGGTGGTTGTCGGCGGTGGTCCTACCGGTGTCGAGTTTGCCGGTGAGCTCCAGGACTTTTTCGAGGAGGACATCAAGAAACTCGTGCCCGAAATCAGCCCGCGCTTCAAGGTCACCCTGATCGAGGCGCTGCCTAACGTCCTGCCCTCCTTCTCCAAGCAGCTCATCGACTACACCGAGAACACCCTGCGCGAGGAGAAGATTGACATCAAGACCAAGACCATGGTCAAGAAGGTCACCAGCGAGACTGTCGAGGCCGAGGTTGTGAAGCCTGACGGCACCAAGGAGCGCGTTGTTATCCCGTACGGCCTGCTCGTCTGGGCCACGGGTAACGCCGTCCGCCCCATTGTCAAGGATCTCATGAGTCGCATCCCGGCCCAGAAGGACTCACGCCGTGGCCTCGCTGTGAACGAGTACCTCGTCGTGCAAGGCACCCGCGACATCTGGGCCATTGGTGACTGCGCCGTGGCCGGCTATGCCCCTACTGCGCAGGTCGCCGCGCAGGAGGGCAACTTCCTCGGCAGCCTGTTCAACAACATGGCCAAGACGGAGAGCCACGAGAACCGCATCCACGAGCTCAGCAGCCAGATGAACCTCCAGGCCGGGGGCACCCCGCCCGCCGAGGCCGCCCAGGAGATCGAGGCGCTCGAGCGCCGCCTCAAGAAGATCCGCGACATCAAGCCTTTCCGCTACACCCACCAGGGCAGCATGGCCTACATTGGCAGCGAGAAGGCTGTCGCTGATGTGAGCTGGTGGAACGGCAACTTTGCCTCCGGTGGCAGCATGACCTACCTCTTCTGGCGCAGTGCGTACCTGTCCATGTGCTTCAGCAGTAAGTTCCTCCCCCATATCGTTAACCCAAGGACCCGTGGCTGACAACAGCAGCTCGCAACCGTGTGCTCGTCGTGCTGGACTGGCTCAAGTCCAAGGCGTTTGGCCGCGACATTTCTCGCGAATAGAGTTCATGCCTTTGTACAAGTAAAGGCAGTGTGGATGACACGTTGGTGTTCGTCCTAACATATGATAGATTGAGGGTTTTTGGGAACGGCAATAGACGCGTGGCATGGTTTCTGGATACTGGCTCTGCCCGATGAATCGGGATCTTTTGTAATGAATATCGCAGCCGGTGTGTTTTGTACACTGCAATAAGAAATACGGCATCCTGATTTGCTTTGTGGTTTTTTCTCCTACTTCGTTGTTCGCTGTGTCGTCTTCATCCTTGTATTGCGAGCTTTTGATGAGGAAGTGTGTGTTGCGATGAATACCATGTCACATTATGCTCCGTCTACTTCAAACTTACACTCTTCCTATAGCCTGTAAAAACTTGAGCAGTATTGGACATCTCGAGCAATTATTTACAAAGCCAAATTGGGTTGCCTCTCGATCGTCCAAGGTTGATTAAAGGATATGCCAACTGTGTAGGGTAGCTTGAACTTCCTATTCGCCTCTTCAGCTATCGATAAGCCGATTGACCATGATGTGGCCTGATACAGTTAGAGCGGACTTGGCACTCAGTTTTTTTTTTCTTAGCGGCGAAAAAACGCAGGCCGGCCCATCTTAATCAGGCGCAGGGTCCTTCCTTCCTCCAGGCTAGAATTGCGCTGACAAGAAATTTCCCCCTTCCATATTTCCTTCTCACATCTCCTCCATCCATCAACCCTTTCCTCTTTTCCCTCTCAACCCGCGTTCCAGGATCATCGTTTGCTATCAAAACGCACGATCTGACGCTCATTTTCAATCATTCTCACGACGACGGTTCGACCCGTTTGCTTGTCTCTCGACGCGTTCTTCCCGACGCGCACATTGAACCCCGACTTTTCAACGACCGACACAGCAACCCTCAATCATCATGTCTGGATTCGGTGATCGCAACGGAGGAGGCTACGGCGGCGGTGGCGGCGGCTACGGCGGTGGTGGTTACGGCGGTGGCCGTGGCGGCTATGGCGGTGGTGGTCGTGATCGCGGCGGCGACCGTGGTGGTGACCGTAACGGCTACGGCGGCGGAGGGTGAGTACTTTTTCTAGCATCGCGTGGCATCCCGCCCTGGCGGCATGTCGCGCTTCTCTCGTGTTCCCAACTGACAAAGTATAGTCGCAATGGCTTCGGCGGTGGCGGCGGCGGTGGTGGTTACGGAGGCGGCGGCGGCTACGGTGGAGGCGCCGGCGGCGGTGACCGCATGAGCGCTCTCGGAGCCGGTCTGAGGCAACAAGAATGGGGTATGTTTCTTTGCTCATGATTCCCACATGGCTCATCATCTTGCTAACGCTCAACAGATCTCTCTACTATGCCCAAGTTTGAGAAGTCCTTCTACAAGGAGGCCCCCGAGGTCACCAACCGCTCGCAGGCTGAGGTCGACGAGTTCCGTCGCAAGCACCAGATGACCGTCGCTGGCAGCAACATCCCCCGCCCTGTCGAGACTTTCGACGAGGCCAACTTCCCCCGTTATGTCATGGACGAGGTGAAGGCTCAGGGTTTCCCTGCTCCTACCGCTATCCAGTCTCAGGGCTGGCCCATGGCCCTGTCGGGTCGCGACGTTGTCGGTATTGCCGAGACTGGTTCCGGAAAGACTCTTACGTACTGTCTGCCCGCCATTGTGCACATCAACGCCCAGCCTCTGCTTGCCCAAGGCGACGGCCCCATCGTTCTTGTCCTGGCCCCCACTCGTGAGTTGGCCGTTCAGATTCAGCAGGAGATCACCAAGTTCGGTCGGTCTTCGCGCATCCGCAACACCTGCGTCTACGGTGGTGTTCCCAAGGGACCTCAGATCCGCGACCTGTCGCGTGGTGTCGAGGTCTGCATTGCCACCCCCGGCCGTCTGATCGACATGCTCGAGGCTGGCAAGACCAACCTCCGTCGTGTTACCTACCTTGTCCTCGACGAGGCGGACCGCATGCTTGACATGGGTTTCGAGCCTCAAATCCGCAAAATCATTGGTCAGATCCGTCCCGACCGTCAGACTCTCATGTGGTCAGCCACCTGGCCCAAGGAGGTCCGTGCCATGGCCGGAGACTTCCTCCAGGACTTCATCCAGGTCAACATTGGCTCCATGGAGCTCGCTGCCAACCACCGCATCACCCAGATTGTCGAGGTTGTTACCGAGATGGAGAAGCGTGACCGCATGATTAAGCACCTCGAGCAGGTCATGGACGACAAGGACAACAAGATCCTCATCTTCGTCGGCACCAAGCGTGTCGCCGACGAGATTACCCGCTTCCTTCGCCAGGACGGATGGCCAGCGCTGTCCATCCACGGTGACAAGCAGCAGAACGAGCGTGACTGGGTCCTCGACCAGTTCAAGACGGGCAAGAGCCCTGTCATGGTGGCCACCGACGTCGCCTCGCGTGGTATCGGTAAGTTATTGACCCCCCTCCCCCTCCCCTCCCCCATGGCAACTTCCAGCATCCCACTGCTGCTGTACTTTACTCTCGTGTCTAGGGGCTCTCTTGAATGCGCGAACTTGCCTGATGAACATGTCCACTTGGTTCTCTCCCGTGGGGTCTTGATCTGCGACGTAGCTCTTGGCCTGCTACGTCCGATGTGTCCACTCTTGTACCGGCTTTGCACTCTCATGGTACGAGCGTGGATCGGCAACGTTTGATTGCTGCTTCGTCGATCAAAAGCTTGTAGCACAAGACTCCCTTGTCTCGAGGACCGTGTGACTGCCCATACCAGGGCTGCAAATCTTCTCGCACTTGGATTGCCCCCAAGTTCCATGGAGTGAAGCATTGGCGCGCCGATATATCATTAGCTGCCCAACCTTCATAAATCTCCCGCTGGATGTTGCTATACAAACCTTCTCGCGCCTGCTAACCTGTAATTCGCAAAGACGTTCGCAACATCACACATGTGTTGAACTACGATTACCCCAACAACTCGGAAGACTACATTCACCGTATTGGTCGTACCGGTCGTGCTGGCAACAAGGGTACCGCCATCACCCTTTTCACTACTGACAGTGAGTATCCACGAACCGATTGGCCGGATCATCGCTAACAGCCTCGATAGACCAGAAGCAAGCTCGTGACCTCGTCAACGTGCTCCAGGAAGCCAAGCAGAACATCGACCCTCGCCTTGTAGAGATGACTCGCTACGGCGGCGGTGGCGGTCGTGGCTACGGTGGTTATGGTCGCGGCCGCGGTGGTGGCCGAGGTGGGTGGCGCCGTTGAAGCAACAATGCGACATCCACGGGCTGACCGGTCTCTCAGCAAATGCCAACAGCGCTCCGCTCGGCAACCGACGATGGTAGATGGCCGATGCCACACCGCCTCTCGTAAAAGCTTCCGGAGGCAACGCAACGACACCTTGCTGGGAAACACGCTCCCCATGATAATTTGAAGCAACCCTTGGTTGGGTCGAGTACCCCGGCGTTCGGTAGAGGATTCACGGACCTTTTTTTTTTTTTTTTTTGATCTTTTATTTGTATCGTTGCTATTAGACATGATGTGTGCGTTGCCAACTGTGCCGCATCTGCATTTTCTTGCTTTGTTTGCTGGTACACGCGACCACGGAGAAAAAAGATTGATACCTCACCCCAGGTTTGAGCATGGACAGTGAGCCGCTCTACAGCCTGGCCCCAGGCAGAGTCTGTGCTTAGGGTCGATAGACATAGTAATGGACATTGCACATTTGTTACTTCCGAGTCCCTTTGAAAACCTTGTTGCATGTATAGGGCAGCTCTCAGATCTTAGTGTAGGAGAAAGGTCTGTCTGTTCCAGGCTGAAGGCATCTCGTGCAGATTTTGATTCCGAGACCTGTTCATCAACTCGAATGTCACCTTGTGTCTTGTCATGAACTTTACTTCTCCTTAAACCTTGACCTGGCCATCTTGACGCCATGTTCGCCAAAAGGCATATGCCTCTTGGCATCTCAAGACCCTGCGACCTTGGGTTGCCTAGACGATTGTGTGTGCTGTTCTCTAGCATGTATGATCCGCACATACTATCATACGCACAATGATTGGTCTTCCACCACCGTACAGGTCGTTCAGCAGCCTTGGTTTACCAATTTCAGAAACCAGGAGAAGAATTATAATGTTCATTCGAATCCAACAGCGACAGCCAACGCACCTGGCGGTCCAAGTACTTGAGCAAATCTCGCAACCAAGACCTGCTGTTGCCCTCCTCACATGACCGCCGATCTGCTATAGACCTGCGCGCCTGAGTATCACTTCTTGGTGCGCTCCGTTTGCGTGGGAGCAACAGAACATTGTGTGGATCGAATGGGGTCCTCCAGGTTGACCGTTGACGTGCTCGGCAGGGCCGCTGCTAGCCCTGCCCCGAACGTTGTCGGCCACAAACTTGGGTCGTAGTAGTGCGTACTTGTAATAGCTGGACCGACCGACATCCTGCGAGGATATCCGGTCGCTCTTTGTGGCTGTGCGGGCGTGCCCTCGAATCGATCACGTCAACAAAGACACTGCACACAGTCTTCTCTCAATATTCGCCATACGTATCCGTCTCATCAAGTTAGCAGCTCGTCGTTTCCAAAGTCCAGTCGGTGATTGATCGTCGCCTCCCCGGGGGTGTGGAACCAGCAAAGTCAAATCTGAATCGCTTTGCACACCCTTGGCGTACGCAGTCTATCTGCGGCTGTCTCGAAGCAGAAGAGTCGTGTGTGCCCACGCAAGTTCAGCCGTGCTGGCTCTTGTCGAGTGGCCCAGAGCGGCGGGGAAATTGGAATGGGCGATCGAATGCATTCTGTGCAGTGCCTCTGGCCCCTGAAGACCACGGCTGGAGGCCATAGCTGAAGTCATGAGATACTGATGGGCTGGAGCAGATACGTAGCCCATAAGTAGCTTCCATAGTAAGTAGTATGTGCCTTGCTAGTTCTTCTAGTTTGGCGCAACTAGCAAGAAAGCCTCCTACTTCCCCAGCTTCCTTCTGAGACGACACGAGGCCAACCGCGCTTTTGGTCGGCGCCATTCCGAGTCCTGTGCGTAGAACAACGCTACGGCACCATGAGTCGGGTTGACATGAGATTTTGGGGGCCGCCAGTGTTTGCTTGTCAACTGGCTAGAGCCTAGAGGCACGGCATCCGGGCCCTAGACCTGCGCCGGTCCCGGCTCTGCGTGAACTAATACCCTCCATCACAGCGTGACAGTGACACCGCTCCTCGGAGTGTCTCAGAGCCAAGGCACCTGTGGCGTTCGTCACCGTGAATCACAGCAGCCCAGCTCTGTGGCACGGGGCTGTCTTTGTTCATGCTCAAGTAGGAGGGGGGTTGGTGTCCAGTCCGCGTGAAGACGAGGCGACTCTTTTCACTACCCAACCCATTGCGACACAAAATTTGCCAGGATCGAGAGGACTGGACTTTCCAATCGAGTTAGCTCTGAACTTTTGCACCCGTCATCGTGGGGTTGGAGCTAGTGTTTAGTTTGTAGATGGCGCTAGACCACGCCTTCGACAGGCCTCTCTCAGGCTCCTCCTGAGTAGATAGGCAAGTGTGCCACTGCGTATGTTGGCCAAAGTCCACGGTCAAGATGGCACCTGCATAGCATTGGCCGAAGTTATAATACCAGTTGGCAAACTCTGGATTGTTCAGTCGCCTCACTGACGCATCGGCATTTGTCGTTACGTATTGGAGGGCAGGCAGCGCCATGATCGCAAGCTGCAGCGCCAAATGATTTGCGCCAGGGTGTTGCTGCATGTACTCCTGACTAGAATAGGGAGCTAAGATACTGGCGCGTCTCCGCTCTACGCGTTGAGACTGTCGAGACCAAAGACCAACAACATGATGGCAGAGCCTGCGAGTATAATCAGCGGAGAGACGCGTCGATGTTCTCAGGAGCATTGGGCTCATGGTCGGTTGTGAGGAGGCTGGCGATGAACGCCAGCTACGTGTCATGACTTGCACCACAGCATCTTCATTGTGTGGTCCGTGGTACTCATGTGAGACAACAAGCTGCATTCGGCCAAGTTATGCGGCCCAATCTGGCGACAACATTCCAATATCGTATGGTAATTCCGAATCCGCGCAGCGAGATGCTACCTTCGCAGATCTCTGTGACCCAGACGAGAGCCCTCTTGCGAGCGCCTCTGACCCCAACGAGGCGACGCACCGCCCCAGTGCTGCAAGGGCGTTGCATTGTCAACTCTCTTGTTGGAGAAGGACCGTGACTTTCGGGCGTCACAAATCCCGCGGTGGCTTGGCATGTGGCATTGGTGCAGATCGACAAAACTTGCAGCCCAGCACCACCCTGAGCCCCGAGGGGCCAGAAGTGTGTCGAGGCCGACAAGTTGGAGGGTGTGGCGGTAAAAGGAGGTTCGCCAAGGGGACGACTACTGGACCCAACCCGATGATGCGCATCATGGAGTGCCCCTTTTTATCGTCTTGCCATGGCCAGACAGCATGCCGCGACACGGCCGATATTCCAAATTTCCAATTGATCACTGATCACGCGGGTGGGGGTCGAAAAACTCTGTTGTCGAGAGCGCGATAGCGTCATGAGGGGTTCCCAGCCACGAGCATTCTGCATGCTTTTAGGCATTGTAGAAGCAGCAGTCAGGTCTCGAGGCTCGGTCTCGGTAACTAGTGACTAGTAGTAGATCTTCGCGTGTGTGGGAGCCAGTGCGCTGGGAAGATGAAACAGTTCCGAGATGCAAGTTTGGCGAGCTAGACACTTTGGCATAGTCGGGGGACTGGCTGAGACTGCCCGCCACTGTGGTTTTAGTCTGGCACCGTCTCATATCAACGTGCAAGGCTTGCGATAGCTTCCCACGTTCCTGGCCGTCGTCGGGTATCGTGTCCGCGCCGCGCTTGTCTCCCAGTATCGTGGGGTATGTAGTAGTGATGCGACTGCAAGAGCCATCTCTCGGGTCACATCAACAGACGTTTGCGGTCACCTGCTCACGACGAAGAGAGAGAGTAATAAAGATGCGTGTCGCACGTTGCAATGCATTCACCCTCCACCCAGTCGGCTCCGATCCGCACCTTGCCAACCATCATGTGAATCGAGTTCTGCGAATTGACGAATACATTTCGCAGCTCTCCAGACCTTCTGTTGCAAGGCACCAATGATGCTCGTTGTCTGCCGGTATGGAACTTGTCCAGAGCGAGGAGTTGCTCTTGATTGGGCCCCGAAACGGCACTAGGCAAGCACACAGTGTTTGTCATTGATCATGTCCGCGAGTCTGTCCGTTCGACGCTAATAATTACTAGAGGGACTTTTCCATAATCGTGGTCCTTGACTCTTCATCAATGTGGAAGCTCCAAGTGGGATTGGCTCTCAAGGATACGAGTCAACGCGTACTGAAAGACGTCGAGCCTTCATGAATGCAGTGCGGGAAACCGCGGCCAGGGAGGGAGGGTGCGCAAAGCTGGCGACTGAGACATGCTGGCAGTTTGGCAAGGAATGCTGTGGGTCTTTGTTCAGCTGGTTGAGCGAGCGCGAGGCCTGGACACGAGGAGCATTGTCGAAGTCGGCGTGTTTGGGGGTTTGAAACCCCTAATTAACCTCACTGACGAGGCGACAGCATTGCAGAGCATTGGCCTGAGAAAACTGATCGGGCCACACAGACACTTGCTTACGCTCGAGCTGGCCTATCCGAACCCGTCGCAATATTATGCCGCGCCTGATACCAGACGTTGATGTTATCGACCCCAGTTTCCGGGGACCTGAAGCTACTAATTAGCACTGCCAGATTTCGAGCCAACTGATACGGAGTTAAATAAATGCAGCTCGCGACTTCCTCAATCTTCCATTTGTAGCACAGATGCACTCAGTCTCTCATGTGGAGCCAGTGGTGAAGTCGAGGTTGTGAAAAGGTAGGCGGACGTTGGGCCGTGACAATTATGCGTCTTCAATGAAGGCAGCTCTGGGCAGCGTCACGCCTGGATGTGCTTGTAGAAGCAGCCTGAGGCAGACGGGTTACTAAGCTTCTGACTAAGCACAGTGAATGCACCTTGAGCCCGGCAAGTCGAGCGCCGAACTTGGATGCGATGTCAATTGTTTTGGCTTCGACAGCCTTTCGTGTAAACATCGTGACATCTCGTCATGGTGGTTGTTTTCCATCCTGGTCTAGTTGCTGCGCTAAGCTGTTAGTTTGATAGAGTGATTTACGGTGCAGTAGGGCCATCTGACGACCATGCCTGGATTGGCAGGCCTAAAAAGCTAGTGGTGGACAACGATCAACAAATTAACAATGTTTCCTGATTATAATCAGTATTATGGCGCAGTCGCAATTGCGGGGACGCGAATGATGAATCGAAATCAGCATGCTTGTATTTATCACACGCCGGACATGTCGCTCTCTTGCTCTCTCTGGCTATCTGTGCCGTTTTCACCGACTAACTAAAGCATTGATGAATTCCTAATGCATCCGCACTGACACTGCCGTCCGTACCTGTCTGGGCGGGCATCTCGCACTGTAACAGCCGCGAATAAACTGTGGATGTGTATTATCATTATTGCCCAGGACCAGCCTGGTTCAGGATCCAGCGTCCAGTCATTGTAAATACCAAGTACGTGGTGCTTTTGCTCCCACTCTACGGTTGATCACACAAAAGAACCACATCCGCAGCTGAAACGCGCCCGGGACTAGCCCCTGACACTGCGAAAAACGCGCTCGAGACGACTTGCAACGGTATCAAACCGGCAGCAGCAATGTGGTGTGTGTTTCGAATCCCCCACTTCCGCCCTGGCGGAACCAGCCCCAACTGACCAGCCCCCTCTCTTCCTGGCTCTGTACTGTGCGGAAGATGCGCCCCACTGAGCCAGCTGAGGTTTCGTGCATGACGAGGACGAGGGAGCCGGCGTGCGGGCAGGCAGGCAGGCAGGCGGATGCGCCAAATCGCCGACCACAGAGAGCCGACTCTGCCAGCTTGAAATTACCAAGCCAAGGTAGGCTCACATTGGGTAATTCGAGAGAGGGTGGGCACGGTCCGGATGTGCTTTGGGTTTTGGCTGCTTGATCAATCGGTCATTATGAGAAGCCAGCGCATAATACAATGTGCAGCCGTCGTATATAGTAGGCATTTGCTTATTATAGGCTCGTGAGGTCGTAGCCTGTGTAATATGTGACAAGTAGTAGTCGTAGATGCACTACTGCTTGCTAGTCGTAGATCCAGGAACCAAGCACACGGCTTAGATCTAGCACCCAACGGCGCCGGCAGACAAATTAATTAGTCGCAGAATGGGCCCCGGAATCGGGGGCGGCTGGTGCTACCACGCGAGCAAGTGCACGAAATTTGGTAATTCATTCCATCATAGGCCCTCCTAACAAGTTAGAGGGGGAGCAGTTAGTGCGTGATCACCTGCTCCCCCTGCATGATGTAGGAGTTCTACAGTGACTACTCCGTAGTACTACATACAACCCGCATGCCTTGCCAAAAGGTCACATGGCTGTCGGGCAGAATGCCGCGGCAAGCCCAATAACTCTGATCAATAATGTTGCGGCCGACTGGACCAGCAGCACAACCACCGTCGTAATGAGTGACTGGATCCCAAGAATATTGACAATGACACGGGGGGTTGGGTGCGCCGGTGTGGTGCCTGGCACTGGAGTGATCCTAATTACAGCGACTGGACTGCCTGTGCCCCCGCTGTCGCTAGCGTCATCTGAGAACCGACCCATCGGGCTCGTGTCCGCTCTTGGGCTGTAAGCATGCATCACTCATCGGCACCCGCCGGCTGCTAGTATCCGCTAGGAGAAATATCGACATCTACTAACTTACATACGTACTAACTACTCTTGAATTATCTGATGCGTCAGATCACGAGGGCTTCTGAGGTAGCAGTACTTGCAGAATAAAGAGCGCTCAAGCTCTCCGTGATTTCGTCATGGGCCGGCAGCCAAGGGCGCATTGCCCTTGTTGACCTCGAGCTGACAACCGAAGTTACCGAACACGTCTGTGAGGATTGTTGACTGCCAGCCACCTGCTGTTCTGCGGATCAACGGCAGAAGCACGCCACTACAAGGACTACGACAGAGGTTATGCATGACTGCGGTCATCACATGGTTCCCCGACCGCTTCGACATGATTCCAGGTCAACTGTTGGACCATTGCATTCGGCTGGCGTAGCACATTCTGCTCCATGTCCCTGTACTTGACGCGTTTGCGAGCCGACGGGAGCTGCGAAAGCGTGCGAAGCCCATATTATCATGGTGCCCTCCCCGAGACCCCCCGAATGACATTCGCAGGCATTTGGGGTGCGTGTAGAAACAAGAGACGTAAATACCTGATTGGCCAGTCCGACCTGCAGCAGAGAGCTCGCAGATCAGTTGCAACATGGGGGCCCTGGCACTGTGATTTCCGTGCACACTGTGGACGACGCATGCGTGCGGATCTGCACCCATGGACGGACGACATGGACGCCGTGGGCAAATGCGCTTTTGCATTGCATTCACATACGTATTCGGTGACTCGTCTGACAGCAAGAGAATTCTCGTGAGCCGCGGCGACAAAGGCTGGCTGGGGTGGCTGGCAACTGCTTGCCGGACCAACTTGTTACCGGCGCATCAGATTAGGACAATGTTGCTCGTACTACGTACTGAGCGGAGAAGTCATCTAAGGCGATACAAAAGACAGACTCGGAAATTGAGCGAGAGGGGGGAGAAGAGTGCAGAAAAACGATGACGGTGATCATGATGATGTCCGCAGGTCGTAGCACTCGTCTTTTTTGGAACCAGGTTGCATTGATGCTACGTATTGCCCACATTGTCGGAAGATTCGGTATAGGACATGGTAACCGCAGTTTTCTGGTTACTTACGTACCTAAATCGTGGACTTACTACGGAGTATTTAGAGAGTCTATCTCAACAGCGCATAATTAACTGGTAAGTAGAGCTCGGGATGGGCGGTGACGAGAAGGGGACAAATGCTGAGCGGCGTCTTGGGCGTTGCACGTGGAAGGTGCAGGGTTATGGCCCCTCGACGCGCCCACGTGAGTGCGTCCTTTGCCGTGGTCACCATCAAGTGCCGAAGAAGGGCGAAATGACTGCATTGGCGAATGGGCCGGGAAAACGCGCACTCTTATACCTTTACTACGTCGTCATCAGGGCAACAAGGTATAATAGAGCATAGCTGATTTGGATGCGCTACGTTATTAGTGAAGCTATCATACAAACAACTCGAACCGTTGCTGGCCACACAACAGGCCCAAAGCTAGAGGAGAGCACAGACATGGATGGAGTGCAGTGCTGCCGCGTGCAGCACCTACGTACTGCTACTGTAGGTAGCTGGCAAGCCTGGCAGCGATCAGAGACGCGCTAAAGCCGAGTGCAATAATGATTGCATGGTGAGATGGGGGGCAGATCGACAAGAGGAACAGGGGGGTGCCTGCATTCATCTTGCGGCCAACCCATGTCTGCCTGCTTGCCTCGCACCCATTGGAGTCTCCATGTCTCCGCACGTCTCTTGGAGTTGCTGTTTTATTGCCCTCATCGTGGTCTGCGGCAGCAGGCGCGGTCTGGTCAACCAGGTAGCAAGACCCCCATCATCTGGTCCAAATTCTTCGCGCCGAGGGGATGGTCATCGGCCTGGAGGTATAGCCGTAGTAGTAATAGGTACGAAGTGATAAGTTGGGAATAAGCAAATGAATATATGGGTGACTGGCTGCCTGATGCAGGTTGGTGAGGTGACTGACAAATTGTCTGTCCCTCCACCCGACCGGCCGGCCCACCGCCCACCGACTCCAGTCCCAGTTCCAGCTGCTGGGTTCCAGTTCGTGCTCTGAGTCCGATCGTTACTTTTTTTCCTCAGCTGCAGCAGCCAGTCACGTTTTCTCCCCGATTTTTCTGCGGCCCTCCCCATCTCAATAAATCTCGACTCAGGTCCAGCTGAGCTGAGCAAGCGCATTCACCTCACCGCGTTTCTTCGGTCGCGCTCGTCTAGCCAAGTCCTGCCCGCAAGCAAAAGTGAGCAAGAACGCGCCTTCTCTCTCGCGCCGCACGCAGCCAACATATCGCCAGCTGTAATCCACTACAGGGCCTCGCATCGCGCTAAACTCCAGTGTTATACTGAGCCCGTTGCATCAATTCTTCCATCCAAGTCTAGCGCCACTGCCCGAGTCAAGCGGCAGATCCGGCAGCGCCATCTTCGCAGCGCGAGCTACCAACGTTAGTCTCGCACCAAGAACACCGAAACCAACCACGCTTGTCCTCTCGCGGTTTGGCGGCTTTCGGCGGGATCAGAATCGTCCTTCCCCATCATCACACGCCCCTATCCAGCACAAGTCCCACTGTACCAGCACGGTACATGAGCTGTGATCGACGAGGCGCAAACCTTCACTAAACCTACGGCCAGGTCCCATCGCTCGCGGCGCTTCTCCTGCTGCCATACAAGAAAGCGCGATCTGCCGGCGCGCGGCTCGCACTTCCCTAACTTGCTTTCACACTGGTCTGGCCTGGTCTCACTTCCCTCCTCCAATCGTCACTATTTTGTCTCTGGAATCGTCAGGGCCTTCTTTACACCTGCGGAAAGACCATTTCTGCCTTGTTCACTTGCTGGCTGTCGTCTCCAAGTCCTACTCCGCCGACTCTTTGCACTATTTTGGCACCGTGTCGCGCGCGCGCAAGCACTAGTTTGACTATTCTGACATTGCCAACGATATCACACCTGCCTGCCCACCTGCCTGACCCTCCCTCCCTCACCCGCGAACGCGAACGTCTCGTCGCGATTCAAGACAGACGACCAACATCAACAATGGCGCAGCAGCCCCAGCAGGCGCCGCCTCAGCAGCAACATCCACAGAGTCCGTCAATGCCCCGGCAGTCTGAGGATGGGCGAAACCATCAGCAGTCTCAGCCTGCCTCTGCTTCTACTCCAACGTCCTCTGACCATAGTGTACCTATAGATCCAGGCATGTCGCAGCCCAGCGCGGCGTATCAGTACCCTCCGCAGCATCAGCAATACCCACCTACGTCTCACGAGATGCCTCCCCAAGGCTACTCCCACCCGAACGGTGCCATGTATGCACAGCCTCGCCCAGACTGGGGTGGCTACGGTGGTCATGGCGCTCCGATCACGCCCGGCGGCCACCCAGCTGTCTACGGGCACGCGCCCGGCCATCAACGGCCAAGCCAGGTACGCAGCTTGCGTGGCAGTCGCATACTTGTAGTTGATCTCTAACGCGATTCAGGTCTACTCATTCGTCCCCATCCCAGGCGCACAACAGCATAAACGGCCCCGTAGACGATATGAGGAGATCGAGCGCATGTACAAATGCGGTTACCAGGGCTGTGAGAAGGCGTACGGCACGCTCAACCATTTGAACGCCCACGTCACAATGCAGTCGCATGGCTTGAAGAGAACACCAGAAGGTCCGCGACCCCCGTCTGCCAGAAACACAAGTGTTTAGCTATACTGACACTCTGCCACAGAATTCAAAGAGATTCGCAAAGAGTGGAAGGCCAGGAAGAAGGAGGAAGAGAACGCTCGCAAGGCAGAGGAAGAACGTCAGCGTCAGGCGGTTCAAGCACAGGTGCAGAACGGCGGCGATCCTGATGGCACGCCAACCTCATACGCTCAAGGCCGAACCCAGGTCACCTTGCCACCGATCGGCTATACGCAAGGTGGACAATACCAGGCCTCCCCGGTTCCTGTTACCCAGCAACCGATGACCGAGTACCAGGGACACATGTACCAGAACTACGGGCCCCCTCAGTCGCCATACGGTCAAACCCCACAGAATGTCCCATACCAGCAGCGTAAGTCATGGCCATCTTTGGTTGTATAAGTGCCTCGAGCTGACCTTTGGTAGCAAATGGGCAACCCTCCCAGCAGCCACCGAGCCATTAAAAGGCGACACGCATACATTCTGTTGCCTCGCCATGTCAGACATAATTTTATAGGCCTCGCGGCCGACCCTCGTTTTCTACCGGATACCCTTGTTGTTGGTTAGATGGGTGACAGAAAAGCGACGCCATGTGTGGACTAATAACCCTCAATGTCTACTTCTGTCATTGGAGTTTTGCTTTGGATGGAGAGTGCCGGTGTCTGTGTACAGGAACGGCGTCGTTGGCAGTGCGGTGGGCTAGGGGGCATAGCGAAGGTGTTGGCGGCACACTTCTCTAAGACCGGATGCTATTGACTTTGTTGTTCGAAAATTGATTTTACACCACTACGTTGCATACGAACAGGACAGAAGCCAATGGCAGCGACGTCTCACAGCGCTCCCGATTGTCGTCTGTACTGATTGAATATTGTGTGACAAGATCGAGCTACACGCCCAGATTCCGGATACCATTCTGGCGTTGAACAAACCCGGCTGGATACAGATTCTCCGCGCTGTAGCTGCGGTAGCGCCCGAATATGTTGCAAGTGCATGATCTAGAAATAACGTAGAATCAATCTGTGAGACTAGAAAATATGCCGGCATCGTTGTTTGTGCGACACGCGACAGACGCCATACCCGGTCACTACTAGGCTACTGGTAGGGTCGGGGCCAAGGCCCAAATCTGCGTCGCGCGCGCTTGCCACCCATGGGGATTTGCAGGTTCGGGAGAAGTCTGGGGTTCCTTACTTTGTTTGCTCGGGAGAGCTAAGACTAGTGCTGGTGATGTATCACATTAGAGCTGATACTGGTTAGTAGGCACTAGACTGATAGTAGGTAAGAACAGCAGATGAATGGGATGAGATGCAGGATGACAGAAATGTCAACTCATTCTATAGCAGCGCCATTTTTTGGCCCAAGTCTTGCAGATAGATAGCTTTCCTCGCTTAGGAAAAAGACGTTGCTGCGATGGCTTTGCTTTGCTTTGCTGGGCAAAGCAATTATGGCGGCCTGGCCACAGGAGTGTTGTGATTACTTTTATATATGCGAGTGATAGAAATGACAAGATGGCGTTTGCACCCGTGCGCAGTATTCCGTGTCGCGAAACTAATTATTATTTCTTCGTCAATGAACCCTGAATGCCACTCTCGACGCTTGAGGCTCAGACAAGGGACGTGCGCAAAGGCTAGTCTGTAAAATCAATTGCTCTAGCGCAATACCGGTATTCTGGGTCGATCTAAGCAGTAAGTTGCAGCCGGCAGCCGGTCAATCCAAATAGTGTGGTCTCGGATAGATTGAAATCTGCTGCCAGGATCTACAGCTAGGCCCAAGTTAGTAGCTGCTCACGTTCCGGCCATGTGGGAATGGGTGGTGCGACGCCCCCCTCCTTTTTATCTGGCCATGGGGGCCAGACGACGATTGTTAGTCAAATAAGTTGGTCCTGGACAGAAAACTATCACGTTTTGTGAATGATCTTGCACCCCCACTTGGACTAGAGCGAATGGAGGCATGTGGTTGCAGGAGGGATCGCCTTTCTTTTGACAGATTGAATGAGGTTTGGTCAACGTGCGTGGGGTAGTATGACATGCAGGTGTGCAGGGCTCATAGGCTACAAATTACCCTCTTTCTTACATCATCCGGTATGGTGTAGTGGCTAACATTTGACGCTCTCACTTCCTCTCGAGGTTGAAGATCCGTCAAGCCCAGGGTTCGATTCCCTGTACCGGAGATTCTCTTTTGCTTTTTTCCACCTTTGAACCTGTCGTCTTGTCATCACATGTCGTGGTGATGATCTGATCTCCCTTTTTTTTTTTTCACCTTGACCACACGACTACGCCTGGTGTGATCGTTCATGGGCACTCCATGTCCGGCCATAGGCGAAGCATGAGCAGCTTCCCTGTTGTCCGTGTTTACTACTGCCCCTGACTCACGTACATATCTATTTCTCAGACGAACTCCAGGTATTGATATGACAGAGGCTTTCTGAATAGCAGCAGTAGCTTGTAGTTTGAATATAAACTTACTGTCTGTTCTAGGTACTATCATTGAGTGTTGTTGGCGCTGGAGACGACTCCGCGCAGTTCATGTTAGCGAACCGCCGTCCGTGCAACAAGGAGCCGGCAGTTGCACGGCGTCCTCCATGGTCAAAGTCGAGCTCCTACGAACAACTGTGGTTTCCTCCCCGGAATTCATAACACGTCTTCTCCTGCCGTCAACCGGACAGATCTGTGATTCCCGTGATCTCAACAAATCACCCTGCTGTGACCTATCAAGGTGTGCAGTGCAGATCAGAACGTGATTCTTTGAGGTATTAAGTCTTCTACAACAAAAGGTCCTGGAGCCCGTGTAGTCATTGTACAACTGGTACGACAGACCAGAGCAGAAGTCGGCCTTTGTCCGGTATAGCGCTTTGATTCTTCATGTACATGTACACTCGGCGTGTCTTTATATGACAATGGGCACACCCCCTAAGCCCGGAAACAATGGCGTCATTGAGATTTAAGTTAAATTAAAACAGTCGAAACTTTGCGGTAATTGCCTCGGACAGCACTTGTAGTCTGGGACGCGCGGACCGTCGGCTGATTGTAGACAACCTTCCCACCCGAGATATAAGTGGTGACGGTAACGATGAGACATATTGATCAGATTGAGTAAACATAAAGCACGAGATTGAGACCATAGAGGCCTCGCGTGAGCCATGGTTACTTAGCGATGTGCGGCCAACATGTCAGAGGACTCAAGTACGCGTTATACAGGCCTTTGGGGAGCTCCAAGGAGACATCACGCCGAGTCGAAGTGGCGCGAAACATCCACAATGATAACTTTAAACAGGATAAGCTCTAGTACACCACACCTGACCATGTGAAGTGGTGAAGATTTGGATTTAGGTTCGTGCTTGCTAGTATTAGCCTGCTGGCATGGCCCATGGACGGCTTGTGTCAAGTACCTGCTTTGTACCTTCAGAAGTCACAACGATAGCCCAGCGTGCAAGACGAAATGCAAGTGGAAAGCATCATGGAAATGCCAAAACAGTAAATCGACACTCTGTTATCATTGCAAGATCTATTGGTGAGCATCACCAACTCGTTTGTCTCCAGTCACGTGATCAGTCATGGAAGCCTTCACAACTGGGAACTGACAACAATCTGTGCACTGGGAATGAACTCGTCACTTTCACATCCAACCAAGGGAGCCAAGCCAGAGTTGAATGTTGGCCTACAGCTTCCGTAATCTCTCTGTTCAAGGATAACTCAACGTCTGCTTATACGTAACCCTCCTGCACCCAGCAAGGCATTATCAGGAAGGAAACCTACCATGACAGAGCCTCCTTGACCGCAACACCAACATTGACAGCAACATAGCATTGCCAGGTTTCGACTAAGATACACAAAGACGATCAGAAATACCTTTGGCGCAGCTTATGGCTGATATTTCCGATTCCGTTGACCCGACAATGCCAGTCCCGGAATCGACGGTGCCCTCAAAGGACGCTAATGCTGAGTCTTCAACCTTGACCCATGAGACGGCCAGTGGGGAGCATGAGGATATGCCGCCTTTGGAGGGGGAAACCGTTGGTCCCCAGCCGGTATCCTTACCGAAATCGCCAGCGGCGATTGCCCATGCCCTCGGTGGTGGTGACGTCGTCCTTATCCTCGATCTCCCAGAGGTATTCACCATCGGTTACGACTGCGTCTCATTCACAGCTAAACACTTTGGGGGTGTCAAAGACATCCCGCCTGGGGCGCACTTGGTATGGGTGGCTCATCCCAACGGAACCTCAGTGCGATGCGGTGCTTGGATAACGAGCTCTACGCAACACAAGGTCCATGTCTTACAGTGGGACAAATACAACGAGATCCTTACTGTGCCGAGCAGCGCGGAGGCGCGAATACAAGCGAACAGTCTGGCAAATATTCATTCCAAATTGATACCCTACGGTGATCCAGCATCAGTCAATGATCAACAACAAGGCACGCATATCCAAGGCGCAGCCCATGACGACAACGAGGTCATATGGAATAGGCTCACCAGTTGTATCTCGGAGACATTGCTCAACCGACTCACCGGGCAACATAATGGCGATTGGTTCGTAAGCACCGTCGACAAAGTCAGAGGCGTTGCTCTGATACCTGCAGAGATCGAGCTTGAGAATCGCATCTCGAGCTCACTTCAAGGCCGCGACCTGAACTTCATATTCTCACAAACAGCCAAGACGTATTCGGCTGCTGGTGTCGGCTCCTTGCGCACTCAGGAGGCTACTGATGCGTCGCATCATATCATCTCTACGTTGGCGGATCCCGAAAAGGCGCTGAGCGAAGACGACTTTATTGGCGAGTTCCAATTCGCATACATTGTTGGAACACACATGGGCAATGACGCCTGCCTGCAGCAATGGTGGTATATGCTGCTCAAATTGATTTTGCGCTCCTATTCTCTCATCGCTGATCGACCGGCTCTCGTGGAAGCATTGCTGCGCAGCTCCGCTGCACAAATCAACCACAGCCTGAAGCATCTCGAGACATCTGTTTTCGACTACAGCGAGCGGCAGTCGCGGGACCTACGTCTGGCATTGACCATCTACAAACGCCGACTTCAGGAGGATGGACTAGGCACGCCCTCTGTCAACCTTGCGCTCTCGCAGATAGAAGCAGCCGTCGTTCAGTCACCGCTAGGTTGGGACATCAACAAGGACAGCTACATCCGTCAAGGCACCTTCATGACCGAAGATGGCGATATTGTTGCCATGGAGACGACTGATCTGGAGGCTGAGGACGAACGCGGTGAATTTGCCCCTGAAGTGGTGGAATTAGATGAGTCGGGTAGAGAGAAAGGCCTCGTATCGTGGACAAACTAGGTACGCGAGGCGATGCGTCGCGTGGGGCTCAAAGACAGAAGAAGAGGATCTACAAGACACCCTATGATCGATAGTTGGGATGGTGAAGCGAGGACGAATAGGTCCAGCAAGCAGACCGGTTCCAGTTCTGCAAGATGCAGTGTTGCCCATGCAACTGCCAAAGGCCTGCGTGACCAAAGAAAGTGCGAGGAATAGGATGCTCAGCACTGAGTGTCAAAGGCATTGGATTTGGAGGTCTGAATTCTGACGCACCAGGCTTTCGATCAAAAGCAAGGCATTGGGTAAAATTGGTGATCACGGCAGTCCCAGGTGGAGCGTTGACAATGTGATCTCTCTGTAACTTTTACACGGGAGCATAGTATGGCCTGAGCCCTCCCGTATCACCTCATCATTCATCGCTGTCGTGAACTTGGATAGTTTTCATTGACCTGTCAGACCCTTTAAATCCGCCCAAAGCAAGCCATGCAAAAGGCCAACGGGTACCCCGTCCCCTGGCCAGGAGATATGTTGACTCCGAATTTCCGTCCACGCCAGCCAAGTCGCCCATGCAGTAAGAGTAGCGACCTGAACAAAACACACATTCTTCCTCCGCTGCGCATTCCCCCCAGAATTCCGACTCTTTAACGGTAAGACTTCTGGTAACGCGCACGGGCGCCGGGACCGCCGAACTTCTTGGGCTCGCACCGACGGTTGTCGGCGACGAGGAGGGTGCGGTCGAACTGGACGAGAGCCTGCTTCAGCATGTTCTTGGAGTGCTCGTCGACGAACTTCTGGTAGTAGGCGATGAGGGACTTGGCGATGGCCTGGCGGATGGCGTAGATCTGGGAAGTTTGACCACCACCAGAGACGCGCACGCGGATGTCGAGGTTGGCGAACTTATCGAGGCCAACGACGAGGAGGGGCTCGTAGACCTGATGGGAATGTCAGTACATCGGTTCGCGGTGGCTGCGTCTCTTCACGTCTCGGTCATTCGTGGGGTTGCGAAGATCGAAGTGTCGTTTCGGGAGACGATGATGCAGTCGTACCTTGAAGCGCAGGATCTCGGGCTGAACGAGCTGCAGAGGGCGGCCGTTGACCTTGACGAGGCCCTTACCAGCCTGGGAAACGAGTTAGCCCTCTGATATCCTCTCCAAGAAAAGGTCCTCCCCCCAATCCCCCCGTCGCAAGAGTTTCCTCCCGCGATGGAAGAAAAACACAGATTCCCCTCCCCTCCATCAACTCAATCACGGACCTTGCACTGGGCGACGGCAGTGGCCGTCTTCTTCTTGCCGAAGCATTGAACACGCTGGGGAGTCGACGACATGGTTGCTGGTCCTTTAGCGAGAGGGTGGGTTAGTCGAAAGGCGAGGTCGTCGGTATCGGGTCGTCGTAGCGGATCACCAAGAATTGCAAAGTGAGGATTGCACGGCTGGATTTTTGCCGCGAAAAGGGTTTGTGCCCTTTGGAGAACGCCTGGTACAGTGATTGGGTGCATCGACTCGCAAGGGCCCCACCATGTCCCGCCTTGCCAAACCTGCACCCACGCAATTTGAGAGTGGCGTGTACCCACGTGACTGCACACAAATCGCTGATAACCCTAAGCCCTTCCGACGATGGAGCCGTGGCGGCACCCGCCAATTGGTGCTGCATCCCAAAATTTCGACGTGCAAGCGGACCTGGATCGAACTTCACGCCCAGTCACTCGAGGACGACTAACCACACAGCACAACCGTCAAGGTAGATTCTGCCCATCAACTCATTCATCCTCGACAACGAAGTACTGACTCTGCATCAAGATGGTCTCCGCCAAGAAGCACGTCCCTATCGTCAAGAAGCGTACGTTTTCCTCATCACTGCTGCCACCGCCAAACCCCCTCGCCGCCCGACGGATCGAACGACGAAAATCTCTTGCAAACTCCCATGTTACGAGACGACGCACTTGTTCGAGGCGGTGGAATGAGAGGATTGGGGCGAGGCCCACGCGAAGACTGGTGCTGACGAGAGAACCACAGGCACCAAGCGCTTCGCCCGTCACCAGAGTGACAGGTTCATGCGTGTCGACCCCAGCTGGCGCAAGCCCAAGGGTATCGACTCGCGTGTCCGCCGACGCTTCAGGGGCACTCAGGCCATGCCCAGCGTACGTTTCCCATCCATATCCTCGTGCCGACCGGCGGCGATGATCGACAATGTACTTACAAAGGCGTGTGTAACAGATTGGCTACGGTACCAACAAGAAGACCCGCTACATGATGCCCTCCGGCCACAAGGCCTTCCTTGTCAACAACACCAAGGACGTCGAGCTCCTGCTCATGCACAACCGCACCTACGCTGCCGAGTACGACCACCCCCTCGTGCCTTGAAAGAGGGGAAGCAACAAGAGTTGGCTAACATGGACCCTTAGGATCGCCCACGGTGTCTCTTCCCGCAAGCGCGTCGACATCATCGCCCGCGCCAAGCAATTAGGTGTCAAGGTCACCAACTCCAAGGCCAAGGTCACCACCGAGGTCTAAGCGAATCGACGTTTGGAGAATTGGAAGACTCTTGAGGGGGGTAAACCTGGGGAAGGACATACCGGCTATGCATGCAGCGAGGAATGACAAAAAGAGAAACACTTATGGGAATGTTTTCACGCTTTTTTCGGTCTGGGAACTACTACACTTTGTGATAAGGGATCGGGACCACGGTTGGTATTGTGGCCTGGTTTCCTACTGCGCGCGTTAGGTGTATCAGGTTTTGAGTGGCTTTTGCCTGGCTCTTGCGGTAGAGAAAAAGTTGCAAATGACGATCCGACTGGTTTCATCATGTGACATGTACATTGACCACACAATGACGACCGGATCTTAGACCTCGATGGACCACTTCATGAGGATCATCGGCGAGGGCTGCTACATCGTTGAACGTGACCTTGCATTGGGGAATCATGACCTGAGCGTTACTTGTACAACCATGCACCAGAAGAAGAAAAAGTCTTCACATGATGAGCCATATATTCCTCAACGAAAATAAAATCCGTCAACCGACGCCTGGCCGGGGAAAACAACATAAGTACTGTGATATCTCGAGCAAACAGGTGGTATAGAGAAAAGCATGTCATTTTTCCAACTGGGGCCCAGGCCGTTATAATGAGCCCCTGGATCGTTGCTTACGGGCGAGCCAGTCGCCAAGCATGTTATCAAGTTGCTGATTCACGTGTCAGTAAGAGTGATCTTATAAGACGAGCCTGCCCTAGACTTACTGTCGTAATTTCAGCCAGTTTGGCATTCTGTTCCCTGAACAACCCACTCACGATAGGATGATCGCCAGTGGGCTCTACGCCAGATGTATCGTAGACCACGGCGAGCAGGTCTCTGACGTGATCGCCCTCATCAAAGAAGGCGCGGAGCTTCTCGTCATCCCATTGTTGCTGGGGGGAGGGTGCGCCGGTCGCATCTTGGGCGGTTGGTGCCATCGGACCTGGCTCAGGGGACATTGAACCGCCCGGAGATGGCGAATCGGCAGTGAGCTCTGGCGGTTGCCCTGCAGAAGGTAGAGATACCTCCACTGGGGATTCTGAAAGTCTGGTACGATCCTGCTCTTGGCTTGGCACTACGGTCTGATCGCTCATGGCTGTGCTGGTCGTCTGGAAGCTGTCTGGGAACGCGCCAGGTAGCTGAGGGCGCAACTGCTGCTCCTCCTGCTTGTCAGATGGCCCCGCGGCCCTTGTGGGCTCCTCGTCAGAGCTGTCTGAATCATCGAGCTCCATACGTGCTTTCGCTTCAGAGGCTTGTTGCGGCTTTGTATCCATCGATGAGGTACCACCCCCTCTTGGCAACAGTGACTTGGCGAGATTGCTGCCTTCCTCGCGGTCAGAGAAGCGCTGCTGGTTGGATGGTACCTCCATGGTTTCTTGTGTTTCCGGATCGACGATTCGCATGGAGGCCGGTGGCACATTGGACACATCGTTGGTGCGCGTCTCCGTGAAATGCTGCGAAATATCTGTCTGCGGGGGTTTCTTGGAGGCTGCGTTCGAGTTCCTATGTGCAGGTGAAGGCTCTATCCGTGGTTGCTGCTTCTGGAGTTTGCTTGGACTGCGCGAGAGCGTCTTGTCGGTCGGCTGTTCTTCATCACCCGCCGGATCCTCGCTTTCGCGTGTCTCGATGATGTCCATGGATCTCTTCCCGAAAGACTCGCCATCGTCGTCCTCTGATGTCCGCTTTTTGTCCTTCCTAGAGAAGAAGCTTCGAATCGCGCTCGGTTTCTTATCCTTGGTCTTCTTCCTGTCCTTATCGGCCACCAATTCCTTCTCCAACTTGTCGAGGCTGCCCCTTGCCTTGAGGTCCTTGGACGCAGCAGAATCGGTGGAGGGACGCGGGGCGTTATCGTCACGGAGCAGATTCGGCGTGAGGCTGATCTTCTTGGTCTCGACACTGTCATCCTTGAAAAAGGAGTCGCGCACGGTCCCATTTTGCGTCCGCCTCGGCTCTGCCCGCCCATCAAGGATTTCTTCGCTGGCTCTGGGCTCTTCATCGTCTTCAACGGTTGCCTCTTCCTTATCGGTCTCCTGGTCCTTGCGCGTCTTCAGCGGCTCGACCCTGGCCGATTCCTGAGCAGCAGCCTCGTCTTCGGTGCTGGCAGATGTCTGGCTTTGGCTCGCGTCCTGCTTCGCCGCATCAGGACCAAAGAGCTCTTCAATGTCCTCCTCGTCCGTGGAGTTGTCAAAATCGTTGGTGTAGTCGACATATGTGGGCTCAGCGAAAGTGACAGACTTCCATCTTTTCCGGATCGCCTTGAAGGAACTTTTTTGCTTCGCTGCGTTGTCGCCCAGCATTGCGGCAGAAAGCTACACAGCCAGTGGTTAGTGGGAACAAACTTGGATGCTTGACCTCAGTTCACTCACATCAACGTTGCGATGCTTGTTGAGTCGTGCTAATCTCTCGGTAGGGGTTTCGATATGCTCTGCAGGCAAGTAACCTTGACGCACGTCAGCGCTGATCCGGGTGCAACAGTTGCACAGACGCTTACCGATACTGCTGTCCTTGACCACGCGGACTAGCCACCAATAGCTGTTGCTGTCGTCCAGAAGAACCATGGTATCACCCTTTGTGGCGTTGGCTTGACCTTCGACTGTTGCCACGAAGGTATGCAACGCGTAGACGAATTCGAAATCGATATCCTCTGTAATTACATGTAAGCGTCCAGTCACCCAGCGGGGGTCAATGACCATGCAATGCGGCCCCTGCCCATACTCGCGCAACGAAGGCTCCTAGATTCCTGTTGCATGGCCGTGTCGCGAGAGTCCGTAAACGCACACGTGCGCAGTTTCGCAGGCAGGGTACTTGGGCAGGGTATCGATCCTGGCAGATGTCTGTACGCACCATCTTCAATCGAGGGGGAGCTCGATATGCGGTCCATCATGTCATCATCGTCCAACTCGTCGCCCTCATCGCTCGAGTCTGCCATCTCGCCGTGGGTCGCGGCCGCGTCCGGACCCTTCTCGTCTTCGACATCCACCTTGGCCGTTGTTGCACCAGCCATCCTCGCGCTCACGCCACTTGCTAGATCCTCCCGCGGCTGCTGTTCGTCTGGGTTGTCCGCGCCGTCATTCCAAGAGAGACGAGGGCTGCGAGCTTGCGCTTCGGCGGCTTCGTGGGCGACTTCGCGGAGGGTTTCGGCCTGGTGCGCCCCGGCATTGGGGTGCTGGCGATGGGACTTGGCTGACGGGGCGTCGTGATCTTGCAAGTCGATCGTGTCTGGGTGCACGTGGTCAGCGGTGATCGTCGGGCTGTCACAGCGAAGGGGATGCTGAGGCTGGCAGGTGGAAAGGGAGGAATCAGGACGGTGGCAGTTGGCAGGCTGCATGTGAACCGACTGGAGTGAAGGAACGTGGCGGCCGATGCACCGAGCGCCAAAGAACCCCTGGCGCATGCAATTACTTGAGGGTGATACGTACCAGCACGGACGATCGAAGGCCTCGTCATGGCTGCTACAAGAGCAGCGCCGCCCTCTCACTAGGTACCGCTAGCTGGCGTGGTGTCCTCCTGCAACGTGGTGCAGTCGGGCAGCGAGGTCGTTGACGATGGAGCAATTGTCGGCGCGATCATCGAGCCCAGCGCGCATGCGGCAGACGTGGGACAAAAGGACTGGAAAAGTTATGAAGATGCCTGCCCCTATCGATAGAATGGCCTGGGCTGGGATCACGAACGAACTGGGGTTGGGCGACAAGGTATCTGTACGGGGTTGGGGGTTGGATCAGAATGCCGTGCGATGGATGGCTTGTCGAGCGAGACTGAAGCGCTGTGCCCGCCTCCACGCCCCCTGACCTTTTTTTTTTCTGGGCCCTGAAATGCCTGGCCTTGCCTTAGCTTGTACTGCAGCTCATCAATCTGTTAGTGGTCTGCTGCACCCATCACGTTCTCCTTAGCATCACAGCTCAAGCGGCATTAACCTCCATCACTGGCGTGATTATCATCATGCTTCAACAGACAAATCGAGATCTACAAGTCATTGGCTTTTGGCACGTCCAGAATCGCATCAGCAATCCTCAGCGCGCTCTTGCTGGCTGGTTCTCTGCTGAGTATGCCACTCCCTCGTCGCCGGGGGGCTCACATCTGTCCAAACATCCCCCGCCAGCATTCCACACATCAGACACAACCAATCCAGTGCACAGGATGATGGTGGTTCTAACTTCTGGGGCTATGAGTCTTCTCATCAGCGTACGCCAGGATCCTCCCTTGCGCAGTCTTGTCAGTGCACATCGAGCACGTGCCCCTGAAATGGTACACAGATCATGTGCCTGGTCGGAAGCCGGCTCCGGTTGACTCGGATGCCGGCGACGTTGTCGATACTGTCTGTTGAACTACACCTACCCTGTTGTCCAGCCTTCATTGTTTGATATCATCAGGCATTTGCGAGGCTTTCTCAATCAGTAGACGGGTGAGATATGTTTTCACGTTGTTTACAACAGCATGGTGTTGAAAGCTGAAAACACTCATGACAGGACGACAGCCCCTGAGCTGTTGTAAATCTTGCGTTCTCTCTCGACGTCCCCAAAGTTCACCAAGTTCAACAACAACTGGGTGGGATCTTCACGATGAGAATTCCACTTCGTCGATTGCCCATCCGATGCTCTGCGTCGCGCTCCAATTCGTATATTCGTGGAGAGCATCGTCGAGAATGATCAAACATGGAGACTTGACACCATTGCCCCGAGGTGCTGTAGCCCATGTGTGTGTAAGTAGCCATTCTGGCCTTCACGTACAACACATGACTAGGGCTGTTGAAGGGGACCCTTCTTACTTTCCTTTGCTTCTCTAGGTACGGTAGGCCATGCGCAAGTCAAACATTTTTCACCAAGTTGAGAGTGCAGACTAACAAACTCTCAAGCAAGCAAGAACGTTGGTTGATCAGCACCGCCAAAGACCTTGTATATAGCAAAATGGGCAACGTAATTCACACTGCAGCAGGCCTGAGTGACTGCGCTGTGTGAGGACACTTCCTGCATGTGATTTACCTTATCTTAGGTTTCGACTCCTTGTCCTTCCGACCTTTGCTCGCTCGCACACACCAAAACCCGTATCGCCATATCCGGGAGCATAGGAGGAAGGATCACCACATCTCTGGTGACTCGCGCCTGGAGTCCTGCCAAGCGCAGTGCAGTGCAACTCAAGGTGTCCAAGTCTTTCTCAAGTTCAGTCTTTATGGGCTGCGCCATGTCAAAACGAGGGTGCTCGTTTCGGGGGACAATACCACAGCCAACCCAGCCTAGCAATATTATTCCCCGACCCACGATGTCCCCAAGGTCCATCACGCCGAACAAGGCATCGCTATGGAGCAGACTTCCCGTAGAGCTTCGAGACATGGTCTTTGGCCATTTGTTAACGCCGAGGCGCAGCCTCTACGCTACCTATGCGCGGGTGAACAAGGAGTGGAACGCCTATTGGGAGCCCAAATTGTTTAGGAAACTCGTGCTCACGCCAGACGACCTCGAATACCTAAGCGAAGTCTTCGGCGGTGATAATACCCGGAGACTACGATACCTCCACCGATTAGATTTTGATATCATTCTCGAAAAGTACGACTGCGATCTCTGCGACAAGGCAGAGGATGAAGGAACAGCACTGCGGTATGATTCTCCTGACCACCACACCCCTCGGTCCCCTCCCCTTTATTCATCCATACCATACCTTACTGACATTGGGCCGCAAGGAATGATTACACCATGACCATGTGTTTGCTGCGGCTTCTCATGAGTCTGCACCCTCTGGAGCCTGCAACCAAGCCGAGCGGCGAACAGCATCGCGTAACCCTCACAATAACATGTTTTTCCCGTAGCGACACAAAACATCACTATAAGCCACTCGCTATGAGACTCAACTCCCTCACGGACGAATTCGAGGAGATTGAAGAGCCCGAATCGGGCCGCTCCAATGGTGAGCCATGATTGTTCAACGAACTTGACAAAAGCAAACAGTGCGCTGACTTCCATGACCCAGGACATGGCCCCCTCCCAGTTGACAAACATTACGAATGTGCCACGCGACTCTTTGGATCAAGGCGTCTCCAATGGTGTTTTGGAGACGGCCACCAAGTCTTGGAGCCCCCTCAGAAGCTGCCAGAGGCCCGAATCATCACAGACCTTAGCCTCGACCTCGCCTCATACCGCACTCTCGGACGCAACGTCGTCTGGCGACTCGTACAGGAGGGCTTTCCCTCGCTCGTCGCCCTTAACCACGAGCAATGGCTCCGACTCAAACCCCCTGAACAGCTTCGCCCCGACGAGAACTTTGTCGAGATGATCGGGACGCAATGGCCCAACACATTCCCACGACGCATCCAACGCCTGAGCTTGTTCTCGGACGCCGATCCCAGGCTGCACCAGGGTGGCCCTCGGCCCGCCACGCATCACGAAGCCGGTCGGAGCTTGGCGCTCGCGAGTCAGTATCTGTCGGTCTTGACCTGCGGATTCGCCGCCGACGCGGCTGGCTTTCTGGACGACTTTTTCGAGGACCGCTGCCCTGAGGTGATGATGCGCTGGGAGCACTTGACCAAGCTCTGCTTGACCGCAGCCTGCTTCGAGTCTGACACAGGCGACGAGATTTCATCACTGCTGTCCGCCGCGGCCCGTGCGGCGCGCCGAATGCCTCAACTTCTTGTCTTTGAGATGTGGAACTGTGGCAACGGCCAAGCAGCGCGCTTCTGCTACGAAACCCGGCAGCGGACACGGGAGGGGAATTACTACCCTGCGAGTATCGTGTGGGCGTGTACTTGGTCACCAGCGTGTATCGATCAGTCAGACCCGGCTATTGGGGAGTGGCGCCGCCTGGCTCGAGACCGCTCTGGCGGTCTAGAGGCCGGGGTACGCTTTTCTAAGATCGAGATGAAGCCAATTGAGTTGCGGACGCATCTTGCAATGATCCCTCACCTGAGGCTGTCGACGGATATGCTGTGTTCAACGACCCACGGCCGGATCAAGTACAAGACTAGGATGAGGCGGGATGGAAAGCATGATAGCCTGGTATGAGCCGGAGCCAATATCCTTGTTAAGGGTAGTGACAGTGTCGGGCAATACTTATAGCCTATAAGGACTATGAAGGTACTTTCAGTCCGCGTAGGGCTTCAGAGAGGTCAACACCTTAGCACAGGCACTCAAATAAACCAAGGGCAGCTAAATTTTGTTCACCAGCGCTAGCGACTTCGTTGAGTGAATACGGTACATCTGAAGCCAAGTGCAAAGTGAAAGGACCTGATGACTTATTAACCTACTAAGATACCATCATACCATCACATCGTCAAAGGAATTTTGCTAGACTGCGAACTGCGGCCGTTCACAAAAGAGTACATCTGGATCCTGCGTGAGCTGTTTGAGCAAGGTACTGTACTTACTTACTGTACTCACTCGACAAAGTCGCTAGCGCTGGTGTGTCTAGCGAGGCAATAATCAAGAGTGGTGCCAATATCGAGTGAGAATTATAGCCTGTGAGCGTTCTTATGCCCAAGGACTATGCAAAGCCGTCGAAAGATTCGCACTTTCGCACAGGCATATAGACATCGAAGAAGACGTTATCAAGGCGCAAAAACGATTAGGTAGAGGCAGCAACATTCGTTCTGTCCCTTATTGTCATTACTCGTACTATATCTTCTCTTTTCTTAATTCTCATCCTTTTCCGTGGCAGCCACCCATGACTGACTCTTTTTGGTGCCAATGCTACCCTTTTCAACCAAACGCCAGAAACTATGGACAACTGTCAATGTCGACATTGACATGTCTAGTACAAATGCAAAGAAGTGCAGGATACGCTATGTTTCGCGGTGAGATTGAGAAATAGAGGCGCGGCGCACGTTCTCGGCGCCCGTCTCCTTGTTGTTGATCTTGGCCATTTGCTTCGACATACTGAAACGAGGTTAGCATAGGTAACTGGCAGGATGGCCGGGCTCTGAACTTACAAGTCGTAGAAGGCGAACTGTGAGGGCTGGCTGCCGAACTCGTACACGAATCGGCTCGCCAGGTAGGAGCCAAAGATGGCACGCAGGTAGCTCTCCGGCACACGCTCGACAATCTTGTCCATGCCGATGCGGTTCAGCAACAGGGGAGGCAGGGCATCACGTAGCACACCATGTCGGATGGTCTCGTTGGTCCACAAGTCGGAGCGCTGCAGGTCCTCGTCCAGATCGGTAATGGCCCATGACAGCTGATCCGAGAGGATCGAGCGTGCGATGCCAGTCTTCTCGTGCTCTCGCCAGATGGCCTCAAACTCGAGACGGGCATTTTCCTGGATCTTGGCCTGCACCTGCTTGACGTACTCATTGTAGAACTGCGGTGGCTCGCCAGTCTTGGGGTCGCAACACATGTTGGTGATGAAGTCCTCATCGTTGAAGGACAGGGAGGCCAGGACTTCGAGTGATGACGAGGTCACACCACCCTTGTTGGCCGAAGCATCTTTGTACAGAACGCAGCCTGCAGCCTCCAGACGCAGCTTAGCGTCCTGGGTGATGAACAGGTTCGCGCCCTCCACAATGTAAGGAATGACTGACTTGCCATCCTTGATGAGCTTGCTGACGGAGATGAGGTCGATCGACTCGGGGCGACCGCCACAGGGAACAAAGGCATCAGTCATGCCATTGTCCCGCAGGTGGTAGGTGTTGCGGAAGGTGGTGCCATTGGGAACGTTCTCGCCTGATGGCAGGGTGATGTTGTTGTCCTCGCAAAGCACACGGTATCCGTCTTTAGACAACTTGCTCAGGTCGTAGTTGGAGATCATCAAGCGAGCCTTGGCAAGACGAACCAACTCTGCCTTGTCGAGACCATTGGGATCGGCCAGCACACCCGAGCCATCGACGATGGAGGTCCATTTCTCCTCGCCCAGAAGGATCTCGTTGCTGCCCAAATCACCATCAGGCCCACCGGTCTGCATCTTGCGCACCTGGGATTGATCCAGGTCCAGCTTGCGGTAGATTCCCTTGACGTACTCACGCACAGACAGGGTCGTCATGCCATACTTGTCGTGAGGGATACCACCGAGCTTGGGCGACTTGCCGGTGAAGAAAGACTTCCACCAGGGGGCGCCGCGGGCACGGGCGTGCTCGGTAGCCCAGTTGACGAGATCGGCAGTGTTCTCATCCGGACCCATGAAGAGGATCTCCTCCTTGCCGTACAGATCGACGATTGGATTCTTGATACCAGGGGTCTGAGCAGGGAGTAGCAGGTCGAGAATGCTGTCAATGTACTTCTCGAATGCCTCACGCTGCTTGTCTTGCTGCTTGGGATCGAGCAAGATGACACCCTTCGAGCCACCCTCAGGAATGTCCTTGTTCTTGCGCTGCTGTGTGTTGGCCAAGCCGTAGTTCTCGTCGAACAGATTACGAGCGTTGATGCCGTACGCCTCCTTGCTCCTCGACTTGACGATACGAATACCGCCACGGGAGATGTCCCGGAATCGCAAGTGGAAGCCACGGAACTCGGCGCCCATGACGAGGAACATGCCGTACAGCGGCTTGGGGTACTCTGCAGCAGGCAGGAATGAAGGGTCAAGTCGGAAGCTCAGAGCGACCTTTGTGGGGGTGAACCAGTTGGTCTTGAGGATTGCCTTGTTGAAGACGCGGAATGCGGTCATGACCATCTCGTCGTGCTCGTTGGCCACGGTCTTGGAGATCTTTTCCTGCAGCTTGCTGTCTGACAGCACCTCAGTGACAGGAGCCGGGGCGATGTAGTGCTCGTCAAAGCCTGGGCCGACACTCAAATGAGCGGATGCAAAGGACGCGTACAATGAACGCACGAGCGCTGGGTAGGTCTGGATGATTTCGAGGATGTAGTCGGGGGTGAAGGTCTCGGTACGGAGACGGCGCTTCAGTTTTGACAGTAGCAGGGCCGCCGAAGGGTTGTCCTTGGTGTCAAGCATGTCCTCTAGCGAAGCGTACTCGGGTCCAAGACGGTTCAAGAAATGCTGCACAAAGACCCACGACGCGTGAGCGTAGACAGTCTCCTGAATGCTCAGGTCGCCGGTGAGGAAAAGGTTGTTGAACTTGTTCTGCGGAATGCAGTACAAGAGGGAGATTTCCTTGGTGATCTGGTGGATGGATTCGTCCAGAGGCGGGAAGTTGCCCTCCAGGCTCATGGCCGGGCGCAGGTAGACACTCATCACCGTGATACCGTTGGCGAACTGCTCGACGTATTTTCGAGAGCTGGTGACGCCGTAGTGGTGGTACAGGTCACTCAGAGCAGAGAACATGCCACGGGCGGTACGGGACTGGAACGCGACGACGAGACGCTTCTCAGCCATGCCCTCGATGTCAAAGACCTCGATGACGGGGCCGGCCCTGTTCACAGCAAGCTCGATGATCTCCTGGTAGATCTGCTTGGTGTTTTGGGTGGCCTTCTGCCAGAAACCATGATCAGCGATGACCTCGAGACGGGTCTCCTTGGGATCGGTCTCTTCGGGCTTCTGCTTGAAGATGCACTGGTACACAAAGTAGCAGCGGAGGGTCGCTTTCGAGGAAGGGCTGTTTCCGATGACGGCAGGCGAACGGAAGGTTTCGACACGGTACTTGCTTTTGCCCTGGTGGTCAAGGTACTTGGCCTCGAGGCGCTGCTCATACCGGGGACCGCCAAGACGAGCCTTTCCGGGTTCACTGGTGTCAATGTAGATGGCGTGGTCATTGGCCTCCATGTCCAGGCGAATCTCCTCGTGCTTGTCCTCGCGGACAGAGGCAGCCACCTTGGCAGCGTACAGAGACGTGATCTGGTTGGCAATGACCTGAGGCGTCTCGATCTGGAAGTAGACATCATCAATGCCGAGCTTCTGGTAGAACCAATGAATTTGCTCGTCAATGAGGGATTCGGGAATCCACGACGACTGTTGGATGATTTCCCTGACTACATAATATGTCAGTTTGGAAGGTGCAGGGGGGCAGGGGGTCCGCGAGATAGAACTTACCGGCTTTCATCTGCTCAACCTTGCCCTGAAATTCGGGGGCAATGTAGCCCACAGTCGCAGAGCGCAGAATTCGATGGCCATTGGTGTAATTATGAGCCAAAGGCACGCTGACATGCGTAGGCTGAGGCGAAGGCCCGCGGCTCGACTCTGTGTCAGACTGGAGTCTGGCAACAGCCTTGGGCTTGGCTGAATCCGCCATCTTGGGCGAGGGTGGTCTGTACGTTTCCAACGGATCGACGTAGTCTGGAAATCTGTCAAGAGGGGGCAAATTAGCCGGGTCCAAGGAAATGGCCAACATGGTTGGCATGCGAAGTGGGTGAAGCAAGTGCTCTTGAGAGGAACATGGTCCGGACCTGATTGCATACGGCCAATCTTTATACTGCCAGAAATGCTTTCTCACTTGAGATAAGACTGTCAGACAAGCGGTATCGCATCAGCCCAGCCAAAGTGACTCAATTGCTGCGCCCGTCTGAGGGATCTCAATGCCATACGCATTTGAAGGCCTAGCAGGGCGATCCGGCGCGACGGTTGCGGCAGTGATCGTGCAGGAGCTCGTGTACAGCAGGTACTGTGGAGCCTGCGGGCAAGGCGACCGAGACAAAGTACCCGCACAACGGGCGGCTCTTATCTTGTCATCTCTGATAACGGGCGTTGCGCTCGGACACTAAGACACAATGTGCCCAATGCCCATAGCTCAAGGGCAAAAGTCAGGGTCGGTGGAAGCAAACTGCCCTCACCGACTCACCGCCGCTGGCAGCGATCCATGTCGGTGTCCGTCCCGAGGGTATCATGATCACCGACTGATAAGGGACGGGGGTGGCGGCGCTCGTGTTTCACGGGTATTCGCAGCGGATACTTACAGTACGAAATCTGCAGTGTTCTCCTGGAACTTTTCAGGCGAACAATGCAATGATGTGAGACCTGTCAATCAACAATTGACACGATAGACAGGGATCAGTGGAAGATGATCTGAGCCTGAAATTTTGCTGATGACGACTGAGAGCGATTGCTTAAGTCGGAGTGCGGTTGGCAAGCCCACGAGTCAGGCAAAGGCGATTGAACAATTTCAGTTCTGTAGCGTACGTCAGCCAAGTATCCAAAGAGAGATGCGGCCTCGTTGAGCCTGGGAGGGAGAATGCTGCTGAGGGTCATCGAGAAGCGCTCGCTCATCCATCCGCCAAGCTCCCACAGTTCCATGGAGCTTCCAGAAATTCTGCCCCTCCCAAGGGGCCCGGCTACCATCGCAATGCTGCGGGAGCGTCTGCCACCCCAATGAGAGCGGGAGGGTCCAACCAGATCTCTGTCATCCTGGAACTCACGTGGCATGCGGCAACTTGCTGAATGCCTCTCTCGAAAGCGAGACGATTGACTGGGGGTGCCAAAGAAAGCGAAAGGGGGCAAGACAGTGTGAGGCTGCTAGTAGTGTCTTCACTTACTCGTTCTTGTCCTCTGCTTAGATATACAGGGTCAACAGTACGGCTGACGTGGAGCTGATGATGAAGGTGAGATGAAACTCTGTAGGACGTAAAGAGAAGCAGGACTTCGACTTTGGTCTGACGTGTCGAGGTTATTGTGAGGTGTTGTCTTGAGAGAAGGTAGACGATGATGCCATGGCAAGCAGGGACAGGCTGGTGTTCGTCTGGCTTGTTAACAGGGTCGTTGAAGGGGGAGACTAAGTGCGAGAACGTGAAGCAAACAAGTTGGGGCCGTGCCTATTTAAGTTCTTGCGAGAGGGTCAGCAGGAGGAAGCAAGAATAAGTCTTGAGACCAACAAAACGTCAACGTGGAGTAAAAAGATGGAATCCGACTCATGCTGGAGATGGATCGTAGAGCTACTTGAAGGTACGTACCGGCAGGGCTGCCGGATGTACCTGCCCCAAAATTCAAACCACTGCGCTGCCGGGCAGACAGGCGAGGCGTGCTGCGCCTGCTGTCCCCACAGTACTTGCGCCAGTGTAGCGGGCGTGCTAGAGCAGGAACCATCGAGGCCCGGACGACGCGCACACGCCTTGTTGGGCTGCTTGTTCAGGTCCAGCGCGTGCCGTCACGCCCAGGCCGGGCCCTGGAAATGAAGTTTTCACGATGCTAAATCAGCACCATCTGACCGCCCATCCACTCGGTGAGGACTCGGTCTCTTACGATGCATCCATATCATTGTACAATTTGTAGACAGCCAGTCTCCCGGCCGTTTGTGGGACTTCTATTGTGAATGTGAGGCAGGTGTCATTATGGTCAATGGGCTATTCTTTTGCATCATGGACCCGGCCAAGGATCGTGATCATCATGATCGCACAAGACGTGCAAATTCTGAGTGACTGGTGGCCTGCCTATCCACGATCACCGAAGCCATTATTACCAAATTGTAACGGCCCCGCTATACCCCAAGGAGCAACTGCCCCTCCACGCCCCTCATTGACCTGGTGGCCCGAGCGCCTCATGTCGCTGGCGGCTGGTTCCTGAGAGATCACCATCAGGTCCCGTCACCATCGTCAATGTACTTGTACCAGATACTGCACCGAAGGGAGGCCAGCACGACGTTCCGCACTGCGGCTATTCATGGGTCTTTTCATCGATCCTCTGACCGAAGCTTCCTTACCATGTGTCTCATTGGCCCCCAATATCGATCACGAGCAACCTCTCCCGTCAGTGGTACACAAGAGACACAACAGTAGGCGCAATCTTTACTTGGCGTTCATCCATCACCGTGAGACCTGACGTGGAACTCACTTTGGCATTCGATCTGCTGCAGCTTTGCGCGGATCAGTAGGCATTACTTACGTAGCGCTGTCCATTTCAACATCTTGGCATTCGACCAACGAAACCCCCTGGCGATCGTCTCGCACTGGCGTTGTCAACAAGAAAATACTCGGTTTCATGCAGTGTGGAACATTCACAACCTTGCAGATCCCATGCATCGACTGCGTACCACCTCCAACCGGCCCACGACGTCCGACTCTCTTCGTCAACACCGCAGTTATTAGACTGACCTGTCGAGTCCATCGTTTGCCGCGTGCAAAGTACAGAGGAATGCGACTGGTCAAGGTGCTTGAGTCGAGATCAATTCTTTCCTTTTCCCTGCTGGTCTTGTCTGGTCTGCTGACACGACTCACCGTCTTATGGAGATTGCCGTCTTTCCTCAGGGTAGGGTAGCTTGTCTTCCCCAGATTTACAAGTTCAGCCGTTGCTTAGCTGGCGTTGTCGGATCGACCCGCCTCGCAGCTCCCATGACCAGCCAGCATGGGGTTTGAGAGGCTGTTTCAACTTCTTACTTCATGGCGTCCCTTGATGCGTGGCCAATGCTTTCCATCACGAGCCCCTCGTAGAGATTGCATCAAATCTCACCGCATTTGCAATGACCAACGGCAAAGCCCAGAGTGCCGACAACTGCCTGCTCGTACGTACGTACCTGGTACCTGGACTACAACGCAAGTTACAATGCTGCTGGACAGCCTGGAGTGGACTTGGGGATTTCGCGGCGCGACGGGGCTCCAACAACTCCACCACTGCAACCGGCGACTCGGCCGGCAAGGCGTGCTAATGACCACGGATACTCACTGACTCTGGTTGCAATCCAGTAGGCTCTCTGACGTGCTTGCAAGTTGCACTACATACATGCTGTCCCGCTCGGCTGCCCCAATTGGTATTTCTATTACCCCCAGGTTTGCACCCGACCCGGTTTCTGTTACCCCCAGCTTTTCTCCTTGCAGGTTTCCATTACCCCTTTTTTACATGATCCTGCAGCGCAGGACGTCCCGACGTCGACGGCCTTGGTGATACTTTCCAGGTAGCCCATGCACGCCAGTTGAAAACTCTGCAAGTCGGGGGAATTTTGGAGGTCACGCACCGTCCGGTGGCGCCCGGCCCTCGCGCTTGCGATCCCCCAACCCGTCGAATCGCCTGGATGGGATACTACGTCCTCGGACAGCCTCCGGGGCTTGGTGACAATGTCTGGAGAATTCTCCATGGTGTCGCGCGGGCGTGATACCCCTGCTCATCATTGACTCCCCGCATATGGAGAGCCCCGGAATCGACCACTCTCGCTTCGGCACTGCATCACGCGCTACGCCAGGTTTTCTTCCCAAGGTGTGTAGTAATAATAACTTTGGAATTCTGGAATTTGACAATTGTTCCATGCATCAACAAGAACACGCCCCTTGCAACATTTCATAATCTATTTTTGTCGTGGAATGCTGGCCAAACACGAGGAGCAGCCTACTGGCACTGCCACTATAGACCGTCGTCGAGACCAGCAATGCGCTAAGTACTGCCTCGTCACTACTCCGTAAACGTGGGGAACGCAGGTCACCAGACCGAGGGCCTCACCGACCGGCCAATTTCCCCAACAATGGACCCCTTCTCCAAAGGAATGAGAGAGGATACTTAGTGGGACTCTCCAAGTCGTCAAATGTCACGACCGCTGGTTGCGTGTCTCAGGATGACAACTCTGGCTCCGGCAACTTGGACATGCTCCCATTTTGAACGCTCTCGAGTATGATGTACTAAAAAGAAAACATCAATATCGTCCTGGGTTTCTTCTCATCGCTACTATGATTCCTACAGGAAATCCAGATGCTCTGCAAGACCCCTGGATGCTCCCAAGTCCTACGCATAGCGACACATCTGAGGCACAGCGGGCTTCTTGTTAAAGGCGGCCACAGAGTCCATCATGCGCGCAGCTTCCTTGCTGAAAGCGCTGATCTCCTCGAACTTCATACCGCGCCTCAGCTTGGCTGCTTGCGTGACCTTGCTCGCGTCCCTGATGCCAAAGGCACTCATCACAAGCCCGAAGATCAAGAGAGGGGCCGACTCGGGCACCGAAATGACGGCATGGAGGCCAATAGCCTAGATGACGGGTCAGTGGCCATACATAAAAGCCAGAAGAGAGGGGGAAGCGCCAAACGTACTGTGTTGCCAGCCTCGGCGAGGTACACGAGAGTGCGCCCAAGAGTGCTGAACCCAGCTGCCACGAGACTTGAGCCACCGAAGCCGATTACGATCAGCAGAGCGGACAGGAGATTGACAATCAAGGCGGTCTTCTCGGCCTCCTTGATTTCCTTGCCCATCTTGACGACCACCTCCATGTACTGGACAGACTCTTGGAGCATGAAGACGGGCAGGATGAGCGCGTCAACCAGATCATGGCCATCGCCTTCGTAGTAGTCGACCATCAACTGGAACCCAGCCTCCGCCATGGGCTCGCGGAGGACGTCTGCATTCTCAATGGTCTTTTTGACAATGTCCTTTGGATTCACAACGTTCTCTTTCTCGAACCCGTCGACGTACGGGACGTTATGCTAGTATCCCGTTCGCTTGCACAATTCACTCATGTCTTCCCAGCCATTGTAGGCAAAGTCACGAGCGCAGCTTGGGCTCATGAAAACACTGGGAATCGTGGACCGCTCCGCAATCTTGAATTTGTCCTCGGGCGCACCGACCTCGGCGGTGGCCGCGGCGTAAAAGTTCTTTTTGGCCTCGTCGTCCTTGAAATCCCAGAAGATGGTTTGCTCCCAGTCGTCCCCCATGCCACGCTTGGAGTAATCCGGCGGGCATGGCTGATCACGCAGGTGCCACTCAACACCGTCATCGTACGGACTCTCAATGACACACTTCTCGACGTAGCCATCGCAGCTGACGCCTAGGTATTCGCAGTTGGTGCAGCAGGGATACTGTTGCCAGATGTCACAGTCGAAATAGTCGTCGCCGGTGTCCTTTATGAAACTGTGCGTCACCGCATTGGCGTTGTCCACGAGATACCCCGAGTATACGCCAAAGTAATAGTCATAGTCGTCCTCCAGGATCTCGTTGTACCGCTTCGTTATGGTCTCCAGCATGTTGTGCAGGACAGGCACCATGTACTTGGGTACGCAATGCGCGGGTAGCTCATTGTAAAAGTCAAGGTTGAAGATCTCATCCATGGTTGTTGGCGTGTAGGGACAGGCCGGGAGGGGCTTATCATCATCGGGATCCGGCTCGTACGGCTGCGGGCTTCCCTCGTATCATCATCATCACCGTCATCAGGGTCTTCGCCATTGCAGCCACTTTGACAGCTATCGCCGCAGTGGGCATCCGAGTCGCCGCAGTCTGGATCACTGTCAGTTCCGCCGTGTTGCAGTATCCCCAGAGGCGCACTTACATCCGCCGGCAGAGCAGCAAGATCCGTGGGACCAGCTTCCACAGATGGCATTGTTCAAGAATCCTGCACCGCATCGACCGTCGGAAGTCTCCAAGCCGCTGTCATGAATGGTCAGTGTCCGAGCCGAATATGAGAGTACCTGGGGGGTGATCATACTCTTTGCAGTCGCCGCTGATGCAGGCAGAACCGCAGTACCCATCAGAAGAACCACAGTAGCCACTCGTGGAGCAGCAGTCGCCGTAGTCACTGCCGGGACAAGTAGTGCCATTATGGTTAGGTCCGCAATAACCGTCCTCCGACTTGGGCGCGTCCGTGCCGCTACCGTCACCAGAGTTGAAGTCGACGCTCCATGCCATCAGTCCGCCGAAGCACTGGTCGTTGGCGAATTTCCGCTTCAGCTCGACGGTCTCCTCGTCGTCATAGCCTGTGTACCCAGTGAGTACGCAATGGAACGGGTGCTGGGGAAGTTGGAAAGGACTTACCGACCCACTGGTTGTCCCAGACAAGCTCCTTCATGCCAATGCCAGGCAAAGTGTTGGACTTGGCCTCTCCGCTGGCAATCATTTCCTTGATCTCAACCAGGGACAGTACACCAACGCTATTGGTGCATTTGCCAGGCTTGCTTGGTCCTAGGAATGGACGCCCAAGGGTGTTGCAAGTTGGATTAACCTTATCTTCTTCTCCACGATCCAAACTGCATAGTTACCCGAGTAGGCAGTTGGGTAGGTTCACGATCTAGACCAGCCCATGGATCAAATTGCGCCTCTACTATACAAAACAGGAATCTAACTTCTCAAGGCCCAAATCAGCAGAGGCGATTTCCTCGGCATTGCTGCTTCTGGCGCTTTTTTCAAAGGGCTAAGACAGGGGTCGCCGTGGCTATCCGCTATCAAGCTCTTTCGTCAGCCTTGGCGACGGATACTGGGCAAAGCATGGCATAATACTATTGTTCAGGCCCAATGCCGCGCTTCCGTTGATGAGTGCGGCCAAGAACCTCTGCCAGGGTCCCGTCGATGGATGAGCCCAAGAAGAGAACGTGCTGACGCTGAATGGGGTCCAGGATCCAGGGTTGGCCGACCTTGGCCATCTTGGCTTTCGACTCGAGGGTGATCTGGAGCCGGAATCGAAGAAAGTAATAATAGAGTTGCGGAACCAATTTCGATATCACAAGCTCCGCGGCTGACTGGGCTATGCTGTGTGAGGCGAGCTGACTGTAGACAGTATATTGGACTGTTGTTACTCAGTGTCATCGCGTTTTGAAATACTCACAGTCAGATCCGTCTAGATTTACTGCTCCCTACCAAACCCAAGGTTTGTCGCACTTGTGGCCATTGATACTGTATTCCTAACACTTCCAGATGAAAGTTGTTTCTCTTTTGGCGGCAGGGCAGCCTTTGTTGGGACGTTTTCCGTCATAGAAGAGGTGGAAGCCGCTCGCGTCATCTACTTCTATACCGTCTACGACCTCGATGTCGAGGTTTTGGGCCAGGGCAACGGATACATTGCGCCTGAGTGCAAAGGAGTTGTCATCCCCGATGGCCGCTGCACGTTTGACGAGTTTGTCAACTTTGTCGATACGGGCGAGGCCAGCACCAACCCCCCAAGTACCATGACTTTACGAGCAGCTTCAGTTTCCTCCCGGGTGATATCAATGCCATGGTGTTGGCCTTGGATGCTCTCGATGCCAAAATCGCGGATGTCTGCGACAAGGTGGTCCGCAGCCGTCGGTCAGCCGTCGGTATCTGGGACGACCTTGCCACCATTGTCGACAAGGACCACGCCCGTGCCGAGGCGCGCGACGTCAACACGCAACGGCACTTTACCAACCTGAAGGAGGCGCTGACCGGCGTCATCGCCCACACTTCTGCTAATCTCGAGATGGGCACGCTCGGCCGGATGCGCAGCTATCGGAAGACGGCACCTGGAAGATTGTCAACCGTGAGAGTGAGTACCGCAAGGCTGGCTGGCAAAAGATCGACTGGCAGGCCACAGTCGCGGCGAACCCTGACTTGGCCTATGCCGACAGCAACCACTAACAGAACACAGTAAAGGCTCTCAAAGGTTTCGACACCCTTAAAGGCGCCATGGCTGAGAAGTCAATTGCGTACAAGACGGCCAACACCTTCAATGCGTGCTTCTTGAGGTAAATGGGTCACTGCAGATGTTGAGAATCCTAGCACTAGGTGGTGAATGAGAAGAAAATGGAAGATATGGCAATAACAACCTGAAATACACATGCATGTACGGCAAGGTGATGATTGTTGAAGTTCAAGGTCCATCTGCGTATGGGTGCACGGGTGCACGTGACCTCTATCACCCGCCGCGGCGCGCGCTCCTGCCGAGCTTCTGCCAAAAAATTTGAGGTCAAGCCCAAGTGACGCAGGCTGTTCCATCATCCATCCCCTATTAACTCCATCGAATCGCGCCTTTTTTCCGTCGATAACGACTCCCTCGCTCGGTCATTCTAGTCGCAATTCGATACGAATCTTGAGTCATCAACTAGGATCTCGTGCGATCCCAGCGCAATTTCTGCTCCACCTTCCCATCAACCACCACAACCGCCAACATGGTCACCCTAACAGAGGTTGAGGACGAGCACTTCCAGAACACCCAGGCTGGCCCTGAGGTTGACGACGACGACTACAGCGACACCGGTACGTCCTTGTTCTCCTCGCCTCGTTCTTGAGTCAAGCTAACCCCCTTTTCAGACTCTGAGATCTCCAACGAGTCCGACTACGATCCCCAAGACGAGACCCTCGCCGAGCGCCTCTACGCTCTGCGCGACATCGTACCCCCCACAACTCGCGGCTGGATCTCATCCAAGATCAACACCGTCTCGAACGCCACCTGGACAGCGCTATCCTTCAGCGGCAAGGCCACGTGGGTGATCACCACCTCGGCTCTCTTCTTCGGCGTCCCATTCGCCCTCAGCTTCGCCGAGGACCAGCAGCTCACAGCCATGGAGCAGGAGTACAACATGAGGCAGCAGGGCAGTGAGCTCCTGACCGCCGGCGGCGACCAGACGACCGCTGATCGCATCGGTGCGGCGCTCGGCGACGAGAAGGACGCCAAGGCGGCGTTGTAAAGACATGAACAGATGAAAGCAAGACGTCTATGTACGAAAGTATTTGAGCAGGATCCGCGCGAGCAGGATGTGTACTATATGGATACGGATAATAGCGGTTGGCACGCCACGGACGAAATGCATCGGAACGGGAAACGGCGCGTGCTTGCATGGCAAGGTTGTGCAGTCTCATCTCTGGGCGGTGTCATCAATTTGTATGTGTACTTGTCAAAAATAGAACATTTCCACATTCTTCAAGCGCATTCGTTTCGTGTTTCTCATCGTGCACAATTCCAGACACTGCAGGTTACGCAACTTCATTGAGACACATTCGCGTGCTTGGGTGCTAGGTCCGCTACAACATCGCTCCACGATGGCAAAGAGCAAGTCAAATCTCCTACTGGTATGAAGTACGCGCAACAAATCATCATGGACAATTCCAGATGAGATTGATTTCCGGCTGCGCCATAGCGTTTTCACGTCCGTCTTATTTAAGGCGCTTGTAGGGTAAGTTGAACTTGCCTACACAACAGCATTACCACAACCATCATATCGTTGAGCATGCTATATGCAGTTGGCACCTTGATACTAACCCCGCGTGCTTCAAAGGGTTTCTCTAAAAAGACCCGACCGACTGGACGGCTTTTCTGCGGTCATCAAAGAGCTTGCCGGACTTTCTCAGACACGGTTGCATTCTCGGATCGTGCCCGTCACATCAGCGTTCCGCGTTTCAAACATTGGAGCAAGTAGGCGCCATAGTACAGCCATGGACTTCAAAGCGCTACCGAAGATCGAGGTGAATCTGTAGTGCCTCGGCTGGAAATGTGTGCTGATGGTGCTAGCTTCACGCTCATCTGACGGGCTCCGTCACCCGTCGTACGCTTCATGACATATGGGAAGCCAAGCACAAGTCGCAACAGACGACGCTCGAGGATCCCCTTGTTGTCATGCCAGAAGGCAAGCCTGACTATAATCTCAAGAGGTACTTTGCCTGTGGCTCATGGCTCCCAGGGGAGAAACGCTGACTATCGTAGTTTCTTCCCCCTCTTCAGCTCGTACATCTACGAACTCCTCACGGACGTTCCCTCCATCCAGCAGGCCACCACCTCTGTTCTCCAGGGATTCCTCGAAGATGGCGTAGTGTACTTGGAACTACGCACAACACCTCGCGCTACACCATCCCTGACGCCGGAAGACTATATCACCACGATCCTGGACGCGATTGCCGCCTTTGAGCAGACGCACCATGAGATGCATACCCGCCTCATCCTCTCCATAGATCGTAGACACGATGTATCTACGGCGGAGAACATTCTGGCCCTCGCAGAGAAGTATCGTGGCAGGGTCGTAGGCCTGGACCTCTGCGGAGACCCCTCAGCACGCCCGGACGGACAAATCTCCGTCTTCACACCCATCTTCCAGAGGGCAAGCTTACCCCTAACCGTACACTTTGGGGAGTGTGTCGCGAGCGGTTCACCCGAGGAGCTCGAGACTCTGCTCTCATGGCACCCAGGAAGGCTAGGCCATGCGATCTGCCTGGATGAGGAGAGTAAGAAGGTGATCAGGGAGAGGAACTTGTGTCTCGAGCTCCTCTTGAGCTGCAATGTACAAGCCGGTATGACCCAGGGGGGATTTGCGAACCATCACTTTGGAGAGTGGTTGGCTTGTGACGGAGTGAAGGTTTCACTCGGGGTGAGTCGAGGGTGTCTTGGGCGGGTTCTCGAGGTTGGACGATTGTGCTAACGGTTGCAGACCGACGATGTTGGAGTGTTCGGTAGCGAACTCTCTGACGAGTACCGACTAGCCGCTGAGCATTTCGGGCTTGATCAGAAGCAAATTTGCGCATTAGCCAGGCAAGGCATTGAGGCAATCTTCGGCGGCGAGGATGAGAAGGAGAGACTGCGACAAGTCATGTGGATATAATCTTTTCGTTATTCGACATTAGGAATGGTATCAAGCAAAACTAGACTAGAACCCACATCGAGGGGAGAATGTTGACGCGATGTCTATAGCGACCCGACACAATTCAAGAAAACACGCGGAGTCGGTGACTCCGCTTCGAACGCCGGCCCATCTATCATGTCAATCATCACTGCACTTGTCCGTGAGGTAGCGCATCTAGGTCAATGGCAAGCACGTCGTTCCTCTGGCTCTCGCTGGAGCGCACCAGGTTGGAGAAGTACTTGGATGCCCGCTCGCTTTCGCCCTTGACCTTGATCGTCTCCTCACGGCGGTCGCCGAGTTCCTTCACGCTCTGCTCTAGGCCGACACGGAGATTGTCGGCAGGAACCCGGAGCACACGGCGCACGGCCGTGGCGATACGTGTGGAGTTGCTGTGGACGTAGTCGAGCTCAGCAAGCTGGGCTGAGATTTTGTTGGCGAGGCGCGGCGGCAGGGAGTTGGGAATCTGTTGCACAACATAGGCGGATGCGGCAAACACTGTGACATGTTAGTATAACACTTCACTAAGCAATCTGAGAGGAACTCACCTGCAACGAGAAGACCTGGTATCACAAGGGTCCTCAAGTTGCCGCTGCCCACCAAGCGTGTGGCCATGAGCGCCTGGTCCACCCAAGAGCTCATACCAATCATGCGAGGGACCACGGCACCGGCGACAGTGAGCGCCATGCCAGTACCGGCAAACTTCTCCTGTCGCTGCAAAAGCGTTGTCCAATCAACAAAGTCCCAGAGCTCTGTTGGGATGTCCACCTGACGAGCTAAGGCGTCCTTCTTTCGCTGAAACATGACGTCGGGCAGGAACTTGAGGTTCTTGAACTCATCACCAACGTGCAGTATTCCAAGTTGCTTTGTGGCGTTGACACCCTGTACTGACTTGGCCCTGGCAAAGTCCTCGCACTTGGCGACTGTTTGAGTAATGTGAGAAAGCATGGCCGCCTTCAGATCCTCCGCATACTGGAATGCGCCAAAGAGACCAGGATAAGGCAAGTCGTAGCTGTAGTTCCCGGCGTATTCGATAGACGACGTCAGTTCAGATCGCGTGTTGTCGTAAACCTCCTTGCACGTCTCCTCGATGTTGTGATCAATCTGGTCGCTAACCTCGTTTCGGGCTTTCCTGCTAGAATCAAGCTGAGGCTCAATCTCCTTCAACTCGCGCCGTACACGATCCAGTTCAGACTGCGCAACACCGTAATTGACGGACGCTAGCGTGTGGACGTCGTTCAGGATATTCAGCAAGTAGGTCCGCGCCGGAGCGAGCTTGGAACGAGCGCGCTTTTCCAGGACGAATCTCCGCAACGACTGTTCAGCCGCCTCAAAGTCGCGTACCTTGTCCGCAGCGTCGGCCTTGCCCTTGCCCTTGTCACCATCATCCGGATCGTCGTCCCCGTCGCCTCCGCTTCCACCCGGTCCACCAACTGGTACTGCATTGCTCGACACAAAGTGCACGAGCTCGTCTGACTCCTTGTGCGTGCGTGGACTCAACCCCGAGACCTGGTCGAGCACCAGCTTCTTGCATCGCTCCTTGTCACGAATCGTGTCATATCCGTTGACGACAATGAAGATGTACGCTTTTTCCGCCGCAGCCGCCCAGATGAATTCCTTGGCTGACTGTGTAAAGTGATTTGCCGCAGAAACGACGAAGACAACCACATCAATTTCCTCTTGTCGTGCGAAGATAGCCGTCGTTTTCGTCGTGTCCGAGTTGAGACCAGGGGCGTCGATGAGCGCGATGTCGACCACCCCGTTGTTGAGTAGTGATTCATCAATCGTCCGCGAGTCCTTCACATACACTTTGCATTGGGTGTATTTGTCGTTGTCCACCACAATCTTCTCCAATTCTTGTAGCGAATAGACGTCATATGTCGACTCATCAATCCGGTCATAGACGCTTCCATTGTGCACGGCATGTACTTCCTCGACGTTCGAGTTCTCGCGAGCGTCCAACACCTCGCAAAAGATTGACGTGCATGGTTGTTGATCTTCGGGGAGAACCTTGCGGCGCAGCAGAGCATTGCAGAATGTAGACTTTCCAGCGTTCAAGTCTCCGGTGATGAGGACTTTGCTGGCAGTATCGGAGATACGATCTCGCAGCGAGATGAGATGCTTGATACTGGTACTGATCTTGCCATCCAACAAGGATGCGATCGAGTTCTTCTCCAGAGAGTGAACAAGCTCTACCTGGCTCAGCGCGCCTAGCTTCAGGTCAAGCTTCAGGATGGAGAACTCTTGCGCGATCTGAGGTGTAACGAGGCGAGGTGGCTCGGGGACCCGGTTCTCCGCGGCTCGGCTCGACTCGGCGTCATTCGCTTCCAGAGAGGTCATCGCTCGTCGCAACTGCGGTGGTGGTGCCTCGGGGCCGTTGTTGTCGACATCGCCCATGGTGGAATACGCGTGGCCCAGGCCTGGCCGCGACTGTGGTCTTTCTGGAGAAGACACATCAGCACGCTGCACCGAAGGATAGTGAGCTGGCCATGATTCGTTCATCTCCCTGAGTCCCTTGAGAAGTTCGAGTGCCTTTCCTATCGAGCGGCTGAGAGATGCCATTTGCTGGTTGTACCACATTTGGTGAATGGCCCCTGATTGTGGTTGACCGTGCTGAGGGCTGCCGACCGCGGACGACATGCCAGGATGATCAGCATCCGCAATGCTGCCCCCGTATCCCGAATCGTACTCATTGTTCAACATGTTCTGGACATGCGCGATGTGTCGCGATGTCAACCCGTTGCCGACCGTCATGGATTTGATGTTGCTAGGGCCGTCCGCTGGCAAGTTATTGCTGTCGGATTTGTCATCTGATTCTCTAGGCTCCGATGACATCGGAGCCTTTCCCTTCCCTGAGAAATAGTCCTCGCTCATGATGAAGCGCGCGGTTTGGTCATGGTCGAGGATCGGTCGGAGGGACAAAAGTTGGTCGCGGTGAGGATGGGAGCACGATCACGATGGCACGATCAATGAGAGAATGGAGGCAAATTGACGTCGACACTGCGAGCGCGCCGTCTCCATAAATTGACCTTGGGCAGGCCACGCGATTGGTTCAAGTTTCAACAAAGCCGGATCATGGCAACCACGACGGAGCGGCAGAAGCTCGGAAAAGGCACTATTCTCTGTTATCTTATCGGTTCGATGGACCACGGTCGCCAAGGGTGAGGCCTAGCGACAATTACGTAGGTGGTGAACGGCACGTCGTGATCCTGGGACAGCCAGGCATCAGCTGCACTTTGCGCTTTTAATGCGCACGCTCTCTCCTCTCCTCTGAATTGCATTGTGCAATTGTTGTCATATTATCAACGCAGCCAAAGGTTTTCATCCGTCGCCAACATGAATGTCAGGACCCGGCTTCATTCTCCCCCGCGCTTGTTGCTGATCATGTACAGATCCTCGAATGGGCCTTTGGGAAACGCATGACGCCTGCGGAGCGTCTGCGCAAGAATCAGCGTATGCTCGACAAGGCGATTCGTGAACTCGACCAAACGCGCGTCAAGCTCGAAAAGCAAGAGAAGACACTCATTCAGCAGATCAAGACGAGCGCCAAGAATGGGCAAATGGGCGCATGCAAGATCCAAGCCAAGGACCTGGTGCGCACGAGGAGGTATATCGAGAAATTCTACGGCATGAGAAGCCAGCTTCAGAAGATCTCCTTGCGTCTACAGGTAATAATGACACATCGCAGGCAGGGTAGCAGGCGCAAGCTAACCAGACTAGACGTACCGGACGAACGAGCAGATGATGCAGGCAATGAAGGGAGCCACCATGGCTCTAGGCAGCATGAACAAGCAGATGAATCTTCCGCAACTGCAACGAATAGCCATGGAGTTCGAGCGCGAGAACGACATGATGGACCAAAGGCAGGAGATGATGGACGATGTCATGGACGATGCTATGGATGTCGGTGTTGAGGAGGAAGGAGATGAGGTGGTCGAGCAGGTTCTCGAAGAGATTGGCGTGGACTTCAACCAACAGGTGAGCGAACACATTCACGACCCGACGAAGGAGACTGACACGCATGACAGCTCGGCGAAACGCCTACTGCCTTAGGAAACGAAGCCCAGACCGAGGGCAGGATTGCGCAAGCAGTTGGCGGCGGTGGTGGTGGCGGTTCCAATGGGGGCGACCCCGTGGATGATGACCTTCAAGCGCGTCTCGACAGCCTCAGAAAGGGGTAGATCGGTTGGACGTCTGTAGAGCAGCCTTGTTTTTGAGCACGCACGCAGCTGTCTGAACGAAGAGATATCTTTTGGCGTTTGGTGCTGGCCACATCGCATTCTGGGAGTAAAGGGGTCTAGCAAGAATCGCGTTGGACTATTATCTTGAGACGTGTTTCTAATGCCGTTGGCCTTGCGTGCTGTGTCACTTCTACGTATTCTACCTCAATTCAGATTCTTCTTCCTCTCTCTTGACCACCGTGGTGACTCTGGCCTCTTCCCTCTTCTCACCCGCCGCCGTACATCTAATTAGCCAGCCACAGCCTCTTGGAAAGATATCTCCAAAACGAAGCATGGCTTTCTGTGGAGTCTCCCCACGATTGCCCGAGAACCCCATGAGGAGGAACAGTGGTCAATGACACCGTTGGGGATTGCTTATTATCCACTGATCTGTGGAGAGCTCGCGATCAAACGGCAGCGAAACCTCAGTACAGCAATCGTAGATTTAATCTGTTAGTGATCAGGAGTACAAGAGCCTCTAGGAAGAAGCGTTCGCACAGGCTCATGTGCGTTGTTCGCCATTTCGATTCTTCCCAGAGATATGCGACTCCTGGCTGGAGAGTTTGGTCGCTAGTCCAGCCGTGCAAATGGACTTTGTGGAGGATGAATTGAGTAGAAGAGTTGCAAAGGCGAAGCTGTGAATGGACATGTGTCACGCGAGATCAGGAATGATATAATAACACACTTTATCTGAATGCTGCTGTAATCACCAAATACTCATCCATTACCAATGTCGACCACAGGGGAGGTGGGGTAGAACAGCTGTAGCGTGTAGGCTCCGTGGCCAGGTACGACCTATCACAGTTGAGCGCCACCGTCCGTCACCCACCTTGCCCAGGCGGCCAGGCTTCAGGGACTCTTTGCCTGCAGCCTCTCATGTCCCTCCATATCCTCCAGTCTCCCACAGCTCGACTCCAAGATACTAGTTGCATCGATATACACAATACACACGTTGTCCCTACCAGGTATGTAACCCAATTTCGGCGGATTCTTTCTTTTCCCAACTCAAATATGGTCATTCGACTGCTGTCCCGCACGCATCACCCGCCGGATTTCCCATCAACGCCGGCATCCTACGTCACGGAGGCGCTTCAGCATCACTGCCTGTCTTGGTGGGAGGCTTACCCTTCACGTCGTCCTCTGAACGCTTGGCCGGGTTCCCTTTCGACTCGATCTACCTCAAGAAGCCCCGATTCTGGCGCAAGTTTTTGAGCGAGCCGTCGTCCATCGCAGTCCCTCGCGCTCCAGTCCCCCTCCTCGTTGTCCTGGACTGAGGTGCCCTGTCGCCCTACCTCGATTTACCCCACAGTGCCTGCTTCATTCGACCGCAATCTGACTGACACTCCTCTCAGATCAGGCACACAGGAAAGAATACCATCTCCTCGGTCATTTACGGAACTTCAAGAGCAACATCGGTCCGTTTCCTCGCATACCTTCCAGAAGCGACTCTACGTTCTCGACCAGCGGGCCATCTCTACCGACAGAACACCATCTCGTCGGCGCTACCACAACACCTCTACGCTTCCTCGACAATCAACAAGCTGGCAGGCAGTAAACGTCGCAGCCTCTCCTCACAGGGAGGAAGCCTGCTGAATAGGATGTTCGGCGGCAACAGTCACTCTAGCGACAAGACCAACAACCCTGCGCAAACCAGCGGTGCCGACTCGGATTCTACGTCAATAGACTCCAAGAAATCATCATCGCCAGACGCCAGCCCGGTCGACGCTCCCGAAAAGACCACGGATCAAATATCTGGCGAGAAGCGCTCGGGGAATGGCAGCCCCCCCGGACGCAGCGACAATGGCAGCTCTGGTGATAAGAAACGCAGGAGCAGCGGCGTCAGCAGCAAGGCCAGCAGCCTGCTTGCATCCGCCAAAAATACCCTGAGCTTTTCTCAAAGTCGGAACAATGTCGACCTCAGCGCGCAATCGCCCATCCAGAAGCTTGGGAAGCAAGACCCTGCTCTTGCTGTTCCACAAGGCTCGCACAACAACTCGGCGGGTGAGTCTGTGCCCGGGCCGAAATCGACCTTCCGCGTAGGCGTGTGGGAAGACCGGAACAAGAAGTGCCGCCGGACGATGGAGGATACGCATGCCTTTCTGTACAACTTCCTGTCCACTCCGGCCACTGTCGCAGATGTGCCGACAACCGAACAATCCGAAGAGGCCTCTACGGACGACATGGCCGAGTCCGACAATGGCTACTTTGCAATCTTTGACGGTCACGCAGGCACGTTTGCCGCCGATTGGTGTGGAAAGAAGCTGCATCTTCTCCTCGAAGACATTGTCAGAAAGTACCCCTACATGCCAATGCCCGAGCTGCTGGACCAAACCTTCACTGCGGTCGATGCGCAGCTGGAAAAGCTGCCTGTGAAGAACAGTGGATGCACCGCTGCGATTGCTGTCTTGCGCTGGGAGGACCGCGTCCCCAACGAACGCTCCGCTACTGGCTCCCAGCATATTGCGCCTGCCGTCGCGGCCGTCTCCAAAAAGACCGATGAGGAACGGCAGTCAGAGATGGAAAAGGAAACTTCAGAGGTCAGCTTGGCGCCTCCGACTGAGGCGGCCCATGCACGGCTAAAACCGTCAGCTACGCGCCAACGCGTGCTATACACAGCCAATGTGGGCGACGCTCGCATCGTCCTCTGTCGTGGTGGCAAGGCGTTACGCCTGTCTTATGACCACAAGGGCAGTGACGAGAATGAGGGCCGGAGAATCGCCAATGCCGGTGGCATGATTTTGAACAACCGAGTCAACGGTGTCTTGGCCGTCACGCGCGCCCTCGGCGACGCCTATATGAAGGACCTCGTCACAGGCCACCCATACACGACTGAGACTGTGATTCAGCCGGAGCATGATGAATTCATAATCATTGCGTGCGATGGAGTAAGTACATGATTGTAGAACGTTCCTCACATGGCTGACCTCTTCTGCAGGTATGGGACGTATGCAGCGATCAGGAAGCCGTCGACTTCATCCGTAACGTTCAGGACCCAGTCACAGCCTCCAAGATGCTCGTAGACCATGCGCTGGGTCGTTTCAGCACTGACAACTTATCCTGCATGGTAGTGCGCCTCGAGAAAGACGCCACGATGCAAAGCCTCCGCGAGAAGGATACCGGCGTCGAGCACGAGAAAGGCGCTGCCAAGATTAGCGAAGCTGACAAGCTGGTCGGCGAAACGAAGCAAAAGATTGAGGATGGAACCAATCCGGCTATTGGGGTATCGGCTAGCAACAGCGGGCGTGGTCACGATCCAGTGCGTCCCGAGGACAGCTCAGATGGTTTCGTGCCGACAACATTGGATGATTCTGTGGCAGAGGAAGAGCCTCTGGCTGCTGGCGAGTCAGACAGCCCCGAAGCAACGCCCGGATTGGAGAAGGGCCCGGCTATCTCTGGCAAGGTGGAGGAGAAAGGCTCAGATAAACAGGGCGATGCAAAGGAGTCGACCGCCTAGGTGACGGCTGACGGCTCTGGGTGTCACGTTGTCTGAATTATGGAACGAATGGATTGAACATAGCTGCTCCTACGAACATGACTATAGCATCAAGCAATGCCTCAAGTTAGTTACCTCAGGAAGCTGCGCGTTGTGTGCCAGGTTATTATTTCGCTGCTTAATTATTCTTTTACTTAGCTTACCTTACCCGACTTCAGTGCCTGAAGGTGGTCGTGAGGACATGCATAATAACTGCCTTGGTGTTGTGCAGGTGGGACAGATGCACAAGTCTTGCATAGACCCCTGGATTTTGTTTATTACCTTACGCCAGCACCGACTCGGAATGGCTTGGCCTCCTCTTTGTGGGTGATTGGAATTGGGTGGGCGGGTGCATGTGGGTGGGACGAACCTCCTGAGCCGGACTGGACTGGAGCAAGCTCCAACGACCCTGGGGACCAGCAGCAATGCTCTCTTTTCCCAAGCTGTCTGCCTGTCCGTGTTTCCTACCCTCACGCCGACACGCGATAGTTGGTGGCTCCAACCTTCTTAATACTCTGACAAGGCGCTCTTCTTGACGCTGGCGGATAGATCACATTCAGTTGTGCCCGCTGGCGAGCCGTTCTTTTCTCGACGCTCTCTCCGCTGCAGACTCCCTGCATTGCTTGTTCCTTTTTATTTATTTTTCCCGCGGTTGGGTTAGGTATCCCTGCCGCCAGGCCAGTCAGTGTAGATCCGCAAGACTCTGGGAACTCTACTACTGGCATCGCATTCGTTGTCTTGTCTCAGGTTTGCTCAGGCCTTCTTCCTCTTCCTCACTTTACAAATTCAATTCTCGACTATCCATCGACACCACTTCGACTTCGACCTCGACCGTCGACGGCAAGGGCGCCGTGAGTGTGCAGCGCTGCCCATGTCCCCTGACTGAGCGGCTACAGCTTCTTGACTCGCGCCCCCGCCACTAATATATCGACGACACGGCCGACGGGGATATAGAGCGGGTAATATCACAACACCGTCAGACGCGTATATACGAGGGAATCAGCGAAAAAAAAGATGTCGTTGAACGGGTTGGATGGTCCGCAAGTCGCGACAGCCTTCGCAGCAGCTGCTGCTGAAGCGGGAGGATGGTATGTCGCTCAAGGCAACAATCTCGCGAAGCAAAATAGCTGACGACGGCATAGGTTTATTCTCAAATACGCCAGTCGCGATGAAGTCGAGATCCTGAGCCACGGCACCGGTGGCATTGGCGAGATGCGCAACGCCATCGCCGAGTATGAGGACGCGAGTCCCTTGTATGGGTACTTGAAGTATCGCAGGAGGAACGTCTTGATCAAATGCCTGCCAGAGGATTGTTCAAGACTAATACAAGGTCAGTCACCACAAGTCTGACCATTGCTTTGCGCTGTGTGGCTCACTTTATCGTAGCGCGTGTTGCCGTTCACTTCAACGCGGTTTGCGAGAGATTCGCACCCTACGATTCACAGGTCGACATCACAGCAGCAGACGAGCTACGCGATACGAAGCTTTCAGCAGCCTGTTCCCTGCACGCCGCATCGGGCTCCAACTCCAGTTCCGGCTCTCTGAGGAAAAAGCATCTGATGGAAATCGTCGAGGAAGACGAGGAGGAACTACAGCCGCCCTCAGCCAAGCGCCAGTCACTTGTCAAGGACAAGGGCGACAATGAGAAGAACAAGCCCGAAGAGCCACCAGTCACCTTGAACTCAGACCTGGCCGATACACAATTTTCAGCCGAAGCAACGTCCGAAGTCCCCAACTTTGTGGGCACAACCGATGAGCCCTCAGCCGACCCTGAGCCTAGTCGTCGCATGTCGTCACAATCAGGTCGAGCCGAAGTCTTTACCTCCTACTCATCCTACTCCTCGTACAGTACTAAGCCCAAGGTGAAGCTTGGCCCCCGTCCTTCCCTCGAAACCAGTACGCGACCCCAGACCGCAGGCAACTTCAGGCCAGTATCGTCAATACCAGCCGGCTTCAAGCTGTTTGGCAAGGGTTCAACAAGTTCAAAGAAGTCTGGGAGAAAAGATTCGGTCGGGAGTGCCAACGGCAGTTTGATCGAGTCACCACTGAGTGAGGCTACAGACATATCTGTCACCACACTCCCCATCCCTGAGGAGCCATCCGCAATGAAGACACCGACCGATAGCGCGCGACCTGCCACGAGCTCTGGTGCTAGTTTCAAGAGCAGCATGACAAGTTCCAGCAAGCCGGCGATGACGCCCGAGAAGGCGAGGCTGAAGAAAGCAATGCAGATGCGCGAAAGGAAGAGGAAGGCCGCTGGAAAAGCGTCCGAGGTGCCTGAGGTACCTGAGGTGCCAGTGATAACTACTACAGAGGCCACGCATGGACAACCGAGTGAACAGACGAGCGGGCTGGAACAAGGCCCGGCACCAATGGTCAAGGCGGATTCTGGGATCGCAATCGACGTGTCACCAGCGTCTACCAAGGGTTCGACGTTGACGCAAGATTCTTCGAGGCCTGCCAGCCCCGCAGAGACTCAGCAATCCACGAAAGCTTCGTCGATATCCGAGACGATAGACGAGACCGCCGAACCCGGAGGCGCGAAAGCGCTCGAAGCTGAACCCCCCTCAGCCACTTCCACACCAATCACAGACAAGACTGTCCAAGAGAAGGAGGAATCGCATGGGGATGAAGCGCATATAAACGGAAACGGAGGCGCGAGCTCGCCTGCACAAGCCAGCTCAGCAACCTCTGAGGACACTGCGACTCAGCTCGATGACTCGACAGCGCAGACTGTAGCTACATCTGTTGACGATCAAGAATGTTCCAGCGAGAACGTCGTTACCGCATCGGCAAACGATGGGAACGGCAGCAGTCTATCGCACGAGACCACGAGGGGGTCAACGTCCACACTCACCCAGGCAGCACACGCCGACGACATCCCCGCTCAAGGGCACGAGAAGGCTACAGCAGAAGATGGGGATCACAGACCTCAGCAAGATATAGCTGGCAAGGTGCCTGCAGCTATAGAAACCCCTGGAACGGCCGATGATGCCAAGCTCAACGACCAGGTCAGCGACACCGAGACGATATCACCCCCTCTGCAACCGCCTCCTCGCCGCCGGCCAGTCGAACCTATTCGCACAGACCTTGCCCAGCACAGTCGACCTACATCGCAGGCCTTCTCCGTCGAGGATGACGAAAGTCTGCTAGATGAGATCCACAGCGCCACCGTCCAAGAGGCCAAGCCCATGTTCGTCGCCAAGACTCCCGTCACCCCCGTCTTCCCCGGCAAGCTCAACTTCAATGGCGGTGCCCCCACGCCTGCGTCGGCAACCGCGACGAGCTTCAGCGGCAAGCCGACAATGGTGCGAACAGTGTCCAACCCGGTGCGAGGCAACCTTGTCGCGCCCCCCTCAGATGTGAGCCAGTCCTCCATGCGCTCACTTAGTCACGGCGCAGCCTACTTACATCAAATTACCCAGCAGCGCAACGGCGACAACTTGTCAAAGAAGGGAAGCAAGGTGGGCTCGAGTATTTCTCAGAGAATCAAGGCTCTTGAGCTCTTGTCTGTCCACGAGGGCGCAGCAGCAGCCCCGGGAGCGAGGCCGTCGTCCACCTTCTTTCAAGTGAACAAAGATCGTGTGCCGTCGAGATCGCCTTCTGTGGTGGACAGGACGAATTCTCTCAGGGATGTACGGCCCTCGACGGCACAATCACGGGACAACTCCCCGGACCTGCGGTTCCACCGCGAACGTTCAGGGTCAATTTCCAGCCGGCTGTCCATGTTTGAACCCACAGGGTCCCCAGGCAACCACCCTCGCGGGCGGCCAGAGACTGTCTCTGTCACAGCTAAAATCGTCAGGGGCTCTCCTTCACAGTCACAAACCCCTGAGGGACACCTCGACCTAAAGCAGTCGCCTTTGCTTGTCGATCATCAGCGATCGCCGGACACACCAGATGTGACCGTCGAGCCCCCTGCGCCTGAGACAAGCCCAGAGCGGCAGGCAGCTGATATGCCGGACCCGCGCCGCTCGTCGTTCAGCATCATGCGGGACTTTATCAAGGATGGCCGCAAGAACCTCACCTCGCCATCCACTGACAACCTTTCCTCCGCCAATGGCGCAGGTCCCCGGTCTCCCGGGCGTCCGGCTCTGTCTACTCAGCACAGCAGCTCTTCATCGATTGCAAACCGACTTTCCATCTCTTCACGACGATCCCTCAGCAAAGACCGCGACGGCATGTCGTCTATTCTCAGTGACGATGAGTCTGCAACCAGCGAGAAGAAGGCTTCTCGGGCGAGCCGCATCATGCGCCGTCTATCCTCCCTGTCTGGGACGAGCAAGAACAAGGCCAGCTCCCCAATGGGGACACCCATGACTGTCACAGAGGAGAAGTTCCCCTCTGCAAACACGAATGACGAGGGCCCTGGCATCGCTTCCTACATGGGCGATGTCAACGTCCAGTTCCCCGACACACTTCTGTGGAAGCGCCGCAACATGTACCTCGACACGCAGGGCTACGTCGTCCTCTCCACAGCGCCGCAGCAAAGCCAACGTCCCACGACGGCCGGGGCCGGCGTCAAACGCTACCACCTAGGTGAATTCCGCACACCGTACGCCCCCGATGTCGAGGTGCAAGAGCTGCCCAATAGTGTTGTGCTGGATCTTGTCGAGGGCAGCAGCGTACAGGTCGCCTGTGAGGACCGCGCTGGTCAGATGAACGTGCTACAGAGTGAGTTGACTCTTGATCTCCTGCCGTTGAAGAGTGCATGCTAACAAAGATCCAGTCTTGCGAGATGCCCATGCCGCGTACGCTGGTCAATAATCGTCGTCGACTGTCCTCACTTGTCTCCTCACCCCTTTTCCCCATTTTCTGTCCTCTTTTTTTAAATGATACCACTTCACCAGCAAAAGTCGATCCTTCCTCTCTCTCTCATATTATACTATCTAACTCGAGGCAGTATGCATGCATTTGCTGCATATTGCCCATACATCTTCAGCTTTCTCTGGTTCGGATCAAACCATTTTGTGTACAACCCGCGCGCGCTCACTGGCCGCCAAAAGTCCACGGCTGTTGAAGGACGTGCCCGTCTGTCTGTTCCCTTCCCATGTTATTTTTCAATTATGTTGTTCCTCTCGAGGCATTTCTCTAGCGTCGCGAAAGAGGCGCCCTCTGCTAGATTGATCCAATCAGCTCTTCTCAGATCACACACTTGGAGGAGACGTGGAGGATATACGGGTCAGGATCAAGATACATAGCAGGCAGTACAAAAGACTTGATTGCTTTTGTAGAACTAGTTGTCCATGTAACCAGATGCTCTCTGTCTATGGAACACCACGGGGTGGTGTACATCGTTTTCCTTCCTTTTTACCGGGTTCTTTTGTAAGCCCTCTCGATGCTGCAGGTTGAATGTTCATATGGTATCCCAAGGACGCAAAAAACACGTACGCCACGCTCGCGTAAAATTAATCCCCCCCTTCTCACAACAACTGCCGATCCGCCATAATCTGGGTTCTCCAGGTACTTGATATAGCATACGAAGTCGTTTACTACGGGTAAGGTCCGTTGGAGCTTGGCCCATCCGCTCCATGATAAACGTTGGGATCCGTAGCAAGGTAGTCCAGCAAGTCGAGTCCGCCTACGTTCACGCCTTCCGCTGTCATGGCAACACTGCTGTTCTCCATGTTTTGGAAAAAGGCTGGTCCCGTGGGCAGGTACCACATCTCATTTCCGGGATTGTTCCAGTCATCAAACATGTTTGCGTCCATACCGGTACCAGGCGCCGACAGTTGAGGATTGGTGCTCGGATCCAGGACAGCAGTGGGCGTAGCAGGGCCAAGTGAAGTGCCACCGGGATAAGGGAATGCGCTGGTGGAAATATCGAAAGGAGTAGCCGAAATGTTACCACCCTCCATCGTCGGACTGAGAAGTCGGCCTGCTTTGTTAGTGTGAACGCTGATGGTAACGGAAAGCCAAAAAACTTACGGTTGCCATTGAGCTCATCCCGCAATGTCTGAGCATGGTTGCCAACCCAGTCGGCCTCGCCCCCATTCGGTGCCGAAGCCGAGGCAGTGCCATTGTTATCCGGCACAGGGCTTTGTCCCTTGCCTGAAGCCTGCTGCATCGTCGGAGCTTGTATGAAGCGGTTGCGCAATCTACTAGTCAAGGTTTCGAGCAAGTCTGCGAATCGAATACCCAGATGAACGTCGTCAACCACACAATTGCGCAAAGCTTCTGTCGCTCTGTCCATGAGATCGATGCTCATCTTCACATCCGAGCGTGGCGCGCCCAGTGCGAATGTCTTTAGAAGAAACATGGCACCACTGATAATGCGGAAGTAGGTCCTCACAGGCGCATGCTTCAAGTAGCCACCTGGTAAAAGGCCGTCGACCACAATGCCCAAAAGGTTGCGGCAACCTTCGACTACCTCGCGCACATACTCCTGGTCGTGAGAGCTGAAACCGCCGAGTTGACCAAGAGGTAATTTCCCATAGTTCAGAATAGTCTGGGGCGAAAGCTGAACCCCCGAATTGGTCAGGCCTCCCGCTCCGTTCTGATTGCCTGCATTGCTAGTGCAGCGTTCGACAACGGCTTGGAGCGAAAGTGAATTGATGTAGATGCGGACGTACTCGTACTCGATGGTGAGGATGTATTTCAAGTATGGCGGCAGGCGGAACCTCTCAAACTCTCTGAACCAGTCCTGCAGGAGAGGAGTGAATTCTCTCAAAAGATCCAGGTATTGTCCAGTCCGGATGATCTCCGCAGTGTGTGCTCGTGACCGAAACATCTTCTCGTTGCCAAGGTGCATGGCGTTGGTGATGGCTGCCCAACAGTGGATGATCTGGTCATCAAGTTCGAGGTCGGGTACATAAATAAAGGCATTGGAGAAGCTTGATGAAAGAGCTGTACCCGGTGTGTTCTCATCGTTAGGCATGGGGCGCTTTCTGGTCACCGCCGGATCTGCCCTTCGAAAGTGTTCCGGGGCCATGCTTGTCCACCCTAAGCGACCAGCAAGTTGACTGGTGTATATGAGCAGGAGCCGCTTGATACGATTTGCTCTTTGCCTGTAGATTTCGTCGCGGTATTCGGGTCTCGTAATGGCCTCGTCTTTGAGCAGCTCGTCAATATCATCGAATACGCCCATTTCGTAGCCGAGGCCCATCGCCGTGCTCAAGAGCATCCAGCACATACGATCACTTCTCCACGCTGGTTCTAGCCAGCTTTCGAGACGTTTGCCACCAATACCGACGCCAGAGTTCTTTGTGGCGTCCCCTCCAGGCCCGACTGGCCCGTTGAAGTCAGGTAACATGAGCTCGTCCGTGGCATCTGGTGGTGGGAAATGCAGAGCGCGCGGGTGCCACTCGGTCAGAATCAGCAGAGACTCAATTGTTCCCAGTGTGCGCAGGCTTCCTTTCCGCATGCCCCTCCAAGGCGCGGTGCTGCTGCTGTGAGTCTCGTCGGAGACAACAGGTGCAGAGGTGGAACCGCAGAACCCTCCACCGAATGCCTCCTGACCCCAAAGGCATCTCTCTACCATCCCACGCAGGTACGTCCACAATTGCTCGTGAATTGCATGTGATCGGCAATGGCCGCCGGTGCCCGGCATTTTTCGATAACGTGATGCAATCGTCAGGAGAGTGACAGCGAGAATTGGTTCCTCCGTCAGCAAGGTAAGATGCGATGCGGGATTGCTAAATGTCGGGGGTGATATAGGTGTCATTGGCGATAAGAACTTGTAGTAGCTAGACGACATGTTAGTTGTCACAGGGGTTTTCGCCCGGGGATCTGTCTCACTTACTAGTCAATGTACTCAATGGCCTCGTGTGGCGTGAACCAACCAGCCCGTACAAATCGAAACCTTGACCATGCCTTGATAGCTTCTGCATAGCCGGGCTGGGCACTCAAATCGCCCTTTCCGAGCCCGGGATCAATAGCTTGCTTCTCGACCCGAGCCTGAGGAGCACTGTTTCTCTGACGCTTGCGCTCTGGCTGCTCAGCACCACGACGGGACTGGTAGCTTGACGCGGTAGGCAGTCGACTCTCCTCACGCTGGGGCCGTGGCGCATTCAGCGGGCTATGCTTCATGTCAGCAAGCTGACGCACGGCGCTCTCCTCGCTCTCAACCAACCTGTCCGTGTCTGTAGCAGCCTTGTAGAGTAGATCAAGAGCATCATGAAGACCGTACACACCAGGCCGCATCACAGTCTGTGCGTCTGGATTCTGCACCTGCTGGGTTTCATCGGCATCCACCGCGAAGTCATTGCTGTCGGTGCGCCCCACCGGGTTGCCTTGATCGGAGACACTTCCGTCAGGTCGGCGCAATGGTTGGCTTCGACCGTGCGACCCTCCTGGTGTCAGAGGTGCCTCGCTGTACAGGCGGCGATCGACGACAGGCGGGGTGTCCTCGTTTGTGTACACCCTCTTCCTCCCATTACGGATTGTGTAGTCGTCAGCATCGCTACCCTCGCCATCGTCGCCCTTCCTCTTCCTTCTCGTCGCACTAAAATAGCATTCTTTGCTTTCCCTCCTGCAGCGCACGCAGGGCGGGTCGTGGGGATTGTCGACGCTGCCGAGATCGCAGCGCACCTTACGACGCCGACATGGGATGCAAGCCTGGTAGACGCGCTTATGCTGGGATGTGCCACCTGCCTGGGTCCCTCCAGCCGGAGCAGGCGTTCCTTCGGCACCGTATTGGGACGACATTGTGGTTGGAAGCGCCCGTCCAGTGGTGAATGGGCTGTTCTGGCGGTCGTTTGGTGGAAAGGTTTCGATCGGTTTGCGGCGGTTGGGCGAGGGAGGACTACCTGCGTGTGCCGAGCTCAAGCGGTTTTGACTTGGGGGCGCGGACGGGCTTGGGAATGCGGAAAGGCGGGGTTTATCGATTTCTCGTAGGGATACGTATCCGAAAGATGCTGGCTCGGACACTCGCAATGACGAGGCGGAGGAGTGGCTCTGTCTGTCTGTAAAAGAGCGTCGTCGGAATGGCTGGAAATCCAACAGACTTTGTGTTGACCATATTGCAGAATTTCGTTCGGTCTTGCATTCTTTCCCCTCTCTCCTTCCTCTCGCTGCCCTCCAACCCTGATCGGGCAAGAACGTTTGGTGCCTCTCAGCCACCCCCAAATGCACGTCCCACCCATCATCAGCCAATCATGTATCTCCAATTGGGAAGCTCCAGCCACCTCGACAGGACTGTAGGTATTCCGTACTGACCACGTTGATATATCCACTTACTTACTAGTACTACTACAATTCAGTCCTTACGTACATAAGCGGATACAGTCATGGTGAGACGGTTCAGGAATCAGTCACTTGACGAGTATATCACCTGCCTTTCGGGGCATGGAATGATAAAGGGTCACCTGTATCCGTACCCGCGTGTTAGGTGAGCGCATGCGCTGAACGGGCCGTCCAGGGTCGTACGAAGGACGACATTCTCGTCCAGCTCACAATTTCGTGACCATTGCAAACAAGGAGAACTTGATAATGATCATAAGGTTCTCGCCATGTCCATTTAGCCTTGGCCCAGTCATTAAGCAGCTACTCCTTTGCGTAATCAAGAATCCCAGTGCACACCCCGTATCGCCTCGTACCCATTCCCATCCAGCACTTCCGGAAATGGTATGTCAAGCAAAGAAATCAAAGCAAAGAAGCCCTGAAGCACCGCGAAACTTTCAGAAAGAACTTATTCAGCACCCAGGCGCCGGTTTTGGAGCTCACTATTCGGTAGTCGCAGCTTCGTCTGTCGCATGTCCATTCGGCACTCGACTATATCAGGACCCAATCAGCCCCTTCTTTGACTATGCCTGTCAGTAGTGTCCGGAATCTCTGGCACATACAGCGACTTACAAAGAACTCCCAGAGCTTGGATGTCAGGGACTCGGGCATCGTGTAAAGATCGATCGAGAATTCGCCAGCTTTAAGCAAGTCATCCACTATTAGCCCACTCCATCAACACACGATGACTTGAACAAAGAAAAGTAGAGATTGTGTGCTTACCATCGACGTCGCTCCGAATGTAGGTGTCCGGGCCCTTGTTCTCGTTGATCATCTGTATCACTCGTAGGAGGTCCTCCTCTTCCAGCTTCTGCAACGCATCTGCAATCTTCTCGTAGTCGTACTTTTGCGAAGCCTTCTTGCCGGAGGCCCCGTTGATGGCACCAGCGACGCCCTTCTTGCGCCCTTCGTCGGTCGGCAATGGCCCCGTCTCGCGCAGCTTCTCCTGCAATGCCTGACTCGGGTTCTTGATAACAATGGGGTGGATTGCCTCGTACTTGTTCTGCGCAAAGTTGAGATCCTGAATGATAGTCGGGGTGATCTTAGTCTTCTCGGTCGTGTACAGGTCGATCCCTAGCTCGAATTCGCCCCAGCCCTCGTTGCTGCAAGTAAATGGTGGCGTATGGAAGGCTAGTGTAGTGCGTCAGTGTCTTTCATAGTCTTCCTCTGACCAGAGGCGCGGAAGACATACTCTGCGTCGGATCCTCGAAACTCGGGTGGAGGTTGTAGGTCACCTTGGTGAACACGTCCGCCGTGTGCTCTTGCCCCTCTTCGTCGAGGAGGTATATCTTCATGCTCCATTTCCGCATGGGAAACTCCTCAACGGGCGAGGGTTTGTCTCTAAAGTACGCACACGCGCGTCAGCTTGCTTCGTCTAGGGGATCACGGCCCGCTCGTCCCCCGTCTCCTCGTGATCGCATAGCTCGCAGGTCGGTACGTACATGACATTCTGTTCCACGACAATTTTGATTCGTCGCTTCAAGATGTTAGCTTGTGTTCCTGGCTTGCGCTTGTGCATGCTGGCGATGGTGGAAAAGTGCAATGCGAGGTAGAGGCCCGCAACCACTTGACGCAGCGCAAGCGCGCCAACATGAGCTCAGCTACTCCTCAAATCATCTGGTCTTCCACCTGTAACCGGCCATTACGGCTGGCTGCGCGCGCATACGTTCGCGAAGCACAGGCAGGTAGGGAAATGCGAATGGGCAGCCCGTAAACGCGGGTACACGAACTGACTTACGTCGACCAACATGATGCTTTCGTACAGGCAGCGCCCACTCCCCAATTAATGATAAACAATTAATATCTGATGATTGTACACGAGGCCGGCGCGTCGGGGCAGATTCCGGTCGATGCGATGTGGTATAGTTCTGATGGTTTATTATGTACGGACAAACCATGCGCGCGCGCGGTCGACGTCGGCAAAATTGGAGCTAACGCTGAGTCTTGGCCCGCCCTCCATCCACTGCGTCAGAGGCTCAAGCCAGACATCTATCATGAAGAGGGTCCAGACGAGCCACAAGAAGGGCACTCTGAGCTATTGCTTAATTTGCGGCAGTAAGTCATTTATTAGAAGGATACTGGCCATGGGGCGAGGTATATCATCGACACAGGTTCGCGCACTCGTGGCTAGGCCATTGACCGCGATGCTGTCCGCCCGTGAAGGAATCATCAAGACATTCACAGTAAAGCGACCCACCAAAGCATTCTGACCGCATGATTCACAGAAAATGCCCAAGAACAAACCTCAACGTCGAGCCAATTGTGTGAAAATATGGTAATCATTGCTGGTGCTATGACCTAATCATCCTCATCCGCTGCATGAAATTCGTTGCGAGCGACATGCTCTTCGCCGCTCATGCCGTGTCCTATCTTGTCGTCGTGTAGTGAGTTGAAAAACAAAGGGGAAGTTCGGGGGTATCACCGTCGCTAATCGACGATATATTCTATGCGGCTAATGAAATCAGATAACTTGCCACGGTATCTAGGTCGCCTGCACGCGGTCGTTGCGCCGAGCGTATGTGCGCGCCTACAAACGGGAAAACATCATTGACAAGATCTGCGCCATCTAAGCAGCGGGAGCCTCCTCCGTGGTCGCCGCCTCGGCCTTCTTGAAGATCTCCTCGTTCTCCTTTTGAGCCTGCAGGAAGGCATCCTTGAATGCATTGGCATCTATTCGAGGTCAGTATTGGCTACCCACCTAACTTCAAGCACGACTTACTCTCGGAGTTGGCGAAACGGATAGCGAGAGTGCAGGCCTCGGGCTCGCCCTCGCTGACGTCGGCCGCAGCGTTCCACACCCAGGACCTGTCGCTTCCGACGTTGGGAGACAGCTTCATCTCGGGGACGACTGCTCACGTGTTAGCTCGCGGTCGCAAGACCGGGTCGGGGTGCAAGAAGCAACGTACTGTAGTGGTTGGCGCAGACCTTGAGGGTCTTGTCGCGGCGCATGACCAGCCTTGTCTTGCCGTTCTCCTTGTGCTTCAAGAGCCTGACATCGCCAGTGCCCCTCTCCTTCCACTCGTTGCTCTCCTTGACAAACTTGAAGAGCTTGGCGCGCATCTTGAAGAGCTGTTCCTCGCTCTCCTCGTTTGTCTTGATCTCCACCTTCTCTGTCAACTTGACCACGGGCTCGAAGTGCACATCTTCCGACTCAGGGGCCTCGTCCTCGTCGTTCTCTTTGGCGGCATCGCGCTGGGCCTTGGCACTGCCAGATGTATCGCCACGCTCTTCTTCCTCCTTCTTCTCCTTCTTGGCGCCACCGCCAAACATGGAGAACACAGCAGACGAGGTGACAGGCTTGCTATCCTCGGTCTTCTCCTCGGTCGCGGTCTCGCCCGTCGTGGTTGCGGGGGTCTCCTCGGCAGGCTTGGTCTCCTCGACCTTGGGTTCGGTAGCTTCGACGCCAGACATGTTGGCCTAATAATTCTCTGTCAGTACACATGTCATAGCGAGGGCGCTTCCCAGCGTAGAATAACTGCCAGTCGGTCTTGGTCCTCTTAATGGCTGAACTTACGTTGTATGGGATCTGTTAATGGAGCGAAAACGTTTGTTGATGTCTGGGAAGGTGCAGAAGAAAAACTTAAGTGATGCTTGACTGGAGTTTGTGCTGTGTTTTGCCCCTCACCTCATCTCTGTTAGCGGGGGAGAAATTGCACGCTGCTGGTCAGGCGCGGATCCAGGCAGTCCCTGAACTGCCCCACCTTGACCGATGTGGTGGGCCCAGGGGTCATAACTGAATACTGATCTCGAGGTTCAACGTACGGCACTGATGCATACCTGCATCCCTTACTATCAAGATACCTGCGGTTACGTGGTACGGTTTGAACAGCGTTATTGATTGTTAGTACCTCGTACGTAGGCATGAACGCCAACCAAGCTATCACAGATGCTCACGGTCGTTGTACCTAATACGATGAAAAGTGTGAGTTGAATAAGGCACTACACATAATCATAAGGAAATAGATTGCCCCCGAAACTCCAACCGTGTCCAGTACTGGATAGGCCAACGTCACTATGCGGTCTGCTATTCGCAGTAACGCAGGCCGACAATATATGTTGTGCTCTGGTCCAGCATGCAATCGACGTTCCACCGAGACTCTCAACGACCCATCTCAATACATAGGCTTGATAACACTCATAAGCTGTGACTCGGCCAAGGTTTTCCACGGACCTTTAGACAAGCTGCCTGGCTTTGGCGCGCTTGTCTGTCATGAAAATCTCAGCTTTGCGGCGATACTCATCTTGCGCATTCCGCTTGCCCATCATGCCGAGCCAAGACAGTTTCGCGGCAATCTGGGCGTCCAAAAGCCCCAACTGCAGCCCCGTCTGTACATGACTGAGGCGTCCAGCAATACGCTTCGTTGCTTGAATACCAGCATTTCGGATATCGGGCGCATGGTCGAAGGTTTGAACAGCCTTGTTCATGATGTTGGAAGTCAGGCTGGGAAATTCCATCATGCCATGCCGAGCAGATTGGGCGGCGTCGCGAGCTCCATCGCTAATGTGACGTCCCACGATATAAGGGTTGGTGAAATGCTCAAGCACGGGAACCAAAGCCTTGGTGATCTCTGGTAGAGGGCGATGATTCTTGACGCTTTCCTTCAAGGCTTCAAAGCTTTCCGTAAAGGTGGCAAATCGAATGTGGACTGCACGACGAGTGACTGGCTTGCATGTTGCTTCCAGAACAAATTCGACGTCGCCGTATTTCTCGGCTGCAGGGATCGTGGCGAAGAACCCATCTTCATGATCGCCCTTGGTGGTGAAGATCTGACGTCCATCCCTATAGGCTTGAACAGTGACGCAGTCTTGGTCCTGCCAGCCGGCTTTGACGTCTTCGGCAACGTGAGCTGTAAACTTGTTGCCGTGGATGGTGTAACTCATTTTCGGTCGAGGAGGTCCAAAAATCCAATCATAGCTGCTACTCTCGTCTTGTACCTGAGGATCAGGAGTTCTCTCACTACCTGTCGATGAAGGACTCTGCTTGTCAGAAGCAGTGCTCCCGACAAGATGCGCTGAGGTAGATGTCGAAGGCAGGGCCAGAAAGCTGGGCACGTTGCCACCCTCCTGTGGCGTCGGGAGAGAGTACGATGCAATGATCGTACCTAACATAGCCAGCGCGCTAAGCAAAAGTGCAATCATCAACGACCGGTTTTCATAAAAGTCAGTCATGGTTGGGACAAAGACCTGGTAATCCTTGAGCAGCTCGAGGACAGCATGCTTCTTTGTGTGCCTTGACTGGTCAGGAACAGCATGCTTCTTCACGGGGCCTGGCTCGGATTGCTCGGGCGTTTCCACGAAAAAGGACGGCATGTCAAGTGTCTCATGTGCATAGTCGAGAGACGGCGTGGAGGGGGCCTGGTCGTGCTCAGAATCGGTATCAGTGGTGTCCGGCGTCGACCTGGACGTCTGAGCAGCTGGTCTTTCAGTCATGCCTGAACTCTCATCAAGTTCTTGGACATCTGGCTCAGTTTCCCCAGTGGCGCTGTGCACCTCGTCCGTGCCGTGTTGGTCCAGAGAGCCAGTCGACTCGCCCATAATGTCGTTGTCATCCATGTTTCCATCGTGCGACCACTCGCTGTTGCTGTCATCCACGCTATGGATGAGTTCGTATGTCGAGTCCGCGAGACTGCCCTCGTCGGGGCCGGGTACGCTTGTTACACGCATAATGTCAGGGTCGCTGTTAATGACCCAGCTGGCAAGATGTCTTGAACCGGATGGTCGAGGAAAGCGGAGGCTTAGATCGTCTTCGGTGAAGGATGGTATATCGTCACCGGGATCCTCGGCTGTTTCGTGCGGCTGCTTCTCGCCTGCCGTATTGCAATTTTCTGAGCTTGATGGTGTAGATGATTGAACTTTGGGTTGCGTTTCCATGCCTAGAAAGAAGAAGACGAGCTTGTTCAGTACGAGGCCTCAGTCCATCATCAACCTTGACAGGCAGTGTGACCAGCATGTGATGAATAGAAGGCAGCAGGTATCGGTAACCAAAAGCGCGAGCTCCGTCGCTTTGTGCTTCGTTATGGAGGAGGCTGTTGTTGAGGCGCTGGAAATCGAGTACGTGGCAAGAGTGGAAAAGACGAGCACGAAGAAGACTTAAAGTGAGAGGTAGTAGTAATGATCCATAAAGCTGATCGAGGGGAAAGTGACAACCGGAGGTACCTCACCAAGTCACTGGACCATCTACAGCTAATCGACGTATTGGTCACTCGAGGCTGGTGCTGCCTAGTGCGCTGCCTGGCGCCTGCCGTTACAAGCAGCCCCTCCATGTCTCGTCCGGTGTTCGTTAAGGCCGGATGCCGGCCTGTCACTGTGAGCTGGAGGAATTCTAGGTTTATTGGAACCCGTCTGGACAGTGCCCAACAGAAATAGCTCTGGTTTGCAGTTCTGGCGCCCCGTGAAAGTGAACGCGACTCACGGAAGAAAGGGACCATTTCCTGCCATTACAGCGGGGTGGGGTGCAGGTTGGGGTACTTAGCTCCCGAAATGATAGCTTTATCGGCGCCATCAATGACCCCACTGCTGCTCTTATCGGCCCCGATAAGCATGTGTGATGTCAGGACATACTCCGTACTACGTACCTCCTCCAGGCACGGCCGATGATCGAATATTGAGCATCTGAAACCACCTTGGGAAGTCAATCAGGATTTGACAACCGATCCCAATATTAGTGAGTTGAAGTCAGGTAGCGTGCTCTCCAGGCGTGGGACCGCACCCAGGCATTTCCCCCTCCTTGGCTGAGACTCGCTGAGGCTATCTCCAGTCTCGACTGTGCATGGGCAGTCTCACGCATGTGACCACATGATAGTTGCCCCACCACACCGTGTCTGAGTCACCATAACGTGTAGGGCGTTTTAGCAACCCTGGTCTGTGAAGTTCGATCTGGCACTTGGAGCTGATCAACAATGTTGATGAGTACAACATCCGTCAACATGAATTGCCGTTTTGGCTGGTCTTGCAGAAAGGATATCCCTGTATGCATAAGGTCAGGTCGACTCAGCACACTCTTTAACACTGCTTAAGTAGTACGTAGGATGAATGTATCATCGCATAAAGCGATCACGGCTTGCATTCAGACTGGGGTAATTGCGCGGGTCTCCTCTTTGACACATTGTGGAACGGGACACCAGATGTCATTGCATATGCGTATTGACGTCGCATACAGTGTGCCAATGTCGGGTTTATAACCATGGACATCTTACTCGGTGATGTGGTGATTTTGAGTGACAACGGAGGACTCGGTGTGCTCAAGATAGCGGAATATTCGTTATTATGTATCCAGTGCGTGAAATGTTCAAGAGCGCAACGCCAGCAGTGTTTCCAAGCATTTTTCCCGACCACGCCCGGGTCCTTAAAATAGCATGCCCCGTGTTTTCCAATGCACCGATATCATCACTAGGCCTCTCAGAGGCAGCCGTAAAAAAAAAAAAAGGAATTGAGCAGCAGACAGTATTGGCCGGTCACAGACAGCCAAGGGTATCAAGGAGTTCGTCTGCCCAGGGAAGACGTTACGTCCTCGAGGTCGTATGCAAGCCTCTATAAGACGTCAAACCGCTGGAACAATCGCTTCAATGAGTCGCTGGTGAAGTCCTCATCCTCAGGAATCATCTCGATGACACCTGTAAGATTGGCAAACAAGTCGCCTTGGTTGCGGTAGGCCAAGATGGACGGTACGGCGGCAGGGTCGAACTCAATGTCGTCGTAGTGCACCTTGACGAAATGAATGGCCCGATGCTCCTTGACAAGAGGTACCAGCGCCGACTCTATCTCCTTGGATACTTCACACTGCAGTCATCATTAGCAATTGTCGTTGCATTGGAGGCAAATCGGCTTACCTCGTTGTCGTATACGAACACGACTACCACCGTTTCCCGACGAACTTTCTCGATAGCGTCGAGATATCCAAGCGCGTCCACCTCGTCGAACCGCCCGTACTCTCTCACACTGGGACTCGTTCTTCGATTCCTGATGACCTTGTCGGACTCAGCTTCGAGCTCCCGCCTGCGGTGCTCGCGCCATTGACTCAGGAAAGAATCTTCATCTCCTCTGTCACTGCCGCTTCGGGCGTCCTCATCGGACTCGCTGTCGCTTCTGTTTTTGTGGATTGTGTTCTCCTGCGCCATCCCGTCCAAGCCGAAGATGCTGCGCCGGGCAGCATGCACTCTGGTCCTCCATTTAGACTTGGTGCGTGCATTTTCGTAGCTTCGCGCGTCGGCGATGACGCCTTTGACGCCTGTCGTGTGACCATCGTCGAATGATGCAGGTGGCAGGCGGATCATCGGAAGGTCGGCGGTCGGTGCGCGCATGGCGTCGGCGATCTGTCCTTGACGGAAGTCGTCCTCCTCAGTGGTGTCTTGGTGCTGTCGTAAGTCTGGATCGTTGCGATCGTCCTGGTGAAGTGTTTCGCGGGCAGTGTTTTTCGCGATCAGATCATTGAACTCGTCTTGGGCGGCGGTCGTTGACATGGTGAAGGCGGCTTCGCTCAGTATTAATGCGATGAGCGTATCTAGAGTTCTTTCCGGGGGACTAGGTCGGAAGATTGTTTCGCATAGGCGTGTACGCAGACCGCTGGTTTCGAGGGATGGTCAATGCCGATGAAAGAGGCGCCTTCGAGAAATACTATAGTGGAGTCGTAAACCCTGACGGCAATGCCGGAGGTCCAGTCTCTCTTCAAGGACAGGGGTTGGACAGCGACAAGCGTGATTCCGAGGCGAGAGTCTTCCGAAGGCGCCTTGTATCGAAGCTGGGTTCTTGCAGGTTGAAAGGAATAATACCGGCCACAGAGAAGGGCGCGGCCGTCAGCGGAAGGTGAGTTAGTACATACGTACACAGCTAATAGCTGGGGTCGTCAGTGGCGTCGCCGTAGCCCGTTTCAAGTCTCTGAGACACGACATGGATGCGACAGCGGCGGAAGTAGAAGCTAGTGGCGCAGGGATTCAGGGGCTGTGGCATGGCACATTTTGACGGGCACAGCAGTGCGCATGGTGGCGGGGGTCTCATGCCTATTATTAATAGTTACAGGAGCAAACGGCTCTGGCGCAAGGGTGAGGAGAGCGTCAGGTTGCGAACAAAGTCTTGTCAAGGACTCAAAGTCAATGCATACCAGGCACTAATTACGGAGTACATACTAATATGCCTATAGTACCGTGACGTACATGTAGACTATGTGGTTCGACGTTTCTTCGGCTACTGGTACCTTAGGCATTGAGCGTTGCCAAGTAAGAAATAAGGTAGTGCTGGAGGGGTGAATGTGCATGCGCATGCGAGCATCTATTAGTTACCAATGCATGTCCGTACATGTATGTACGCGCCCGCCAAATCGTCAAGTAATGCATTTCAAAGACTTCCGAATTGTCATTGAGGGAAGTTTGAGGCAGCCAGCCAATATGCGATTCCGCTCATGGGCTGTGGGATCACGGCGCGCGCAAACCTGAGGCTGCATTCACTTGGGCGCAGCCGCTCAATCGCAGGGCTGAGAAGCACGGTGCATAACAAGATGCCGTCAATGACGAAGATTCAATGCACGTAATGCATAAGTAAATAGGACATTGATTGAACATAGACTAGTCATTGGCTAGTCTTAGCCTGACGAGCCTCGAGATCTCGCGTCCAGAGGGCATAATGTGACATGGCGTGGAAGTACGTAGACTTTGATTACTAGCACCTACCCTAAACATCGCTTGTTCTTTGAACATTACTACCTAACTATTAGGATAGAGCTACTGATCTGAGTCGAGGAATCTTGTGATAATTCAGCGAATTCCTATGTCAAATCGCACTAGAAATTGAGTTCTCGGCGTTCCCAAAAGCATGTGCTGCGCCATGCAGACGAAGCTTTTCTCGTGGGTAGTGCGGTGCCCAGACGGAGCTGAATTCTGTTCGTGCGTATCACCTGTGTTCTCTGGGTCACACACAGCATGGATGAAACCATAAACAACCTTTCGTTATAGCCTGCTTCCAGTGCAATGGTCACCAAGAGTGCAGAGACCAGAACCGACTCCTATTAATCGAGAATCTTGGCCCGTGCCACGGCTACGTGTAAGTAGACGGTATCTATGTCCTCCTAGCCCCCAGCCCTGAGTACTAGTAGTAATGAATGTCCAGACCACGGCCTTGCCTTAGGTAGGTTCCCATTGTTCAATTAATGTTAATCTTGTCAAATTCCATCCACGCTTAGCGAAGCCTACGAAAACAAACTAAATGGTGGATGGTCCTAACATCTCTAAGAACATACCTGGTTACTTACTATAGTAGTATAAAGACTCACCTCTTACCACCCCAGCTTACAGACCTCACAATCGGGATATCTTCACTCCAAATTCGAATTGACATTGCAACAACACTCGATACATCATAATTGATAACACTCGATGACACTCCAGTCGCTACACCCTGCGATCTGATACCTCACTATGGCACCCCAACAGGCCCCCGAGAGAATTGGTGAATCAACACTTGACCAACTTGAGGAGTTCCTGGTCAGGATTGCGCCAAGAATTGCCGCCGAACTGATTAATTGGAGACCAAGCATATATAATTTACGCATACTACGTGGATTATTGCACCAAGCGCGGTGTAAGATTGCATCGCTTGGACACATCGTTATGCAAATCCTCGCATAGTGCAGTGTGCATGAAACTTCCTGGCAATAGTATTTATTCTCGTTTATAACACAGTACAATTGTATACAATATGGTTACTGCAAGAAGTATACTTACGTTCAATAGGTCATATATACGGTCATTGGGGACGTATCTGGTGGAACATAATCCGCCAGACATCATGGATATAAGCAATAACTAGGCTGATGTAAGTCAAGCTGATAACCAGTAGATTATTGCTTTGGTCATGGGAATGATTGTTGGGTTAGGAAGCTTGTTGATTGGGCTCTGTCAATATTCTTAATCGCGTTCTTCGTACGCGTATAGCGAATATAACAGCGTTTCACCCGCCGCTTGCCTCCTTGCCATGATACAACAGAGTTGCCAGAGGATTATATTGAATCATCGTGTTGTATTACTCCTCGCTCATACCGCGCACAATACCCCTGGTACTACCAAACACATGCATTAGAGGGTATCTGAGGTCTCATCATACACCTCTTCCATCCGTTATATCCAACTTCCTCCACGAAACTTCACTCGACCCGAGCTCAATATATGTTTGGGATCGCTTGCCATTTTTTTTTCTGTTTTCGATGTTTGGGATGCTACTTCTGATTTCCGAAGCCTGCCATTATGGAAGAGGAACGCGACACGCAAGGTCGTCATAGTACAACCGCCCGAAATACCAAGGGACACGAAGAGCTTTTCAGCCGAGCTGGAAGAAGCCTAGCTGGCTTTCAGAGGCAGAGCAGAGCAGGAGAGGCAAGGAAAAAAAATCCAGAGAAAAACAACAAGAGGTATCGCGCGTCAGCTAAATCCCACATTGCCTCCGCTCCAGCAAGTCGTTGCTGCACCGCTCCGCCCGGGGTATGGTGAAATCGTTTACCGACTATATTGGACGCACGATGTTGAAGAAAGAAGAGATGTGCAAACAGAGAAGAAAGTTGCTGGTACTATGTAAATGTGCGTGGGCGTGGGTTTCGTCTCGACGGGCTGGGAGGATGGTGGGTAGGTTTCGTCAATTCGTCCTGCGTGCGCCAGTGATCGCATGGCAAAAATCAAGCGTGTCTTTCGGTGTATAGCACGTGACCGTTGGCTGGTATCTTTTCCGAGGGCGGATGGTGAAGTTGTGTAAAGCGTGCCAAGCAGCGCTGAGGCAACTTGTAGAAGTCCATCGTGGTAGCCGGGAGAGATTAGTATGCCCAAATCTTAAGCTGTTCCTTGTGGTTAGTCTCTTGCACCAAGCAACCACTGACTGGATGAACTTACCATTGAGTCCCAAGAGCCTGTGCACAAGCTGATGCCGTCGTTGCTGACGCCGAGGCAGCTGACGCGGTTGTCGTGGCCAACAAGCGAGCCAACCTTCTCGCCGCGAGTGACATCCCACACCTGGAAACATTAACCAAGGGCTCTTTTCGTGAGAGGAAGAGCAGGCATACCTTGCATTCGAAATCGTCGTAACCGGCGAAGAGCAAACGACCAGAAACAGAGGTAGCGACGGAAGTGATACCGCAGAGAATGGATTCGGACTGGTCATGTCAGCATGTGCGTCAAGACTTGCGAGTGGCGGAGCATACTCCATAGAGGTTCAATTCGCGATCGGCGCGGATATCGAAGAGCCGACAGGTGGCATCGTCGGATCCTGTGACGAACGAGTGGCCGTCGGGGAAAAATTGGATGGCGTTGATGTCGGATTCATGGCCGGCGAACGTTTGTACAGCCTTGCCGGCGCGGATGTCCCACATCTTGGCAAATGCATCGCAAGCACCCGAAATGAAAGTGTTCTGGTTAGTGGGATTGAGGCTGATGCTCATGACGTCGCCGAGGTGATCAGCGAATTCTGTCACCTTCTGTCCAGTTTCAATGTCCCATTTCATGCAAGTCATGTCGCCTGATGATGTCAAAATGGACCGGTCGTTGATGAAGCGGCAGCAAGACAGGTATCCCGCGTGCCCTGATAGTTCGCGAGCCACACGTGTAGGGCCGTCACGTTGCTGGTTCAGGTTGTAGATGGAGCAGATGTTGTCGAGGCCACCACAGGCGACAAAGTTCCCAGACGGTGCGTAGGCGCAGGTCATGACCCACGACGAGCGCAGGGGAATGGCATGGACCTTGTTGGTGGTATAGGCGTCCCAAATGATGAGCTTTCCGTCTTGCGAAGCTGATACGAGATGTCTGCGGTCGGTTGACCAATGCATAGCGTAGATCTTGGCCAGGTGACCCTTCAGTGTGCGCTTTGCCTTCATGAGCTGATTCTTGGGAATAGGCTCGTGTGCTTGTTGAGCAACGGCGCGAACTGTGGTAATGGTCAGTCTGGGTAGAAAAGGTGCAAGTGTCCAGGTACGTACGAGTAGTATCGGCGAGCTCGTCCTTCTTCCTCTTGATGCGATCCTTGAGGGTCTCAGCCTCGCGGCGCGCCTGCTGAATGCGCGCCTGCATCGCCTCGGGCGACACGTCGTTGGCGCCTTGAGAATTCATTGCGGCGAATTGATCAGGCGAATCGACGACAGAAGCAACTTCAGGACGCGTCCTTCAGTACAATGCGGCCGGCGACACACTGACGAGCAGCTGACGGGAGGCGGGAAGCCGGTCGAGAGAAGCGGCCAATGCCTGTCGTTGAAGGCAAGAAAAGGAAGCTGCTCGAGTGTCGGCGTCGTCGAGGGATTAATTGTCGATCGCGGCTCGCTGTCGCTCGTCTGCGTCGTCGCAGACTGTTGGTGGCAGGCGATGGGAAATGGAAATTGGCAAAGGAAGATTACAACGACCTGGGAGACCAACGAGCGAGGGTGATGGTGTGGAGGACGGGCACGGGGGGACGGGAGGAAGGAGAGACTGGAGTCTGGTACTGGATTGGACTGGTAGCTCCCGCCGGTTCTCCTCGCCTGTGCAGTCGAGCAATTGGAGATGCGCACTGCCAAGTCTGGTGGGAAACCACTGTAATTTGACGATGTGGCGTCAAATTGGCACCTTTTGAGGCGGGCGCCACAGCTCTCTTCGGGCCTGTGTCCACTTCCTCACCACTCTATCTACCGTTAGAGACTAGCGCGACGACATTATCGGCGCACATTCGTAGAACGGCAGGAGCCCAAAGGGAATGCAAGCTCCAGGGGGGATTCCTTCTTGCAGCTGCAATTCCGTGTCGAGCGTCTAGGCTAGTACCTTGCCAGTGTCCGCACTGCTCGAACCGTACGAATCCAGTACTCCAGTCGGAGAACATAGAAAGCACAGCTCCCTGCTTTACCAAACCCAGCAGCATGTTTTCAAGAGCCATTTGCTGCCTTCGCCGTGGGCTGACCGCGTCGACGCGAACTACGTACGTACAACTCCTATCAGATGTGGAGGCTCTCCGGAGGAGTGGTGGCCCAGACGGGCCGAGGGAAATGATCTGGCTGCTGCCTCCACCAACGAAGCGCAGACCACCTGAGGTCTAGTCAGCCGCGCACTGTAAAATAGTCAGGGCTGCCAGGGGCTTGGACAAAGACCCGCTTTCATCACCACTGTCCTCCTGCAAGAAGCTCCGCTTATAATCATCTTCAAGTCTGTCCAGATGGCGCTTCGCGATTCAGGCAAATCCAAGTTTCTCGAAGTGGACACGGTCAACTTGGCCAGGGAGGTCTCCGAGTAGTCGCGACCCAGCCTCAAATTCGAGGCTTTGAGCAATGACTGTATTGGCCTTTTGAGTTCAGTACCTTAAGGTACTATCCTGACGGTCTGAATGTGGGCGATGTACGACAAATTACGAACGTGATGCTGATCATGCGTGAACTCGACGTGTGCGGATACACGCCAAGACCCCGTCATAAAAGGCGCGGCAGAATCGACCTGCTAATTAACCCCAGAAACACCCCTGTCGACCAAACATCTTCAATGCGAGTCTTCTTATTACCTACATGAGCAGCAGAACCCGGCAACGTAGCTTCGCGACGCAATTCACCAATGTTCCTTTCTCTTGGAAACATCTCTATCTGATCTTGACACCAGTCACCACTCACCAGCATAGGCAGGGTCCGCGCATGGATACGTGTAATAATAGCACTTGTCAAGGGTCTGATGGGCTTCTGTTTTCCGTGCTAGCGCGACGCAAGTGAGTGCTGTAGTATCTCATTATTGAGCTGGACAACCAATCGTGTTCAGATTGAGTGGACTTGGAACGTTTTTGTGTTGAAGACAGCAGTTTCTCAAGCGAGCATCGCCGCACCAGCTGCCACGCCGTAATACGGTCAATTTGATGGGACTTGCCGCGTCGGATTGCCCCTTTTAAAACTGATGCACACTTGAAAGGGACGTTCAGGCTTCGACGGGTGATCGGATGGAAATTGAACATAGGACAGACTTGCCAACATCATGACTCGCCAGTCCAGCCATACCGCAGTAGGCAAATGCTACGAGCTGACCCGTAAAAGACATCCCGTCATTCATCAATGTCTGTAATAATAAGTACTATCTGGGCGACTACGGATGTGTGCCCTTTGCACCGCTTGTTTCTGGCCTCATTAGCGTTTTCAATAGCTCAATCTGATTGCCCAAGCACAAATCAACTGGAGGTCATTCTCGAAAAAGCCTTCGACCGGGTCGAATAGTTAACTCAATGGAAGATTGAGTTGGACTGACACAGAGTATGTAATCCTATCGGTAGACTTAGTAAATAGAAGAAGCCAATGGTGATGTCTGAAAGGGTTGTCAAGCTTGACTAGGTCCTGCCACAGTCACCACACGAGACCTCTCACGCTCCCTACGAGTATTTACAGGCGTAACAGGGTCGGGTTGTTGAGGCTGACTTCGGGAGATTTATAAATTGTAATTACTAGTCAAGCCGAGTTAGCTTCGGAAAAAGCTTTTCAGACTGTTGTGCTAGACAAGACGACGAGAGTCAGTGCGCAGCAGTGACAGGCGCCAGTCTTCAAAAGAAGTCCATGTGGCATATATTAGGAGGCTGAGAGACCCCATAGCTATCTGTTGCTGGCATCATCTGGGGAACAGGCAGTATCCGGCAGCACCTAGAGTGACTCTCGATACATGTAGGCTTTACGACCGTTGGGCGACGCCTCGACCCAGTCAAGGCCGAGCTCACAATGAGCAGGCAGGCCAGTGCCGTCTATTCCACGTCTGGATCGTCGTAGTACGACGCCCGCCACTTCCTTCCAGACTTCCTCCCGGCGAGCACGGGGCCCATGGCGAATGTGAAACAGGTCAGGTGCGAGACGAGCTCGGACTGATCCGGCAACTTGTACGCTGTAAAGCCTCTATATTGTCTAAAGCATGTGTATGTGGAGCGTCTGTCTAATGTGCATCAGTGAGTCTGTGCCCACGCCTTGAACCATTCCAAAGCCTCTGGGTTGGCAACACTGGCGTTCGTCTTGACCGCCATGCCCGAGAGGATCTGCTTAACGGCGACTTCAATCCTAGAGAGCAGTTAGCAAATCGAAAAAGAATCATGCTCAATTACACGTACTTTTTCCCGTTGCCTGTCTTAGGGACACCACCGCCACATTCCTCGATGATTCCTGGCACGTGCCTCGGGCTTAGCTCCGCCTTGATCTTCGATTTGATGGCCGTCTTGAGTGTGTCGTCAAATGTCTTCCCCGGTACCATGACTACAAACAAGCAGACTGTCTCGTCGTTGTCGTGCTCTCTCCGTCGACCAACACACACAGCATCTTCAATCTCCGCCGCGAAGAACCGCGTGAGAATGTTGTATATCTCAGCAGACCCAAATCGCACACCCGAGGGCTTCAGCACACCGTCAGAGCGACCAAGCATGGTGAGACTTCCGGTTGACACATCGAGCATTTTGACAAAATCGCCATGGTGCCAGACATCGCCCTTTACACCGCAGACATTGGCAAACCGCTCAAAGTACGCTGATTTGTACTTCTCCTGACCGTTTTCCCCGAAAAAGGTCAGTGGCTGACATGGGAAGGGCCTCACGCAAATGAGGTCGCCAGGTTCACCCTGAGGAACCTCTTCTGCGGTGAGTGGGTCTATCACACGGATAGCCATACCCAGGCCTGCGCACTGAATCTCTCCGACTCGGACGGGGAGTAGAGGGCATGGTGTGCCAAAGAGAGAGATGATGTCGGTGCCGCCGGTGATAGAAGCGAGGTTGATGTGTTTAGGAAATGCTTCGTAAACAAACTTGAAAGTCGAAGGTGGCAAGGGCGACGCGGTGGAGTAGATTGCTTCGAGGCAGGACAGGTCAAGGTTCTCGTCGCGAACCGGGTAGACTTTGTTTGCTTCCAAGGCCGTAAGGTAGGCGGCCGATGTGCCAAAGTGCGTGACCTTGAGATCGGACAGGACTTTCGGTAGGGAGAGGTAGCCGTTCGGCCGGAATGGGGACCCGGAGTAGAGGATCAAGGTCGTACCCACAGCGAGTGCACCGATAGACCAGTGCCACATCATCCAGGAGGTAGTAGTGTAGTACAGCATCCGCGACGCTGGCGTCAGTCCACAGTGAAGCATGTGCTCCTTTTTGTGCTGCAGGAGGGTGCCGAGGCCTGTGTGAACAATAGCCTTGGGAAGTCCTGTTGTGCCGCTTGAGTACAAGATATACAGAGGATGCGAAGGCGGTAGTAGCTCAAATCTGAGAGCCTCTTCAGGGGCTGTGGTCAAGAAATCGTGGTACTCCACGGCCTGGACGCCCAAGTCAACCAGATCCTGCAGGCATAAGTCGGCAGTAATGTTTGGGATGATAACCACGGTTGTCAGGCCCTGAGACTTCCGCAACTCGCGCACAATCTCTGTTGTCTTGGCCGTGCTGCTCCATTCCTTCCCGTTGTATACAGTCCCATTATCGGCAAACAGGAACTTGGGTGAGATTTGGCCCAGACGGTCAAGCACAGCGGACACTCCATTGTCCGGACTGATACCTGTCCAGATAGCACCGACGGTGGCCGCACCCAGCATGGCCACCAGCGCCTCGACGTGGTTTGAGACATAACCAGCGACAACGTCTCCGGGCTGCAGACCTCTAGCTCTGAGGGCCGACGAACAGCGCCGCACTGCATCACGAAGGGCGGCCCAGGTCGTCTCACGAATGCCAGAACCTGGCAATTCCGTCACAGTTAGGACTGCAGCCGACTCAGGGTCCAGTTCTGGAGACGTTGGCGGGTAGAGTAGATTTTGGGCAAAGTTGAGACGAGATCCGGAGAAGAAATCAGGTCGCGGGAACATGGGCGCCCCGGGAGAGAGTGCCTACGTACAGTCAATGAGCATCCAGATAAATGTGAGCTCAACGTGTGATATCCCGCATTCTCTATGTGTATGAGATCCAGCGAAGGGTATACGGATACACGCCCTCTGTATGGGAGGAACTCACCTTGCCATGCCCCTTTTCAGATACTACGCCTACGAAATCCCAACACTCTTCCCAGAATGTCGCTACGTCGTCGACGCTCCACTTGTACAGACTCTGATAGTCATCGCCATCCAGTTCGTGCCTTGCTTTGACATTTTGGAGAAAGCGCCACATTGGCGTGGAAGTCGGATCAGGATGGCGCCAAAGCACCTCAGCCTGGCCAGATCCGTTGCTTTGCGTCATTGTTTGATGATAAAATTTGATAGAGAACGTGAGAGCATCCAAGCAAGCGCCTTGTTTGAAAGAATTGACTCTCAATACACTCGAAAATTACTGTTGGGGTTTTGCCCGAATCGTGAACCGGCGCAACCCGGGCGTGGAAGGCAGCGCTGTCTCTCGACATGCCGAGCGCGTGGCGGTGCCCTGTGGCTCAGTTGCTAGTTGTGGCTAGTGACTGGACTTGGTCTTAAGTCGTACTGACTAACAAAGTAAGCGCCCACGAAGTAGGGCGATGTGAGGGTCAATTAATAGGTACCGCGGGAATTCCGATTTCCACAAAAATAAAGTCGGTCGAGGAATCGACTTGACCAGGAACCACCATCGTCATCGAGCGGCCGAGCCTGTACCGTTCAAATCAAGACCGATGATGACACTCCAGTCGGCAGGCAGATCGTAAGTCTTGTCACCTGTGACGGGAGGGACCGGCATGTGGGCGCAACCATCCGGCCCTGCCGGCAGCGCGAACGGGCATCCGGGATTCACCATCGCCGTTCAGTTTTGTCGGCCAGATACGAAGACACCGATCCTCCGTTGATCCTGAGCGGGTGTGCGATAGAAGTACGATCCCAAAGCGAGCAACGCGAGAGCATCAGCCTGCAGCAAATTGCACAGGAGCGCGCTTCTGCCAAAGGCCCAAAACGGGAGCCCAGCCATTGACTGCCAAGAGAAGGCGGGTCATCAAATTAGAGATTCTGAAACCCAGCCACTCAGAATCGGCATTGACATCGGGCAATGCTACAATTGACATCGCGATGTACGCCCAAGTGGGATTCAGCGGGCCAGAAAACGCTGACGCAGTGGACAAAGTCCAGTCTTGTCTGACACCTCGGGTACCTGAAAGCGACCCCTTTGTGGCCAATCATCGTGACGTATCGTCGGGCTGGGTCCAGTCCAGTCCGTCAGCTTTGCTTTTCCTCCCAAGTCCCAAGGTAATTTGCCTCTGGCTGCAGTGGTCAGTTCCCCCGACTCCAGTGGAGTTTCGCGTATCGTCTCCATCATTCGTTCCGACTGAAGCCTCTACTGCCTCTCCTTTTCCTTAGCCTTTTGCGACCTTAAGTTTTCTTCACCCAGAGAAACTTCGCAAAGGTCTACCTCACCTTGTGGTTCTCCTGGTTGTCGTTACTTCCTCAGCGGCGGCTGGTTGTTGACTCTGCACAACTGCTTTGTAACCTGCTTGGCACCAACCTTTATGCAATTTCAGCGGCTGTTGCGGCTTCAACCACCCATCCGAGACTTCCCACGCGGCACAGCGACAGGACGATCGAGCCTCACGCTCACCACTTTAATACCTAAGCGCGAGGGTATTACAATCGCAGCGTCGTCGACATATTCACCGACATCTTGAGTCTGGCACGAGCAAACATCTTTTGGTAGGTACCTCTGCATCCCACATGCGACCCCTTTTCCTCTTAGCCCTGGCCCACTGCCAGGGCAGCTTCCGTCATGATGACAGGACTGCACAGTCCCTGGCGAGGGTACGTTATTGCTGGGACGATGTGCAATTGGGAGCTCTATGACGCCTTCCGACTTAGGTATGGCTGTGCGTACGGTGTTATGCTGGGTTTCTGGCAAGACGCTTGCATGCAATGCTAATTGCCATCCGCCTTGAGAATCGGATTCGCTGCCACCCCCATTTTGGGGTACAGCCTCTCACGGGGAAGGCGGTGCTACCACATGGCATCCCGTCGTCCCACGGCAAGCGCGCTCTCTACCAACTTGCACACATGCCTTGGCCGGCTTGTCTTGACTCAACCTCTCACTTTCATCCTTGAATAGTGCCTCGAGCTTGCTGCAGCCACCTACCTTTCTTTCCGAACTGCATTTCGTCTCCTAAGTATGCATCGCTAATCATCCTGAAACCAGCCCTAATAGAGACTCATCTTTGGACCGAATCGACGAAAAAGCCATCCGTTTGTTTTCATTAGAACAGGAGAGATGCCACGTCGACTGGCGAACCCATTCTCGAACTCCTCCACCGCCATGCCTGGCTCCGAGAAGCTGCGCGAGCGTCGCCCTTCCAGCTCCAAGGGCAACCGCCTCACTCAATTCTTCTCCTCGAGCCCCAAATCTGCCGACAACACGCAACAAGCCCTGTTTGCTATGCAACAGCACCACCTCCAACAGCAGCATTCCTCCGCGCCTACCTCGGGTATCTCGAGCTCGACAGTATCCCTGCCTACAATCTCCCTATCAACAGCCATTGCAGAGAACAACACGATTGACCTTCCCGCGACCAAGACCCTGTTCGAGCCAAAGACTGCCGAAGAAGCTGAACGCCAAAAGCGAGCAGATGCTCAATTCGGGCCCCTGAATCATCCGAGCCACCTTTGGACCAGCAAGTCTCACGGCCGTCCACTGGCTGCCCCCGTTGAGGATGATCCGCCGCAGAGTGCTCTGTACACCACCTACATCAGCTACCTCATTCTCATCCTGATCGGACACATCCGTGACTTCTTCGGCAAGCGTTTTGGCGATAAGAAACGCTACAACTCATTGAAGGCCCAAAATGGCTATGCCCCTCTCAACGACGATTTCGACAACTTCTACACTAGGCGGCTCAAGGTCCGTCTGAATGATTGTTTCGCCCGCGTTGCCACAGGTGTTCCCGGACGTTACATCACGCTGCTGGACCGCGAGTCCGACGATTTCAACCACAGCTATCGCTATACTGGCACCACCACGGAGACGCTCAACATGAGCTCCTACAACTACCTTGGTTTTGCCCAGTCAGAAGGTCCGTGTGCGGATGCTGTGGAAGAGTGTGTGCGTCGCTATGGCATCACCACCTGCAGTCCTCGAGGCGATGCTGGGACGACTGATCTTGCTCTCGAGGTAGAGCGGGAGGTGGCCAACTTTGTCGGCAAGCCCTCCGCCATGATCTTCTCCATGGGCTACGTGACCAACGCTAGCTCTTTCCCTGCCCTCGTCTCCAAAGGCTGCTTGATCATCTCGGATGAGCTCAACCACGCCTCGATCCGCGTCGGTGCTCGTATGTCTGGTGCCATGATCAGATCCTTCGCCCACAACGATGTTCGGTCGTTGGAGAAGGTCCTTCGTGAAGCCATCTCTCAGGGTCAACCCCGCACACATCGTCCTTGGAAGAAGATCCTAGTCGTTGTCGAAGGTCTCTACTCGATGGAGGGAACCATGTGCGATCTACCCGGCGTCTTGGCTCTCAAGCGCAAGTACAAGTTCGCCCTCTTCGTTGATGAGGCGCACTCCATTGGTGCACTTGGACCCCGCGGTCGTGGTGTATGCGACTACTTTGGCGTCGACCCTGCCGAGGTCGACATCCTCATGGGTACCCTCACCAAGTCCTTCGGTGCCAATGGAGGCTACATCGCGGCGGACAAGCACATTGTCGATAAGCTGCGTGCCACCAATTCGGCGACACAGCTTGGTGAGACTCCCTCACCGTGCGTCCTCATGCAGATCCTGGCTTCATTGAAGATGATCACCGGCGAGCTCTGCCCTGGTCAGGGTGAGGAGCGCTTGCAGCGCATCGCCTTCAATTCTCGATACCTCCGTCTTGGTCTCAAGCGTCTCGGATACATTGTCTACGGCCATGATGATTCTCCCATTATTCCCGTCATGCTCTATCACCCTGCCAAGATCCCAGCCTTCTCTCATCACATGCTCAACCGTCAAATCTCCGTCGTCGTCGTCGGCTATCCTGCCACCCCGTTGATCACCTCTCGCGCTCGCTTCTGCGTTTCTTCCGCTCACAACAAGGAGGATCTTGACAGACTCTTGCGAGCTTGCGACGAGGTCGCCGATGAGATGAACATCAAGTACTCTTCAGGGATCGCCGGCGGACTGGATGATCTCGACCCCAAGTACGACTGCCCTATCGAGGATGAACTGGCCTTCCGCCGGTCGAAGAAGCTGATCTATCCTCCCCGATGGTCTGTGGAGGATGTCATCGAGAGGGGTGCCCGGGACGCCAAGCTTCCCCTTCGATAAGTGGTTGGCTCTCGTACGTATGATAGAGCATTGTTATGGAGTTTGCATACAGGGTGTGACATATGGTCGGAGTGTGGAAATAATGTCCGGGATTTTGGTTTACTGCTTCTGCAAGGCGAACACACGACGGGCGTTGGGACCTGCACACTTGCTTATGAGACCCGAGAGTCTGTAAAGGACGCTGGTGGTGTTTTCTCTGAACTTTTCGTCCCCTTCGTTTGACTTACCTTTGCATCGTTACACAACGCCAATGGCCAGCCATGGCCGGCCTCTTCGCTTTTCATACTTCTTCACCATCGCTTGACGACTGGTTCGCGCCAGAATCGCCATACATTGTACTTAGGGCAGGGTTCGAGCAGTGTGGGTATTATTGGAACTCATGATGTACATAGCAGCTCTGACGGAGTATTCAGTCCATACTGGACAGATAGACTAATGAGAGCAAGTCGTCGAACAGATTGCACAGGCATTTTCACTCGTGACACATTGGTTTGTCAGAACCGTGCTACGGCACTGAAGCATCCGTCGGCCTCTGTGAACTCCGTAGATTGAGCCACACGAGCACTATCATGCGAAGCTCTTGAACCGGAATTTCACGTTCACGACGGTCAACATGAACCCTTCTGCTCCGACTGCTTTCGAGCGACCCAGCGCTAACTTCGATCAACCGTTGACTTAGACTATGTCCAGATGCACCGCGCGTCCTAGCTAAGACCTGTATGATTTGCCCACCCCACCGCACCCACTCCTATCTATAAGGTCAGGTTGAGGTATTAGCTCGGACGAAGAGCCCTACACAAATTCGTGAATCTCTGTTTGATATAGTATTGGTTTCCTTGGTACACCCTAGGCAAAACTTGCGGAAATCAAGGCAGTAGCAGTAAGACATGCTGTCGGGAAGCTGAGTAGTGCGGGAATAGCGCGATGGCTTGGCCTTTGACTGATGAGCAGGAGCTAGAGTAGAGCATCATCGAGTCTCTAAAATAGTAACTACCATCAGAAGCTTCTCGGATTCCGGTCATCGTTTGACACCATCGGAGTACCTGAGGTAGGAAGAGCAGGTTGCAGGGTAGCATGGGCGTCTCCAGCCCACCAGTCCACTCTCTATCGGGCTGTCTGATGCGTGTGATACTACGCTACTGGCGCTAACATCTCAGCTGGGGACCTTGGTGGTGTAGCAATACATTCCTAAAAAAGGAAATAGCAGTTGGAGGCCGAGGACACTTTGAGTGAGTCGAGGATGGGGACCTGAAACCTGGTGAGGGGCTGTTTGGGGGGGGGCTCAAGAGTCAAGAGCGGACGCTGCGGTGCGGTGATGGTCTACTGTTCATGCAGGTACCGCGGACAGGTTCGCATACGAACAGGAAGTCGTTTGCTGATTATGGGCGCTTGGACATGTCGTTTGTGACATCGAGGTCAATTTGTGGTTCGTTCTGCAGCCTGCAGGTGGACATGAAGGACATGGACCGCACAGGTCGCTCAGCCACAACTCACCAGAGCTCACCGGCCGGTGGTGGAGTCAGGGACGACGGGAGCGGCTAGTGGTGCCTGACCGCGCCAAGTTGGTCGGATGGGTGCAGGTGGGGAATGGGCCCGTTGGTTGGTTGGAACTGGGAAGGGCTTCTGTCGCTTCAACTGCCCATCAGGCTGGCGTGGCCAACCCATCAGACTTCAGTCGCAAGATCTGATCAACATCCAGCCCTCAACTCCCGTGCCACCAGCTACGAGATACTTGCGGTGTAAGGGTCCTACCGTGCGCTTCCCGCCCTTCTCCCAGACCCGCCCCAGCCTGCTCTGTCTGGCCTCGCTCTGGGCACGACCTGTTGCCGACTCCTCTCATTCAACGGGGGCAGCCCCTTCTCGCATCGAGCCCCCCAATCCACGCCAACGCCCGACTTTGACCCTAGTCGATCGGAGACGCCGCTCAGGACATGAATTTTGACGGCGCCTACCCCGAGTCGGATGCCGACGACGAGTACGAGCGCAGTCACCACGGCGATCACTCCCCCGTCGGTGACTCTGAGGCCTCGCCCATCGACTCAGAGCTCTCGTCAGCCCACACCACCTCGGCTGAACATACGCCCACGACCTACGGCCACGGTGGGCGCAGCAGTGCCGACCGGTTACCCGAGACGATTATCACGGAGTGGACAGCGGACGAGTGCGCCGACTTCATCTCCAGCATAGGCCTGCAGCAGTATGCGGATCGCTTTCTGGAGAACGACATTGTAGGCGAGGCCTTGGTGGCACTCCATCACGATGACTTGAAGAGCATGGGCATCGCTAGTGTCGGTCACCGACTTACGATTCTGAAGAGCGTGTACGATGTGAAGAAGGCGCAGGATGTGCCCTGCGAGAGCGATCATTATTTGCCATTGTGTAAGTCTCCCATGCTGTGCGGCAGCGCATATCGTCGTCGGACTTGGCTAACCTCCTAGCCGCTGATGCCGAAGCACAATATGCCACGGCCACCCTGAAGGATATCAGACAGCTAGTAGAACAGCTCAGGTTGCGAGACGAGCGCATGAACCTCCTGGAGCAAGACCTGCGACGCATGTCCGAAGACTGCAGGCGGCTGCGGGAAGACATGCTCCCAGCGCTGCGTCTCGTCAAAGACGCCCAGACACCTTTGCCCAACCTGAGCGGAAGCACCCCGAGCACAACGTACAGCTACGACGGATCGACGTTATCGCCGCCTGTACCGACACCACCACCGGGCGGCAGCGGCGTGAAGCGCCAGTACTCGCAGCGCAAAATCCTCATCGGCGCGATGCCGAAGAATGCCTCACCCACGCAGGCCACCCACGAACGAACGATCGCCGAGCAGACCCTTGACCCGACAGGCGCAGCCGAACGCGCCGTTCTCTCATCGTCCCATCTACACACCATGAATGGCTCTGGACAAACCGCCTCCTCACCAGCTTACCCGTCACCGAACATGCCCTCACCAACGTCACCTCAAACACACATGAACACTCTTGGTTCAAGATCATACCGAGGTGAAGCGCCGCCGCTGACGGCACGAAGCGATGCCGACCATGGAGGCTTCCCCCGGGGGCCCGGGTCCGTGCGTGTACCGCCTCAACGCCGCGAAACGCCCACCGTGCCGGACACACCAGGTGGCAGCAACAGCAGCAGCGCACGGGACAATTCCGTCGAGATCTTCCGCTCGTTCCGCGTGAGCATGGATGATCCATGTCACAAAGTCCTGCCAGCCGCTTTGAAGAAGTATCAGATCAACGCACCGTGGGATCAGTATGCTCTGTACATTGTGTACGGTGACCAGGAACGATGTTTGGGCATGGATGAAAAGCCCCTGATCTTGTTCAAACAATTGGACAAGGAAGGCAAGAAGCCCATGTTCATGCTGCGCAAAACGAACCAGGCCGCGGCCGGGGAGGGCGAAGGGAGCGGGACCAGGGCCATGGGCTACGATCCGCCAGGTGGCATTATTTGAAGCATCCACGCACACACTGGAAAGGAGAGCAAGGCAGAGCAGAACAATTCACGCCGTCGTCGCCCTCGCGATCTTCTGTGTCCCGAAGCCTGGCATCGTGTCTAGCTGAGCCCAGCGTTTCGTTGCCGGGACTCCAATGGCACGCACGAGAGGCGTTTGGGCATATGGTATATCTTGGATACCTTAGCGTTATAGCATGTGGTTATCAGATCTTGTTGGGACACTCACTGATGGGAGCATCTACGAAAGCAGACATGGGAAACTGGCGTTTCATTCTTCATGTACGTAATTATCTTCTTGGGCAGGCGGATCACGCTTTATCTTGGCTTGCGTTAGATTTCGACTCTGAATCGATGTACGAAGCAGCCTCCAATGGAGGAGTTGCGTGTCTGAGCTGTGCGTATCGGCAACCCTGTATCTCTGGAATGGCCTCTACTTGTAGCTCCTTCAGAAGTCCATAGACGCAGCTCTGCTTCTCATGTGCGTCGGACATTTCCTATCCGCTGACACTGACAGTCTGGGGACGATGCGAGAAAGCCAATCAGCGCGTCCGCTGTCAGTTCTATTTCTGTCAGGCGGCTGTGGCGCAGACGGGGGCACGCGTCATGGTGCGGGAACAGGCGCACCCTCAGCCACAGAAGCCAAGGCGGCCTTGCTGACTTGAAGACGTTGATCAAATACCAAGGGCGTCCGCTCAGCTGTCAGCTACGATTCCGCAGAATATTTATGTAACGCACCCTCATTTTCGCTACAACGTTCGGTCCAAGATTTTCTGCGATTATATACCTGTGCCTCTCCCAGCCGCCTGGCCTCTGCGACTGCGCGCATGTGACGTATATCGGATAATTGCCATCCTGCTTGCTGCCTTGGTAAATACTACTACTAACTACATCATCCGCCGACCCCTCCTGGGTCCTGCTTGGACTCTGGGTCTCTCCTCCGCCCTGTTTGAGAAAATTGTCGATTGCTAGATTCCGACAAAGAGCCCCGAGGAACGAAGCATCGTAGCCACAATGCTCGACGAGAACCTCCCAACCTACCGCTTCCGGCAGTCCTCTGACAATCAGCTCAACAGCCTCCTCTACTTCACACACAATGGCTCCGAGCCCTCGGCAGACTACTTGATTAAGCGTCCGCCGCCCTCCACCTCGCCGAACCAATATGCGCTGGGCCTCTTTGACCTGAAATACGCCTCTGTTCTCTACGCTGAAGTCCTCGTCAAGCCAGAGTGGCAGCAGCCCACGCTCTCTGCCGCCGAAGTCCGCGCAAACGGAGGAAACCCCGTGGCCACGCCGCTCATACCCAACTCGTTCACCATCGATCTCTACAACCCCGACCAGAGCATCCAAATAAAATACCAGTCTGGCAGCTGGAGCAAGGATGCGTGGGAGTTTGAGGTACCGCAACGTAGCTTCAAGCAGCCGACCAAGAGCCAAATCGACCAGGATGGACCGGAGACGACCATCTCCGACCTGATACCCAAGGTGAACTTTCGGTGGAAGCGCGACAGTCGGATGAGCCGAGACATGACGTGCTACATGTCAGGCAAGACGGTCGGGGGTCAGAAGAGCAAAGAGCCGGACATCACCATTGCCTTGTTCAAGGCAGGGAAATCCGGCGGCTCGGTTTCGATATACGAGCCGAACATGGCACGCGTGGACGTGGAGGATCGAAAAGGGCTGGAAGTCACCCTCTTGCTGAGTGCCGAGGTGATCCGGGCGCTGTATCTGTCACCGAAGCCGGACTTATTCAACACCGCAGGCGTTCCGCCGCCGCCAACGACGACCAAGGGCACGGCAGCGCCGTCGACCGGTAGACCGGCAGCGGCCACGTCCGGAGCTGCTGGTTCAGGGGCGGCCATGTCGGGTGCCATTGGGAACATGCAGCCCGCACCGCAGCCGCCGCGCCCCGCGAACCAATCGACGGAGAAAGACCCAGATGCCGTGGCACGCTTTGAGATTGACGCCGAGAAACGTCGTCGGCAAGCCATGATTGAGGAGCAGAATGCTCGAGAGAGGCGGGTTCAGCAGGAGCAGGAAGAAATCAAACGCATGCTCGAGCGCGAGGAGCGTCAAGAGGCAGAACGTAGAAGGCGCGCAAACGAGGAGCGGGAGCGCAAGGTCGCCAAGGAGACGGAGAAGCTGCTCAAGCAATACGGGCCCCAGCCCACGCTGCCACCTCGTCCGGGCGGTGCCGCGCAGATGAGCGGCGGCGCGGCAGGTTGGCACACCCCAAATCAAGGACCAGCAGCGCCGGCACAGCCTCAGCGACGACCGAGGAGCGTGGATCCGCCCAGGGCCAATGTTCGCTTTGCACAGCAGGAAACTTCACCCACACAGCAGCCGCAATATAGCGGAGGACCTGCTCACGGCGGCGGTGTCAGCGCGGCTGCGAAGAAGAAGCTCAACAACTTCCTGTCTACCTCGTCGCCCTACTCTGGCCCAGGGGCGGCGAGCATGAGCACCTTTTTTGGAAAGCCAAGTGAGGAAGACAAGAGGAACAAGGTCAAGAAGAAGAGGAGCACGCACTTCTGAGGAGGAAGGACCATGCATTGGGAAGCAAACTACTTGGCGTTGGGGTTTGAACTTTGATGATACCAGATATACGTATATACATGGCGAGCGCAAACTTATGACCATTGCAAGAGCACCCTGCCTACGTGGCTTCTCTGGGCATGTGTAGCATGAAATTATTGTATTAAGAAGCGCCATGTCACGCCGCTCGTCGCTTGGCCGTACGCTGATCTGTTCACTCACAACTATCTGTCATTGTTCTTGCTTTAACCCCTTTTCCGTATTAATACTCATGTCGCCTCCGTAACATGCAAACAAGCACGGCCGACACACCCGCTGATGGCGCAGAATGACACGAAAGCACGTGCCTTCGGGTACACATTTCGAACAGATGCACTTGTTCCGTGGATTCATCGCAATCGCCTTGTCGTGCGCCTTGAGCGCGTCCATGTCAACCTCATACTTCTGGACCCACTCGCCTTGACCGGGCTCCGGCGCTTTAGTAGAGTCTCTATCGGTAGGAGCAGCCTGAGCCTCGTCAAAAAGTCCCAGGTCGATGGTATCGATGGACAATGTGCTCTCTCGACCCTTTGCTCGCGGCGGGAGCTGGCTTGTGTCTGCACACTCCTCGCAGTTGTCTTCCTCCTTCTCGACTTGGTCGTTGGTTGCTGAAGCTGGGACGTCTGGCGAGATCCTGGGTCCTTTTGACATGTCCTGAGGCATGGGCGGCGCGACGCGGTGTGGATGCCTCTCAATGTCGCCTCGATGTCGGTCATTTTCAGCAGGGACACCATTGGGAAAGCCACCGGGTCCGGTGTTCGAATTCGAACCATGCGTAGAAGCCTGGTCAGGGATGTGCGCGTTCCTTGAGTAGTGCCCAGACTGCCTTAGAGAGAATAGGTCGGATGCAGACTTCGTGCATTGGCGTTCATGGTGTTCAGCAGCGTAGTTGGGACCACGACTGGCAAGATTGATAGTACCTGTCGGAACCCCAAGTCCGGCTGGTGACCCGTCGGGCCCTGTGTCTCTCCATTGTGGTATTCGAAATAGAGGCACGAACCGCTCTAGGTGCAAGTTGAGGTCCCGTCTGCGGACTAGAAACGGCGGCAGCGGGCCTACGCCGTTTATGGACGGATTGGTGCGTAGTTGATCAGGGGAGCGCTCCTCATCATCTATAACAATGGGGTCGCCCAAGTGTGACCCCCGCAAAGACTCCATTGGAACACCCCTGGGGATATGTGTTGTTGTCGGTCTGCCCGTGGGGGAGGCCTGTGCGGGATGACCACGGCAATCTTCTCGTGGGGCCAGTCCTTGGGAAAACGGAAAACCTGTATTGTTTTCGTTCGATTTTGGCGTGAGGCTAATCCCTGGTGTCGCTTTGGGTTTGCGTGAACGATGAGAATTTATTTTGGTGTCGGCAGTCCATTGGCCTACAAGAACAGGCAGAGATATTGTCTTCAGGAAGGTTGAACCTTGAGCGGGAGGCTCCTGCTCTGTGTTCAACCTCCCCGGGGCCAAGAGATTGGAGACGTGGTCTCCATCGTTCTTTCAGGTATCAGATGGAGTGTGTCCAAGTCGGATGAAGCTCAGGGGAGAGAAGACTGGAGCCCCTGATGCCTCTGGCCGATCATAATTGTCCAAGGAAGCCATGGCTATTGCAGCTGCGTGCTCGACACTGACACTTCATCCCCCTTCGCACCAGAATGAAACCGGTCGCCTTTTGGTAAAGCCTTGTCTTGTGATGTCCGCTCGATTTCACGCCAGGGCTGAAGCTCTATGGCGGTGGTGCTTCGGAGCTTTTTGCTCTTGACGGCGCGAGGCCTGATGAAGGTAATTTCACCAGCAAACATTGTCAGCGCAAGAGAGTCAGACAAGAATCTCAAGAGACTCTGTTGAAGGGGAAAATTCAAGTCAAAGACAATCAGTGTGGAGGATGGCGGGACGAGCTGTCGTTTGTCAGGGACGCCGGCTTTATTGATACCCAAAAGCGGTCGACAGGACTCACGCCTTGACCAGCCAGCCAGCAAACGCCATTGCCGCCCCTCATGCCCGTGCGCACCGCTTCTCAAATGAAACGTCGTTTGCATGAGTTCTCGAGAGTTGTAAAAGAGAAAACTTTTTTTTTTGGGTCCCTCCTTGCCTGCAAGTCGGCGACCCCCGAAGGTAGCCGCTGCATCTCGAGATCTTGGCGCGGATTTCTGTGCGTCTCTGTTGAGCTGGGTATCAGCGACACTCGTCCGCTTGCTTTGGCCTTGAACACGGACCCAGGTGGTAGTTGATTTGTGCCACATATCTGTTCGGTTTCCAGACTGCCCATTTGCAGCTGCCTCTCCGCTTGAGAGCCTACCTCACCTCTCCTTGTCGTTGTCGAGGCGCAGGTCATTCACAACCATATAACGACTGAGACTGATCCACCCGTGTCGGAACCAACGCATCTGGCTGACGTGCGCTTCTGTCATGGCTTTGCGTCCTGTAGCATAGCATGCGCCCTTGCTGCCGAACAGTTGGCTCGCGAAGACTAGGCTAGCAGGCCTTTCCTTGCCGCCGCGTATCCCCCGAAATGCCTGCATGGTTATAGTGGCGAAGACGTCCAAAATAGAACTGTACTTTCGTACCATGTTGACGGATGTGAGGGTGTATAGATCGACGGGGCTCTTCCATCCAGGTCGCCCTTTGACGAGACCTGCGACAAAGGCTCGGGCGCCATGGTATAGAGATATGTGGTTTGGATGCGACGAGACACCTTGGCCGTCAAAAGTCAAGAGTACATCGGCGTTTGTCTGGGGCGGTTTGTCGACATTGCGATCGTTGGCTTCGGGCGCGAGGGCCGTGTTGAGAAGGTCGACGATCTTTGCTTCATCCCAGGTCGTCGTCATCGAATCAGGGAAGTCAGTCCTATATCACTTAGCAAAGATCTAACTGGGGAGGATGCGAGCGCGTACGGGTTATCCACCACATAGACATCGTCCTCGCCCTTAAGGCCCAGGAGCAGACCACTCTTGACGAGCTCCCTCTTGCGCGTTTCGCCTAGGCCATCCGCATCGCCTGAGCTGTTAGTGTATATACGTAGCGAAATTATCTAGTCGCTCTCACCTGTGCTCAGACAAAGTATCCTAACGTGGTTCCCAAGCTCCGGTCTGGTGAGCGCTAGCACCGTGGGCGCAAAGAACATGGCCTCATCGTCGGGATGCGCAATGAGCAAGCAGATACGCTTTCCGCGGATAGTGGGAAAGCTAGATCGAATGGCGTTCGCAGTGTACATGTATAGAGTCGGTACGAGGACGAGGGCCAGAGCGGCCAGGTAGAGCGTGTTCATCTTGGCCGTCGGCAGGCAGGACAGTCGTTAGATCAATTGGATCTTTGGGATTAGCGGCAGCGAATCAATGTCAAGTCAATTGCCGCCATGTACCTGCGGAATGTCAGATCCGAGGCAGTGAAGCTGTGGCAGTACGCAGTTCGAGGTCGAAGCTGCAAGCTGAGAGGGGAGCTTGTTCGGATTTCAGGGGTCCAGCATGTGGGGCTCGTGAGACGTCATGCCGAAAACCTCCCTTTGGACGCGCAGAAACGCGACAACTTCTTACTTCCACTCACTCTTCCAATTTTCCAGAGGCAGCGTCGTCCAAGACCAAAATGGCGCGTCAACGGAAAGAGCCCAAGGCGAAAGACGTTCCTCTTTCTCAGCCGGACCGTTCTGGTCCCAAGGGGCCAACCCTGCTCGACATTGCCCAGGAGAAGAATCTCTTTGCTCAAGCCACGGCTCGTGAACGTGCGCTCAAGGCGGAGAAGCGGGCGAGCGGCGAGGATATCGACGGTCAGACGCTGAGTCCGCAAGCAGAGAGGGTGTTGGAAACGCTACTGTGGACCTTGACGCTGGCTCTGCTTCACTTGACCTTTGACGTGCTTGTGCAGCATCAGTATGGAACCGAGGTCGAGTGGAGCAGTGTGAGTTTGAGGACAGTCAGAGCATGGATCGGTAAGCACAACTGTGCGGATGACGCATTGTATTGTTGAGGAGCTGAGCGCGTAGTGTTCTTATTATTGTTCTACACTCTTCACCCACACCAGGCGAATGAGCGATTGCTGCCCGGCTTGCCCATGAGATACCAGCAACATCTCCGCCAAGTCATTTTCACCATAGCGAGTGTTGCGGCCGGCTGCTACTTGATCCATATCAGCAACGAGTTTGGCTATCTGGCGGTCATGAAGCAAGCACCGCCATTGGGATGCATCTGGGTGTGGTCTGTCATTGAGCTCGACCTGCCTTGGGCCGTGCTCAGTCTCGCGGTAGCGGGAGGCTATCTGTGGTATGGAGGGTACAGCGTTTATTGATCTTGCGGTACTCTCTGCGGACACAAGGCTCGACAGGCTGAAAAGCTCAAGATTATCAGTCGAAGATCCTGCGCAGCAAGGCCTTTTGTCAACACCATACATCACGGGAACCTTGGATCCGTGGACCACAAGAGAAGGACGCGTGCTCCAACGCTGTAACGCCGAGGCGCTCCGGCTTTTCATGAGCCCAATGACTTCGACAGGGTACAGATCAGCATCGATGACCGTATTTCCAGATCTGGGCAGCTCGGATATTACGCCAAGATTGCCCGTCAAGGGACTAGAGCCTGGACACGGAGGATTTATGGCGTCTCTGGACCTTTGCGGAGATCCTGGCTGATGTCATTTGCTTCGAGCAAAAACACCTAGCAAGGCTGCCATCTACTTGACTAATTAAGTATGTACTCTACCTAGTTCAAATAGAGCCCCCTGTCGGTCTGTCGGATTCTGGCCCACCTCTCGGCACTTCAATCCATCAACTATGTACATATGTAATTAGATATTACCCAGTACCTGCGATGATGGACAGATGGACTAGGTATTGGACTTGTCTTTGCGCTCAACCTGGGTCACCGCTGCTCTTCCGACACTGAGCACGTAATTATGCAGGAAAAGCTCTTGTCGAAGGGTTGGCAGACAGATGAGGAGCTTTGCTCCGTTTAGTACGTGTAATATGAAGCTTGTGTAAGATCTTCCTGTCCAGATCTATGCAGCGTCCGTGCTGCGTAATTACAGCGACATAAACACAGAAAGAAGCCCAGTTGCCCGACTCGAATGGCATTGCCTGACAGAAGCAGGTTCAGCAGACGAAACAGAAGTTGGCTACGTAGATATGGCTCATTCATGCTTTCGATTAGTTTTGACGGTTCCGCAAGACCGGCACCTAACATCTGCTCCATAACTGCGCGCTCATGTTCATTTGACAGGACCGAGATTAGGGCACTCCACATACAGAGCTGATCGACAGGGCCAGTGCAGCTGAGCGAATCACGAATCTCGTTCCAGAAACTAATCCTCACCCCGCCTCCCGAGGTTCTACGTACGATCCAGGTAAACTTGTCCTCTGCTTCGTAATCGCTGCACCGATACCAGTTCAGTACGATAGAATTCCCTCGGTCTTGACTGTAGATTCGTCTGCTATGCTTTAAGTGCCGTGGCGAGACGTAAACAAGGGTGAGGAGCCTGGGGAGCCTGGACACCCAGTGACCCAAGATAGTGTCCACGATTGCCAGAACGCACAGCACAAGCCAAAAAGGGGGAGGGATCCCTGTCCATGCACAACACATCGGGTGAAGATGGCCTTTCTGGGCAACTGGACAGCTGCTGTCGAATGAGCGTCGATTGGCGGCCTGGCCAGGCCTGTGACAGATCACATTGAAACTACCTGCCGAGCTCATGGTAACGCTGGTGACGATGATTCAATTTTCAACCTCCGGGTCTGGAGGACGTACTCCGTACAGAAATCTGTTTCACCACGCGGATAGAGAGAAGCAATAAACGGCACGTCAGCCCGTTGAAGAGCCCGGACTGGACCAGATCGCAAAGTGCCGCGCCATCGCAACCACGCCAATCTGCAGCTAGCCATCGCGCGACCCTCCACTCCAAATTTCTCGGCGTCACGATTCAGTGCGTATAGAAGTTTGCGCCGGCACCTCGCATGGCCGAAGCCCGGGAACGACTGGACAAGCTGGAAATCCGCGTTTGCTAGCAATTGCTGCCTTTCTTTCATCCAAGTCACTCATCGTTTGATCTGACCATCAATCGCTTTTACTCGTCGCTCTTTCCCTCATTTTGCCTCCAGCCAGCCCCCTGTCCCTCCTTCCCTCCCAGTCGACCTCACTCGCGACCGATTCGACTGACCTGCTCGACGCACCGGAAATCCTTCCTTTCTCCCCTTCTCTTTCAGAGAGATAGCGACCATATCCTCCGTCGCCACGAGGACGCAGTCTTTACTTCTTTATTGCTTGCTCGTTTCGCCCGTTCTTTTCCGGCTTCCAACTGCATATTTCTCGCCGGCCCATGATCGCATCCCCACGCGCGTTGCTCCCTCTCAGAACCCCTTCGGCAGTCACGCCTGAGACATCCGCACCTGCGACGTCCCATTGCCACATGGCACTGAGACGATGGGGTTCTTCAGCTTTTTGAACACCAACAAACGGTCCGCCAGCGAAACTGCCAGCTTGCGTTCCTCATATGACCTCAGAGCGCAGCCTTACGAGACGACGGCCAGAGCTCTGCCACCAATTCGAGGCAACCTGCCTGTCGCTGGAAATGGCCCAAACACGATCAGCGACTTGAAACGCGCTGCGCGCAAACGCGCCGAGATGCAGTCGTCTGCCAATTCTCTTGGCCATTCCCGAGCCACGACGTCACATTCTCACGGCCCCTTCCGCGACGCCCCTGCCCCTGCGCCCATGGTACCTCGACTGCGGTCCAAGAGCGTGGGACGACCCAACACGGCACCTACGACGCAAATTGCGCCATCGTCCTCGCAAAGACCGAAATCAGCTGGCAGGAACGGCATTTCAAGCTCACCCTCGCGCAAGCCCTTCATCGTCCAGAAGACGAGGCCTGGCCCCCCATACCTTGTCGGCGTGAGCGGCCCTGACGATGACGAAGACGAACTCCCACCCGTGCCGCCAATCGCGGCGCATTATCAAGCGTCTACGCCTTCGAGTCCGGTGACATCCAAGGGTCCTGGTTCGGTAAACGGATCCATCATGTCCGGCTCTGCACAAAGTGCTGGTGGCAAGGCAGGATATGTAGATATCTTGGACGCACAAGGGGCGCTGAGACCTTCAGACTTCAAGTCACGTCTTCGTGCGACGGGAGCGCGTGACTACGGCGAAGATGTGGCGGAGAGGAACATGGGCGTCAATGGCGTAGATCTCAACAGCCCTCCTGTTGCTGCTTTCTACACCTTGACAGGCGGCGGGCCCCTTGCGTACAAGTCGGACGGTAGTGCCGTCGACGTGCACGGGAACAAGTACGCCGCCGATGCCATTCCCGCAAGTCTTACGACCAAAGTGCAGGGTGACGATGCGGACCAGCCTTCGGCAATGGCTAATCAACGACTTCGCGGGCCTGTTTTCCCGGCCCGCACGACCAGCTTACTACCAACTGCAAGGCATCGGGAGAACACGGCCACTGGTTCACATGACAATACCTCCGAGGATATCATGGCTGTGCGGCGCCTGTCGCTACAGAGCGCTTCCCAAGGCACGGCTTCTCATCCTCAAGCAAAGTCGCGGCCTACCAGCTTGCACCCGGCGCTTTCATCAGCCAATTCACATGGTCGGCCGACCAGCAGCTCCGGACTGGTGACCAGCCTCGCCCCGCCAAGCCGGCCTAGAGATGCCAATTCCACAGCTTCCAACAACGCGGAGCAAGAACAAGGGAACCGCCGCCGGTCCCGCAGTACTAAGAGTACACGGACGGTGACTGCTGCCCAACCACGTCAGCGATTGATAGATGGAGATTCGAGTGACGAGGACATGATTTACCCACATCGACGAAGAAGCGTCTCCTGTTCCTCAAAAAGCGACAGACGTTCAACAAGGCCTGGCAGTGATGAGACTTTTGACCTGGGCATCTCCCAGGAGCGCGAGCCTGTGCTCCCCGGCCCACGTACGTTGACAGCCCAAATCTAATGAGAACTCGATACTGACAAACCACAAGGCGCACCAGCTCGGCCCTCGTCGTCTGGAGCGGATGCTAGCTCTCGAGCTCGAGCTTACAACAAGCCTTTACCACAAACACCTGGGGCCAACCCTCTGCCTCGCTCCACGAATGCTCCTTCGCACCCCCGGAACCGTTCCACTGGCAGCTCCTCGGTGCGCAACAGATCCACTGCCCTCGGTGACATTTCCGAGCACGTGCAGCCACCGCCCAAGATCAACTATGAGGCGTATGGACCTCGTACCAATTCCGTTTCATCCTGGACACCCAGCACTGTGGCATCAAGCAACAACCGCAGTCGTCACACGGCTGACACTTCGCTCGATCTTGGCTACGTTCTGCCCCGCAAAGCCAACAACAACGCTCCGGGATCTCATGTTCGCCTGCAGAGCGACAGCACAATGGCTAGTGGCAAGACGGGAAGCACATATTCGTCTCAACGAGCGGGCAAACCGACTATGGCAGTGGAGCCCCAGTCTCCAGATGATGTATACATGAGTACGACGACGGATGGCTCAGATGCCGAGCCGTATGTCGGGAACCAAAGGAAACGCCACCAAGACGGCGAACACTTGTTGTTTAACGAAGATGGATACGGCAATGGCCTGCCTGGGCTTTTCGACGCCCCCGTGGAGGACGCTTCCCCACCAGCCTGGGCCACATTTCGCAAGTCTCGTCAAGCACCACCCGCTTCGGTCCCTCGCAAACAGCCCCCATCGCTGAAATGGCGTTACGAGGAAGACGACGACTACTCGACCGTTTCCGAGTCTGAAAAGCAACCGGCTCAGCCCGCTGCAGCTGGAGGCATCCTGTCCCCAGCTTACGACCCCGCGGAGGCAGAGATGGATGCCCGCTTGGACGCCAAGTTGGCCGTACAATTACGAAAGGAGATGAAGAGGCGGGAGAGAATGAGCACATCATCCACACTGGCCGCCAGAAAGACTAGGATGGACGGCCAGAAGAACGCGACCAAAGGAGATTATGAGCAAGGCCACGTTGCTGACGCGGAAGTGTAAGCAGCATGATGTTTACGATGTTTTGGATCATTGATGATTGGACTACGATTTCTTCACCATGTACAAATGGGCGTTTGTTTCTTTTGGGCGATGTGCGTTCAAGAGAGAATTTCCCGCCTTCTATAGATACCAAAGTTAGAGTTATTGACCCCCTTTTTTTTTCTGTTGACAAGCAATTGATTCACTGGGCTATTCTGATAGTGATCTTCTTTTGAACACGCCACTCATGCTTTTGGGGTCTTGACAGCTGCCAGCAGCTCAGGCGGGGGCTCTTGACGGTAGCCCTGGGGGTTGTTGTTGACCCAGCGCCAGAGATCCTCGCAGGCCTTCTCCATGGTCAACTCGGTCTTCCAGTTGAGCTCCTCGTTGGCCAGCGACGGGTGCGCGGTGAGGTTGAGCACGTCACCCTGCCTGCGAGGCTTGACCTCGTAGGCGAGGTCGCGGCCCACGACCTTGCTGAAGGCGTTGATGATCTCGAAGACGGTGCTGCCGCGGCCAGAACCCAGGTTCCAAGCCTTGACGCCAGGCTTCTTCTCGCGAACGTAGTTGAGAGCGGCAAGATGGCCACGGGCGAGATCGACGACGTGGATGTAGTCGCGGATGGCGGTACCATCACGGGAGTCGTAGTCTGCGATATGTTAGCCGACGGCTCTGATTGTTTGAATTGACGGAGCGGGGGTGAACTCACCATCACCGAACACGAGGAGCTTCTCGCGCTCACCGGTGGCGACCTGTCCCAGCAGGGGCAGGAGGTTGAATGGCACGCCCTGGGGATCCTCGCCCATGATGCCGGTAGGGTGGGCACCGCAAGGGTTGAAGTAGCGCAGCAGCGCGCCGTTCCAGGCCTCGGGGGACTTGCCGGCCTTCTCCAGCTTGTTGCGCTGCGCCTTGACCTGGTCGGTGATGACGTCCTCAATGATGACCTTTGTGCGGCCGTAGGTGTTGGTGGCCTCGCGCGGGCAGTGCTCGGGGATGGGGATCATGTTCTCGAAGCGGGTGGCGTCGCCGTAGACGGTGGCGGAGGAGGAGAAGACAATGTTGGTGACGTTGTTGCGCTCCATGGAGCGCATGAGGGCGATGCTGCCGCCGACATTGACCTTGTAGTACTCGAGGGGGATCTCGCCCGACTCGCCGACGGCCTTGAGGGCGGCAAAGTGGATGACCGAGTCGATGGCGGGGTGCTTCTGGAAGACCTCGTCGAGCGCCTTCTCGTCGCTAATGTCGAGCTCGTAAAAGTCCGGGCGGCGGCCGCAGATGAGCTCGATGCGGTCGAGGGCGACCTTGGAGGAGTTGTAGAGGTTGTCGACAATCACGACATCGTAGCCGTGCTCGAGGAGGGCGAGGGAGGTGAACGAGCCAATGTAGCCGGTACCACTGTTGCCTCTGGTTAGCAAGGAGGTGGCGGACAGGCAGAGGGACGGACGCACCCGGTGACCAGAACGGTTCCAACAGCCATTGTGCGTGCGGTGGACGTATGACGACTTTGTGTGAGAGGGATTGTATGGCGAGGGGAAGAATGAGACGATGAGGTGCGCTGTAGAAGTTCACGGGCGCTCAGGAGGCGGCGCACAGCGAGGTGGGAGCTTCGAAGGGGACACGGATGGCGGGGCACCGCCGTAACTGTGGCCCAGCCAACGTGGGGCAACGTTGAGCAGCTGGAGGTGAGTATTCCGCCTCGTGAAATTTGCCTGGCAGCACCAGATGTACGCTTGAGCGTTCCCAGCGCGAAGCCGCTAGACATGGTCAAGAGCTGACACGGCGAGCCATCTCGTCAATGCTGGTTATCGTGATACCGTCAGGCCCCGAATCATTTTTGGCTGCGGCGAACCGTGAGGCGTCTATTGGCGGATGGGGTGCAGAGGGATCGACGCATAAATGTAAGCCGCTATCTCGCGCGAACCGTTGCAGATCAATCATGCGTGGTGCGGAAACGTAGCTGCCAGCCAAGGCGACTTTGATTGAATTTTCCGACCAAGATCATCGGTGGTCGTGAGAATTGGTTACATTGACAAAAGTGTCTGTCTCTTCCTCGTCACTGGAGTGAAGACATGTGACGCGTCTGCAATTACATAAGCTCACAGCGCTGGCACACTGGACATGGCGGTGAGCTCGAGTGGTGCCCCCGGGCCGTTCCTGTTAGTGGAATTCAGCGTTCCGGGGGCGCGACTCAAGCACTGGACTCGATGGCGCGCCCAGCCACCGACACCTCATCAACAGGAACAGCGTCAACAGAGCAGTGAAAAATCTCTGTTGACTGTTCTTAACGCGAGCTCTTGCTATTATCTCACCCGCGGGCCAAGGGTCTTGCAACCTTCCAGTCTTCGGTTATCGTCAATTTCAAACCTCGCCCCGTACCTAGGTACCAAGCCACAGTCTTCAGCCACCCGACGCCAGGTCGCGAAGCTGCAGGTCAAGTCTTTGTTGACACGCTAATAATTACTCGACTACTACGAAAAGCGACAACAATACCGCATTTGACAGGCCGCAAGGTGGTCAGGGCACCCTTCTGAACGGCTGCCATTGACCTCGCAACCCATTCGGTGCTTCCCCTCCACCAAGGTTCTTTGTTCCCTCGCCATCGGGTCAGCTGGCGGTAGGCGCGTCAAGAATCTGCGCGCCTCGCAGAGGCTATTTTCGTCGCACGCAGAAGGTGTTGCTCAAGTGTTCTTTTGCGACTCATATGGAATGCACGTCCAGTTTCGCGGTCAGATGCTGCGTTGTTGGAATTTCACGTCCTTCACTTTGAGTTGAGATCAGATTCGTGGGCGTTGCCCCCTTCATATATCCACCGCCTTAGCGACCAACCTTACCCTGAGACGACATAGGACATAGCGTCATTCACTATGCCACCACGCGCCGTGAACAAGCGAGCGACAGGAACGCCTGGGCGCGCTGGGTCGATGCCAGTCGTGTCGCCTACTTCCGGCAGTCATCGGCTCGTGCAGCCACATCTGCGCGAACTCCAGGCAACGCCAGCCTCCCGGAGACAGTACAGTTACGGCTCTGGACCAGAACCGGCACCTTCTCGCGCGGAGCGCTCATTGCGCAGGGGACAGCAGCTCGACCTAGGCCATGCGGTTGGCAGCGTGTTGCAACGCCAAGATGAGGAGGACGCCCAGACGTCGAAGAATGCGATGCCTCCCCCGCCTCGGCCTCAACAGGACCTGGAACGAGACGAGTTGGCTGGAGATGCCGATCTATTTGATGCAGAAGCCGGTACGTAGCGAGCCATGAGACTTCTGGAGCGTGCGCTAACCAAGCGCAGACCGAACTCCCAAAAGGAGCACGCGGCGGGCTGCGACGGCGGAGGTGACAGCGCAGGAAGAAACTAATGGCATTCACCCGCGGTCGTATTTGTCGTCGTCCGTGACTTCAGACGCGGCCCACCAGCCATTGGATGACATGTCTGATGACAGAAGTTTCATCACCGAAAGCGAGCTGTTTGACCAGGCTACTATCGGCTCCTCACCCAAATCGATACCGACACCGGCCTTACGCGCGAGGTCAGGCCGCGCAGCGCAACAGCGGCCTTCGGCGCTGCGTCATTCAGAACAACCTCTTGCTGACCAGACGCCTGCCGTGCTAGAGTCGGCAACCGAAGCCTTGGTATCAGAGGCGCCAGCTCGCTCTGCGTTTAAAGCAGCTCCCAATCTAGCACCTGCGTCCCTCCAACCCAGGCAAAGCGAGTTGAGGAGCCCCCAGCGTAAGACTGCGGCGTCGCGAGCGGCCGCAATCCAGCAGGATACCGATCAAGCCTCCTCAGGCCTTGCCCGTTCGAGAACCCAGGCGGCCAGTCGTAGCAAGTTCGGCGCGACGCAGGAAGTTACCAGCAACAACAACAACTTCGCCTCGAATTATAGCGACGCTGACGATGCACTGCAACGCCAGATTGCTGCGTCGGATTCGTCTGACGCCGCCGACGCTGCACCACCCCCCAAGACCTCTGCACTCTTTGCGAAAAGCGCGTCTTCTCAACTCGGGAGAAAGTTTCAGAAACCTACTAGCGGGCGCATTGGGCCTTTGCGACAGACTGCAAGGTCTGCCTCGGGTAGTACTGTGGTGTTGGAGGCCGAAGAGCCCAGTTGGCTGGAGTATATCCGGTTTCAAGCACTTTGGGACTGGCTGATGAGCATTATGGACAACTTCAACGATGGTTTAGCCTGCACAGCTCGCCGCCTGCTTAAACTGACACGCGAGTACGGGGCACAAACGCTAGGGTTCATCGTGGCCTCCATGCTCGTCCTCTGGGCCGCCATTGCGCTGTCGCAGTCGGGCGCGCCTGGCGCTCTGTGGGACGCTGTTCCGACGTCAGTTCCATCAGGATTGCCACCCTGGCATGGAGTCAAGGGGTTGGCAAATTCAGTCGGCAACCTGGTGCATTCCATACCGCTTCCCAGCTTCTCTAGGGACAGCGACATCTCGGGTCTGTGGAGCCGTGAAGGGGAAGAAGACCGCACCGCTGCCGACTATCTTCGCCAGCATAAGAAGGACTACAGCGCATTGAAGAAGGCGACAGACTTCAACAACGCGGCTCTGAAGAAACTTCAAAAGGTTGTGCCGAATGTTGTCCACATGGAGCTCAAGGATGGCAAACCAGTGGTCGCTGAGCAATTCTGGCACGCCATCCGTGACCTACTCCGTGTAGATGGAAGCTTCCTCAACATGGACAAGGAGCATGGCGAGTTTGCAGTGTCTTCAGACAAGCAGTGGAGCGCAATCGCCACGCGCCTGGCTAATGATCCAACATGGACCGGCAAGCTCAACGCCGGCCTTGAAGACGCGCATAAGCGCGTGGAGAACCAGGTGTCGGTCTCTTGGGAGGCATGGGTCCGGGACAACGAGGACAAGATTGCGAGCCAACTAGGCTCTGCCATCGAACAGGTCAACGCAGCCGCGTCGGAGGACAAGCTTGACGGTGTCGTCAAAACTCTTCTCGAGAAGCAAGTACAAACCGACTCGACCATTGTCACGCGCGAAGAGTTCATCCGTCATCTGAACAACGAATTTTCCGGCCACAAGGACCAGATGCGTCGCGAGATGGAGGAGCTTCTGCCGCGCTTCAAAGGCATGCTCGACGAAGCCGTGGCCGTGGCCGTGGCCAAGAGCCAGGCGCCGCCCGCAGGCATGAACCGTGCCGATGTCACGAACCTGGTCAACGACATGATTCGCAAGTCGCTCGCCAGTATCAACATTGAGGCCCTTGCACGCGGCAAAATCCACTCCCACTGGTCCACTGACCTTTCCAACCAAGTGAACTACTTCGCCCTCGGCGCCGGTGCCACCATTGATGGCAAGCGCACGTCTCCCATCTTCGACCCGCATAAGAAGGGCTTCGTCAAGGAGAAGGCCTACGAGAAGGGACTTCGCGGCGCCAAGCCGTTGCCGCCTGCAGCTGCTCTCACGCCGTGGGAGGAAGAAGGGGACTGCTTCTGCGGAGCTCGACAGCAATCTGACCGAGGGAACCCGCACGATGTCTCCCTCTCCGTTCAGCTGGGACACCAGGTCATCCCTCAGTACATCGTGCTCGACCATATTCTTCCCGGCGCGACCACTGACCCCGGGGCGATGCCCAAGAACATTGAGATTTACGCCAAGTACGAGGACCCCGAGCTCCGGGGGCTGGCCTTGGATTTCAGTGCTGTGTTCTTCCCGGATGGCGAGAAGGCCTGGGACTACACGCCTCAGAACTTTGGCGAAGAGTTTGTCAAGATCGGCCAGTTTGTGTATGAGGGCGCGCAGGCCAACAGTGGCGTGCAGATCCACCGACTCAGTGATGAGCTGGTGCAGATGCGAGCAGGGACGGACCAGGTTGTCGTCCGGGCGACGGACAACTATGGCGCCGAGAGGCATACGTGTTTCTACAGGGTGAGGATGTATGGCGAGAAGATGTAAAGGGGTGTTTGCAGGCTGGAAAGGGATGGTACACAATACCCGGGGCATGTCCTCTAGCGGAGCGTCACCTTGCTCATTCTTCGTCGCATGTATGATTTAGTTGGCAGCTACGGCGTTTCGTGTTCTATTTCCCCAAGGCGCTGCGCCTTATATATGGCCTTGAGCCTTTCTAGTCAGTACCATGAAAGTACTGCGCAATATTCATTGATTAGCTTTTGAGTGCGAGAGAGCGTTGAATAGGTAATAGACATGCTTTGACTGCGCTGAATTGATATACTACATCTAACCATCCAACAACCCTGTAGCCAGCGCCTCAAGATCCTCCAGCGTCTCTGGCTCCTCGTGCATCTTGAACACCTTGCCCTTGCTCTTCTGCTTCTTTCTGGGCTGCTCATCCACATCTGCGTCCGAGTCATCCTGCTGGAACCACTTCTTGGCCTTCTTCTTGGGTGGCTCGGCGTCGCTATCCTCTCCCGCCACGGGCAACGAGCGCATAAATGCTATCGGATCGTGGCCATCATCATCATCACCAGACACAAGCTGCGGAGCACCACCGTCCTCATCACCATCATTGACAAAGGACTCGCCGCGCTCGAGGGCTTTCCGCTTCGCCTTCTTCTCCCTCTTGCGTTGCCGCACCCTCTCCTTGTCGTCCACGTCGGCCTCGAGCACCTTTTTGGACTCGTCCTCGACAAACGCCTGGCGCTGCTCGTCCGCCGCGCCGGCGCCCTGAAAGTCAGCCGGCGTCGACATCTCGTAGAGCGGGTGGGCGTTGCCCTCGTCGTCAAAGACCATCTTGGTCGGCATGCCCTTGAACTTGGCCATCTTCTTCTTGGACTTGAGCGCCTTCTCGCGCCGTTTCGAGTCGATGACATAGGGGTCCTGGCCGCCGAGGCCCTCGACCACCTTGATGTTGCTCGTCGGTCCCTTGCTGGCCTCGTTGTCGAGGTCAGCGTCGTCGAGCCGTCGCTTGACGGCGAGAATGTCCTCGTCGCTGTCATCCCCCTCGTCGTCATCGTCGCCCGCCTTGCCCACCATTTTGCTGTAGTGGCTCGACAGGACGTCCTGGTTTGTGCGCTCAAACATCTTGTCGTACTTTGTTCGCACCTGGTCCTTCTTCTTGTCCTTGGGTTTCTTGACGCCGTCCATGTCCATCTCGGACTCGGACCCGCTCGACATGCCCTGCCGCGGGGCGTTCTTGAGCTTCTTCACGTCCTCGCCCTTTTGGAACTTGATCTGCGGCGTGCCGGGCAGGCCCATGCTCTTGGAGAAGGCGTCGAGGTCGAGCTTCTTGAGGTTGAAAATGCTCTTGTCGTTCTGGTACTGGATGGCGCGGACGTAGCTGATAAACGCCTTTTGGCCGAGGTACTTGAGGTCCGGGTTCTGGAAGCACATGTTCTGCAGGCTGTTCTGTATGCTCTTCTTCTTGTTCTCCTTGACGTTGACGCGCTCAATGGGGATCTTCTTGGCCTCGAGCTTCTTGAGCATGCCGTCCTCCTCGCTGGGGTCGAGGAACAGGACGGCCTTGCCGTTGCTCTCGTAGCGGGCGGTGCGGCCGACGCGGTGGATGTACGTGTCGACGTCTTCCGGGCAGTCGGCCTGGATGACCCAGTCGACGGCGGGGAAGTCGATGCCCCGCGCGACGACGTCCGTGGCGAAGAGGCACGAGTACTTGGCCGAGGTGAAGCGATGCGTGATCTCGAGACGGGCCGTCTGCTTCTGTCGACCGTGGAGGTGGAGGAGGGGGATACCGGGCTGGAGATGGCGGAAACTCTCATAGGCGAAGCGCACCTGCTTGCCTGAGCTGAGGAAGACAATGATCTTGCTCTTGAGGTTGGCCTTGATGAACCCGTAGAGCGTGTCGAGCTTCTCGTGGAGGGGCGTGACGATGTAGTGCTGCTGCAGGTTCGTGGGCGTGGCGTGGCTGGCGGCCTCGTGCACCGAGACGTACTCGGGGTCCTTGAGGCTGAGTCGCGCCAGGTCGGACACCTTCTTGCTCTGCGTAGCGCTGAACATGAGCGTCTGCCTGTCCTTGGGGAGATGCTCGACGAGCTGGTCAACCTCACGCTGGAAACCCATGTCCATGATGCGATCAGCCTCGTCGAGGACCAGGATCTGCAGGTTGTCCGCGTTGAAGCTGGCAGCCTGCTCGAGGTGCTGCTTCATGCGTCCCGGTGTGCAGACGAGAATGTTCATCCTCGTCAACCTCTCGGCCTCCTCTTTCAGACTGAAGCCTGCCTTGCCACCGATCACAAGACCAGCGGAGAAGGCATGTTTCCTGCCGATTTTGCGCAAGACATCAAAGATCTGCAGTGCCAGCTCGCGCGTCGGCGACAGAATAAGCGCGCCGAGGCCATCGTATTCGGTCCATTGCGCACGGTAGAGCTTTTCGAGGACTGGGATGAGGAAGGCCAGCGTCTTGCCGCTGCCTGTCTTGGCTGCGCCGAGGATATCCTTGCCCTTGAGGGCGAGGGGGATCGCTTGCGCTTGGATTTCGGTCAACGTGGTAAAATGCGACGCGCTGATGCCGGCTGCGGAGGGTTCAGACAGAGGCAAGTCCGCAAACTTGGTGATCGGGGTAGTGGACTTGAGGTCGAGGTCGTTTACGCGGGCCTGGAGGTCGGCGACTTCATCTTGCTCGCGCTTGCGCTTCTGCAGGCGGTCGGTCGTCGATCGTTTACGGGGGAACTGAGGCTTGCCACCATTTGCAGGCCGGGCACGGGTAGCCATTGCGTGTCTCGCTGCTGTGCTGCTCTGGTCTCAACTTCCAACAATGCGACAGTTGGAGGATGCGTTGCGGTGCCAGTGGGAAGATCTTGGACATGACTTTTTTAGTGGGTCGCGTGGGTATCGATAAGACATTGAATGTGGTGGGGGTGAGTCAAATTGACTACCCGGAACATGATACTTGATACTTGATACGTACTCCCGAATTCCAACCTCACACGAACTAAAACCTTCTACTGCTGGCACTGGCCAGGAGCACTGGACCGCCTCTCGAATCCTCACAACCCATCACGCTGTCTCGCCCAATTCTGCGCCATGTCGCGCGAGAGCCCACTCTAACAAAGGTTCTGGGTCGTCCCGGAGCATAGCTAAAGTCTTCCCCAACCATATCCAGCAAGAGAACATCAGGCTGGCGTGCTGTCCCACGCGGCGAGAATCTGGTGTCAGCTTTAGATGGCCCTCCTTGAATAGTTCGAGACAATATTTATACCGTTTTTCAAACTCGGCAAGTGTCTTGAAATCCCATATCAAAGTTCTGTCGGGGGGTTCCAGAGGGCCCTTTGGAGCGTCTTCCCGCGTGGTGGCGGGCCAGTCTCCTGACAACAGCCGGCGAGGCGCGTTATGTTCGAGGCGGAACTGCAGATGCTGCATAGGACCCTCGCAACATGTAATGAGTCTCATTTGCAGAAGTGTACCAAGCTTGTCCCGCCCTCGTGGCTCACTGGCAATGCAATGGTAACATGCGTGGTCGTCAATATAGCCCAATGGGAATGAGCGCTCTTCTTTCCAGGTGCCACATGTCCGGCACATTCTGTAAATCAGATTCTGACGATGGAAAGAGCCAGTCATCCTCCAGGGGAGGTCGTTTCGATCGATGGGCGGCCGCGGTAGACCCGTGTTGGAGAACAGGCCCGGGAACCAACGCTCCAACGGGGATTCGAAAGACACGGTACGACCCTGGGTTTCCGGGCACGAGTTGTTGTTCTTGTAGTAACCAGAAATATCATTCCTTATGCAACCTTTCGCTCCAAGACGATATGTGTGGCAACGGCGAAGATGGCGGTCGGATCCAGAGTGCGCGTATTCGATCTTGGCCACCTCTCTTTCCATCAAGGCATCTTCCGTTTCGTCTGAAATACATGCCCACTCGGCATCCGAAATGTTGCGGAAGCTTTCGCATCCGTAGCGTAAATGAGTGTCTAAATTCTCGCTCGCTCGTCTTCGGATGCCGTCAACAACGACGAATACCTTTCCACGACGGTACCCTCCCAATGCCCAACCAAGACGGCGTTTCCATTCGCGTGGCGCGAGATTGCCTTGTTCTTTCTTTTGCTTCCAGTGCTTGCGACCCCATTGCTTGTGGTTGGACGGCTCCCAGCTTGTGAGAAGCAGCGATGGTGGCGATTCGGGCTGTGGCTTCTTGAATCGGAGCCTGGCAATGTACTTGTAGCTGAAATCGGTGTGTCTGCGAAGCGCGAGGCAGCCTCCGCAGGCAAAGCGAGCGTGGTTCCAACCATCAGTGTCCCAGTCCGGTATAGGTGAGTTGCGAGCCATGGAGACGTTGCACGGCGGACCACCGTACTCGGGGAGACACTCCCATGCTAGGAGGCGCTCAATGAAGTGTTGTCTCTGGGGGTTGATGATTCGTCGCCAGAATCGGCTCGTTTGGCTCACCGCGATGAGGCCTGCTGGGTCGAGGAGGCGGAAGATGGAATGCTGGATCTCTAGAGGCAGAGCATCGAGGTGCTTTTTCAGTGGCGTTTCCATGGCCGGATCATCTACGCGTGGTGAGTCCATGCTCGGTGACATATCTCTAAAAATAGAGGTGATGAGTGATGATTCCAAACACCGGCTGAGAAAGTTGGTAAGTGACAGGAAGCTGCCTCCAGGGGGGCAGGTGACACCATGACAGGGCAGCAGCATCCGGTGACCGGTCGTCACCTCTGCGTGACATCGCCCTCAGACCCGAAACTCACTTCACCACCGACACTGTCAGGCAGAATGAGAACGCCTAGCAAAGGTCTCAGTATTCTTGTCGAAGAACAGGACCATCAAATCAGCCCAAGCGAGGCGCAGGCCAAATTGCACTTCGTGTAATTCCATTGGCTGGGCATCCCGATTCCTCTGAGCACAACGCAGCCCGCAGGCGACTGACTCTCTTCAGCCGCACCTGAAGTGGTCAAGTCGATTGGCCATTTCAGAGTCGTTTATTGTGGCTAATAGGCGTCGTGTATTGAGACATGTGTTTTCGAGAGCTAGTTTGATATATCTCGTCGAGTGACAACGGACGAAAGAGGCCCTTCATTTGCCTCTTTACTTCCATGTACTTCTTGATCAGCCTACTACTTTTCGAACAGCCTTCACTACTCCAGAATGACCTCTGAGGGCAAAGGGTACACAAGAGAGGCAGCCCTATGGCCGGCCCGCAAAATGCTCATCTTCTTCATTCCCGCCCTCGTTCTTGACCTGGCCATGCTCGCCATCTCCGTCATCGCCTACACGGGCGCGCAGAGTGATGGCGATCGCCCAGCGCTGCAGAAAGCCTACATTCGATTCACGCCCCCGGGAAATATCATTCGACCCTTGGTCATCGCCTTGGCTTGTTTAAATGTGGTGGTGCATCCGACAATCGGCACGATGCTATTGTTCCGCCTCGGGCACGCGACGAAGAACGGCACCATGGAACAAATCAAGCGCCTGCAGAGATTTATGCTCTGTGTGCTGCCCTATTTCATCATTCTCGCCCTTGCTTGGACGATTTGCGTCGCCTTTCAGGCCACCTATGTGCCCATCATCGACGACGCGGTTTTGCCCTCCTGCCATGTCTGGGGGTGGGAGCTGACGCAGTGTCCCATGGTCAGCACAACGTGGATTGGGGGCATGATTTATATGTGAGTATACCTGTAAAGAACGTCCTGCGTTCAGCACAATCTGACCAGCTCAACTAGTGCCATGTACATCGTGATGTGCATCTTTGGCGCCATGACTGTATACCGTCTGCGATTTCTCGATTTGGAAGCGACACAGCCTTACCAAGCTCCGGCGTCCGAACTTGAACTCACTGAGCCTCCAGCATATCAAATAAGACCGCCGTCATATCTTTCAAGCCAGGGCAAAGCACTGTCACTTGGGACACCAAAAGCGACTAGAGCTGAACGGCCAGAAGAAAGGGGACCGCTGATGAAGACGTTGCACGAGACAGCCTGATTCCGAACATACAAATGACATTTTGATTCCGAGTGCCACTTGTGCCAAGTCACTCATGTGCACTTGAGCAGTAGCTTGCCAGTAGTCTTGCGGCTCTCAATGTCAGCCTGTGCCCGCTTGGCCTCTGCCAATGGGTACACTTCGTGGATCCTCGCCTCTACCTTTCCACCCGCCACGAGATCAAAGAGCTCGTTGCTGTATCTCTCCAGGTCCTCTCGCTCTGTAACGTACCCGTTGACGACGGGGCGCATGAGACGCACGTTCTTGGGGGCGAGCTTGAGGATGCTCAAGGGCTCCACGGCGCCAGACTGTCGAGTTAGTCACCTGTCACTAAAATTAGGAGCTGTTTGGCACTCACCGCGTTGCCGAAGGAGATCAGCTGCCCCTTGAGGGCAATCATCTCCAGATCTGCGTCAAAAGTCGTCTTGCCGATGCCGTCAAAGATGACGTCGACGCCATGTCCGCCCGTAATCTCCTTGACCTTGGCGACAATGTCGTCGGACGACTTGATGGTCCACTCGGCGCCGTTCTTCCTCGCCAACTCGAGCTTCTCGTCCGTGCTCGCCGTGGCGATGATCTTGGCGCCCACAGAGCGGAGCATCTGGACGAGCAGCAGACCGACACCACCAGCCGCCGCGTGGACAAAAGTCCACTGACCAGCCTTGACGGCCGCCGCCTCGCGGATAAACGTCCATGCCGTGAGACCCTGCAGGTAGACAGCCGCGGCGGTCTCCAGGGTCACCGCGTCGGGAATCTTGATGAGCTTGGCGGCCGAGACAGCCGTGTACTCCGCGTAGGTGCCGGCTTCGGTGCCGGACATGTAGACGACCCTGTCGCCCTCCCGGAAGCCGTTGCCGGCCTGGACGACCTCACCCGCTGCTTCGCGTCCGAGGACGAGAGGGAAGCGAGGGGCAGGGTACAGACCACCGCGGAAGTATGTGTCGATGAAGTTGACGCCGCAGTAGGCGTTCTTGACCAGGACCTGGTCGCCTGTGGGGTTGGGGATGGGGATCTGCGCATTCTCCAGAACGTCAAGACCGCCGTTCTTGGCGATCTGAACGACGTTCATCTTGGCTGGGATGGGAGCCATGGTGGAGGAGGATGGCGTGGAGATGTAGAGGCGTAGTTGATGTGTGCTGAGCTGAGGGGAGGGGAGATTGGGTCTTGAAGTACGTCGCAGCTAATGACGATCGCAGCAACCGTGTAGAGAGGGTGGTATATAAGGTAATGAGAAGACGGAGCCGCAACGACACTAGACTAGTAAGGTCATTAATAATTGCGATGCGCTGATGTGGATCGACGCTGTCTGGTAAGTAGCAGGAAGAGGGCGGCGGCCTTCGGGTGGGAGGAGGGGCTGTTGGAGGGGTTTGGGTCTTGACAGCTATTATAGCGTCACTGTCCATCTACAATTAGACAGCGATTACCAGAGTATCCGTAAGTATAGACAAATACGCCCCGCCAGCCGCCTCCGGTCTCGCTTTACATGGGGTTCCCATTAGGAATGAACTTGCAATCAATTACTTGAGCTGGCCCCGTTCGTAATCAAGTCGATCAATTGCGGCTGTCGTTGGCAGAGTATGGTGAGCATTACAAACGGATGACTGTCGAGGCAGCCATCTAGACCAGAAACTCCCTGATCGCTTTGAGCACCTCGTCAGGCGTCTGCTCTGGGATGTAGTGTCCTGATTCAACAGCATGCCCCCGGACCGTGACGCCCTCCGCAGCGACAGCCTGCCATTCTTTGACAGCGTCAAAGCACTTTTCAATCACGCCATGCTTGCCCCATAGAACGAGCAGCGGGTTCCTGATGAGCCGCCCGAGCTTGATGTCCTCCCTCGCCTCGTTAAGATCCAACGTAGCACTTGCTCGGTAGTCTTGACACATGGAATGGATGGCTTCTGGCTTCTCCATCACGCTCTGATAATACTCGAAGCACTCCTCGTCAAAGATACGCAGACCGTCAGTCTGTCGCCCGCCCATGAACATGTTGGCGAACGCTCTCGGACTGGCTGAGATGAGCGTCTCGGGCAAGGGTTCCTGCTGGATCAGGAAGAACCAGTGGAAGTATGCCTTGGCAAAGTCAAAGTCGGTAGCCGTGTACATAGCCAGCGTCGGGCATATGTCGAGGAGGATGGCCGCCTTGACGCGATCTGGATAGTCGACGCAGAGCTTGTGCGTGACGCGCGCGCCGCGGTCATGAGCACATACAGAGAAGTGCCCCGTGTAGCCGAGCTGGTCCATCACTTGAATGCAGTCGCGCGCCATGGCGCTTTTGGCGTAGCAGGCCACATCGGCAGGCTTGGATGAGGCACCGTAGCCGCGGATGTCAATGAGGACCACATTGAACTCCTCGGTCAGCTTTGGGGCGATGCGGTGCCAGATGTGGTAGCTCTGTGGGAATCCATGGACCAGAAGCAGTGGCGGCAAATTGGTCGACGATGAGCCGCTCTGGAGCCCATGGATCGTGATGGGCGGATCGCGCGAGGTCTGCAACGAAAAGGGCGTGAAGCCTGGGAAGAGCTGCGACATGTCTATCGAGGCAACGGAGCTGGCGAATGAGTTTTTGGTGTCGACGGCTGGTAGGAGAATGTTTGTCTGTCGTCAACTTGTCGTCCTGGTTGAATCCTTTAAGTGCGGCTGTTGGAAGATGTCAGTACCGGCATGAGAGAGTGAGCGCATGTTGAGCGGACATGACCAAGGCCGGCACGCGCATGGCGCCAGTCACGACGGATTAGCTCAAAACCATCTTCAACTTGGACTCCGTATTTAGCTATGCAGAAAATGACCGAACCAACCCAGGTGCGAGTTCTTTGGACTTGCAAGCAAATTGAAGAGCCAGTGACCGGAGACCATCATGGCAAGGACTCGGTTGATCGAGTCTTATCCCAGACTCGGTGCATCCATACATGCGCCTGAAAACGTGGCCATGGGAGGGCTGTGACAGCACTCTCACGAAGACATGCATACCGCAACGTCAAAAAGACACGCGGCAATGGCCCGCAGAATGGCGAAGTTCGTTCCGGCTCTCGTTGCGACAACGAATACGCGCAAGAGCGCGCATGCTGCCAGTGGATCGCCACGCAATGGCCAGGGGAAAAGCCTGTCAGGACTCGGGACTCAACTCAGGACTCAGAACAGGGTGGCTGTGCATCAGGAATCAGGATCAAGGGGATCGCTGGGCAGAATCGTTGCTGAACCTTGTTTTCGATAGCGGGCGAGGTCAGAATCGCGTCATGCGCTGTTTGTGAGTCGAAGACAATAGCATATTGTCTGTACTTTGTGGTTCGGAAGCTTCATCAATATCGAGAAAGCCGTGCGGACGCGTCCAAGCTTGTCAAGCGTTGTGCAGGAAGCTACGGCGGAGGGCACAGTGGGGATGCGGACGCGACGACGGGACATGAGCCCCGGAGCATGCAAAAAAACACAGTGCGCGCTTTGGTTGCGCCTGCCTGTTGCTGATTGTGGGCTGCCATGCGAGTGAAACTCGCTCCATTGACTGGCGCAATTGGCGAATTTGTGAAATAAAGGTGGGTTCCCGAGAGAAGACAGCGCCAAGCACAGTATGAAGAATACGTCGAGCGCTCACTCTCACTGTCTCACCGAACAGTCAACAGATCATCCCATTGACAATTGTACTACGTACCTCGCCTTCCAGGTATAATCGATCTCTCATCCCAATTCAGAACGAGGTCGCTGTCCTGTCACTTGTTGCTTCAATATCCTTCAGCGATGGCTCATGCATTAATGTCCCAGTTTGTTGCAGCTTAGGTCGGTGATGCAGTTTGAAGCGTTGGCACGCTCGACTTGCCTCATTACCTTCACCCCAATTCATTGATACCCGTCGCACTCAAGGAACGCACATGTCGCAAATCTAGCATTGGATCTTTCTTATAACCTGCCTTCGCAATGGCCATCACTGTGGATCGTCGCCAACGTAGGATTATCCGACTCGCCCAAGAATGGAACGTCACTTTACCTTCGGCTGCTCCAGCACGCCTCGAACGACCAGCCAGCCTGCCTTCACATCGGACACCCACCGATGACCACACCGCCGAGGACCTTCTCCAACGCCACGCGATAGAACTTTCTCATACCCGGCCCAAGAGCGGCCTGCAAAGAGCCTTTTCAACCAGCAATCTCAAGAAGGGCAAGCATTGGGAGCCAAAGCATATTCTCCAGGTCCTCACGACATGGATCTCCCAAGCGGGATCGGCCGGCGTGGCCGAGGCCCTCATCGCCAAGCTCACAGCCTCGGGCGTTGACCTAGGTGCCATGTCTATGCAAAAGTCAAACCTTCTGAGTCGACGCCGAAGTATTGATGGGGCCATGGACAAGGCCAAGCTCATGAGACTCGCGGTACAGAACAACCAACTGGAAATGGTCCAAGTTCTTGTCCCGTACGCCGACCCTATGTCCCTCGACGCTTGTCTTCCACTGGCCGTAAGGCAAGGCAATACCCCCATCGTTGAGCTCCTGTTGCAATTTGGCGCCAATGTCTCACAAACGGCCGAAGGCCAGGATGCCTTTCGCCAAGCTTGCAATGTCTCCATGTTGGCAGACATGGTCAAGCTCATTCTACAATCAGATGGCAGGCCGTCGCCGTCTCTCGCATCACAGTCCATGGTGGACGCTACAAGAATAGGGAGCCTGGAGATGGTCACACACCTCAGCCGTTCAGTGGCTGATGGCGACTACAACCAAGCGGAGGCTCTTCAACTTGCCGTCAGCATGGGGCGCGGCGACCTCTCTCTTGCCATAATCATGGGCAATAGGCCTCCACAGGCCCCCGGCGTGAGCCAGGCTTTCGAAAACACGCTCAACAGCTCCGCTTTGACACCTGGTATGAAGCTCCAACTGGCGGAGCTGCTCATCTGTGCTGGCGCAGATGGAAGGGTGCTATCGCACGCTCTCCAGGTTGCCTGCGACTCGCAGTTTTATGAGATGGCGAGGCTTTTGGCTTCCTATGGAGTATCCATCGAGTACAACAACGCCGCTGCACTGAGAAACGCCATACAAAAAGGGCAACTAGATCTTGTCTGCTCTTTGTTGACCGACTCTGCGACATTGTCGCCGTCCGCGGCCTCCAGCTGTGTCTCGTCAATACCTCAACAAATCGCCCCGGCCGATCGGTACATGCTACTTGACTTGCTGTTGCGAAAGGGCGCGAAAGGGCGGCCTTTGGATGACATGCTCATCGTCGCTGCCGAAGCCGGCGATACCAACTCGGTCGAGCTGCTGCTGAAACCCTTCTTTCCCGAGCCGCCTTCAAACGGAGCAAATGGTATGAACGGTGGTCGGAGCACGTCTCAGATGCTACAACGCCATGAAGTCGCATCCCCTGACTATCGGGAAGGCCATGCGTTGCGAACGGCCGTGCTGCGATTGGACACAACTATGACGGCCAGGATTCTCGCTAGCCAACCTTCACCTGACACTTTGACCAGAGTCTTCCCTTTGACCAAGAATCTGACGGCCGCAGACCGCTACGAGATGGTCGAGCTGTTTCTCAAGGGAGCCTTGTCAGGGCCACCGCTCCATGCTGCACTTCAGGACGCGATCAGCGAGGATATCTCGTCCAGAGACGGTGCACTTATCGGGCTCCTATTGCAACACGGAGCGGACATCAATTACAACCGAGGTCAAGGTCTGCAATCAGTGATTCTTCAAGCTGACCTGCCACTTCTCGAGACCCTCATACACAAAGCATCGCCTCAAACCGCGGCCGCTCGAATCGCGGATGTCATGAGGGTTTCCGACCATCGCACGCGGTATGGAATGATGGTGTTGCTTCTCGGAGCCGGGGCATCCATTGACATTGAAGGAACAACTGCTGGTCTCGCTGAGACGTTGAAAGAGAAGCCAGTCGACATGTCTTTGTTAAGGTTGATGCTGCAGCAGGGCAATGCAGATGTCAACAACAGCCGCTACAATGTTATTAGCGCAGCTGTCGGAAACCCCGACCCCAAGGTTCTTGAGTTGGTTCTTGGGCTTGGGAAGCCACAGGCAGAGACCATATCTAAGGGACTCCTGGAGGTGTCATCACTGCCACCTTCGGATGGCAAAACGTGGAAGATGCAAATTGCACTTGCCAAGTCGAGAAGGCCGGAAGATCTTTCGACCCTTCTGACCAACGAAGTGCATACTCTGACACAAAGCAGCTCACGAGCAGTGTCATTGTCCACAATCAAGATGCTCTTGGATAATGGTGCCGACGTCAATCACGGTCCAGCACTGTGTCATGCTGTATCCAGCGGCAGCACTGCAATCACAGACGCACTCTTGGAAAGCCCAAAACCTCCAACACAAGCAACACTCGACCCTGCTTTGCCCCATGCGCTAAAGTTGTCTGACCTGATGGACCGCCTGTCCTTCACAAAGAAGCTCATTGCGGCTGGGGCATCACCTCTGCAGATCAACAGAGGATTGATTCATGCAGTTGAGCACTACACAGATGACGTGTCTCTTCTGGGTGTTTTGGCTGAAAAGGCCAATACCACGGACGGCGAGGCCTTAGCCATGGCGGCTTCTAAAGAGGCGTCAGATGTGATTGACCTGTTATTAAAGAAGTCGAAGCATACGCTAGATGTCAAGCATGCAGCCTTGGCCCGCGCAATGAGCATTCGCGATCGAGCATCTCGTAGGGGAATATGCGCGCGGCTTCTCGAGGACGGCATCTCCAAAGAAGAAGCATCAAATGCTCTCCTGATCGCTGCGAGGGACGGCGACATCGAACTGGGCAATATCCTCATGGCTCATGGCGCTAGTATCTCAAGCAACGGAGGCCAGGCTATCATCGAGGCCTGCCGAGGCGGTAGCGCCGAAGTCGTCGAGATCTTACTGAAGAGTGAAGGCCAGGTGCACAAGGCAACACTGGAGAACGCATTTCAGGCAGCAACTGAAGTGCGAGATCTCAACAAGAGAGCCGTCATTTTCGAGAAGTTGCTGCGAAGAGGAGTGTCAGGCGAGCCCGTCGACGCGCAACTGGCATTTGCTGCACGCTACGGCGAGGCAGGACATGAGGTCCTCCGAGTTCTGCTTGCCGCTGGGGCAGATCCCAACTACCAGAGCGGCGAAGCTGTCTTGGTCGCAACACGAACCGCATTCATGCGGAATCTTGAGCTGCTCCTGGGCTTGTGGGATCAGGAAGGCAGGCAAAAGAGACCTTCGCAGCCGACCCTTTTGCGTGCTTTCGAAGCCTGTTGGGGACTGAATCGCGATACACGGTACAACATCATTTTGGATCTGTTCAAAGCTGGTGTGCCGGTGGTGGACATTGTGCACGCCGCATTGAACGATGCTGTCAACGAAGAGGACTCCGAAGACAGGTTGATACAACTGCTGCTCGACCATGGGGCCTCGCCAACTGCTAATGAGTGCAAAGCCCTCATCAATGCGGTGAAGAAGGGCGCATCATCCTCAATAAGTGTTCTGCTCAGCCGGCCGTTGCCAGCAGAGGCGCTCAATTATACCTTTGCTGAAAGTTATACACCAGACAGCTTCACATCCTGGTTCTCTCAGAGTGGCATCCAGACTATCCGAGTTCTCCTGGAGCACGGAGCTCAGGGAGGCGCTCTGAGTCAAATGGCACTACAAGTCATGAACAATCACACACCAGACACGGCAGATCTAGCAGATGAGTTCATAACTTTGCTGGCATCACATGGCCTGGACGTAAACTACAACAGGGGCGAGCCCCTACAAGTGGCTGCGTCCCAAGCAAACGTTGGCTGGACGAAAGAGCTCC